TCACCGCCGGAGCCGAAGCCATGCAGCAAGACCTTTTCCTCATGGACTTCTTCGCTGGCGGAACCTTGACCAGCATGCTCGATAGTTTGCTACCGCAGGCCCTGGATATTCCTTCAGCGCAAGCTCTCATTTGCCAATCTCTGGATGCTCTGCGCTACATCAACTCTCACGACCTGATCCATCATGACATAAAACCCGACAATATCTTGCTGCGCAGAGCAGATCCGATAGACATTGTACTTTGCGACTTCGGTATCGCCGAGGACGCCGTCACGGTCCTCGCTGAGGATGAGAATGGTAAGGGCTACGACTTTGCCGGTACGCCTGGCTACATGGCACCCGAATTCGGTACTCGTAAACATTCTTTCGGTGTTGATGTTTGGGCCTTGGGGGTGGTGTTACTCAATGCACTGCAATATTGGCCTTGGACCCACCTTGATCCGACGGATCTGCCAGTCTACAGTCACTTGCCGTGTGCCAGCCTCCTGGAAGGTATGCTCGCTCACCACAGTCACCGTTTGACCCCGTCCGCCTGTCTGTTGGTTGCTTGGGATCTACCTCTGGCGTCTGCGCTCAAGCGTGGAAGGATTGAAGACACTAGCTCTTCCTCTTTTCCCGAGTCAAAGCGCGCCAGAACCGGCAGCAGCGTTTGACGCGGTCCGATTACTGACGGCTTGTGGAACGTGTACGACGTCTTCGCGTCGAGGTTGCTTCCCTTCCTTCATACTGTGCGCCCTTGCACTGTTGTTATGCGCCGACTCTTCCCCATACTTCCCCGCACTTGGCGATGCCAGACCCTGAAAGCCGACGCCAACAGCTTGCGCCTGGACGACCCTGTGTCTGAGGAAAACATACCTATAGTATCTTGGAGGCTGCTGCCTGGAGTGTCGCGCGTTCTGCCTTTGTCGCATCTCTTTGTTTTGTCATATGGAAATTGCTTGATGAGTTTGTCGCACGCTGGATCTTTTTGGAAAGGAGCTCGGTGTCTTGGTTTCTTTTAAGTCGACGGATTTGCTGAGAAGCAGAACCTGGGAGTTCTGCTCACGGGATGGGAGGATATAAAAGCAGAGATCGCTCTGCCACTCTCTTCGTTTCTTGGTGCCTCGTTCTGAGTTCTATCTCCATAGCTTCAAGTCACTAGTTATCGTTCCTGCTTCCCTGCCTATGCTTTGTGTGATTCCCTGTTGTGTCCCTTGTCATTCCCCCTCCTCCTCTTCCTCCTCCTCCTCCTCCTCCTCCTCCTCCTTCTTCTCCTCCTCCTCCTCTCTACTCTTAGCATTCTTCACATGTGACCTAGTACGCTTTCTCTTCAAGACACCGCCGCGTCTGCTCGGAGGGTTCGACCACTCACGCGCCTTTCCAGGACCGGCCTCCGCAAGGGCAACTCCAAGCGGGCTGCCTGACGAGGGCGCTGTAGGCCTAGGTAGTACTTCTCTCTTGAAAGTGCCAACGTCGAAAGTTGATGTTGATCTTCCGGGCATACAGCGCTGGATGATGGCTCTGTACACGTCCTCCAAACAGTTTTTGTGAACATGTGACCACTTCTCCTGGACTTCTGGGCTGAGAGCCGATTCCTTCCAGAGGTATGGGATTGTGTCGAGTCTGTCTCCGGGGTCTTGAAAGGATGGCTGGGGCTTGTGACTCGGCCAGCGGCCTACAGTTTCTTCCAGCTCACCGGTCGACGACACGTAGTACGCTTGTTCTGTGGCCACCACAACCAGCGAGTCGACAGACGTGGTGTAGATCGGATATTTGGGACCATAAGGGTATTGGATGGCATAGAGTGGTGTGAGGTCCGAAGGCAGGTTGAGAAGACCGTCTGCTCGTAGATATCTTGCACGGTGGGTCGATTCGCGGAAAGCGTCGCGCGAGGCTTGATCCCAGGTGTAGCGCATAAAGAGAATGTCGGGGCACCTAGAGCTGTGTTGTTGTTAACCATACATCTTGTGCCGACTATCAAGTCCTTGCCGTGACCCACCCTGGTTGAGGAGCCACTCGGTTGCTCGGGTAGAGCTCAGAGTTCGGAGCCTTCTTCCAGATCTCTTTGTTTCTGATGTGAAAAAAGAAACCTTCGCCGTAAAGTTCGCTGGCCGCAATCTCGTTCAAAGCCATGACTGCAAGCTCATTCTTCGCCAGGGGTCTTCTCTTGCCATCAGCCGCCTTGTCGGCAATGGACATTGACCACTGTTCTGCCTGGGTAGCCTTCCAGAAGAAGCGATCGGACTTAGCGATCTCTCGAAGGGTTGGGGGTGCCATTTTCCAGCATCGACAGACTCTCGTGAATCCCGAGTGAGCGATATCAGAACATCAGAGCGGAGCACGAACAAGTCGGAACGGCTGATGAAGAGATTCGCCAAGGACGGTGAGTTTGTGTTTCACAGGGAAACCTGCATATCGGTTGGGCGTGCACTAGCAAACAACAACTTCGCTCGCTTTTCCATTTGAATTTGACCTGACCCCGACCGGCACTCACTCTCCTGAAATCAGACACGAACCACGACTGTCCTTCGTCGAAAAGGGGGTTTGTTTCTACCATCGCCAATGTCGGACAGAGACGATTTCCTCGCCCGAGTCCAGATGCTGCGTTCTCCGGTGCGCTGTCCAGACTGGGCGGCTATCCTGCAGGACGTATGCACGAAGTTCTGGGCGCGTCTCGACGGTGATGGCGAGGAACTCACCGTCACTGAGCCAGAAATCCATGCGTTCATCGACATTTTGAAAGACCCTGAGCGATTTGGTCTTGCGCGCTTGGTTATTCCTGACCTTCGGACCGCCGATCGATCCAAAGTCCTTACGAGAGTCAAACTGAACATCTTGGAAACCCTCTGCGGCGAAATGGAAAAGTACGACAGCATCGTTTCGAAGACTCAGGCGGATTTCGACACGCCAGCGTATCGGGCTGAGAAGGATATCATGCTAGACGTGAACATCTATCGTCTGAAGCTGCTTCTCTACGACACAGTCAGTCTCACTGATGCTGAAGAGGAGAAGTTCAATTCATGGTGGGAAGCTCGCCCTCAGCCACGCGGTGAAAGGGAATAACAATGTGAGGTTTCACGAAACACTAAAATCTTGTGTGCAAACTCACTAACATACCACAGGTGTCGAGGTTGATCTGCTCTCCACACCGCCAGTGACAAAAGGCTTGACCGCAACCGCAAGCATCATCTCGAATACCAAAAATCGCCAAATCCCTCCACGAGTAACTCCATCAGCTCGACATAGTGGCTCTCCCACTCGGACCTCTCCGGCTGGGTGCTGTCACCGCGAACACGCTTTCCCTTCTCCTCGAATCGCTGGAATGCCCTCAGAACAACACCGATGCGGCGTTCTGTCCATTGCAACGTGTCGACTGCCACTTCCAGCGTGTGACCGTCGTTCGCCGATGCAGTGAGCCAATCCTCGATGCGACTTCTGTTCTGCTTGGCTGCTTCGCGCTCATTCTTGACGCCCTCCATGTCTAAGAAGGACTGCAAGATTTGTTTGGCACTGTCGTTGAGATTGGTGAAGAATGTGTTGTTCTCTTTCGAGGAGTCGTATAGCGCAGTCTCCATAGCAGATCGGTGTCGTTTGACGCACTCTAGATAGTCGACAACCTCGTGTTCCCATTTTCCGATGCAGACCTGCAGAGACTCCAGCAGCCCATAAAGGGCGCCTTGATCCTCCATGAAGCTATTGTAGCTTTGTTCAGAATACTTTGTCATCACGAGTCTTGCGGAAGGTAGGCTGCGGGTTCGCAGGTGTACTCTTATGTCGGTAAGAACTTCGCGTGATTCCGGTGATGCGATCGGATTGTCTCGAATACCGGGCGGGTCGGTGTCGAACAAATTCGCGTCGAGACTACAACGTTTGTCGTGAATCTGGTTGACCAGTCCCACGACATGTGTAATGTTGCTGTCCAATGCAATGGATGGCATCGAAGCACTGGCGCCGGGGGTTGTCGAAAGCAGCGCAACCAGTAGTACGGTCCCAACCGCGAGCAAAGGCAGAATGCAGCGAACAATGCGATGGAAGAATCCGTGTGCTACGTGAGCAGAACCATCTGCTAGACGCGGCACATTGGGAGGTCGTTGTGACCCTGAGAAGCCTGCTTCCCCACGGGGTGATGCAGCTCCCGGCCTCGACAAAGGATCCTGAAGGCTAGCATCCACTCGTGTCCAGCACTTGGGGGCTGCTGGAAGAAAGCCGGTCTGCCAACGGTTCGCTAGCGAATCTTTCATCTCCGCTAGCCTGCTGGTGTAGCGGAAGGCCTGCAACCGTGCTGGAGTCGTCTGGATTGATCCATCCCGAAGACCCTCGGAGGAGAAGTATGTTGCCCCGGTCTCTTTCAGGGGTGCCGATGTATTGAAGTACGGCAACTGCTCTTCTACGGTGTCAAAATCTGCGGGTTCCTGCTTTATTCTGGTTGGACGAGGATCTCCCGCCAAGAGGATAGCGGTAGTGCTGGAGAAGGGGGTCGGGCAATTGAGAGGCAGGTCGTCGTTCTGAGTGTTCAGGGGACTATCATCTGCTTTGTAGTATTTGGACGAGCGCTTCGGTGCAGGCAGTGAGATGACCATCGGCGCGGTCGTTGCTGATGAAGATCTTAGGTGAGCAAAAAGTCAGTACCGCTCTCGCTGATGATATAGACTTGACATGTCTCACAGCCTCAGACATGTTCGTCTGTTCCAAGATGAGTCAACAAAGGCAGAAGACGACGTCTCAAAAGAACCACGGATCTGCTCGAAACGGGTACAACCATAGTTGAGACAATGCTCCAGAGCATGAGAGCACTCGGCTATACTCAACTTCTGATTGTGCGTCGTGTGACAGATGGGATGGTTGTCCTCGTGGCGCCAAGCTTTGGTCCCGTGGTGCAGGAACAAAGTCCGGCATAGCCACACGAACCTCGGATGGGGATATAAATCACCAAGAACATACATACAGCACGTTATACTGCTCTATAGGTACTAAAATACATAATATATACTATACGGTCCCCTACCTTAGCCGCAAGTGACCACGAGCCCAGCGCATGCATTGATTGAGGAACATTCTGGGTGAAGTTTCAAGCGTAGTCATGATACGAGCCGCAGGATTGAAGTTGAGGGTAATCTGGTAGCCCTGATCATAAACCCACCTTGTCAAGTTCTTATCGTCATCGTGATTGAGCGCATTCAAAAAGAAATTCATGAATGCATCATTCTGGATCAGAGAGGCACGGTAGAAGCTGGTACGACCAGAGAGTGTGGAAACAGCGCCGTCAATCAAGTTCGTAGCACCAGTGTTGAAGTTGCGGCGTTCAAGGTAGCAGATACCCAAGAAATTCGTAAAAGTAGTAGGTTTGTCAAGGTCGGTTGAGCGACAGACTCTTTGAGAAGGACCACAAGCACCAACCTCAGGATTTTCAAAGCATGCCAACATGGCGGTGATGAAGTCACTACCAGGCCAAAAGACATCATCATCAGCAAAGGCGACAATGGAACCAGTAACAGCCTGTTGAAGAGCTGCAACCATTTGAGTTCTCTTGTTGAGTTTGGCGACTCCAATGACTTGAACCATGTCGAGCTTCTCGTCATCAGATTCAGCACCAGCAGTAACTTCAGCGCAAGCAGCATAAACATCAGGAACAAGCTCGTCCTTGGTGACAACGATGAGCTGAAGAGGGTTGCAGACACGAATGCGTTTGAGACAGGCCATAACCTCATTCTTGTCGGCGAACACAGTGGGAACGACAACAGAAACATCAGTCGACTTGAAGGTAGGGTTCTTTTTGATAGGGTGACCCTTGAGGTTAGAGAAGGCAATGATGTTGACGATCAAGCGAAGGTAGCGGAACACACTAAGCAAGAAGAAAGTTAGCATGTAAGCGTTGGAGAATTTGTCCGAGATGCCGTAAACAAACAAGGCCAGAGCGAAGATGATCAGAGAGTAAGTCATCTTAGGGTGTTTCTTGAGGAATGGCTTGGTATAAGGCTTGACAGGTCTGAGGAGGAAGCTAGGAGTGGAAGTCAGCACATTGTATGTAGTGTTTAGGAGGTTGAAGACCATGAAAATGATCGAGAGAAAGTTGAGTATCAGCATTTTCTTTTCCAAACGAACCGGTCGTTCTGTGGTTTTGATTTTCTTTTGGGTTAGGGGATTGGGTTGCTGTTGGTTTGTTTTTGTGTTTTCGTTTGGATCTGGGAAGAGGAAAGAGAGCGCATCGCAGATGGGTTTTGTATACAATTCAAGAGCAGGAAACAATGCATACCGCTGTGTATGCGCACAAAGAGGTGCGTCTTTGACGAGATGAGTCCTTCTTCAGGGATTGAATGGGGATAATGGGGAGTCGAACTGCACACAAAGAAAGAAAGGGTTGGATGAAAAAGAGAAGCACCATGTGCCAAAGAAGTAGAGAGGACTCCCGACAAAGAAGGGCGAGTGACAATGAGATATGGAAATGCAACAAACGGATTGTGGGAGTTGAGTTCGTGGGATGTGAAAGAACTGCGAAGCAATTCGAAAGAACGAATCACGCTATCTCGATAGGCACTCAGGGAAACAACTCATCTTTTTGCATTGTTGTAACACCTTCGAGCCTAGACGCGGTTGCTGAGATGCTGGTCGATACTTGATAGAGCCTTCTTACAACCAAGTTAGAGAGTGTTATTGGCACAATAATAATCAATGTGAGGTTTAGAGTCAAAGATTGCCTTATTGCTCCGAGCTCACCTTCTTGACCGGTGCTTAAGCTCCAGTGCTTCTAATCAGATATCGAAACGATTCTCAAGCCTCAAGCTTCAACAGCTTCAAGTCTGCTGTTGTGATAGCCAGAAGCCTTACTAGAGTTCAGAGCAAGAATGACGAAGTCCATGCAACGCCCCAGCAAATGCGTGCAGATACGAGAGCGGTCCATTGAGATGTGAGCATAAGCTTTTGCGTTCCTTCATGGTGCAGGAACAGACTGGCGAGCCCTGTTTTTGGAGATCAGTAGAGATCTCGGACCATTTGAGCCCGTACGCTTCAATTGATAGACAGTGACGAATAATTCAAAGTATCGTATAGCACAAAGCAAACAGAATAGCTTGTTGTTTCCTTTGGCATACATAACCTTTCGAATGGCAAGTTTGGAAGTATGAAAGCCTAAGGGTCGAATCGTGTCCAGGCTCTCACCATTGTGAAGAGAGCAAGCATGATCGACAATTGAACCAAAGTTGAAAGGAATGTTCTGCTCACAGCCAGTAGATGGCTTCAGCCCACGTCCTCGATTTCGACCTGATTTTAGAATTTGTAGAAGATGGCGCTCGGGCGTGGAGAGGAAACCGGGAGACTATCAATTGCCAGCCTAGTCGTCCAGTTTCACGAAGAACCAGAAGAGTATATGAACAAGCAGGCTGGTCAATCTCATTGGAAGCCTCGTGGGCCCTAAACGGCTTTCAATCGTTCAAGAGACCATACAAAATCTTTGAGTATGTCCGTCCTGTGAGCCTTTTTCGTTGCATGTAAGGCATCCAGTATTGCATCTTACATCAGAAACATCTTTCAGCTAGGCTGCATGTGAACCAAAGAGGTCCAGGTTCGGTGGCTTGTCTTTCTGCTTGATCTTCCGAAGAACGAAAGCAACAAAAGTTCCAATCTTCATACTTTTCGTAAGCCATAGAAGGGTTGAACAGATTCTGCCAAGCCTCACGAAGTTTGCCCGTGTCTCGTTAATCTTCAGGTTTTGCGGGACAGACACATACGCCACAACGCCATGCTAAAATTGCTTCTTTACGTGCGTACTTGTATTTCTTTGTCAATTCACCTCAGAACTTGTATCAAGCAGGCTTGCCCACCTGCCGAGTATTGCGATAGACTCATCCGAGGCTGCAAGAGTCTTCACAAAGAACAACAAAGCATACCCATATTTGGCCATGCCTTTACCCACTAACATGCATAAAGCACTCGGAAGGCTGGAGGTGAACTGGGTTGACCGCAGACTGCGGAGTCCGACGCACGTCAATACAGTACCGGAACCATGGTATGTCTACAGTGGGGAGAGAAACGCCTCCATGTTGCGGGACGCGCTCACCAATCATCCTGACCGGCCCATGAGCGGTGTAGCCCCCAATAGGTGCGGTGTGAGCCCGAAAGTTGTAAGCATTTTCGATTATCAGGTGCCCCAATATCTTTGATTGGGGTATCTACATGCGTTGTCAAGGGGTCGCGCAGCCCCCGTTTCTTTGGTTGGCCATGACCGGTCCAAGTTCACGAAAATTCCATGGAAATCTATGGGTTCACTTCCGAGGTGCTTGCATGTCTTGCTGAGGTAAATGCTTTGTTGTAGAGACTAGAAAGGCATGGACAGGCCACCTCTCTAGATTGCGCATCGCTTGCACCCGCGACCTGTATGACTTAAGACTGAACCGACACCCAGGGCTTAGGAATTGTCTTGCTTGTCTCTTCATCTGACTAGTGCTGCTCCTGGCCCAAAAGAGTATCTCTCGCAATTAATAGACTCCTCAGGACAAGGTCCTTGCCTGTCGACTGCCTTCCATCAACAGAGAACATTCCGCACACACTACGGGTACTGGCATCAAAAGCGGCATCTCACATTAGCTGTACCTAAGCGAGGGGGTCACGAACGCCAAATGTCTTCAGACTCGTTGGTCGTTCAAGTTTTGCACTGGATCACACCCATCGCGATCGGCATAGCCTTCAGCGTCGCGCGGCTTATTGCATTCTGTACACTCCAGAAACCATCCAAATGTTCTCGTGGCTCAGCGAAAGCTAGGCAGACCGTGTCTCTAGTACTGTCAGCAGCCGTACTGCTACTATTCGTACGTGATTCTGCATTCTTCTCTAGTCTTTACTGACGTTCTTCAGATCGTGCAAGCTTTGGAGCATGCACTACATCAATTCCAAGAATTGGAGCAGCAAGATGTGACGCAGGATATTCAGGTAATCGCTCGTCAGAGACTTGATGGATTCGCGAGATCTGATTTGCTCAACCAGGTTTACATTGGAGGATCGATTTTCATCTGGGGGACTGTGACAATTAATCTACTAGGCAAGCCGAAGCGCGTCTGGCATCCTTACCTTACAACCTGGATCCTAGCTGCTCTGCTTGAGAGTTGTATTCTTCTGGTCAAGAGTTTTCCTAAGCCAAGCAAGCTCAACTTGGATTTTGATGCTCCTTTGCAAGTTGGTCGTATCGTGTGCTTGTTAGGTCTTGTTGGCAGTGTGGTTTACTTCTCCCTCCACCGGAAGCTAAAACAGCATCGAGCCGACGAAGAATGTCGACCTTTGCTCGATGGTCATGGCACAATGACTGATGATTATACCTCGGTGGAATCCGCCGAAGATGAAGATGGTGATCTGCCTAATGTCGAAGATGAGGACGATGGCCCCGATCATACGAAAGAGTTGAAGGAGAAGCAAAGGAAACGTTTACAAGAGTGTGGAAGCTGGATGGCATATCTGAGAGACTTCAAGGTGCTTGCAAAACTTGCCTGGCCTACTGGAGATCGATCTGCAAAGATCTGCCTGGCCATTTTGATGGTTGTAATACTCGCTGACAGAGCTTTGAATCTCTTGGTCCCTAGACAGCTGGGAATAATTACCGACAAGCTCTCCTCAATACGTGACACCGGTAAGGAACTATACAGTTGACGTAACAGCGAAGCTAACAAGATTTAGGCGAGATTCCCATCAAAGATATCGGGCTGTGGATGCTCTATGTATGGCTGAGTTCTTATGCTGGTCTTCACGCGGTCACTCAGTTCTGTCAACTGCCAATCGAGCAGCACGCTTATCGAAAGATCGGCACGACAGCGTTTGGTCACATCATGAATCTGTCTATGGATTTCCACAGCAACAAGCACTCAGGAGAGCTGATGGCAGCTATTGGGCAAGGTCAACACCTATATCGACTCTGCGATTTCGTCTTTCTCGATGTGGGCCCAATGGTCTTCGACCTCATCATAGCGCTGATATATGTCACGCTTCTTTTCGATGCAAGCATAACCTTAATTATGATCCTGGTCGGAGTTGGTTACACCTGCATCGGATCTAGAACGACTTCTTGGGCTATGAACCGCCGCAGACGGTACAACCAGGCTCAACGCAACGAGGCCAAGGTCCAGAACGAGAGTATCGGAAACTGGCAGACTGTTGCACATTTCAACATGGCAGACTATGAATGTGCCCAGTATTCAAATGCAGTTGATGAGCACAATGTCGCCCGAGGACGTTATTACATGGTGCATTACGCAGGGTATGCTGCGCAGAATCTTCTTTTGCTTCTCGGTCAACTGTCTGCTGCGTTGCTTGCAGCATACCGTGTGTCTCGTGGTGCAGCGCCTGTTGGCAACTTCATTACTCTAGTGACTTATTGGCATACGATCGAAGCACCGCTTACCAGCGTCTCGTTTTCCGTGAGACAACTGTCTCAGATGCTTATTGACTCGGAACGACTTTTGGAGCTCTTACGTACCAAGCCGAGTGTTACTGACCGCCCTGGAGCAAAACCTCTACGCTTCACAAAAGGTAAAATCGAATTTGATAATGTCAGATTCTCTTACGACATTCGAAAAGCATCTCTCGACGATGTCTCTTTTGTTGCAGAAGCTGGCAAGACCATCGCGCTTGTTGGGGAGACAGGTAGTGGGAAGTCGACAATTCTCAAGTTGCTCTTTCGATACTACGATGTATCGAATGGCAGCATCAGGATTGATGGTCAAGACATTAGAAGCGTCACTCTGAATAGTCTCCGTACAGCATTCGGCATGGTGCCTCAAGACCCATGTCTGTTCAACACCAGTATTATGGAAAACGTCCGCTATGCTCGACTGAAAGCAACAGATGAAGAAGTCAAAGAGGCTTGTCGAGCGGCAGCAGTTCACGATCGCATCATCTCATTCCCTGATGGTTATCAATCTACTGTTGGAGAGCGTGGCGTGAAATTGAGTGGTGGTGAACTTCAACGCATCGCAATTGCCAGAGCAATTTTGCGCAATCCTCATATTGTGCTGCTGGATGAGGCAACAAGCATGGTTGACGCAGAGACAGAAGCCGCAATCCAGAGGGCCTTCAAGAGACTGACTAAAGGGAGAACGACGTTTGTTGTGGCTCATCGATTGTCAACAATCCAAGATGCAGATCTCATTCTTGTTGTGCAGAATGGTCAAATTGTGGAAAGAGGCACACATGAGCAGCTCTACAGTCTCAATGGCAAATACACCAGACTTTGGTCGAAGCAGTTGTCGAAGCAGACGACAAAGGCATGATCCGACTTCAGCAGGAGGGCGGTCGTTCTGGAGTACCTTTGGCATCTATTTGCGTTGGTGGTATCTTCTGGCAGCGAGCGCAAGATACCCGGGTAATTAGTGGATGTGTGAGCTCGTTCCGGGGATTTTCTAATAGTCAAAAGTTCACAAAGGAGAATTGGAGAATTGACGGCCAAAGTTTCTGGCAAGGCAAGAGCCTAGACCAGATTAATTTTTTTGTGTATTTGATGGGGATAGGTAGAGAGAGAATGAACATCCCAGCAAAAGACATCGAGCAAGCCAAATGAAGTAAACAGAATAACAAAACCAAGCAAGATGGTGAGAAAATCAGTGTGATGCTAATCTCACGATGGATACCTGCTCGGCCGTTCCTTGCAAACTTAGGAAAGCAAGAAACAAGAAGGATGAGAACAATGAGGGCGTTAAGAGTGCAACGCTGCAAGATGATCCGCTCGCCGTCAAAGCAACAAAGGCCGCAGCCAAAACAAACGCCATGCGAAAAAAGAAAAAAAACCGCATACCAAGTCCGCGACCCCAGTCCTAGGGATAGTCTAGAGTTGTAGGAAGAACCTCGTCGAAACAAAAAAAGAAAAAAATCTAGCTGCGCATATTATGGCTGCGCTGAAAATAGGGAAAAGAAAGAGATGAGGAGCATCGTAACGGAAAGCTGTGCTGTCTGTCCCAGGCTCGACAGACCAAGAAATATGAACAGTTGAAGAAAGCGCTAAACGGAGAGAGAATTTTTTTGTGGACGATGTAGACGTGCGATGAAAAACTTTTTTGGTGGTCCGGGGTACGCTGGAAGTCGCGGCAAAAAGGATCAAAACTTTTCGAATAATCGTTGGACCAGTCGCTTGTGGCGTCTATAGTGTTCGATTGGATGATCGTTATTCGTGGTCATTCAACCGACAACAGTCTGGGCTGGGTATCCCGAGGCACCCATGAAAGGCATGTACTGGCGGGCACATGCCATGCAGTTACAGCCAGGTGGGTGAGAGCCTCCCCAAGTGGACTGGTTCCAAGGAGAATAGTAAGACGAAGTCAAGGCAGGTGGTAGAGGCAAGGCACAACCGCCGTAGGCAGTAGATCTTCGAGCCTGCTCCAAGGCAGCAAGGCTGTTGGAGTGGTCGAGCTCATCTAATGTTGGGTAACGGTGCTGACTGTTGTAGAAAGCCTCGACCGAAGTAGTAGGCTCAGTACGGTTCCAGGGGTCAGCGGACGTATAGGGAGTGCCTGAATAGGTAGAGGAAGGTCTTGATGACTGGGGGGTGAAGTCGGCGAAGCTGCCCTTGTACTGTGGCTGGAAAGGAGAACGCGATGCTCGGGGTGACTGGCGCTGGATGTTGGTGTTCAACGGAGACAGGCGGGTGGTGCGCGAACGGCTGATGGCTTGAGCGTCGTAGTCATTCCATGCACGTAACCAACTAGCCAGACCAGCAGGATCAGAAGGATCACAGTGCAAATCGAAGGAGATGAGGGCAAGCCATTCCATCTCGAGATTGTTCAGCTCAGACACTCTGATACCTGTGACGTCGGACCATGAGCGGTTGATGAAGGTGTTGTCATCAAGGAACTTGCTGCCCAGGATTAGGGCGACGGCGAGCAGGCGGTAGATGTGGTTCTCGGACGAAGAGGTGGTCCTAGGAGGATAGTCTCGCAGACGGACGGTCAAGTAGTGCAGACTGAGAAGGATGGTTGCCGAGGGCAGTCTGGTTGCCGACAAAACCTGCGAAACCCATTTGCGAAAAGAGGGCTGGATAGGAACACTAGGCTGGATGCTTCGACAGATGTCAATATCTGCAAGGCAGATGGGGGACAGATGGAGAGCATACATTCCCGACGCCGATTCCGCCACAAAGTTCGTCATGCGTTCCATTTCGTAGTCGAGTTTGGCCGAAACTCCTCCTGTTGCCTTGTCTTCCTTCTGTGTTGATTGCTGTGCCTGTTGCTGCTGTTGTTGCGCGGCTTGGCTGCGCTGTTCCTGTTGGAGGCGCAGGCGATAGTCATCCTCGATGGCCAAACGCTCCTGCATTCTCAAAGGTGGCAGGATGGGGGCGCTGGTTGAATCATAGTAATTGTTGATGGGAGGAAGAATCGAGTTACGCTGGAAAGCAGGCTGCTGGTATCCTCTTGAGTAGTCGTAAGCAGCATCCTGACGGGAGTCGCAGGAGCGGTATGAATCATGAGGGTACTGCATGCGCTGGCAGCTAGAAGGGATGAACTCGGGCGGGGTGGGAGGGAGTTGGCGGGGGTAAAAGGACGGCATGATTTCGAGAGGAGTTGAAATCGAGTGCGATTTCACACCCTGAAGAGAGTTAGTAGGTGAGTAGACGGTAGGCAAGAGTTGTTTGTGCGAACCGATTACTTCGCGCCGACGGCGAAGCGCAAAGCGCTCTGGGCCCACGCTTTAGTAGAGGCTCAGTTGCATGCGCAATCGGACGGGCCTAGAGGTGAGACGAGCGAAGCAGACGATGGCAGACTCGAGTAGGGTGCGAGGCGGTCGGATAGAGATATGCGAATAGACCAGGCAGCGCAGAGGGCGTAGGTGGACTGCGACGACGAAGAGGGTCGGTGACGTGAGATGCGACGGGTGGGCTTAACACTAAGTGAATAGGTCGAAGCGCGTTGAGTAGGCGTCGATGCGAAGTCGTCAAGGGCAGTGACTGGCGATGAGGGCGTCGGCGAGTCGAGTGAAGCCTGCAGCCGTCAAGGCGAGCGAATGCACAAACTGCAAAAGCGTGCCCAGGGGTCTTCGTCAGGGAAACGGGAGGTTTCCTTGCTGCAAGAGTCGCTCCTCAAAGGAAGGGCGGAGGGGGGAGGGGTGCGAGATGGGTGGTTGAAGAAGGGGACAAAGAGGACGAGGAAGAGGGCAGGCAGGCTGCGACGACTCCAGGGCTCGTTTCGTCCGCGTTTGACCCTTCCGAACGGCCCTTCTGCCCAATTTTGTCCCGTGTGAGCTGCCAAGCCTGCTCAGACTTCGACGCACCACACGTCATGAAGACCCTCGTCGTTCACCACCGCGACGTCTTGCAGTCTTCGCCTGATCCTCATTCGTTTATGTACTCGAACATGACCCTCACTCTGTCCAGCGCATAGTGTCTGTCTGCTCATTTCTTACACACTGATCTCCCATCCCATTCAACTCGTGAATTTACGGAATACCATGCTGTACTCAGCCAAAGTACCCCAGCCACCTGTTTTTAGTGCCTGGTGACCCATCCATCTCCAGAGGGGCAATCGTGTCGTCGGCTGCTCTCGGCTCCTCAAGACTTCCTCATCGCCGCCCGGCCTCCGCCGTCTTTAGGTCCAACTTGTTCTTTCGATTTCTCTTTCGTCGCATCGTGTCATCGTTTTGCTATGAGCTCCATCATGATTCATGCCTGCTTGCCATGATCAAACGTTCTTGGCAGCTTCCAATTTTGTATGCAAGACTAGTTATGAAGCTTGTATAAGTCAAGTATACATAAAGCTTTGTTCTGATCAAGTATTGCTGGAAGCATAAGTTCAAGTAGCATCCCTCTAATGCAAGGTGAGGTAGATGTCTCATAGCCACCTGTATAATCAGATAAAGAATTTTTCTCCGATCAGGACACGCAGTTTCACAAACCAGCTTATGCGAGCATATTTCAAGATATATTGATAGTATTCCCATACAAAGTACTATTTCAAGAAATTTGCAAGTCATGGCAAGTCTTTCTGTTTAAGATGTCTCAACGTTATCTTTCAATGGTCAGGCAGTATACCAAGATCATTTCCATGCCTCTAGCGACAAAAGCACGACCCCAGAGTAGTTTGAACACACAACCTTCTCCTGGAGGCTCCCCGCACGCTCATATACACGCAAAAATGCGTCCACACACTCTGAGGCGTCTACAGGGAGCAAAAGCGATGCTTGAGCGGGTCGAACGCTCGACCTCCTGCGAGATCCGGCATTTTATGTGATGCCATAAACCGGAAACAGATCTGACCCAGTTAGTGGCGATATGATTTATTGGAGATTGGATAAAAGCTCACGCGCTACCACTGCGCCAAAGCACCAGTTCAACTAGAAAATTCAATCTCGGAGTATATACTTTACAGTGTTGAGAGGCTTCTAGTCACGCCCCAGGCTCCAGGCTTCACAGCTCACCGCAAGGAAAGATTGATTATCTCGTGAACTCCAAATTATCAAGTTCCAAAGCAAGACTGTATTAGTATTAGTAGTGTGTGTTAGTATATGGTTGTTGTTGTATTCAATATTGTGGGAAAACAGACAGCCTAAGCAAGCCAATACATGTCGAACACCAAATGGCAAACAACTCTGCATCCTTAAGCATACTAGAGCACACTTTGAGCATCAAAGATCTTTGTATTAACGTAGAAATCCAGAGAGCTAAACTCAACAAAGTAATTCGATATCAAAGAATCTCCGAAAGCAGAATTCATCTAGGTCTTTATATGGCTCATGTCAATTGGATATTACTCGACCATTTCCGCTTGCATGAATTTTGAAGAAAAATACAAAGGTTCGGAGAGAAATAATGTTTGTCCATGCAAAGGATCTCAGACTGCTGTATCTTCTACAAAACAGCTCTGCTTGAACAAATATAGGAATGTATAGTGCTTTGTTTAAAGCGGCAGGGTCACCATGAGACAAAGGCTTTCCCGTTACACATCGACAAGAAAGACAGCACGTGATCCGTTTCCAGCTCGACATTCAAGAGATTGCAAGCTTAATGAGCAGTCACGCAGAGCAACAGTAAAGAAGTTGTAAGTATGTACTCTCGTGGCCATTTTGAAATATCTATAATGCAAAGTCATGCTGCGATGATAGGAATAGCAAAGCTACTCGGTTCTGTGATGATGTGTGACAAGCAATGTTAGCATTGAACATCTGCATCAGTGAGACTTGGCGACCAAATTAGCAACCGGGGCCGTTTTGACATGATCGAAACAAGTAATGTTTCGTTCCTTGCATCTGTTGCAAGGAGTGCCGCCGTAACAGGCCTCGTGGCTCTGCTTACAAGGACCACAAGCAGAACGAGGACCTGAAGCTGAGAGTTGAGCAAAGTCCAGGCCGGTCTCGTGCTCCCAAAGCTCAATGACAGTCTTGATATCCTTCTCTATACCCTTTGAAAGTTTCTTCTGCAGGACGCTTCTAGGGATTGTGGGATTGGCGTTGACGGTGCCGAAGTTGGATGAGCTCATCGAGTTTCCATCTTTGTCTTGAATGTCGATGCCTTTGTCGATACTGTAAAAGCGACGTCAGATTGACACTCTCTCAGTGGACATGCCTTTGTCTCCGGAAACAATCGTGCATTGTCATAGCTCACAACGACAATCTTATTCCATTCGAGATGTTGGTAGGGGGGTCGGTAGGGGGTCCGTGAGGGGGTCCGTAGGGGGTCAACTTACAAGAACACTTTCCTTGTCTTATCCTCTCCCTTCTTAGCAACGATGCCTGCACTGGCCGACAAGCTGAACTGCCGATCTCTGCCAGTGTTGTCCTTCCAAAAGAATGAAATCTTGCCGGCAGCTGTGATGTTGATAGTCCTGCCATTGATTGAGCGCGAGAAAGCTCTTGTAGCGTCGGACGACCATCGGGTCTTTCCGCCATTCTGACCTTTATTTATGGCATCAAGATCCTGCTTCGCTTGCTGGAAAACAATGTCCGCACCGCTAGCTTGCCAACGACGCTCGACATGATCCAGTATCAGACGACAGATTTTCAGCCTGGATGGTCGGAACGAAGAGTCGTTCTCGACTCTGTAGAGAATGTCCAGCGTAACTTCAAGTGCCAGACAGACTTTCCAGAAGTTGATATCAATGACTCGACGAAGCGCGGTGGAACCAGAGCCGTACCTAAAAAGGCGATGGGTTAGCACATTTCTTATGAGAGGGCTGTGAGTTTGCGAATGATGCCGCATTGCAGAGAGCTATTCAAAAGCCGGAGACTCACATTGAGAGCCTGAGAGCGCCCACAAGGAGGCCCACAAAGACGCCCGTAAGGGGTAGGCTCTCAATTGACGTCTTCTCAATCTTGAAAAGAACTCTGCAATGTGATGCGCGCTCATGTACTTACCTGTCAGTACCCGGATGGAATGTTGGCATCTGAATGAAAGCGTGCTCCGGATTGATAGGATTTGCAGCTGTCGGAGCCTTGCCATAATCAGCAGTAACCTCACCAGGCTCAGTGAAGTACTGTATGGTGAAGTTTCTAAGCTCACCCAGTAGACTTCGGATGGACTGATCGTATGTGCTGACAAAGTTGGTTCTCACAAACCTGTTGGTCATTCCCCCCAAGGTAAGAGCCAGAAGAGGCTGCGAAGCTTCAAAGTATGAACGTGTGTGGGCGATGCACTCCTCTCGCAAGTTTGTAGTATTGGGCCAATAGCAGTGATCAATGAAGGGCAGCACACCAGCTTTGACGAGTGGGTCCATGCGTAGAGGATGCCAGTCGGAGCGATCTTGTTCATATGCCATGAGTCTCGAGAGGAAGTCTTTCATCATTTGAGCAGACCTGGCCTTTTGGTACCAGAAGTTCAACGGGTTCTCCAGAGACTGCAGTGGCATGTCGTCTCCTATTACAACCATCAATGTGTGGCCGAAGACTCTTGTCGGCAAAGCTTGGTCAATCCACTCTTTGCGGTGTCGATGATTGAGAGGACTCTTGACACCAAGACCCAACTCTGCAGAGTGTTGAGCTGCGAAGCGTAAAGTATCGTCCATCCAGTCGGCGACACGTTTGCGAAGACTTGCTGTTGGCTTTTGATGAATGGCCTTGTCCGCAAGCTTTGAGAATGTAGCCGTGCCGAGGCCCTTGAAAGTCGCGATGTCGGAGTCTGAAGGTTGATATGCAGCGAGAGTGCCTCCGCTCTGACGGTTGAGAGATGATGCCTGACCCACAAGTGCAATAAGCACTCTTTCGCGTAAGTCAACATCCTCTACTGAAGGTCGTGCAACGTAGGCTGCTCCGTACTTTGCTGGCTTGAGCTCAAAGGCATCGACGTTGAATATTCTGACCGATGACGTGACGGATGGCCAAAGAGCTTTGCAATCACTGCGAAAGTCGTGAAACATTCCAGAATCTCTCATTCGCTCATCATCACGGTGCCTTTCTTGACCAGAAGTAAGTTCGGTTTTGCCCAGGTAGCGGATGTAAACAAGAATTGTATCATCGGTGATGCCTTCAATCATTGCTTCCCAGACGGCGGCTTCTGGGTAGTCCTTGCCTTGTTGCTTCCATAGGTCAAGAACGGCACGGAGTTGCCTGATTTCCATCTCCCATGAGCGTATGTAATAGACTGTATGACCTTTTGGGCAGTCTTTCATGACTCCTGTGGTTTCGGTGCATGCTATGATGTCGGCGAAAGCATCATCTGGAAGAAGAATTGGAGTTTCGATTAAGGTCAACCAGTGATTGCTCGTTGAGGTAGGAAGAGCAAAGCTCAACTTTTGCTTGTCGAGGTGGTAGGTCGGAATGTTGAGTGCTTTGAGCCGAGCGATAATAGTGTCAAATACCAAGGTTCGTAGAAGCTGTAGATCGAGGGACGATGTGTCGTCGATAGGTGACTTTCTTTTGAGCGAATTGGTCTCAGGAGGGCTGGGGACAGAACTAAAACACACAGGTCAGTTAAGGAAAAGGACATGAGCACCTTCTCGTGTGCTGAAGAATGCATTATAGCAGCTGTGGAAATGCACGGTAGCCTCCTGACTAGAGCGTTACCCAAGGAGATACCCAAGGAGATACCCAAGGAGACGCCCGAGGAGGCGCCCGAGGGATGCCCAAGGGGTTGCTCAAGGGGGCGCCATCCCCTTCAGACATTGTCGAGGCCATGCTTCCGTTTGGAAAGCAATTGTGCATCTCTACAGCTACAGTGCCGCAGTCATCAGCAGACGAGAGATGAAGAGTGAGCGCTTACCTGTCCATCGTGGCGATGAGGTTGATCGAGTCGAGGCCTCAATTAGGAGAGTGGATGGGAGAAGGACGCGAAAGGCACCGAACAGGTCAACAAGACGTTTGGCCGAGGAAGAGCGTACGAAGATGCGACTTCACCCTCTCCACGGTTCCGTGGCGGGGGTGGAGCCATTTTCGCATGAGGAAGGAGCATCTGGCAGTGGGTGGGTGCCTGGCATGTGTCAGCACGTGCTCGAAAACAGTAGCACTTCAAGAGGCAGGAGCGAACGACGTACATTGAGAAGGCAGCGGTCTGAAACGTGTGACTTCACGGTCCTCGTTTTCGAGTCACCGGTGAAGTGTAATGTGTGCAGATGCTGAAAGAATGATTTTGGAGGGTTGTTGATTGCGCAAGAGCATGAATCAACGGAGCTTAACCTCGCGCGCTTGCAAAGGGCCGAGTTGCGAGGGGTCCCAGTGCATCTAACAGTACTTTTGTACCATAGATCTGGTAGTTGTCGAAGAGTCTTGCATGCTTCAATTGACGGTGTGCAGCGCAAGCTGTGGAAGTGCGTCTTGTATTGGAAATTGTGAGTGATTGGGGGGCTTAACCTCGCAGGGCCATGACATCCTACGAGGGGTTCCAGTGCATCTAACAGTATTTGTGGGACCATAGATCTGGTGATTGTCAAAAGTCTCTCTTGCAGGGCGTCACTTCCTGCAAGCGCACGCGGAGAGTGCGGCGCAACTGCTCGAGTTGCGGCTTGGTTGAAAAAGATTGATGAAGATTGTTTAATCTCCCAAGGGTCACAACTCCACTTGAGAGGGGTCCCGTGCTATCCGAGGGCATGCCATGCCGAGGATCTGGTAGTTGTCGGATGCTTTGCTTACAGGGGCACCACTTCCTGTAAGCGCACGCATCTATGCGTTGCAAGTCGAGAGGTGTTGCAGATCTTTACATTCATTTGAGTTAGCCGAAAGATTGAGATCGTATCAAAGTTGTGACTGCTCACCTTATGCCTTATGCTTTGAACAGTATACCTAATTAAAGGCACTGAACATCTGAAGAACTTGTCGTTGCGTGCGGAGGCGGTAGAGATGAAGGGGATGAGGGAGTGCGGAAGAGAAAAAAAGTTGTGTGATGGGTTGAAGAGAGAAATCCGTAAGTGAGAGACGCAATGTTTGTTATTGCAAGCAACCTCCTCGCAGTCGACCAATCAGAGCTCGCAGCTCGACGATTGGTTTCACTTCATGATATCGAACAGCGAGTAGAAAGCAAGGCTACTATCCGTGAAAAGACCCTTTCGCCCTCCTGGCTGTTCTACTACACGCACCCTCCAAAAACGAATCTTCGTTTGCTACCCGACCTTTGACATACTCATTGAGCCTTCTATCAACTAGGTTTAGTTGATAGTGCTTTTCCTACCAAGATTCGTATGGTGTTTCTACTGACACACACCATCCGAAAACGAAATTTCGTTTACTACCCACCTTTAATGGTCTTTTTGGTTCCTTCTGTCATCTAGATTTAGTCGACAGTGCTGTTACTTACCTGTTTCTAATGCCTGTAAAGCCTTGTTGAACCTAAGCAGACGGCCTTTCTCTGGCGACACGCACCATCCAAAAACGAACATTCGTTTGTCAGCCTACGTTTCGAAAGTCTCGTTTGACCCTTCGATCAACCAAAATGAGTTGACAGTGTCATTAGTTCGGTTAGCAATGTCTTTAGAGCACTGTCAAGCAGGATCAGACGGCTGTCCTGTTGGCCCGCTCGCACGCTCTACAAACGAGTCTTTGTTTGCTGATCCACCTTCAAGGATCTTGATGGACTCTTCTATCAACTAAGCTTGGTTGATGAGAGCTTGTTGAATCCATCTGTAAGCCGACGAGAGCCTCATTTTGACTGTTCTGTCGACTAGATTTAGTCGACGAGAGCCTTTTTGGACTGCTCATCAACGAAGTTTAGTTGAGGGATATCGCCACATCGATTCTCTCCGGCCGCAGAGCACCGTGTCCTTAATCTCGAAAGAGTCCTCGTCTGTTGACTTGCGCTTAAGGGCTTGATAATGCTTTCTCTCAACTAGGGCAAATGCTGTCATGCAAACTTGCAGAAATGCACAATACTTTCGCAAAGAATGGTATCCAAAGAGAAGCCCATCAAAGGATGTTTCCAAGAACAAGCTTCCATTTGATTTCCAATTGTGCATTTCGATAGCGTACGATAGCCCTCGCACTCGCCATGGAGAAAGGTCAATCACAAGATTGTGGCAGACTTTGACACACAGTAAAGCGCTGTCAGATGTAGTTGACAGTGCTATGCTCGATCAGCTCTGAATCTTGAGAGCATTATCTGCCTTTTTTTTATCTGGTTCTCGAAGGTGATTTGTCCTCTGTGAAGCTTTGTCGGCCCTCGGTCGCCGAAATCTCGTTGACTGCACTGTCGCTTTGATACAACTCCTCGAGTGCGGCGTCGTTTGGCTGAAAATCCATGGAATCGCGAATGTCACAATCTCCAAAGCGGCCTGCATATGATTCTTCGACCTCAAGAACAGCTCGTACACAGTATCCAGTGGTATATTCATGATTGAAGATGCGCCGAGTTGTACGACATTAGTTAGGTGCAACAGAAGGAAGGTCGGTCGAAACGCCTCGGCCCAAGGCCATTTTCCCCGCTCCTGCATGCCCTCGGGTTTGGTGTATCAAAACGATAACCTTCTGTGAACAGCAGGTATCTCGAATTGAACATACAACCAAGAGACTTAGATCAACAGTAATCATGAGTGGTCCAGGTGTCGGATTTGAGTATCCAGCAGTGCCCGTTTCGTGGTACAAACGAGACGTCTTGCTATTCGCAAATGCAATTGGTTGTGATGCTAAGGACGAGCTTCACTTCTTATACGTATGTAATTTGGCATCCTCAATTTCATCAGGAAATGGACAGCGCTAACAGTGCAAACAGGAATTCCACCCAAAATTCAGCACATTCCCTACTTACTCGATCATCTTACCATTCAAAGGAACATCAGCGGAGATCATCGACTTTTACGCTTCTCAAAACTCCAAACGTGCTGCCATCCCAGATGTACCAAAGTTTGACAGTCGCAAGGTAGTTCATGGAGAGCAATCTATTACTTTCCTCAAGCCTCTGCCACCAACTAGCGAAGGTCGTGAGTTTGAGATGAGAGCAAAGGTTCTGGGTGTATACGACAAGGGCAAGCCTGGTTCGGTAGTCGAAACTGAAAACCTGCTTGTGGATAAAGCTACTGGGGAGGCTTACAGCAGAGCTGTGGGAATGTCGTTCTTTGTTGGACAGGGAAACTGGAATGGACCCAAAGGTGAGTTAGGCACACTATAGCATGGATGGAATTTGTACTAACTTTGAATCAGGACCAAAGACAGTAAACTACCCTCCTCCCCAGGGTAAGAAGCCTGATGCAGAATACGTGTTCCAGACAAACGCAGAATCGGCACATCTTTACAGGTAAGCCAAAGATGGTTTCATATTAGCTGTCTCATCACTGACTCTATGCAGACTTTGTGGTGACTACAACCCCCTTCATGCCACACCAGAGCCTGGTCAGCAAATGGGTTTCGGTAAGTTAGAATTCAACAAGGATGATAAGTTGTCACGAATGCTGAGATGTCTAGGTGGTGCCATTCTTCACGGCTTGTTCAGTTGGAACACTACAGCTCATGGCCTCTTGAAGCTTCTTGGAAACTCGGATCCAGCCAACATCAAGGAGTTTGCTGCACGATTCGCAAGTCCTGTCAAGGCTGGAGATACACTTGTCACTCAAATCTGGCGCATGGGTAATGTTGACGATGAGGGTTGGGAAGAGGTGAGATTTGTTACCAGCGTAAAGGGTGGCAAAGTATGCTTGAGCAATGGCCGAGCAAAGATGAAGATTACAGGACAGAAGAGCAAGCTCTAAATATTCAATAAGCATCAAGAAATCTGAGCACGAAAAACGACAGAAAATCGTGTCAGGCAACATGAGAGAATCGTATCAAAGGGAGTCCATGATGAATCGTGTCTAGCTGAGGCTATAATTACAAACCCGAATGTGTGTCGTTCACTGAAAGCGCCTCCAACCCCGTCAATGCAACAAGAGATGAATCGTTTAGGCGTAGATTGAGATTCTGGGATTGAGTTAGCGGGGAGTTGATGAATGGAGATGAGCAAAACATACGATTCCTTCTTCTTCGATTGCACCTCAGCAATCGCATCGACGTAATGTTCGTGGGTGATCTTTGATTGTCCTGAACGTAGTGCAATCATTCCAGCTTCGACACAGACAGCCTTGAGCATAGCACCACCAAACTCATCGGTACTTCTTGCCAACTCAGGCCAGTTGACACCTTCATCAACAGTCATCTTTCTGCTGTGAATGCGAAGAATCTGAGCACGAGACTCCTCATTAGGCAAGGGGAACTCGATCTTGCGGTCAAGACGACCTGAACGGAGCAGAGCAGGATCCAAAACGTCGACTCTGTTTGTTGCGGCAAGAACCTTGATTCTGTCATCACTGGCGAAACCATCAAGCTGGTTCAGGAGCTCAAGCATAGTGCGCTGAACTTCACGATCACCACTCTTGTCACTGTCGAAACGCTTGGTACCAACAGCATCAAGCTCATCGATGAAGATGATTGAGGGAGCCTTCTCCTTGGCCAGAGCGAAGCAGTCACGCACCAACTTGGCACCATCACCGATGAACATTTGAACGAGTTGAGGACCGGCGAGCTTGAGGAAAGTGGCTTCCGTTTGGGCGGCGCAAGCACGAGCGAGGAGGGTCTTTCCGGTACCGGGTGGGCCGTACATGAGGGCACCTGCAAGTGCTAGTCAGTTACGAGTTTCTCTGAGAGCAATAGTGTAGTCGTGTACCTTTAGGGGCCTTGATTCCAATCTTCTTGAAACGCTCAGCCTCCTTCATGGGCCAGACAACAGCCTCGACCAACTCTTCAATCTGCTTATCCAGACCACCAACGTCGGTGTACTTTTCAGTGGGCTTCTCATCAACCTCCATAGCCTTGACTCTGCTGTCGTACTCGGCGGGAAGTGTGTCGAGAATGAGGTATGAGTCCTTGTTGACACCGATCAAATCACCAGGCTTGAGCTTCTCGTGGTCGACAAGACCGATGAGGGGAAGGAAAATTGTTTGGCGAGTAGATGTCTTGATGACGGCGGACTTCCCCACGCGTGTAGCATCCAGATCGACGTTGGCGCCTTCTTCAGCGGCATCTGCTTCGACGTCCAGGTCAAGGATCTCGACAACGTTGCCGACGAGGTATGGGAGTTGGCTGGAAGGGTGTGTCAGCAGAGTTGAGAAAACAAATAGGCAGTCACGGCAGCGCACCGGTTGTTGTCAATCTTGTCAACATTGTCCTTGATCTTCTCAAGCATGGCTTGCTTCTCGTGATTTAGGCGCTGGAACTCTGAGCGCATGATGCGCGTGTCGTTTTCCAGCAATCGCCGCCTTGTGATGATGTCTCTTGTGCTCGAGTTGAGGATATCTGAGTCCAGGACCTCTTCCTCCTCCTCTTCCTTCTTGTCACCATCGGCATCCTTCATGTCGGCATCGCCGCCCTGGTTGGGCTTCTTGGGATCTTGGTCCTCGCCTTCCTTCTTGTCCTGGTGCTCCATGGCGTCCAGATCCTCGAGTGTCGACATGATTGCGATTTCTGATTGACTGATTTACGAGGTGATGGAGTGAATATGTGTGGCGATGGGACAAAGATGGGAGATGGGTGAAATGGGTTGTTGTAATACACAAGTCTGTAAGTCCGAACGCCTTGAGCTCCCAAGTGCAATGACATATAGCTCGGCTTTTGCCGCACCGAGCACCCATACACCTCAGTACTTTCACTCACTCCTCTTCACCTTCATTTTTTCACTGAGTAAATATTCACTATTCATCAAGACTATCATGTCTTCAATCTAGTTTTTACAAGTCTAGTAATACAAGTCTAGGTATGGATGGTACAACAATCTGAATGCGATCAACACCACCTCTGCTTTGACAAGCTTAGGTACGGAGCTCCGTTTCCTCGTCATGCTGATTTCCAAATGCAAAATAAAGCACTGGGCTTAATCCTTATCCTGTCACGGTGGCCTCAAGTACTTCATCTCTGCTCGAGTTCGTCAACTTGTACTTGGAAATGAAGTCATCACGGTTGACTGCTTGCGTCAGTATGGTCCACCAACCAGGTTGACTGCTTCACTCACTGTAACCTCCGGCCATTCGTCTCTTGCCTGTAAACACGCCTCGTCCATGCAACACTCGCCAGTTGTCAAAGACTGTTTTTACGCGTAAGTCTAATCGTCATGTCAAGTAGACCCTGTCGCACTTACTCAATGGCATGCCTGGCTCAAGTTGTGTCCAATACTGGTTCTGTGGGTCGTTCAAAATGGCATTGAATTTTCTGTTCGTGTTAACCACATCTTTCAACCCACTGAGAAAGCATAAATCTTACCTGGCAGCGTCATACCACTTGTCTATCATGTCGCTAGGCGCTTCGATCGCAGCTCGGTCTGAGTTGTTCCATCTCACTTGGACCAGGTGACCCAAGACAGGATCGTGAGAAAGCACAGGGACGCATACATGAGGCTGGATACTGACATCCTCGTTGCCACTCGCGTGTGCCCAGATACCCACCGTGCTGAGGATTCTGTACGCTTCTTTATCTTGGGCATAAAGCTGTCTTGCTGCTGCAAATCCATCCACTAGCAAAGACTCGCCTCCAGATCCATCAGTGTGAGAGAGCATGTGGAACATTTGGAGTCCGGCTGGCTCGGTAAAGTATGTCGTGTCGGTATGCGCCTCGAGTGCCAACGATGTATAAGCGGTATCTTTACTTGCCATGTTCGATGTGAAGTCGTAGAAACCACCTAATCATGTTAGCTGGATTTCTACACTAAGGTCAAATAGATCCCAGTCACCATAATGAGTTTCACGAATTGGTCCGATCTTCTCTAGCAGCTTTTCAGTCGCCTCAGGGTCGATCGGGCAGTCCTTGACGAATGACAGTCCATACACATTCTTTCAAGTCAGCTGGTGACGTACACTCGATGCCGATGCATATACGTACAATCTGACGAGTCCACTCAGCAACGCCATCTGCTTCCATGATGCTCTTGTAGTCGACTATTGGTGGCTTGTCCGCGATCGTTTTGTCAAACATGACCTGCCTAGAATCCTGTTAATTCCCGGTAAGCTTATAGATCTGAAATACCTACTCAACGAGTCCTCTTCTTTGAACACTGGTGTGAGTAGGTCTGCCTTTACGGAGCATCTTCAGCGGGTATTCACTCTGATGTCCATCTTGCCCTGCCTGATCGTTAGACGGGAATCTGATTTGGAGACATGCTTATACTCACACTCGATCTGTATCGTTTGTTTCTCCTTGGTCTGGATGTTGAGCTTAGTAGGTTTGATGCTAGGATCGATTGAAAACGTGTCAAGCTGTCTCTGGCGGGTTTCAGGATGGACACACTCATGACACGGACACTGATCTCTGTCACTAGTCAGTCTAAGTCCACACAATCCTCTGGTGACGCTTCTGACCTCAGCCATAGGTTGGATCTAGAACATACATAATTAGTCTGCGTGACGCTCACTAGCCCCAGAGTTCTCAAGACTTACACGTAGGTACGATCTTCGCCGTCTGCATTCTCAAAATATAGCCTGTCTCCGTCCCAGCGCAGAGACTCGCTAGCTGGACGTTCCTTGACTTCGAGGTCTGCGAAAGGCGTCTGCATAACTGTCAATACGATTCCTTATACTCTGACAGGTTGCCACTTACAATGCGCAACTTGTTTTCCAGATGAATGCCGTTTTTCTTCAATGAAATGCTTCCAAGATTCTGACCATTTGAGAATGCATGGGTTGGTGTTGTCTCGGTTGCGTGGCTAGATACACGTGTACCCGAGAATGCTCGTACGCCTCCAAGAATGTTGGTTTGTCTAGCGAAGGCCGGACGTCCGCAAAGCCTTGCGAGATTAGAGTGCTTGATTCGTGCTGCCATATATCCTTCCAATGCAGAACCCTTACAGAAATACGTAGTGAATGTTAAGTGCGAAGTCGTCCCCCCGGCTCCAGGCTTCGAAGTTCGAACTTGGAGCCACAGCCTCGGTCGTCGTCGACCCACAACAGATGGCGGGTCTGTCTAGCCGATTATCAACGCCGGCGAATCGAAATCAAATGTTTTAGCAATGAATGCACCATCCAGCATCCTCGATCTACATTAGAGCTGCTTGAACACTTTATACATCCATGCTTCTACACATAATACTGTCATGGCAATTGTCATGCTGCTCGAACACATTATATCTTCCATCACCTCACCATCTAGAGGTCACCACTTCTATCCTGCATATGTATTTCGGCCATCTTGAATCGCCTTCCAGTATTCGAAGTGTACGAAGGAAGTCATTCATGCTTTAAAATCATACACTTTTTCGATACTGTAAGCGGCAGTCACGACCAACAGATCGGGCGCTAACCGCATCAGGTTAAGCAAATGGCTCCTGACGAGAAGACAAGAGGATTGCGAGAAGATACTCATGATTCTACAGTGGGGTCACGGAAGAGTCGGATTTCGCAAAAAATCTCTAATATCGCGTATACTAACCCCTTACTTTATAAACGGCTTCGAGCTACTCTAGCATCGATGCTATGTAGTTATATACTATTTTATCGCAAATTGTACTCTATGCATGTACTAGTACATCTTCTATATACTTAGTAATAGCTACCTCTCTACCTTTCTATTGTTTAATATCTATATAGAGCTAATATAGTACTTTTTTAAGTAGTGGGTAGAGATGCTTAATTAGATTTTAATCTAGACTATATAGCAGCTAGTATTTAAGTATATATATGCCATGCTTTCTAAACTAGCTTTTAGCAAGTTTAAAGATATAAATTAAAGTACTATCCTACTAGAATATACTATTTACCTATAAAAAAGGTAATAGACTATCTTCTAGTACTTTAATATAGCTAGAAGAGATATATCCTTGTTTCTTAGCCCTTAGATTATACTTGAAGATTAGTAGTTTACTTAAACTAGCTATTAAAATAGCTATCTATACTATAATATATATATCCTAACTCTTATTATAGTTTATAACCTTATTGCAATTGAATTATTATTTTATAAAGCAAAAGATATATTAGTATATATAAGAAGCTCTATGCTCTATAGAATACTTATTAGAAAATAGGACTCTTATCTATTAAGATAAAGGCTAATTTTAAAGCTACTTTGCAAAGTAATAGTACTTATATATAGTTTGCTTAGTTAGAAGTAGTTGCTTCTTTATAAGCTATTTTTTAGTCCTAAATAGCTAAAGCATTTGCTATATAGTTAATTAGCTTTACTTAAAGCTATACTACTTCTTAACCTTATTATATAGCTAAAAAGGGTATTATTTAATAGCCAATTTAACATAGCATTAATTGTAAGGGGTATATATATATATAGATAGCTAGTTTGAGGTAATTTAGTACCTTAGTCATAGCTTAAGGCACTATAGATCGTATAGGAGATAGTTAACAAAGCGTAATAGAACTAATCGGCAATCGACTTAAGCGTATAGCTGTCTTTATATACCTATATAAGATGTCTGCGATTATATAGGGTAAGATTCGGCCCTTATACGCGAGATCTAGCGGGTCGCGAGCGATTGATGGTTGGCGCCATGCTATTATATTAATGCAAAGAGGAAGGGTGAGATTTGACAACGTGTAGCGCGTTAAGTGGTTTGCGGAACTTCTGAGACCCCACTATAACAATAAACATAGTCTGCACCTCTCTGTTCGTTTGATCGCTATTTTTCTTCTTTCTAGTTTTTATAGTTCACAGATGCCTCGTCAGCGAGCATACAGATCGCCGACATGCACTGCTATGCAATAGCGTTCAATTTTGGCTTTCTCTGAAAATGATGACTGGTATTGGTGAAGTGATTCTTCATGCATTGCTCCCATGGGTTAACGAGACGGTATGTAAGATCCCGAAGTGGATCTTGTATGTGTGTAGATGTCTATCAAGATGCATAAAATCACATAAATAACTTGCAGTGAATGAGAGTAGGTAACACGAGGGTTTGAGGGATAGATGGAACGAAAATATTCCGTGTGATCGATGATCGAATAGATACCAAAATCTCACTTCAGGTGCTCACAAAGCTCTGCCAGGCTCTATAACTTCTTGTTTCTCATCGTCAAATGGATGCTCAATGAACACAGATGTTCTGCCTGGACGCACTGAAGCATCTGAATTTAGTCGATGCTGGATAGAACCACCGCCAAGAGAGTCACGATTATCTGTTTCTGGGCCTCTTCCCGGGAAGAAAGCGGAGACGGGGCTTTCGACAGGGCTCTCAACAGGTGAGAGATCGTTCTTGTTCGTCTCTGATTCCAGTGGTTGGTCAAAGGTGATCCGGCGTGGCTCGGTATCCAAGAAATCCTCACTATCGCGGCGACTCCTACTACCACGTAGTAGTTCGTACCATGCCACTAGCGTGCTCCAACGCATGAGCAGCGCGAAGGTGTTGAGACCAGTTAAGCCAGTAATGATCAGACTCGCTGAAACTGCGGCTTCTGTGATACCAAGCTGCTTAGCCAACGGCAGACACTGATTCTTATCCAGCGTGATGACGAGACAGGCCGCCCAGCCGGCTATCTCCTTTGCATTGAAACCACGAGCCTTGTCTCTTGCCAAAGATGTATTGAGGGAGACAAAGACACCTGAGAGCATGGCAACAATCGCGGTGGCTCCCATACACAACAGGATATTACGCCACTGTAGTATGAAGACTCTGCGCACTCGAGCCCAGGCCTGCTGGCGAGTCGCTTTCCACGGTCTGTCCCATGTGCTTGTGGTTGCACTGATGGGAAGCTCGCTTGAGGTGCCTGTATTGCGTGATGGTGATGAGGAGCTACTGTTCCACAAGTTCATCAGATAAATGTAGAGACAATAGAAGCTAGTCGCTATCTGCAAGACGAACGCCAGGCTGGCGAAAGCGATCATCCAGCCAAAGTAAGTTGTGAACGTGTGCTTGTTGTTGGGTAGGCAGACATTGGCCAGACGGTATGAGACACCGGTGTATTTCATACACACTGCAGTAAGAATTGTAGGAATACCCCAGCAGAAGATTTGAGAAGCTATCAGGAAGAATTGAGTGTCCGATCTGTTCCAGCATACTCTGAGATGTGTCCATAGCGAGCGCGACAAGACCCAGCAGACTGACGCCATGCCTCCAAAGAGAAGTAGGGCTCCAGAGAAGGCACATGACAAGTTCGAATACATGTCATTCGGTGTGATTGCATCGTGGCACATAGAAGGTTTTGAACCTAGTGGGACTATAATCGCTAACTGGATTGATCGTCAGCCCTGAAGTGGTCGGTATTCGGCGCTGTATAAGCACATACTTGAAGAAGGACGTTGGATACAATGAGGCCTACACTGAGATAGTGACGGTGGCTCTTTTCGGGCGGCAGAATCGCATAGGTCATCAGCAGGAATATACTGGCGATTAGACTGACAACACTAAGCCAGCCGGCTGCTAATTCGTCCGTAGGAAACGCTCAAACAATATCAGCTTGTTTCAGGACAGCCTTCTGGATGATGTACTCACCATCAGAATATACCAATTCTGTCAATGGACAGGGCAAACAGCACTTGTCGCTACAGAAACGACCTTCTATGTATCCGCCTCCAGAAGTATAGTTATCGCTACTCAGGAACGGTAGTGGGCATGACGTCCCTGAGAATGACATGTTGTTCGCCATCCTGAGCAATATATACGACGCAGTCAAGAAGTACTGAATCTGATGGTGGCGTCGCGAGCGAGGGGATGTTGTTGTTGAACCTTCGCTTTATTGATGAGAACAAAGACCCGAAAGCGGCGATCTACCCGATCGGCTCGTCGCCAAAATAGGGATGACTATGCAGTCTTTGTATGCGGACGCTGGTGAACCTGGGCTGGACTCGGGGAAGGAATGCAACAACGCGGAATGCATTCCCTGCCAACCTCACTATTCAGAAATCATGTGGAGAGTATGATCAGCCATTCAAGGATAACAGAACGCTCAGATACCTTTGACCTATTTTGGGGTATTCCTTGTCAACTAAACTTGCCTTCGCCATGCTGGTCGGAAGAAAACGCCTGTGCACCGAAAACTCCTTGATAATCCACATCCTCGTTAAACCATGCAGTCATCCAACGCTTCAAACAGGAAAGCCATTGAAACCGATGCGCAGCTTGCCGCGCGCGCCGTCGGCGTGTTCATCATGCCATTTCGACTTCCATTCGAGTTCGGCGTTCTTTGCCTCTTCAAAGGCTGCTCTGCACTCCTCTGGGAGCTCATCTAGAACATCCTGAGAAATTGTTGAGAGGCCGTTGGTGGAGAGATCGTGGACATCGCCATCCGGACCAGGGACACCCAGGTTTGCTCTAGGTGCACTCTCGAAGTAAGTGTCGGTAACAAGATAGTTCCTCTTGATAAGATCGGGAAGAGGTTTGAAAGTGGCGGATTCTCCTTCGGACTTTTCCTCTTCACCTGGGACTACACGCTCCCACTTGACGTGACTTGGCTGCATGATCTTGGGATAGAACATCAGGTTAGTGTTGATGTCGTAAATGCCATTGAGGTTTGAGCGACGTGCGGCGGCTAGGGTAGAGTTGAAGCGGCTGGAGAGAATTAGCAACGATTGAAGAAAACAAAAGATGAGATAATACCTTGCTTCTCTGGCATGCTCAAACTGCCAGTTACTAGTGGTGATGTTGGTCTTTCTCTTTCCTGGTGCAGGCTTGCCAGGCTGAAGAGGAACGCTGGGTGCGTTGTTGTGGTATACTTGACTTGCGCCATGCCAAGCAACATACTGGTTCTTGTTGTATGGCTCACCTGGAGCAGGTAGACGGTCATTGGGGTCGGCCAGTTCACCTTCGATATCGCCTCTCTCCTTTGCTGCCTTGACTTGGTAGTCGTCGATAATCTTGCGGCCTCCAACGACAATACGCGCACCAAACTCGCGGAATACAGAGCGGGCAGTAACCACACCGATTGCGCGACCTTTGTAGGAATGCGGGATGATGTCGCGAGAGATCAGGTCTTTCTTTTCGTCCTCGCCAATGATGATCTTGTGGAGCTGGAGATGTTTGGTGAAAAAGAGGTAGCTGTCACGGAAGCCAGTACAGCGAGCAGGCTCGGTTGACAACATGTAAAGCCTGTCACCGCGGCCTAGGATGGTAAAGACACGCACACGGTAGTCGCGGCCTCCTTGGAGATGTCCATCCTTGTTGACCTTGGTCTCTCCCTCGGGGTCCTCTGGGAGCGCAACCTCATCGTTGATGACATCCATCATATTGCCCTCCTTGTCGATTGGAACTCGCGTTGCGTGGGAAGGTCCACCTCTTGGTCTGCCTCTAAAACCACCACGAGATCCTCCAATGCCTGATGGACGTCCTCTCTTTCTCCGTGGAGTGCCAGATTCTGAGCCGTTACCAGTACCAGGCTCCGGTGTGTCCCAATCGGGTCGTGGACGTGTTGGTGGACGGCCTCTGCCTCGTTTACGTGGGATCGTCTGGACGACGGGCGGACTGCTGCGATCTCCACCATCTTGGTCTTCTTCTGCGTCTTGTTCGCCATCATCATCCTCAGCGCCGTCGGGCTCGACATGGTCCTCGTCTCCATCGTCTTCGTCTTGCACAACTGGATCCGGCATTTCTTCATCTGACACCTCGACTTTGGCAGCAGGAGTGGAATTTCCTAAACAATGGTAAGTGCAAGTGCGCGCAAACTTGATAGCAAGTTGTATATACTTGCTGATAAGCGCAGCCTTGGGCCGCCGCCTCTGCCTCTTCCTCGTGCCATGGTTGCTATGCGTTCAATGATGTGTCTCGCTCGCGCGTCGAGCTACTTTGCTCTTGTTCCAACGCCAACCATCGACCGACGCGAATGCGGCTAACTACAGCACGTCGGCATCTCGGCAACTCCCGCACCGATAGTCTTATCTACCTTATCGACCATCTGAATTTCCCATCTATTCATTATTGATGGAGGTTTTATACCTAGGTCAGTAGTATATGCGTGGAGCGTTGCCGTTACATATGATACAATCTACTTCTGCTACGTTCTAGCGGAAATTGTAGTGCTGTAACGTTGTCTGCTGACGATTCGGCCTCATCCTCCAAGCTGGCTTGTTTTTGCATAGAAGTAGATCTTGGAATCATCCAGACAATGGTTTTTCTGCAAGATTATATGAATTGCAGCAAACGTCCGCTTCTTGGTTGTTGATATTCAGCTTTCCTTAATGAGAAATTGGTAGACCTGTCTGCTTTCGGACGTCTCAGCCAAGCGTTATGATCTGCAGCCAGTGGCCGAGGGACAGGACCGGTTTGGAGGGGGTGGTTTGTGGCAGATGATCTATGATTTATGATCTGGACAAGCCGCACATGATGAGGCTGTAAGATGCGGCGAGGCTTGCACGGAGACTATTTGTCCTATGACCCCTCTGGAGTCCTTGGTTCCTTCTTCAGTTCTGTACCACTGCACAACACATACCAGGGTAGACTACTGGGAATAAGAAACATCAGGTCTCGAGTCTCAGGACTTCGAACGTTGGACTGAAGTTTCCCCGCTAACGCCATCAATGACATGGCTGCTCGCCCAGACGCTTCATTTCTTGCGCCGGCTTTCAGCACCATTTCACCCTCAAATTATTCTCCTCACCAATCTTTAATCGCACGTTCTGAATCGTCATCAATCCTGGCTGTTAATCGCAGCAGCAATCTTAATCCGTCGGGCCCCTCTGATAGGAATCAGCAACCCGACCGACAAAAACGAAAGCACTCGCCGTCTTTCTCTTCCAGCAAGCAGGATTCGCTGAGAAGACCACGTCCTCCACCATTGTCATCAAAGTCTGCTAGTCTGATACCGACCGTCTTCATTGAGCCTGCTCCTGCCGACCCTTGGTCAACGAGATCTTTGACAATGTCTTCCCCTTCGTCCAACAGCCATCTGCAGCAGTCTCCTGCTGCAGACTTGCTGCGACAAGCGATGATGCAAAAGTAAGCTTGCTCCGCTTCTTTCCTCGTGCTGTTTGATATTTTTACCCACGTCCTCGGCCAATCCCGCCGCCTCCGCTCCGCGGTCATTTATTCCAATGCTGCAATTGCATACTGCAGAGTCTCGAATGGTCGCTACCGTGTCCGATGGTCATGACCTGTTTCTAGAAGCCCAGGTTCATGCGGAGAATGATTAATGAATTCTTCTCCCGCTGCCATGTGCACCTGCAGCAGCGTCAGACAGCTCCGACGACCAGCAGAAAAAAGCTGTCGTCATTCGGCCCGACGTCAGTCATCAGTTCCACGGCAAATCGCAGATGCGCAGTCAGATCCAACAAAACACTCCGACTGTCCTTTCCAGGCTGCCCGTGATTGTTTTGGCTGTTGAATCTCTCTTGCTTGCCTTTGTCAATTTCACGCCCGCCCAAAGTGCTTGATTCGTTTCGTTTCAGAAAACTTTGTCATGGCCGACGCTAATCTTCTTCGCCCCACTAGTACTCGCGCACCGGATGAAGATTCCGATCATGTTGGTTCAGGCGCCTCGACACCTCCCGGTGGAATCTCAACGCCTCGCCCTGACCTTATGGATAAACGTCAACCCGGCTTGCCGCATGCCTACTTTGCCCAGGTTTGTCATTCTCTTCGTGTTCCTTTCACATCGTCCACCAATCCTGCCTACCCCTCGTCTGTCTCTCCCGCAGCGTCACACATGGCCCTAGTCTGAACATGGACCCCTCACATCCCTCTTCTACTGTCCCCACTGGCGTACCTCCACCTACAGCACCCAGCTCGCCCAAGCACTCTTCTATCGGCGGTCAAGCACCCCCACTACTCCCGCACGAGCAAACCGACGCTGGTCTGCCTGCATATCCTACCCCACCTCTGTCGTCGGCTTCTTCTCTTCATGGCCCGCAGGTCGATGAAGAAGGGCCTGCAGACGTGCAGACGTCGACTGAGAAAAATGCCCCAGCAGGTCCAGCGCGGCTTCGTAGTTCCACACTGCCCTCGAGCACAGTAGACACTGTCGTTTCCAGACCGCATGTTTCTGCGCACATCTCTAGTCCTGCTGCTAAACCCACCGATGTTCCCGATTCTCTAAATGCTTCTCTTTCCATGTCATCTGAGCTTGAGCCACTGGATAGCGAGAACAAAGGGCTAACAGAAGACCAAAAGAGTACCCCTCCTCGCACTCCACGAGCCTTGTCACATAATGAGACTGCCGCTGCAGTCGATGACGCCTCCGCGTCCACAGCCCCTCAGATCTCCCGGACTGAGAAGAGTAGTCGATCCAGCTCAAACCACTCCAATGGTCAACCCACTGTCGGTACAACTAAGGGTCAGCTCTCAGTCGAAATTGTGCAGGGAAGAGGTCTCAAGCCTAGCACTGCCCCTTATGTCGTCTGCATTTATCAACTGAATGAAGACATTTCTGGCGGCGCCGAGGAGGACGCTATGGATACCAAGACGCAAGAGCAAGACGCCTACCAGAATGAAAATCTGGCCAAGGGAGTTGCTATGAGAAGAATGGGCAGTGACGGAGGAAAAGCTATGAGCATTCCTGGACTCGGCAGCCGCCAAACCAGCCAAACAGATATTCCCAAGCTCAAGGACTCTGCCTCGGATCCTCTCGTGACTGAGCCACTATGGAACCACGAGGCCGTATTGTACGTCCCCTATGGCGCTTCCCAACACAATCCAGGCTAACACAATTGCAGTGACGTTGTTGGCGACCAGTCTGAACTCGACATTTCCGTGTATGACAAGAAGAACCAAGAAGCTTTCATTGGACACGTCCGCTTCAGCCCCGAACTCGATAACTACGACACTCCTCACGAGGCCTGGTACAAGTTGAAGCCCAGAGAGGGCGAGACCGACAATGTTTCTGGCGAAATCCAGCTCAGACTTAGTTACCAGAAGACCGACAAGAAGACTTACGGACCCGAAGATTTCGAAATCTTGAGACTCATCGGTAAGGGTACTTTTGGACAGGTCTTCCAGGTTCGCAAGAAGGATACACAAAGAATCTATGCCATGAAGGTGCTCTCGAAGAAGGTCATCATTCAAAAGAAGGAAATTGCACACACCATCGGCGAGCGTAATATTCTTGTGCGCACTGCCACTGCCGAGTCACCATTCATTGTTGGCTTGAAATTCTCTTTCCAAACCCCTGCCGATCTATATCTGGTCACCGACTACATGTCTGGAGGAGAACTTTTCTGGCATCTGCAAAGAGAAGGACGTTTCGTCGAAGGCCGTGCAAAATTCTACATTGCCGAGCTGATTCTTGCCTTGAGACATCTCCATCAGCACGACATTGTGTATCGTGATCTGAAACCCGAAAACATTTTGTTGGATGCCAACGGTCATATTGCTCTCTGCGATTTTGGTCTATCTAAAGCCAACCTTTCAAAGGGAGACACAACAAACACTTTCTGCGGTACCACAGAATACCTTGCCCCCGAAGTTCTCCTGGACGAGCAAGGTTACACCAAGATGGTCGATTTCTGGTCGCTGGGTGTTTTGGTCTTCGAGATGTGCTGTGGCTGGTCGCCTTTCTATGCCGAGGACACTCAGCAAATGTACAAGAACATTGCTTTCGGCAAGGTCCGTTTCCCTAGAGATGCTCTCTCGACAGAAGGTCGCAACTTCGTCAAGGGACTATTGAACCGCAACCCGAACCATCGTCTTGGAGCCAAGGCAGACGCCGATGAGCTTATGGCCCATCCTTTCTTCGCTGATATTGATTGGGATGCTCTTGGTCGCAAAGCGCTTGTTCCACCTTTCAAGCCCAAGCTTAAGGGCGAGTTGGACGTAAGCAATTTCGACCCGGAGTTCACCAATGCTTTGTCGAGTGGCAATTCATCATCTCTGAATGCTCGTGCGGCAGCTCTGGCTAGCGGCGTCAATCCGGCCAGCACACCTCTCAGTCCCACACTGCAGACGGCTTTCAAGGGCTTCACATTCGTTGATGAGAGCACACTCGACAAACAATTTGGCAACGACACAGCACACTTGTCCAAACAGGACTCGCAAGAAGACAACGATGAGTTGAGAAAGACCTTGAGCAAGGGTGAGCGCATGGGTGGAGTGGTATCTTCGACAAACGAACCCCAGGGCATCTTCAACGACGGCATGGACGTTTAAGTGTTACATTGAACCACGATCATATACGGAACTTCGGGATCAACTGCTAGGGAGCATTTCCACTTCCGGACCTCTTTTCGTGTCGACATAGTTTTGGGGCTTCTTTCTGATGGTGTTTTTATGTTGGTTGGTTGTACGGAACACGCAATGAATGGGTGCTGCTGACGGCCTCTTTTGGCTTTTGGATTCTACCTCCTTGTCCTCTTTTGCAAATGAAACGAGGAATATTTTTCTGACCAAACTGCACTGCAACGGCTCGGTATGGAAATCGTATGCTTTAGTTGCATTGGGAGGAGTTTTGTTGAAGAGATGACTGCACTGTCGGACCTTGAAAGAGAAATTGAAAACCATATTTCAGAGATTCTATTTACTTCGTGCAGTACCTGCCCGTGCTCTCGCTCCACTGGATACAGAGACTCTTTGCAAGGTGACTCGTATGAAAGCAGTCTGTCTACGTGTCGTTAGTCATAAGGATAGAAAAGCATGACAGCATACCTTAGCTTGGTAAGCTTTTCTCTGGTCACCCATGAGGTCAAAGCAGGCCATGCCATGGCCGAGTTATTTGAGATTCGTTCCTGTGACAAGCTGGATCCAGACAACTACAATCACTAGAAGCTCAAAGTTGGCGAGGCCACGCCTGCTGATGTATACTATTTATAGGCGGCCTTACAATCCTGCCTCTTCGATGTTCGTATATTTCACCCCGGCTTGTCGAACCAGGCTAAAGCAGAGTTCAACAACAAATTCAATGACCCCAAGGATACCCTCAAATGTCTGATCATGATGTACGTTGTTGGCACCATCGATCTGAACCTGCACCAGGCTTGCAATCGCGTTTTGGTTGTGTTGATCGTTCGCTCCTTTGCTCGGGAAGAGCAGCTGTGCGGACGAGCATTGAGGGAGATCACATCTGAGTTATCCCACGTAAGATACAACATTGACACAGATCGTATCAAGATTTCCACTGATGGTTAATCATCTGTTGAAGTTGAACTCTCATGATTAGCTCCGAGGATTTCCTGGGGGTCGATGAAGTGACCATCCAGTTGGCTGCCAACGCACACGATGCTGAGATCAAAAAACTGATCGTCAACCTCTTAATGCGCAGCAGCCGGAAGTCAACCAGATGCGCAATAGCTCCGAAGGGCAGGAACTATCATCTGACGTCGCCGCGTATTCCGCCATCGAAGAAGGACAAGAGCAGAGCTTCAGAGGAAGCAATGTAAGCTGGCCCAGAAGTTATTATCAACCTCAGACGCGGAGGCACAAAGGTCCAGGTTGAGATGGAGCTGTGCAACATCTGCGAGACTACATTCCCGCCGATGATCAGTGTGTCTGCAACAAGTGTGGTAGTCTTGAGCACCCAAGCTGCCAGGGTCTTGACGAGCCAGCAGTAGACCTTGTTTGCGAACGCTGCATCGAGCAAGGCAAGATCGGTGACATCAACGACCTTTGCAATTGAGGAGGGCAAGGCCTGGGTAGTGCCTTGGTAAAGAATTCACAATTGTAGTAGGAGTCGTCAGGGCTGCGGACTGGCAGGATATCATATGATACCAAACGATATGCTCCAAGTCAAAGATCTTATTCTCTTCGGGCCGGGTCCGGACGTCAAGAAAGGGTGCGATATCTGCAATGCTTGTGCAACTTGGTTCCTATTGAAGGAACGATGCTAGTATATTCGATCGTTGCTTTATCTGAGCCAGGAGTATTGTGGGTTGCGGGTGTTTTTATATCCTTGGCTTTTGGTTTAGAATGCTTGGTGGTCTTCTGATTTGAACTGTCATTGGACTTCTCCTTGCGTTTTTGTGTCTCACGCTTGCTTCAAGCCCTAAAGTGCTCGGTAAATTTGTAGTTGTATGTAACCTACTTGTCAACAAGGGAACAGTTACACTTCTCATTGCAATCATCAAGTGTGTAAGCTGGAAAGTATGGCACTAGCGATTTGTTACCTTTCGCTTTGTTCTTGAGAAAGGTCGAGGATCCAAAGAAAGAAATTGCAATGATGACAGCATGAGCAAACCGAAAAGCAGAACTATCTATAACAGATTCTTGTGGCTCATTCTTGATAGCATGGATGGATGAGTTGCAGTAAAAGGTCAGGAGTCCTAGGGGTTGTCTTGCTGTGGACAAATGACGCAATCAATAGTCGAGTGAGTAAAGTCCTGGGCATGCTAAGCGGCTGTAAATCGTAATGCAATCAACGCTGCTAGTGCAGGCAATGCGATTTTGAGAAGTCTTCTAGTAAAGATGGCAGTATCGCCAGCAGCAAGGGAGTCGAAGACTTTGATTGTACCGTCAGAGTGGATCTCAAAGGTGATTCAGTGGGCGCAGTTAGGATTGAGTGCAAATACGACAGTGCTGGCGCATTCTGTCAATGTGGAGCATGGCCATTAGACTTCTGGTTGAGGCTTTGCAGACTTATAGAGTGCGCTAACGGTAGCAAGAAGATGAGCGGTCATGCGTTGGATGATACCATGCCATTGTAAGGCAAATCGCTGAGCATAATCGTTAAAAAGGCACTCTGGCTTCGAAGAGGCAACATAAACGATATCAACACATCCCCAGAAGACATAAGGCTCCATAAAGGATGTTGTGCTTTGGGGATTGGCTTGGACGGCGATTTTCGCGAATTCATTGATGAGCTCATCAGAGTACCAGGCGTGGCCCTGTAGTGTCTGTATATTCCGAGCAATCAAATATAGTGTTTGTGGTAGTGTACTGAAGGGATTTGCAGAAGAGTACAAACACGGTCGACAAGGCGTGCAACCGTTCCATTCATTTCTGCCTTTGTTTTCTGTCCTCATCCTTTAGCGTAGTCTGACTTCAACTCGTACTTGGAAGAGAAAGTATCCAAAGCAGATGTTTTGTATGGTTTCATAACGAGATTCTGATCTTGTGCGATCAAGCAGGTTGGTGAGCAACTACCAGACGCCGAGCCTGGAAGTTCGTCTACTTGTTGCACGGCAGCTTGAGCTTCATCAAGGATAGACCCAGAAGTGTCATGTAAGAGTTGAAGCTCGATTGTAGGTGTGCAGCTTGGGTAACAGCAAGCCAGATAATACTCGGTAGCAGATTGGAAGCATGGGGAATCGTATGTGTGCATTGGTTTTGGTGGAGATGGATAAGTATACAAACTAGAGCATGGCGCAACAGACTCGGCAGTAGCAGGAGGAAGGTTGAGAAACTGCAAAGCTGAAGGGTTGACAAATGAAGCTGGACTAGCTGTCAGAGCAACTGTAGGAGACTGCTGCGGCGACGTTGCAGCAATTGTAGAAGACTGACTCGGCGCCGTCGTAGCAATTGTAAAAGCCTGGTCTGGGCAGGGATAGACCCGCCATGCCGACTTGGAAAACTTGCGCTGAAGTCTAAGCAAAGATAGACTCGGCGCTGGAAGCTTGAGAGGCCGGTGCTGGTGTCTGAACAGAGGCTGGCACGGCTCTGGTGACTTGGGAGACTGTCGCCGAAGTCTGAACAGAGGCTGGTTCGGCGCTGGCGAATCCATATCCCTTTCTGCTACGTAAGCATTCACGACTGAGATCTTCCTCCCTTTCTGCATACATGCTTAGTATCAATTCAGATGTCACGTCTTGCTGGATAAGGTGACAGGTAGCAAAGAGCTTGTCTCATATCAAAGCGAATTGATTCGACGTTCTTGGAAGTAAGACATAAGAAGCAGGCAAGTAGAGAGTCGTTGCATGGCTTCAAACAAAGGTCATGCCTTCTGGACCATGCCAATCGGCCAATCGGTCGCGACCTTTCTGACGTTTTTTCTCGGCAATCCTCGTTGTCGACACTGCGAGCATTTCCCTGACGTTGGTCTGTCTGGTGTAATGGTTGTTCTAGCTCAGCTCTGACAGTACAGTCGAGGCTGCTTGGAGTTTGAGGTGCGGACCATAGTGAAGGCTAGATCCTAGAAAGAAGAAAAGGCCATCAAAATCAGGGGCGTGAGCAAGACTCAAGTGGAGAAGAGATGAATCGCATTTGTAAGTGGCGATAGAAATTGATCTTTACCTACTTGATCATCCTTGATCTATCAGGTATTCTCGAGTTGATCTAACATAGAACATGAGGATCTGCTTTGGTCTGCTTCGTTATCAGATGCTTGAGAGTGTCAGCCTGCTGGAGAGACGTTTACTCTGCGCCAGGGTCACTCTTTGCTGTGCGGGTAACCCTGTTCGTCGTAACCACTCGGTCTCTCCCACTGTATCATGCCTGGAGACGTGCTTGAAGGATGTGATGAGATCTCATATGTGTATATGTCGAGTATTGCGAGGTTGGAAGAGTGCTGAGAGTATGGTTGTGCTCGTATTGCTCGACTTTGACGGATACTTGTCGTTCTTGTAGGGCTTTGATGACAAACCCATCGAGGTCCTGACCACTTTGCACCCGAAAGGTTTATATACTTAACGAACAGTCGTTGGCGCATGCAAAAACGAGCACTACGTGCTTCAAGTGACAGCTGAAATGTATATAGCCCGCAAACAAACAACATCAGCAATGAAAATGTACTACGGTTGGGATGGTGAAAGTGGTGTGATCGAGTTGGAGTTGATCTCAAGCTTGCACTTCCAACGTCTGAGCGGCCTGCACAACATTTGATGTCAACAACGCACACAAATGGGACATAACAGCGGCGAGAATGCATCGATTCCATGAAGCTCGACAGAGTAGAAAAGACTCAAAATCCAGAATAGGTCGGCGGATCGGATCAGAGTGGTAGCTATGGTTCCCATGAACCAAAGAACCGGGCAGTAGCGCCGATCACTTTCCTACCGCGGCAACGAAGCATGACGTTTAGGGTCGTACCTGCCTCTCCACATCTGCTTCGTCGCGCTGGTGGACCTCGACCTCCAAGTCTGACCAACCTCACTTCCCGACATTGCAACGCGTCGCTTGCTCTCTTCATTGTACCTTTTTCAGAATCGCTTAGCTTACGCGATCGCATTGATATTCTACACGAAGTCTTCTGCTCTCATCGTTGATACATCTCACAACCTGCTCTCATAGCATCCCATATACCGTAACCATGAGCGACAAGGAAATCAAGGAAGGAGACCAGGGTAAGTGACTTGTTCATACCCATTGGCGCAAGTTTGGTGCGGTCTTGAGGCCAGACATCCGATAACGCGCGATTTTCTACGCGATAATACCTGCTTCAGCGTGTCGGTTCATGCTGGCGCGTCAATACTTCAAGTCTTCATCCTCTTTTCGTGTCAATGCTGATCAAGACATAACAGTCTCATGGCAATGGTCTGGTAGCCGCCCCGGAGGCAAGGTCGCAGAAATTGAGAAAGAAGGAGAGCTCTCGATCGAAACCAAGAACGGCAATACTGTCAAAAAGAATGCAGATCCCGAAGACCCTGCTGTCAAGATCTCTCGCTCAGGAAACGATGTGGTAAAGAGGGCCCATGAGCTTGACGTTGAAAAGGAGGGCGACAAGCACAAGGAGGACCAGGGCGAGGAGAAGACGGTGACTAAGGAGGACGAGAAGAAGGATGACGAGGCCAAGAAGGATGGCGAGGCGGACGGAGAAAAAGAGGATAAGAAGGACAAGGAGGAGGAGAAGGAGAAGAAGGAAGAGGAGAAGGAGAAGAAGGACGAGGAGAAGGAGAAGAAAGAAGAGGAGAAGGAGGAGAAGAAGGCATCGGATGAGAAGAAGGAAGATGATGAAGCAAAGACTGGCGACAAGCGCGAGGCCGAGGATGATGACGAACACGAGGACGAGGAGCCGTCAAAGAAGCAGCAGAAGACGGATGAGGCAGGCGAGGAGAATGGCGAGAAGAAGAAGCGTGGTCGCCCGGCCAAGAATGGAAACGAGGCCTCATCCAAGCCCAAGAAGGAGCCAAAGAAGGCGGCGACCGAGTCAGGAGAGCCCAGACGCTCAAGCAGACTCAATTCTTCTTAATTGGTGAAGGACTGCGAGAAGACGAGGGAAGGGTCGAAAGGATAAGAGGATTATTGGTAGCTTTTGTATGAAGGATTATTATGACGGAAGACATTGTTAGGAAGTGGCGACTCTGGCTTGAATTTCCTTGAGGATAGCTTCCTTCTTCTCCCTCATGTGAGTTTTGCGGTGTTCCCAGTAAAAGTAGGTGATGATGGGAGCAGTGACGACCAAGCCTCCCAATAGAGACAGATAGAAGGCGCCACTGTAGCCGTCTTGCATTTTACGCGGACGTTGTTGTTGTTGGGGAATGGGAATGACATTTGGGTCAGCAGTAGGTCGAGATTGAGTTGTGGGCGTAGCGACAGGCGCAGTAGAGACAGGAGTTGCAGGAGCAGGTCGAGGGGTGGATGGCGAAGAGGATGGCTGGTCGGCCATGAAGCGGCGACTGACCAGAGACGAGCAGCGTGGCACAAGACGAGCACGGGAGGCGAGCATTGTGAGAAGCGAAGTCGTCGTAGAAGGATGCAGAGGCGATTGTCTAAGTCCAAGGCAGTTGCGACCAAAAAAAGTTGGTGATTGCTCACTTCCATCATGGCTATCAAAAGCACGGACCTCTGACGAGAGAGAGCGTGTATCAATCTCGCACGTCTTGAATGCGCCTGCCCTGCTTTTCTCTGCTCCCATACACACAAGCCATCACGAACTACACCAGGCGATTCAGCATGGGCTACAGTTCGGCATCTGAGGGCGAGATTGTCCAAGACAAGGCAACTAGATCGCGACCTCCCCCACCCAGTGACCACGCCATTGACCGCAGAAGCAGACCTCGATCGCCCTCATCGAGGTACAACCAGAGACCTCGTCCAGACCACCGCTACACTCACCAAGACTCGAACAAGCGCCCCTACTCCCGCAGAGATGACTACCACCACCACGACCGCCATTCGTACGACCGTCACTCGACACACGACCGCCACAATCAAGAGCCTCCCGAGAAGCGCCAGCGTTCTAACAAGAGCCCTTCACCCGTCCAAAGAGCCTCGATACAGGAACAGCCTGCTCCTGCAGTTGCCGACATACCTGAGGAGCCCCCCGTCGATGAAGCCAAGTTGATTGAAGAACGCCGCAAGCGACGTGAGGCTCTGCGCGCAAAGCATCGAGCCCAACCACAGCCTCTGCTCCAACAAGCCTTGCACGTCGCCACTACTTCCGAATCTGACTCTGTCATGGCATCTCCTGCCGCCTCAGTGCCCTCGTCTCCTGCTGGTCCTGCCTCTCCTGCTTCCTTCTCTATCACAAACGACCAAGATCTCGCAAACCCTGTCAATGCTGACCCCGACTCTCCTGCTGCCTTCCAAGGTCCCTCGGCTGCTGACTACGATCCAACCATGGATATGCAGGAAGACAGGCTCAACGCTCATCTAGCAGCCGCTGTTGACCATGGAGCTAAGGACCAAGATCGCAACTCTGAAAGCACCAAGATCGCTCCGTCACAGCCTGCTCAACCCAAGGATTTGGACATGTTCGCAGAAGATGATGATGACGATATGTTTGCTCCTGAGCCTGCTTCTGGTCCCAAGAAGGACGATGGCACCCAAGCAGTACGCATTCCTGAGGCAAAGCAACTCGATCGCAGTCTGCTCGACGACTGGGACGACCCGGAAGGTTACTACCGCATTATCCTTGGTGAACTTCTCGACGATCGCTACCATGTCCAGACCAACCTAGGCAAGGGTGTGTTTTCTGCCGTCGTTCGTGCCCTTGATACCACCACTAATCGCACTGTCGCCATCAAAATCATCCGCACACAGGAGTCCATGTAAGCTGCTCTTCTAGACCTGTTCAGACCCAGTAACAACTAACTCTTCCTAGGTACAAAGCCGGCATGAAGGAGATTGAGATTCTGCAAAAACTCGCCGAAGCAGACCCTGAGGACAAGAAGCACATCATCCGTCTCGAGCGCCATTTCGAACACAAGGGCCACCTTTGCATGGTCTTCGAGAACCTAAGTATCAACCTTCGTGAAGTCCTGAAGAAATTCGGTCGTGACATAGGCATCAACATTATAGCTGTGCGCCAGTACGCTCTGCAGATGTTCCTTGGCCTTACTCTGCTCAAAAAGTGCGAGATTCTACACGCTGATCTCAAGCCTGACAATGTTCTTGTCAATGAGAAGCGCAATCAGCTTAAAATTGCGGATTTGGGCTCCGCCATGTCCGCTGATGAAAACGATGTTACTGATGCCCTCGTCTCACGCTTCTACCGCGCTCCAGAAATTATGCTCGGCATCAAGCATGACTATGCCATCGACATGTGGAGTATTGGCTGCACACTTTTCGAGTTGTACACTGGCAAGATTTGCTTCACTGGCGCAACCAACAATCAGATGCTGAAGGGCATTCTAGAATGTCGCGGCAAGATCCCAAATCGCATGCTCAAGAGATCCGAATTCTGGCCACAACACTTTGAACCTGATGGTACGTTCTTGAGCCAGGAGATTGACAACGTCACTCGTCGAGAGGTGGTACGTCGCATGAACATTACTAGAACCGTTCCTGCCAAGGAGCTCAAAGCACGATTGTTTGCTAGTTCTAAGGGGTTGAGCCCTGCTGATGCCAAAGAGCTCAATCTCTTTGCTGACCTGCTGGACAAGTGTCTTGCTGTCGACCCTGTGAGAAGGATCACACCTACTGATGCTCTAAAACATCCGTTCATATCACGCCCAGGACCCGTTCCTCCTCATAACATCAGATAAGACAACTAGTATATCAGCATTTTCGCTATGTATGGACGAGACAACAAGGAAGAGAAGTAATAGCCGTCGTCGATCTTCGGTATTGTTTTGATCGCATTTCTTCAAAGACATGCCTCAGAAACAGAACGATCCAGTGGGATCAGCATCTTGAACGCTTACATTGCCAAGATATTGCTGTCTTAAGGCCAGCAACGACAATAGTATCCTTACACTAACGAGCGAGCGACTCACCGCGTTGCTTACCTTGTTGTTGCTCACCGCTATCCTCTGCAGGGGACAATTCCGTCTTCTCCATCGATCCCATAAGCCGGCTATTGATATTAGGCACGGTCGCATGCTTGAAGCAATCTATCATTCAAGAAGTAGACATGTAAACGAGGAGAAAGCACGGCCAAGCCCTATTCGGACATGATGGCACGTCTCAAATTTTGTCTCAGTGGGGGCCTGCTTTGATGTCGATGTCCTTACGGCATCGACATCCGGACTATAATAATCAGTTTAAGTTCAGTCAGCAACGTGGAAATGAAGTAGAACAACAATATACAGATATTAGGACAGAGTGTCCATTGCGGCCGTATTGCACCTCGTGTTCGACCGATCTTCTGGAAAAGCCGTTCGATAAATTGCTGTTGCCGCACGTGTGCTCCGAGACATCTATACCGACTCAGGTCGGACTTTGGCGGTGTGATGGAGCGATGAAACAACGTTGTTGTCCAATAAACAATCCCTCTCTCTACCTTGCTACGATTAGGGCTTGTGGTGTTTTCAGGATTGCTGGTGCTTTCAGGATTGTGATGTTTTGAGTAATTTGCACAGCACAACCACCACCATGAGCGCACTGATGGTTCGTCCAACGGCCGCTTGGTGAGTTTTGGTAGGATGTTGTTGTCCTCACGATGCGGCTCAAACAAGCTCTTGTGGCAGTACAGCAACCGAACAGGCTGTTAAGATTGGAGACATGGTATTCCCAATGTCTTTGGTGGACAACGCCTTGGTGCTTGCTGGTCCTCTGCTTTCGGTGTGTTCATGGCCCTCTGTACGCGAGCGTTTCTATGAAAATGTACGACACTATTCACCAGGGAAGAAACCGTCTTCGGAGATCGACCCCTTTATTCCCAGACACTGTCTTGAGAACACGTACTCTTTTGGGGATCCTTACACAGTAGACGTTTAATGCCAAGGAGTGAGAGGGAGAAACATACATCTTTCTCATCCACGGAGCTGTCCGAGTTGAGCGGTGTTGCACGATGAGCGTGTGGGTCAATGTCAGCATCAGCGCCATCGCCATGGCTGACGGAGGTCGAGCCCGTTGTCTACATCTCCCTAGTGATGTGTGGTACGAGTATACACAGCTGTGGGCAGAGGATCTGTATGCAAGATCGTTCCAAGGGGGCGCTGCCTCGCACGAGAATCATAGCAACGGTCGCAATCGATAGTGTCATTCGTCTCCTTCCACGGCACTTGACGGTCCCGTAGCGACGAACGACGGGTTCTTGTAGGCACTGCCGTTTGAAAGAGAACGGTGGGAAGGTGGAGTAGATGGTTGGCAGAGTCGCAACTCGGATGGGTGTAGACGTTACAATCGCGATAACTGGAAAGCTTGGGCACACGGAGTAGAGCAACGGCTGGAGGACGAGGGCAAGAAGCAGCGAGGCATGGTAATCAAAGAGAAACAAGAGACATGAAACGGGACGTTTGGTATATTCGACTGTTGACATGTTTTGGAGAGGAAGCAAATGTTGCTTGTTGACTTATGGATCCCATATTAGCCGTTGAGCACGAGGATGTTTCGACATATTGGTGTCTGATAGGCTGTCTCTGATGTATGGAACTTCGATATCATGACTACAAGATCCATTGCGACGACTGTTGGAATGTAAGATGATCTTCTTCAATTACAACCGATTCATTGAAACGAGTATGAGACAAGGAGAGGGAAGGGAAAGTGAGTTGGCAAGACTGTGCGACTACTGCACACGGTAACCGAGGCCTTCGCAAATCCAAAGACGCTGCTGTACATCCTGAACGTCAAGCATCGAGAGTCGTTGATCGACCTGAAAGCCACCTCAGCAAAGAGACTGTCGGTATGGCCAGCGCGCCTGTGGGCTGACGGTTCAAGCAAGTGTACTACCAACGTCGAGACACTGTTGATTGGACAAGTGGACATTGCGGCTTGGGATCTTCGAACCGTTGCTCGAGCTGTGCTCTTAGCTCAACGGCCGATGAAAAGGGGTTGAAGGATGTGCATCGTGCACAAGGGAGCGGTGTAAGCGTTGGCATGCTCGAACAACTCAAAAGGTTATGGAGGGCAAGAAAGCTGGGCGACGGGCGTAGGATCGACCAGCGGGCAACCAAAACTATCGCCCAAAGCAGCACTAGCGTCAAACATCGTTCGATGTGTTCTTTCCGCTCACTTCGCCAACACTCGAGTTTCAAAGGCTCCAAAATTGAGATTGCCATGACTTTTCGCGATATAATTTGCAAAGCCGTGCCAACCGATGCGCCCATACAATAGTAGTCGTGAGATGCATGAATAGTGCCGTGGCTATCTTTTGATTTTCGAGGTACCGAAGATGCACCTGCAGAAAGACAGCTTGCTTCAGATGATACAGACCGACGACGATTGTCGTTGAATATGCCTGCAGCACGCCCAAGACGACACAAATCGTTATCAAATGGGGATGTGCTTCATGTTGGTAAGCAAGAATGCGCCTACACCCGTCACAGTCACGGGATGAGTGAGTTCATTATGCGTGCTTATCGTCAAGCATCCCGAATCCTACTCCCACGTAGCGCATCGGTCTGCTTGCAGCAGTACCAGAGAGCAACCGCAGTCATGGTCCCAGCCAGGCACGGGCTGTCATCGGTTGTCGCGGAAGAGACTCACGGTCGTCATGCGCGTATCGTAACTAGACATCGACGACGCGTATGGATAGGCAGGGGACTTGCTGCAAGTAGACTGGCTTCATCGTGAAAGTGGAGGATAGGGTGCTTGCATTTCTCTGCACCGTCCACATCTTCTTTTTTCCTTCCTTCTGCGATGTTGAGTCATTCGTATGCGGTCTGGGAGTCTGGATTCTCCTAGAAGCGCCTTGCCAACCCTTGACTTTTTCGGTCCCATCTCCTCATCTTGTGCCCATGACGTTCTAGTGGACACACAGTGCATGCAATCCGCGGGCTGGCCAGGGGGGCTGATGGTCGATCCTGCGTAGCAAAGGAGTGGCAGAAACCAACAGCTTGCGTTACTCGTGTGGCAGGCAGGGTCATCTCGTACAGTACATGTTTCGTGGCAGGACCAACAACAGGTCGATTTTTTTCTGGCTGCCTGAAGTCTGTTCACGTTCGCATCTTGGCTTTCCAGAGGCGCAAGGCTGATCGTACACGTAACACAAAAAAATTTGCTTCCCAATATGGCTGCCATGGCAAATTTCAGCAAATGAGAATGAACGCTTGCAATCAAAGGATCTGCTTTTTCTCTTTCTTGCTTGGGCGCCATGGCGCCTGACTCCTGTGTCGACCAGAACCGGGAGAGCCAATTTCCCTCAACCAATAGGCATCGTCGAGGTTCTTGAAACTTGCAACCTGTCAAGATTCCAATCGGCGGCTCGCGGCTCCTAACCATGAACCCAAGGAAGCCGGACCAAGCGTCAAGCCCTTTTCGCAGCCCAAATCTTCGAGAACGTCAAATCTTGGAAGGATGATCGACAGTGGCCATGTGTTATACCACGCACTACCGTACACACTATCTCTTTTGCAAGCGAATAGGCTTAGATAGTTCTGCCACACCCGGCGGCCACGAGACCGAGCATCGAGAAAATCAGAAAGCAAGGTTGGGGATGGTTGCAAGCAGAAAATTGGCGTGGCACATTCCCATGGATGGGATTATTGATAGACATCAAGCATATCAGGCAAGTTTGGCGAAACGACACGCAGGCTGCAATGCTGTGGGCGCTTGCAAAGAACAAACCACTTGCACAGCAATGTAAATCATCCTGAGACGAAGTCATGGCTTGGTCATTCCTCAATCACGAGTGGGCGGCAAATGGGCGCTGACCACAGAGCGAAACGATGCTGCAGGCTGCACAGCGGTGTCAAGGAAAATCCCAGCAGCAGATCTGACGCCTCCATCGAACCGTGTGTCGCATGGGCGAGGGATGTTGCTGCTTGTCCCTTGGTGCTGGTCCTTCTGCAGCCGCACAGGAGTGGCATGACGACCACTCTTTGTCCATCCTTGCCACACCCAGCCGTCGGGCCAATAAAGCACAAGGTCGCATGCGGCAAGGTGGCCAAGTGCCACCTCCCCACCGACGCTGCAAGCTTTCCCGAGACGCCTTTGCTTTTGCGCGCTTGTGCATGCCCTCTGTGGACCCACCATTCCAACGACTCAGAAATAGGCACACGTTGCGCCACACAGCTAGTGGCCGGTGCACTAGTCAGTAAGCGCGGGCGTGGGTGACAGGCTTTGAGCACCGCTAACGATCACCCAAGATGCTTCGCGTCAGGGACAGAGCTGTTTGGCCCCGCCAGAAAAAGCCCATCGAACACTCTATGCCACACGAAGCATGTCTTTGCTTTCGAGCTACTTTTAACTAGACTCTGCCGGGACCGTTTGTTCGTCATATCACCCGCCTGAGCCACCTTCTCCCGTCAATACATACATACACCCTCCTGTTCGTCGTACACGAGCGGTACTACTACTATTCATCTATCCCGATCAACTTTTCTTTTTCTGCCGAGCACATCCACTCATTCATATACCTTCCTTATCCACCTCCTCGACAAGACAGAAGTTACTTGGGTGGTTGCTTGCATTGAGCTTTCATAACAACCAATCCGGACCATACTAGGAGTTTTTTTTTGATTTTATGCTGGCTTGATCTTTGTTCTTACCCCAGAACAAGCATCTCACAACCTCACCTCCAAGATGATTCCTACTCCTCCTCCTTCTCCCAGATCATGTGGTGCTTGCGCCCCCGAGGACCGTCTTGGCCAAGTCCTTGCTGGATGCATCCAATTAACTGAAGTCCTTGGTGTTGGTGCCTATGGAGTTGTCTACCGAGCATTCGATCTCCGTACAGGAGTCCAGTATGCAGTAAAGGCTCTTAACAAGGTTGGCCTTGAACCTAGACAAAGATCCTTCCAGGAAAGAGAAATCCAACTGCACCACCAAGTAAGCCAACATCCCAACATTGTCTCCTTGGTCAAAGTCTTGGATTCCACCGACTGCACCTTTGTTGTCATGGAATTCTGCCCCGAAGGTGATCTCTTCTCAAGAATCACTGAACAGGGCTTCTACATTGGTCAGGATGCCTTGGCCAAGAATGCATTCCTTCAAATCCTTGAAGCTGTAGAGTTCTGTCATTCAGTTGGTATCTACCACAGAGACTTGAAGCCCGAGAACATTTTGGTTTCTTCCGATGGTATTACCTTGAAGCTCGCCGACTTTGGTCTCGCCACACAGGATTACTACACCTCGGACTTTGGCTGTGGATCAACCTTCTACATGTCCCCTGAGTGCCAGCAATCAAACTCACGCCCCAATGCTTGCTACGCCTCTGCTCCCAATGATATTTGGTCCCTTGGTGTTATCCTGGTCAACCTGACCTGTGGCCGCAACCCCTGGAAGCGGGCTTCCATGGATGACTCTACTTTCCGCGCCTACATGAAGGATCGCAGCTTCCTCAAGTCCATCCTCCCTCTTTCGGATGATCTTGATCACATCTTGAGAAGAGTCTTCGACCTCAACCCTGCTCAGAGAATGACACTTGCCGAACTCAAGCAAGCCATTCTTCTCTGCCCAAAGCTGACCAGCGAGCCTGCTTCTCCTATGCCCATGCCCTCGCCTGCCTATGCTGCTGCCGATGCTGCCAGAGACGTTGCTTACCTGGCATCGGGCCACCTCATGGAGCCCATCCCACCCATGTCTCAGCTGCCTGCATCGAACCTCCAGTACTCTCAAGCCTCAACGGCCGTGGCACACTTCGATCAGCTTCCAGCTTCCAGAACACCACCTATGCCTTCGCCGGAGCCTCAGAAGGCCAACGGCCCCTTCGCCTTCTTCACCAATGGTCAATGCACTCCTCAAGCATACATTGCTCCATGGTACAGCCAGTTCATGGCAACTCTTCCAAAGCACGCTTCAATCTTCCCGACGCGTGTCTTCTAAATCCTTTTCCGATTCTCTTCGCCTGTCTATATTCACCACTTTCGACATTTAACATACCAAAAAGCACAATCACGAGACAACGACGCAGATAACGCCACACATTACGACCTGCTCACATATGGGCTGATTTCTTTTTCATCGCGATGATACGATCAACGTTTTTCTTCATCTTCCAAACATACTTTGTAAATATACCGGTTCAGGCTGTGGCCTAGATTCTTGATGGCGTTTCATTTCCGCACTTATATACCACAATTGTTTTTGGCATACATGGTCAACGGAGGATATGCATCACAATCGGCGTTTTGTTTTCTAGAAGATACCTTATCACAAGCCAACGAGCTATGTGTCGTTGTACAAAATAACATCATTCTTGTCACTCCTTCACTTCACTCTCCTATGACTCTTCACCTGTGACTTGTGCTTAGGATGACACTTTTCTCTGCAGCTGAACAGTGTAGTTGGAAGTGCAGCCTTGATCCCAATCCGCCGTGGTGCATCGACGAGAAGTGCGCAAGCAGCACAGCAGACATGCAATCACACGGATGCAGCCACCCAGCCAATTGGCGCCACGATATACAGTGCGTTGCCATGCATCGCCAACTGCGCCTCGCGTCACACATATTTGACACGTACAGGAAATGCACGTTTCTGATGGCTCTCGCTTGGTCACAACTGTTTTGCGAAGGTTTACAAGCACAGTTTGTTCAAGTCTACAAGTATTCGCGAGAGTGTTGGCCACGATTGGATAACTCGAGCCGTGCCTTCGCATCAAAAGAGGTCACGTACGAAGAAGATTTTGGTTAGACAGTTGTAGTTCCCTGCCTATTGGCGTGAGGTACCGACTTATGCACGCATGGCAATTGGTGAAGGTTGCGAGGTGGCTGGTTAAGCGCTGCTAGTCCGCCCATAGATTATGTACGTCCTCGAGAACCGATCCTGCCGCTCAGGATTCTGGTGGATTTTTATCCTCCTTGATTTTCTTTTGTGCTGACGGTGAAGATTTCTTGTTAGTGGCTTCAGTATATTTTTCTCGGCAAGATGACCGAGCCGACATGTGTGCTCGCTGCTCAGATTCTGTCACAATTTCTCGATCGTAGAATGCAATCATCTTGCCGTCCATCACATCATTTCGCTTCTTGGACTTGCAAGCCACTAATCAATTTGATAGTAAATGTTTATTGCTGAAGCGAACAACCAATTACTGCGTACTGTAGATGCCGTTGAGACTGATCTCCACAAGACAACAAAGATGACTATTCCACCTGTATTGCCCTAGGCATGGCATCTTCGATGCTTAGATATCCCTGTATGTTCAGCTGCGGAATGTTGCGAGCAAAGTTGGCATTGTACAATGTCATGGATCGAGATCGGTGTCGGAGAGAGTTCCAGCTGACTTCAAGGATCCAGCCCTCTACCTTGGTACTGGTCCCCAACTCCGCTGTGGTTACAGAACTGTGTCACGGACTCAAGGTGCAGAGGTTCCTGATGCGTGAAACGCAGACCTGCGACAAACCGAAACAGAGGATTTCGCGAGGCCGTGCAACTCAGGACTTCACCATCCTGTCAGAGATGCTTTCCAGCTTCGTGGACCATGGTAGTGCATTGCGACACCTTTGACCGTTCGTCACGGACAGATCAGCACTCTGAAGCAGCACGCAACCGAGATTTTGCTAAAATTGGCCAGGATGATGTGCAAGGCTTTTATCATCAAGACACTACTTTCTCAATTGCATCGAGCAGACTGTGCAAATTCTCGTTCTCTAGCAGCAGCGGAAGCACCGGCAAGTGTAGGGGGAGGAAGTTGACACCAGCCCGCGTTCCTCTGTTATGATTCCAGGTTTATGTGACGTTAGGAAGGCGCAATCAACCGGTTGCCCAGTGGCTATCCCGACTTGTCGTATTCAGATCATCGTCAGCTTGCAGTATCAACAACACATGTTTTTCTCATAGCTTGTGTGTGTGTATCACGCCAAATAAATGGCGCCTGTGCAAGCAAATCGCAATAGACAATTTACAGACGACCGGGAGCCCCTTCGCAACAATGACGCCCTGCAACTTATTGACTCGAAAGTCAGAGGTCCATTCAGCTTCTTGAACCCAACACAAGCAAGCTACAAACACAAGATACACATATCGCCCAGTCGCGCCCATCATCGAAGCGCCTCGACGCCTCTCAGCACCACGGCATCCGCCTTGTCAACTGACGCTTCCACACAACCCGCCGCGAATGTCGAGTACAAATGGACAGCTCGAGACAATCGTAAAGGTCGACACACTCTCGTCATAAAGGATCCTTCTGTAGAACATCCAGAGGCAAATGTCACTGCGCCACGAAGCACTGCTCACTGGAGATCTGTTCTGCATACGATATGGTTGATGCTAACGTTCTACCCTGTGTGGGATATATCGTGGTGCGTGGCTTACATCTTCACCCTCGGAAGTGTTCTCTGGGTGATCAACGCGTTCTTTGCCTTCCTTCCTTTGATTCGACCTTCATCAGAGTTCCACAATGAAGTTCTCGACGGCGGGGGCATCACCGCTTTCATAGGAGCCACCATTTTTGAAGTCGGAAGTATACTTCTGATGTTGGAAGCCATCAATGAAAATCGAGAAGGCTGCTTTGGGTTTGCAGTAGAGTCAGTGTATGAGCACCACCTCAGTAGGATGGAGGCTGGCAATGGCAGTGGCTTAAAAATCGTGCCTAGAGATGACGCTTGCACCCACCATCACCGTAACAAAGCCAACTTGGTGGGCAAACCACACCAGATCCCGCTCGAAACACCCGTCTTCGACTCAGAAAAGCAACAGCCTGCCAAGACTGACTCGTGGGATTGGTGGCCTTCTTGGAGCGACCTCAAAAGTCACTACTTCCATGAGCTTGGGTTCATCGCTAGCCTGAGCCAGTTGCTAGGTGCCACAGTTTTCTGGATAAGTGGGTTTACAGCCCTTCCAGGAATTCTCAATGTTCTCTCGCCCGGCTTGAGCGACGGGATCTACTGGACGCCTCAGGTCGTCGGTGGTACTGGCTTCATCGTGTCAGGGTGGCTGTTCATGATCGAGACCCAGAAGCATTGGTGGCAGCCTGCTCCAAGAGTCTTGGGATGGCACATTGGTCTCTGGAATTTCATAGGTGGCATTGGGTAAGGGCTTTCCGGTTCTTTTTCGAGTTCGCGCTGACTGTTACAGTTTCACGCTGTGCCCCGCTTTTGGTTACGACCCCAGCAGTTGGGCGCAATATCAGGCATCATGTTCGACCTTCTGGGGGTCGTGGGCGTTCTTGATCGGCAGTGTAATCCAGTTGTACGAGTCTCTTGAAAAGACGCCTGTCAGGAAGGAAGGCTCTGCATCATAAGCAACAAACATTGTCAGCCGTGCTGAAGGGACCCTGATGACGAGTGGCTCAATCACCACCGATTTCATGCATTAGTGCTGGACTCCAGTATTCCTTCTCGTCTGCTTGAGCATCTACCCATACCAGAGAGTCGGCGACAAGGTCGTCAATAACAGCAACAGCTCGTGCACGCTCCCAGCCTAGGTTGAGTTGAAGCATGGAAACAGTCACATAGCCAAGTACTTGTATAGCCTCAAGAACAGTTGACTGATCGGTGTTGAGTTCCTTTGGAACGGATCGAATCATTTGCTTTGAACCGATCTTCATGACAGTGAAACCAGAACCAAGGGGTTCCAGTGACTTGACGGCGCGAAGGATATCATCGCTGGAGATAGTCAGTCGAGAACGTTTGATAAAGTGCATATCTACATACTCAGACACTTCAAGTCCTCCGCCAATGCCTCGTCCTTTCTCTACACGTTTTCGTACTTGAGGCACTTCGATCATGCCGCCATTTTCTGAACGAGTTTCGCGACAAACTTCGACGACTCTGACAGCGAGCTCGAAGTAGAAGTCGTTGACGCTGCCTCCAAGCATCTGCGACCAAAAGCTTCCGCCTTCATTCTTATTACCTTTGGAGGTCTTGTGGTTTGAGCTAGCAAGTGGGTCGACTCCGATAGCATTACACATGCGGGCAAATTCGGCCCTGAAAGTTGGGTTCGAACGGATTTCAGCGCCATGAGTGACAGAGAATGAATGAAGAGCAGCTTGGAAGACTGAGAGTTGGTTTGCCAGAGAGTCGGCGTGTGCAGAACGTAAAGCAGCGCCATGAGAGGCGTAGTGATCTGAAGTGAGGGCGTTGCGTGAAAAGGCCGAAAGCCCGACTCCTTTTCTGTTACTCGCCATGATTGAGAAAGCGAGATTGTTACTGAATCGATCTAACACAGGAACTACTCTGACATGCGAGTGATGGCGTCCCGAATGTCGTTGGCAGCCAGAGTGATGATGCCAAGATTTGAGGGTGCAAGGTTAGCGCGGCGCTAGCTCGGGAACAACCGTCGACGCACGAAAAGTCCTTCGATGCAAATCCGAAGTGGATTTTCTTTCTTCAGCAGCGACCTGACAAGCCGACGACCTCGCCATCCAACAACCAGTCAAGATGCCTTCCCAAACCGTCAAGACGTACGTGGATTGATTGTTCCTGCTCTGCGCGGAGAAATGCAGACACAGTCGGTTCACTCGCTGGAGCGCTGCGAAATACCAGCGCTACCTCGATACTTTTGAAGCCGACCGTAGTCCTCTGGCCGTCAACCGTCTTTGCACGTCTGGCGCCTTAGAATGTACGGTCGAGGTCCTTGGTCGCAATTCATTGCGAACCGGTCTTCCCAGACCCCATGGACCCGTCGAGTTCACACCCAGTAGAGAATGCCGCTGTGCTGCAGTTCTCCGCTACGAGGCACTCCCTCAATGCAACCTTGTGTTCTGACATTCTCCCGCAGCTCGGTCCCCACCAAGCAGGACATTGTTCCTGAGACTCTTCTCAAGAAGAGAAAGTCCCAGGAGAAGGAGCGCGAGGCCCGCACCGCTGAGCTCCAGAAGAAGCGCGCTGTAAGTTACACCGCCGCCACGAAAGAGCAGGATGTCGTCTACATGATGCACAACAACCACACCTCGACTAGACCTTCGGGTCGGTGTTGTCGAAATTAACCATCTTTCGGGTCTGATCGACACACATCCTGTTCACTGGCACACACAACAACCGGCCAACCTTTACTGACAACAATTCAAGGCCAACAAGGAGAAGCGCCAGGTCATCTTCAAGCGCGCCGAGTCCTACATCAAGGAGTACCGCGATGCTGAGCGCGAGAAGATCCGTCTCCAGCGTGTCGCCAAGCAGGAGGGTTCTTTCTACGTTCCCGCCCAGGCCAAGCTTGCCTTTGTTGTCCGCATCAAGGGTATCAACAAGATTGACCCCAAGAAGCGCAAGACCCTCCAGCTCCTCCGTCTTCTCCAGATCAACAACGGTGTCTTCGTCCGTCTGACCAAGGCCACCATTGAGATGCTCAAGATCGTCGAGCCCTTCGTTGCCTGGGGTTACCCCAACCTCAAGACTGTCCGTGAGCTCGTCTACAAGCGTGGTTACGGTAAGGTCAACAAGCAGCGCATCGCTCTTTCCGACAACGCCATCGTTGAGGAGAACCTCGGCCAGTACGGCATTGTCTGCATGGAGGACCTGATCCACGAGATCTACACCGTTGGCCCCAACTTCAAGCAGGCCTCCAACTTCCTCTGGCCCTTCAAGCTCTCCAACCCTCTCGGTGGCTTCCACAAGCGCAAGGTATGTCTATCATTAGCATTATCCTCTTCCACAAACCAAACTAACTTCCCCTTTGTTCAACCACTTCATTGAGGGTGGTGACCTCGGCAACCGCGAGGAGCAGATCTCTGCCCTCGTTGCCCGCATGAACTAAGCGTTCGCTTGACAACAAAACTGGTTGATTTTTGGGTGGAGCAAGGCGCAAACGGAAAGGCATTGTAATGGATTCTTATGACACCCCACGGGCACTGCATCACAGGTAGAATGCAGCTCATGGCAAAAGCTCTCAAAACGTTCAATGTCTTTTCCCACCAAATTCGCTTGACTCTTTGTTTGATTGTGACTTGACCTATGATGTAAATCTGTGTATTAGTCTTGTCAAGCCTGTGTTTCACAAGATTTTACTTCGAGCCTGCAGCACACGGCAGCAGTCTTTCTGCGCTGGTCAGACCCTGTCCAAATGCACGTGATATCATATCCATCTCCGCTTATCACTTCTATGATATCAGTGCAGGTATTCTACCGACCTTCATTTTGTGTTCCATCTCTATCATGACTGAAACATCTGGCATCGATGTTGGGGACATCCTTCGTCTCATGCTTCGCGCGAGAGCGTCAGACACTGTCGATACACTGAGCAACTTGGATGACAGCAACGAACGCCGACGAAAGGCCATTGAAAGCATATTGTTCTCGCGCAGGTTTATCCTTTTTTACAATCTCGTACTGGCAGGACTACTGGCTTGTTTCACGGTTTGGCATTGGGGACGTAGGATCGGTAGACTTCGACGTAGACGTGCCTTCTCTCGTTCGCCACACAACCGGTCCGCAGTTCATTCAAATCAGACTCGCAAGGATGATAATGAAGGCGAAACGACACCACTCCTCAACCAGGGGAAAGCCCATGTTTCCCCCTCTAGGACTGCCTCGGTGATTGCTCAAGTCAAGGCCTGGCTCATGTACCAGCCATCTGACCTACCATACGTCCACAAAGTCTTTCCTTCGAATGCCACCACGATCGGCATCTTGCTTCTACTTGGCATCAACCTGTTCTTTCTGCTCTACAAAGCCGAGCTTTCGGTAGCTACCGCATTTGTCTTCGCCGATCGAGCTGGCTTGCTCTTTGTGGCCAACCTACCACTATTGTATCTTCTTGCAGCGAAGAATCAGCCACTAAAGATAATTACCGATGCCTCATACGAGGGTTTGAATATCATACATCGTCGACTAGGCGAATGGATGTGTTTACTTGCACTCTTGCACGCCGGCAGCATGACCTTGGTCTGGTATACAACACTTTCTACTCGTCTGAGCTTCTCGAGGTTCCTTGCCTTGCCTATCATTTGGCTCGGACTCCTCGCATTTTTCTCCTACGAGACGCTGTATTTTTCATCGCTCGGCTCTTTCAGACAAAGAAGCTACGAGATATTCCTTGGACTTCATGTTGTCCTTCAAGTCGCTGCGCTGGTTTTCTTATGGTTCCATCACCACAACAGCCAGCCTTACGTCTTGGTAGCTGTGTGCATCTTTGCAATCGACCGCCTGGTCTTCAGATTGATCCTCAAGTCAAAGATAATCAAAGCCGACCTTTCCGTCATGCAAGATGGAGAAACCGTGATGTTAAGCTCAAATTGGCAATTACCTCGATCTTCCTGGTGGAGATCTTTTGGCATCAAGGATGGTTGGAGGCCAGCCGAACATGTCTTCCTGACAGTACCAGCCTTATCGCACAAGCACTTGGTCCAAGCACATCCATTCACTATCGCCTCCGCCGCTCCAACCAGTGCTGACTCACATGCCTGGCTCAATTTCCTGATTCGAGCTCAGGATGGCTTCTCCCGAGATCTCCTTCGCTACGCACAGCTCCACAGCTCTGTGAACATCAGAGTAGATGGACCTTACGGGTCGTCACACGCTCTGGATATGCTCCATGACAAGGATGTCGCCGTCGTGGTGGCTGGTGGTTCAGGTATCGCTGTAGCATTCCCTCTCGTCTGGAGTCTGCTTAGAGCATCAAAGCAAGATCCAGAGCTGGCAAGCAACAGACAGTCCAGGTCTCGAGTAACCTTGATCTGGGTGGTGCACGATCAAGAGCATGTTGATTGGATTCCCCAAGACAGGCTCGATGAGCTACGCGAACTTGGTTGCAAAATCATGATACCTCCGCCAACACGCAAAGCAGGAAGACCTGATCTCCCACACCTTGTCGAAACTGCAGTGAATGCATGGAATGATGAGGTTGAAGATCCTAGTGTTGGTGTAGTCGTGGCAGGACCAGACGGCATGAATAGAAGCTGCAGGAATGCATGTGCGAACCTTGTGAGTCAAGGTGCTCGATTGGAGGTCTCGGTGGAGAAATTCGGTTGGTGACCTGGCATTTGTGGTGCCTCAAGGACAAGGAGCCTCATGTTGTGTTGACAGCTATGATAATGAACATCTCTCAGCGGACAACAGAGTTCTGCACTCATTCCTGATGTCGTGCAATGTTGTCTACTCGGCCCGCATTTGCAGTCCTCAAACCTCTCCCGCCCTGGTGCAATATGCCATTTCTACCCACCGGAAATCTACAGCACGTGAACCGGTTTGACCATTGCGGACAAGGTTGGAGAAGTTGCCGTTCCAGTGTCGATCACATTATTTGACGGCATTGAAGTGGTTGCAGGCTTGCAGCAGGTGGAAGTTTTAGTGATGGAGTTCTCACCGAACGTGTTTGATGGCTAAATATGAAGTGGGGCATGGCATTTTGCCCCGCCATGGTTACATCATCCTCTTCGATATATCAACACCAACAGCCTCGTGGCTCGTCCATCAATTTCTTTCTCGCGTTTTCAAAGAACTGTCGCAAAAGTACACTCGCAAACATGTCCAAATTCACGCTACGCTGGGGTATTCTCGCAACAGGAGGTATCGCCGAGGTGGGTGGAATGAAGACTCATTGACCATTGGCAAAGACTGACATGTTTCACAGAGTTTCTCGAGAGACCTGACTGTCAACCCCGAAACTCGCAACGTCAAGGATATCCAGCATGAGATTGTTGCCGCAGCCAGCTCCAGCAGTGCCGACCGCGCCAGCGAATTCCTGAAGAAGGTTGGCGCTCCGTCTTCAGCAAAGGGTTATGGATCATATGAAGAGCTGGTTGCCGACAAGAATGTCGATATCATCTATGTCGCCACACCTCACTCGCACCACTACCAGAATGCCATGCTCTGTCTCGAGGCTGGCAAGAATGTCCTCTGTGAGAAGGCCTTTACTGTCAATGCTGCTCAGGCAAAGAAGCTGGCAGAAAAGGCAAAGGAGAAGAACTTGTTCCTGATGGAGGCTGTGTGGACAAGATACTTCCCTCTGTCAATCTATGTTCGCGATGTCATTACTTCCGGCAAGGTACGTGTATCGAATTCAATGTGTCGAACGAGATCGCTGACTTGCGTAGATTGGAAAAGTCCACCGTACCTTTGCCGATCTCTCCATTGGCGCTCAGCCCGAGGAAGCCTTCGACAACTCGCACCGCATGGTCAACCCCGACTTGGCCGGAGGTGCCCTTCTCGATCTCGGCATCTATGCCTTGACCTGGGTCTTCCAAACCCTCTACCACACTCAACCCGAGTCCGCACGCAAGGCTCCCACTGTTGTCTCTTCGCTCAAGAAGTACCCCACTGGTGCCGACGAGATGACCACTATGCTGCTCACATTCCCCCGCTCTCAAGAGCTCGGCGGTGACGCTCATGGTATTGCCACCACCGCTATGCGCACAACTCCCGACCCAGACGGCAAAGGCAGCGCTGGCCCAGCCATCCGCGTCCAAGGCGACAAGGGCGAAGTCCAAGTCTTCCACCCAGCCTTCCGCCCCACAAAGACCAAGCTCGTCCTCTCCGACGGCACTGTAGAAGAGAACGAATTCGTTCAACCCGGTCCTGGCAAGGGCTCTGGCTTCTACAATGGCTTTGGCGGTGACAAGAACCCTGAGGGCGAGGGTCACGGTATGTTCTGGGAGGCTGATGAGTGTGCGTTTGCCATCAAGGAAGGTAGAAAGGAGGGCAAGTACGAGGGCTTGCAGGAGAGTATCGTGATCATGGAGGTTATGGATGAAGTGCGCAAGCAGAACGGCATGACCTACCCTGAGAAGATTGAGACGACCAAATACCCTACTCAGCTGTAAGGTTGAGGGGTTGGTCTTAACCAAATTACGAATATGTACGAACTTATCGAGAAAATGTTTTTGTCTCTATTCTGCTCCTTGGCCATTCATCAAAGTTCTCAGTGCTTGCCGTTGGGAAAGCGTAGAAAAAAGAGAACCATAATTTCAGTTCTGCCTCCTCATCTCTTCTACTTGCCCATGCTCTCCTTCGGTTGCCTCTCATCGGGTATACATCAGTTGCCCTGATTGCCCTTTCTCTGTTTAAGACTCTCCTCGATAGTCTTGATCATCTCGTTGCCTACACGAGTAGCTTCAGGGAAGCGAGGAGCAAAGTAAGACTGAATCTTTTCGAATTTGCTGCGGTAGCCGTCCATGTTACCAAACGAGACACGTTCGGACCAGTCCTGTTTGTGAATGTGTAAGTATAGAGCTTGGATACAAGATGAAGACGAATAGGTGAAAAGGGAAAGGGGGTGCTTACTCTAGCAGCGAACGTGAATTCGAGATCATCGTGACGGAAGGTGTTGTCGTTGATTGCGGTATCGATGACTTCTTCCAACAACTCTTCATTGCGGAAGAGGTATTCTGTGATACCGAGCCAAAGACGGAAGAGCTATGTCATGTTTTAGTCAGTCTTTTCTTCTCGTGCAAGTGCCAGGATCTTTCTTACTGGTGTCGAGCAAATCATATGGTCATAAGGCACAATACCCAGCTTCCACCAACAATCCACCATTGCCAGAAGACTCAAGTGGTTGTTCTTGAGACGCTCGCTGGCAGCAGGTTTCTCTCCCAGACTGAACTGATCCAGCAGCTCGTCTTGCAACAACAATTCATGTCCCTTGCTGCCGTCTGCATTGCCAAACACAGCTTTACGGGCACATTCGATGCGCTCTCTCAACTCTTGCTTATGGCCTCCTAGCATCAGTTTGAACAAGTCGGTTACGGATTCAGCGTATTGCTTGATCTGGCGTTTGGCAGCTGGGTTGAGGATTGCTAGCCCAGCGTAAACGTGCCATTTGTTGGCGTAGATGCGGAGGGTGATGTTGATCTTTACGTTTTCGATGCCGCCGACGTAGCGTGGCATTTCCCAGGGGAACTGGTTGTTGGCTGCCCATGCGGTACCCATGGATAGGAATGCGGCATGAGTGACGGCTTGTGTGTCTGCAGTGATTCTGTCGTGGGCTTCGGCTGTGAGTTTGACGTGCTTGCTCTCAAAGCAAGATAGGATCTTTGACACGAGATTGTAGCTGGCATCTGAGGCACGGTGTTGGATCAGAACCAGAGGTTGGCCTTTGGGATTCACGCCGGGACCGTGCAGGGAGTGACAAGAGACAATCTCGACATCGGAGGGAAGGTGTTTCTCGAAAGCTGCCATCTCTGGAGCCTTGCAGGAGGTCTGGCCGCCAACGATGGCGCCCATCTTGGTAGCTGTGAGCCAAGCATGTCAGTATGGACGACAGGCATGAGTTCGGCGTAAGATATGTGACAAACATGGACCATAGGCGGCGACGACAGCATCAATGTTCTTTGCTTCAACAGAGTAGATGATATAGTCACTGCTACGCGAGACGTGGTGGCCGTTCTTGAAAACCGTTACGTTTTCCTGCTGAAAGCCTCAGCAAGATGTTGTGTATTACACGGGCTATATACAGTATAGGCAAGGTAGTTCGTACGCTGTCCTTGAATTCTTCAACCAACAAATCATACTTGTCTGGAAGGTCACAGGCGTGTACTCTGGAAGAGTAGCATGTCAGTCTGTGTCTGACAGGATTGTCACGGATTACGAGAAGAAACTGTTGATCCAAAGTCAGCGGCTGGCTTGAAGAGAACATCTCAAGTGTGAAGAACAGTGGATGTGTGAAGCGTTTCAGACAAAATTAATAAGGTAGCTGAGATTTTACATCATTGACGACTGCCAGATCCTGCCACCGGAACGGTGACAGGGTGTCCAACAGCCATACTCGAGCCAAATGCACTCAAGTCATCATTGCAACGCGGGGGTGGATGGATGTGAAAGGGTGAGGGGAGAGAAGAGAAACGTACCATAGTCAAAAGTCACACAAAGATCGTGGTGTTGCGCGCAAAAGCATACCTCCATCCGGCCTCACTGAGCCGGCGAGCGTACATCTTTCCCATGTCGCCCATGCCGATCAAGCCCACCACTGCTTCACCCATATTTGCGATTGTCGAATTGTGTCAACTGTGAGATGCTGTCCAGCTCTTGAGTATTAAGCGGTTCTTGTGCGCGCACAGAAGAAGCAATTGATGTCGCAAATGTCGAGCAGGCGTGAAGTGATGGGAAGAAAACAGAAGGTTCAGCGTCGCAAGAAAATAAATAGAGAGGGAGCTGCGACTCCGCAAGCTTTGATCGGAAACTGCCGTGTTGGAAGTTCGCTTTGCTTGGCAGACCCACGGCCCAAATTCTGCGTCGCAGCGCCGGACAGACTTCTCTCTCTTTGTTCGTCCCAGTCCACATTCTCGTCGACCCACTAACATCAGCAACAATGGCACCCAAGGCTAAGCCCGCTCGCGCCCAGGAGAACGTCCAGCTCGGTCCTCAGACCCGTGAGGGTGAGCTCGTTTTCGGCGTTGCTCGCATCTTCGCTTCCTTCAACGACACCTTCGTCCACGTTACCGATCTTTCGTAGGTGCTTCCCTGAACCGCATCTGCTCTCAATGCGCTCGCTCCGACGGACTTGGGGCGTTTCTCTTCTCGGACCATTGCGACTTCTCTCTTCACCAGTCGGGAGCTGCTCGACATATGCGCCGAGCACAAGACCACGGACAGAAAGAAGAAAAATGCTGGAACAAGAAGAGAAACACACAAGACGCCAGAACGAGCAGCGCAAGTGGGGACAGATGCATATACAACTGACGTGAGAGAGATCAAAGGCTAATTCTGGGTGATTTCCAGCGGCCGTGAGACCATCTCCCGTGTCACTGGTGGTATGAAGGTCAAGGCCGACCGTGACGAGTCCTCCCCCTACGCCGCCATGTTGGCTGCCCAGGACGTCGCCGCCCGCTGCAAGGAGCTCGGCATCACTGCCCTCCACGTCAAGATCCGTGCCACTGGTGGTATGTTTTGACTCCTTTCGCTTCTTCTACGACTCCATCATCTAACACATTGTTCACAGGTAACGGCACCAAGACCCCCGGTCCCGGTGCTCAGTCCGCTCTCCGTGCCCTCGCCCGTGCCGGCATGAAGATTGGCCGTATCGAGGATGTTACCCCCACTCCTTCCGACTCTACCCGCAGAAAGGGTGGTCGCCGTGGTCGTCGTCTGTAGATTGTTGGCGGTCTTGTTCTGTCAGCATCTGCTCTCGATGTTCAAAAGACAATGGTTCATGGCGAAATGTGGCACTGTCGCGCAGAACGGCTTTATCGCCTGGTCTGCAATATATTGCGCTTAGCTCTTGTCTTCTGAAAATATGGAGATACCAAAACATTCAAAAAGTTTTTACGACCCCAAATTACTTTCGTCTTGTGATTTTTGCTCTGTGAACTGCTTGATCGTTTTCGCTGCCCTCTAGTGCCGTCATTGGACACGGATTGGTATGAGGATTGGTATGAGGCGGGCACAATTGTCCATGTGAAGAAGTGATTGAGTGGTGGTATATACTGCGCATCTTCATAGAGCATGTGCGCTGCTCTTCTGTAAACCCAAATACGCCCCGTCCATGCAGTTCCCCCATGACAAATTGACCCCAACGCCCAGGCTAATTTACACACAAACCAAGTCATGCAGTCTAGACATAAGCATGATCAAGAAGCAGGCTCTCCCAAGGCACGAGCCAGGACTACGTAGCCAAAGATGAGGCCCAAAGCAACGTACATTCTGTTACGTCTCAACCAACTCTGGCCAGCATCGCGCGCAACATGGCCGCCTTCGACCACAGCACCCAAGCCAGCGTGACTGCCAACAGGACGTTTGCGCAAGGCGTTTGTCTCTGGTGAGCAAGCATTGGCAATCGGAGGTGGTGCCACAGTCTTGCCAGTCTGAGGATCAATTTTGTGCTCTTCCATCCACTTCCAGTTCTGGTCGTCCAGCTCTGGCCACTCCTCCTTGAACTTCACGCCGCCGTCTCCTGCTCTGATGGCGCCGAAACCGCGAGTGTTGCTGCTTTGCTGGCCTATGCCGGGGATGGTGCGGTTGGAGGAGCCACCGCCTGTACTGTTCCACCAGCGAGAGCGTTGAGCAAACACTACGCGCTCGGCTTCTGAGGCAGACAAGGAACCAGTAGTCATTTCCTCGCTCGTCATGAAACTCTGGAGACCGAGAAGGATAGTGCTGACCTCCCAGGCGGGATTGAAACTCTTGGGGTGGAAGTCTGAGATACTGAGGCAGAGACGGGTGGAAGGTTGGAAGCGGCCACTAGGCGTGTGCATGCGAATGGCGGGCGGGGCGAAGGGGTAGTCAGGAGGAAAGACCAGAGTGCCCCAGTACTGGCCGCCAGCGTAGGGAGTGTCCTTGGAGCCTTCGAGAATGTAGTGCCATTCTAGGATGTTTGACTCGCTGGGATGGGCGGTGATGTATGGTGGAGGGTTTTCGGTAATGTTCTTGTGCTCCTTTGTCAGACGCTTGTGGGCGGCACGTGTAGCCATGATGTGATTTGAGGGATGAGATTATGATATGCGGCGACTGATTCGTGGTTGGCTGAGTGCTTTGCCTTGAATGTCGGAAAAGTGGCTTGTGTTGGAGGTCGATAGGAGAGAATGAAGGGTCAAAGGGTACGTAGACGTGATAAGATGAACTGTCCCATTAACGAATCTAGAAGGGAAGGCAGCGATACGTCAGCCCCAGCGCATGCCGACTCCCGGCTTCCGCGAATTCATGAAGAACGTCCGCCTTGTCTTATCCAACACCTGGCTCGACCGTCAATCAGATATTCACACGGGCTTCACACAAAAAGCAGAAGAAATTCAGACATGAGATAGCTTTCCATGAGCACCTCTCCAACTAGATTACCTCTGATAAATGCAATGTATAGCAGAAAAGTAGTCATAGCCCAATACTGTTCACGTGCTCGGCTGTCGCTGTGTAAGCTTTGGGGTGCGTCGTGTATCAAGTCTCGAGCGCGTTTGCGGGCGATAATAGCTATCTTTGCGACGACGACGGTGTGTTTTCTGTTGCGGCTCCAATGGCGAACAAATCTTCGGGAAGCGATGTGAGTCTGTCAATTCTCTCAGATGCATGCGCAATCAACTGACAAGTCGACGCGCAGCTCTTCGCTCTGTTGCAGGACCAGGCCGACCCCAAGAGACAGCAAGAGTTGGACGAGCGTCTCGCCAGGCAGTATGCCAAAGCACAGCAGCGTCAATCAGAGTTGATCGGCTATAACTCGACCAAGCCCGTCACTATCTCGTCCATCCAGGTCTTGCAGGCCGAGCACACTCGCAGAGGCTTCCTCGAGCGCATCTTCAACCCAATCCTCTCCCAGAACCAAGAAGGTCCCTACACTCTCCAAGAAGCTCTGCGCGAGGTTGGCGGCGCTGTCGACAAGCTCAACCGCTTTGGCATCTTCAAGGCTCCCATCTCGACCTACATCGATCAACCTGACCAGACCGATGCGTCCTCTTCTCCCACCGACCTCTCCGTCTTCATCCACGCTCCCGAGCGCTCTCGCTACACAATCAAGACTGGTACTGAGGCCGGCTCATCCGAGGGCTCAGCTTTCCTCGATGTCGTCCTTCGCAACATCTTTGGTGGTGCCGAATCCTTGAATGCTCACGCTTCGCTCGGCACGCGCACCCGTTCCGCCTACTCGGCATACTTTGACACCCCCATCCTCAGCAGTCCTGATATCCGCTTCGAGATTGGTGGTCTCGCTAGCTCTACCCTCAAGAGCTGGGCAAGCCATGAGGAGCTCATCAAGGGTGGCAGCACAAAACTTAAGTGGTTGAGTTCATGGGGCAGCAAGCACGAGCTGGGCTACAGTGGTATCTGGAGACAAGTCACTGGTCTTTCCGAGAACGCTTCACCTACTGTTCGCGCCGATGCTGGTGACAGCTTCAAGTCCAGCATTACACACACTTTCATCAACGACACACGCGATGCTCCCATGCTCCCCACAAGGGGTTTCCTATTCAAGTCCATCGGTGAACTTGCTGGCTTTGGCCCTCTTGCTGGAGATGTTGCATTCGCAAAGTACTCGGCCGAGTCTCAATTGGCCCTCCCTATTCCTGTCCCTGGTGTTGCTGGTGACAGTGGCATTTCATTCACCGCTGGTCTTCGTGGTGGTCTTCTCTACCCTCTGACCAAGTCTGGCTCTGACGCACCTGCTGCATCTCGTATTAATGACCGTTTCCAACTTGGTGGTCCTACTGATGTTCGTGGTTTCCGCCTTGCTGGACTCGGTCCCAGAGATGGACAAGACGCAGTTGGTGGTGACGTCTATGCTGCTGGCGGTGCCAGTCTGCTCTTCCCTGTACCAGGCATGGGCAAGGATACTCCTCTAAGATTCCAAACTTTCATCAACGGTGGACGTTTGTTGGCACTTCAAGACGTAGCCAGTGGCGAGAAGGGCGGCAACAACGTCCAACAGAGCGTGAAGAATGCTTTCCAAGAACTGTCTAATGGTCTGCCTAGCTGTGCAGCTGGTGTTGGACTTGTCTACGCTCACCCCGTCGCACGATTCGAGTTGAACTTCTCGCTGCCATTGGTCCTCCGTAAGGGCGAGGAAGGCAGGAAGGGTGTTCAGTTCGGCGTTGGCATTGACTTCCTGTAGAACAACTAGTTCTCGCCTTTCTTCTCCTTTGCCTAATAACGAGCTTGTACAGATAGAAAAATCAAGTTTCCATTCTTTGTTCTCCTATGATGATTTATCACACCGCTCAACCCGATATCAAATCCTAGCAAATCTGCCTAGGGCTGGTGTGTGCTGCACGAAGGATGTTGGACAAACATCCCCCTGGTTGTCTTCTTGATCTTGGCCGAGCATTCTCAACCATAGATTCACAGGGGCTGCCAGACTGAAGCTGATCACTTCCCGTTCCTGGGATGGGTGACGGCAGCCAGTGCCGCGGATGTTGCAGATCTTGTGCCCGCACTTTTCTGCCCTCTCTCCTGGCCATTGATTTACCGAGACAACAGAACATCTGCAAACGAACTGCCCGGGCTGCAAGCATGTGATAATCCAGTGTTAGGCATTCGTATCTATCATGTGGTGTGTATATGATAGAAGGCTGTGTTTGCTGTACCACCCCTTCCGGCATCTATTTTGAGACTGATGTGCAATGCGGGATGATGCAGTGCAGCACAGCACAGAACGCACACCAGGCACGCGTTTTTCGGTTTCTGCTAGACGTTTCAGAGAAACTGACAAAAGTGCTTGCGACCACATTCGTCATGTTGATCATGGGTGGGAAGGCATGCTGGGTAGGTGCATGAATATAACATCAATCTTTCCTTGCCAATCCTTGACTCCCTACTTCTCCCTAAACACACACATTTTCACTGTGATCAGAGTCTTTCTTAGACAGCAAGAACAGAATATCTCCAGATCTAATCTCGAACACCTACAACAAACATGCGCTTCTCCATCTTCGCCCTCGCCGCCTCCCTGGCCGCCGTGGCAACTGCTTCTCCTCTCGTCAAACGCGCACCCATCATCAACAGCACACAACCCTTCTATCTCATCACAACAAACTCACCAACCTACTCTCAAAACTCTTCATCGCTTCCCAACGTCACTTTGACCACTCTTTTCGACCCCTACTACAAACCTAACTACCTTCTCCGCCTCGCCTATCCCGGCTATGGCAGTGTTCCCCAATTTACACTTTCGGACGGAGTGCTGCACTGTCCTGAACAGGGCCCCCACGGTATTGGCAACTATATCTTCAACAGCACTGATGTGCATACTGGCTCAGAGTTGCAATTCAGAGCTCAGTACGAGGGAACCGGAGATTTGACTCTCGAGAAAGGATATCTGCTTGGTGTGAATGGAAGCACGACTGGATGGACCATCTGTGTGGAGGAGCTGGGCCAGAGCGTTGTAAGTTCTGTTAGTGCTGTGGATGCTAAGGAGATACGTACTAACGAGGAGATAGATTGAGTGGCAGGGCACAGATGAGGGATGCACGCAGACCTACATCCAGGCTGCTTTGACCAAGCCTTACTAGATCTCTCTAGTTTGAACGAGAATTACGACACTTCGGGTACATTGGGTCCACGAGGACAAGACGCAGGTATGACAATGGGGATCAGGGCAACCTGCTGGGAGCATTCGGACTATTGGGGTAAAGCATGCAATCATGAACCTTGGCTGGCGGAGGAATAGGCACTGTAACACTACTAGCATATATATCACGTTATTTCATCCACACTCTTCTTTCTTCTTGTTCATGTCCTCGATGATGGTCAGGATGATCATTTCACTTCGAGCTGTACATACCAAGCTAAAAGTTCAAGTGAAGCCTTAAGATTTGAAATAACATGAAGCATGATGATGGTGTCAAACTTTTTGGACATCCTTCACACAGATCCGTACCTTGAATACCAAAGAGTATCTCAAAGAGTTCTTCGGGCGATGAACCACTTGTGTAACTGAGATACCTCGTCAATGGCTCTTCGAAGGCTTGATGAGGGACCGACCCTGTCGCCATCCGTCAGCTTCGTCTCCAACAGACATGACATCGTTGGAAATGAAGGATGCACCTGATGGCCATACGAAGCCATCACTCATGATTCGTCGGTTGCCAACAAACCTGTCTCGCAGCAAAGCCTGTTCTCGAACATCAAATCAAGTCTTCATCAATAACAATCCTGCCAACAATACAATTCTTGTCAAACTCATCCTATATACTACGAAGCTTTTGGGTCTACAAATCAAGAACTCATTCTCCTGTTGTTTCAACTGTGCAACTCCAAGACTTCCTGCACCACAGAGATTCGGTCAGCTTAACAACATGCGCCAACGAGAATCCCGCTCAATGTCACCACGACGAGAAGGACCAAACTCATCAAAATCTCCGGACACAAGGACAGAATCACGGCGAGCTGCTCGCGAAGGAAGCGCACAAGCTAGATCATCAAACAACCAAAACACCAACCAGGAAGAGGAAGTCAACGATGAAGATCTCTGTCCAGTCTGCCACTTACTTCTCTACAACCCCGTAACAACACGCTGTAACCATACACTCTGTGCAACTTGTATGGCACACTGGGCGGACGTATCCATGACTTCTCAAATGACCATCCTAGCCCCTTCATCTTCACCTTCAATATTCTCCGGCGCAGATACAGAGGCAAGGTGTCCCATGTGTCGAACCCCCACCTCAGCAACCCCAAATCCAACACTGGCAAACCAACTATCTCAAAAATATCCTCTCGCCTACCAATCACGAGAAGCCGAGGAAACCACCGAGGAAGACCCTAATGCAGGAAAGATAGAGACACTAACACTGTGCATCGGCAATTCGCACAAACTTATTTCTCCAGCGCCGGAATCAGCACACAATATGCACCAATGGAATTTTTTCGTGCGTCCGTCACGTACGGATATAATCTCTTCTGTAGAGATCCAATTGCATCCTACCTTTCGACCTCCACATATCCATCTTTCACAGCCTCCTTTTGAGATCCGCCGCAAAGGATGGGGGTACTTCGTCATCACCACAAATATAATCCTCAAACGAGGTTGGAGTTGGGTTTCTGAAGATGCAGAGGAAGTGCCGTTTAGGGATGATGGTGCAAAGGGCAAATTGCCATTGGATTGGACGTTGGATTTTGATGGGTTCGAGGGGAAGGGCAGTATGGGGAGGTGCAGACTCAAGGTCAGAAAAGAGGGACGAGCAGAAAGGAGGCAGAGGGAAAGAGAGGATAGAGCTGTGGATGGGAGGTGGGAGGTCGAGATGGTTCATGATGAAGAAGATGAAGACGAGGAGGATGAGGAAGATGATGAGTATTTTGACGAGGATGAGTAGACGACTTGACTCAATCAGGAACATTGACCCTTGTTGCTCTGCTGGACACACTCTCGATGACTAGAATTCGCCTACATCTTTGACAGCTCTATGTTCTCAGTGCTTGATGGAAATGGTACATGCTCTTGGAGCTGATACAACAACCAACCAAGGCTACGGCATCGACCACCGCTGTCATGAATTCAAACCGCTCGAACAACTTCTGTATAGCTTGAGCTTTCAGCATTGCCAGGAGCAGACGTTTGCAAGGTCGCCAGCAAGAGAAGAGCAGCCAATGACACCATCTCTTCCAGTTCAACCGCTATCGGTGCACCTGAGGAGGTGGCCGAATCTCCCGTCGCGAGCGCTGCTCTGCTCTGGCAGGACGCCCTGCGCCCAGACAGAAACAGGTCAATCTCCGCTCAGAATCTGGGCTTTATCGCGGATGGACTGACTCCCTCCTGGGGCAGTCGCAGCACGGCATGAGTTCATCCGCTAGAGTTGGTTACCGTGGAGATGCTGCCTTGTACCTCAGGGATCCTGACCTCGACTCTGACGCTGCCAGCCTTGTTTCCTACAGCGAAGGTCGGCATGAATGAAACCCTGGATCTGTATGTTCCAGCTGGTCAGGGCCCCTTTCTACCTCGAGAGGGGAGATCATTGATGAAATATGACGAACGTTCTGAAATAGGCTTTTGTATTCATGAATGCCTTTCCAGGCCTCTTCGCTAATCCATAACTTGCGAGATGACGGCAAGGCGCTTGTTGACTGGAAACCTTGTCCGGATGTCGTTGATACATGCAAGATATTTATGGCCGTAGAGTTGGCTTTGTGTACAAAGTATTGCACTCTCGACTGTATTCAGGATCCGTATCAAATACATAAAGCTATCCCTATCTTCTATCTATACTGAAGCTCCATGCGCACGAGTCCAGCTCATGCACGATTTCCTTCTCCAATTGACGAATAATATGCTTCCGCGCCTTACAGAATATCCCATAAGGATATCGACCAAGGTCAGTCTTCAATACATAAGACTTCTAGCAAAGACGACGACGACCAAGGCCCATTGAGCAGTGCCACCTCTCTTGACCACTTCTTTCTCGACGTTGTTACCGCTGATGGAGACAACGCTCGGGATGATGACGGTGATACTAGTGGTTGCGAGTGAAGTTGCGTTCGAAGATGTAGAAAGATCTCCCATTCTGCTAGTTGTGTAGTTCGATTGGGTTGATGCAGAAGCGATAGCTGTGGCGACGGTCGTGGCAATAGTGGTTGTGCCTGCTGCAATGAGTGTTGTGGATGACTGCAGCCGGGTAGACGGTGGAGTATCACCGCTAATGCTGCAGAGCGAGGACAGATACATGTGTGCAGCTACCGAATTGGTTAGCATTAGTTCAAGAACTTCGGAAACTTTGAGGCAACTTACCCTGATTGTCGGATGCAGTTCCTCCTTCGCCACACGACAGCAACACACTTTGACCACCCACGAGCCAGCATTGCCCAGTCGAAGCAAGAGTAGCGTCAAAAGGCACTTCTCTCGTGCCACCCACACAGTGACTTTCCTCAAACAATCCCAGCGAACAGTCTGTCTGGATGCCGTTCTGGCCAGTTGAGATCAGAAACGATTGGAATGGGTAAGAGCTAGTCTGGCAGATACCAGGCTGTAATTGTAGCATGGGCTGAGACTGAGGCGATTCATCACTGGCGCTCTGTTGACATGAGTTGTCATGGCTGGGTGTGAAGAACATGCTCGTACGAGTATTGGCATCGGATGAAGAGACGGAAACGCTGCACGAACCATCGATGCATAAGGAAATCGCGTGTGTCCAGTTTGACGAGCATGTCAACGATGAGTGTGGATTGGGATAAGGTGACATGCATGCTGACTGTAAGGAGTTAGCAGAAGTGGTGATTTCAGGGGAGGAAGGCTTCAAGGCACCAAGCAGGGCGGTATGTTGGTTCTGTATTGAGCTAGTACAAACGATACGGCGGAATGAGCGAGGAGAAGCTTCATGTCCTTGTTGTATTCATGAACGTCTTGGACAATGGATTTGGGGCTGCCCTGTCCGAGCAATTCAAACCTCGAGTCAGACACCCTCTGATGAAATCAGCAAGGAATGATGTTTGGAGCGTGGAAGCGAACGAAGACAGAGATTTCCTGTTGTTGAGATCAGCGAGGTAAGTGGCTCTTGATTCTTGCCGAAGAGACAGCAGTCGCTGCTTCCTTATTTAGCATTCAGATATCATGTTTGCCAGCTCCTGAGTAAGGAAAGTCGAGTCTATGTGACGTTAATGCTGTGATCATGTTCGACAAGTTGGTAGTAACGAGTTCATGTTTTTGGACAATTGCATTTGGTGTCAAGGTTATTCTACTACACCCTGCCTCTTCTTCCCGGAACGCCTTCGTGTCAGCCGATGCATGAAAGAGCCCTGTCAAATGCGCCGGGCTGTTTGGAACCTCCTGTAAAGTGGTCCCTGAATAAATAAAATTACAACCATGACATGATGTTGCATAGTGTGTTAGTATGATGAGATCGTGATAATGAGCAAAACCGATGGTGCTTGTCCTTGCTCTAGTTGTATTGTGCGTAGGCGGCAGTGGAGTTGAACTTGAGACCACCACGAATGACCTTCTCGACAGCGCTGAGGAAGTCCTTCTCGGTAGCGACCTTTCTGCGGGCACGAATGGCGAACATACCGGCCTCAGTCGCCACGGATCGCAGCTCAGCACCAGTTGCGTTGGGGCATAGACGAGAAATGAGCTCCCATCTAATGTCACGCTCCACACTCATACTCTTTGCGTGAATGCGCAAAATGTTGGCACGACCCTCCATGTCGGGCAGAGCGAACTCGATCTTACGATCGATACGTCCGGGACGCATGAGCGCAGGGTCAAGAGTAGAAGGACGGTTGGTAGCGAACATGACCTTGATGTTTCCACGAGCATCGAAACCATCGAGTTGGGTGATGAGCTCAAGCATGGTACGTTGTACCTCGTTGTCACCACCAGCGCCATCATCGAAACGAGCACCACCGACAGCATCAATTTCGTCGAAGAAAATGATACAAGCCTTCTTTGTACGGGCCATCTCGAAAAGCTCACGGACCATGCGAGCACCCTCGCCAACGTACTTTTGCACCAACTCTGAACCGATGACACGGATGAAGGTAGCGTCTGTTCGGTTTGCGACGGCTCTCGCGCAGAGAGTTTTACCAGTTCCAGGAGGACCATAGAGAAGAGCACCCTTGGGAGGGTCAATACCGAGATGAACGAAGCGCTCTGGTGACAGCAGGGGCATTTCGACGACTTCACGCAGCTTCTCAATCTGCTCCTTGCAACCACCGACATCGCCATAGGTAACGTCAGGCTTGTCTTCGACGGTCATCATGGTGACCGAGGGATCGATCTTGGGTGGCAGGGGGAGCATGATCTGGTACTTGTTGCGGTCGACACTGAAAGCATTGTTAGTGAAGTTTGGGTGCAGACATACGAAGACTCGACTCACCCTACTCTCATGCCCTCCTCGATATCGGTAGGAGAAACACGTTCACCAAGGTTGACAACGAATTTTGCTATTTGCTTGACGTTGATGACATATTTGCTCTTCTCCTCGTTCTCATCGGCAATGATCTTCGTGCAACGGGCGACTTGCAGTGGCTGTTCTTCTGACATGCGTTGTCTGTCGGCGGCGATATCCCAGAGATGCGGAGGGGCGAGACCAGTGTCTGATTCCTGCGAGGGTATCAGTATGGAAGGCGAGATAGATACGGGGTAGCGTATGATGATACCTTGACACCAATCTTCTCGTTGACACTTGTTTGACGATCCTTGATCTCCTTCTCGAGCTTCTTGAGGGCGGCGGCATAGGGAGCGGCGCCATATGTCTTCAGCACCTGGATATCCTCATCGGTCAAAGGAGTGATCTTCTTCTCCTCAACCTCGTCATCGGCAAACTTCTTCTGGTACTTTTCCCAGTTCTGACCCGTGGCACTGGGCATGGCGGCGGTGGTGGATTAGGTGTTGATGACGAATGCGGGAGTGAAGCGGCGGTTGGTGATGTGGACAGAGGACAGATTGCGGGTGGATAGAAAGTGGTTCGACCGTCCAGAGAAGTGAGAGATGGAGCGAGATATGGGCGATGGAAGATGTCGTGTGAGAGAGTTGTGGTTCAGAACAGCGATGGAAGGGCGATGAAGCTCTCGCCGGGTCGCCGCAACATGACGGAGGCCTGCCAGCAACAGCTCCAGAAGACGCTTTGCTTGGCAGCCTTCGCCGACGCCGACGCTGGACGCTCGAAAATTAATATCAACGACGAGCTCAATACTCTAGCAGTCCCGTATCCCGTGCTTGTTTCTCGCTCAAGCCGTCTCTTGCTCGTCGCATAATCCCAGCATACGCAGCAGAGACCATGTCGACCCAAACCGCGGCCCCCAACGCTGGCAACGCCGCCTTCAAGGTGCGAACTGGCCTATAAACATTCTAGCTCTCCTATCCATGCTAATGTCGACTAGGACAAGGAGAAGCCCCAGGCTGTGCGCACTGCCAACATTGTTGCTGCCAGAGGTATGTCATGCTATCTAGCTCCCCTTGAGACTGTGTACTGACTCTGTCTAGCCGTTTCCGATGCCATTCGTACTGTAAGCTAGCTGCCGACATGACCATATCTGGACTCTCATTGACAACAATATACTAGTCGCTTGGTCCTAGGGGTATGGACAAGATGGTACGAACAAGAAGTTCTCTTCATTTCTTGCGCAACCAGCTAACATACGCCAACAGATCCAAACCGGAAAGGGCGAAACCATCATCGTAAGACAAGACCGAATATCACTTCGACAAACCTCGAACAAGCACTGATACACTGGGCCAGACCAACGATGGCAACACCATGTTGCGCGACATGGCCGTCATGCACCCCGCTGCAAAGATGCTCGTCGACCTCGCAAACGCCCAAGACATTGAAGCTGGTGATGGAACTACCTCAGTCGTTGTTATTGCTGGATCTCTCCTTGGTGCTTCCGAGCGCCTACTGCAAAAGGGTCTCCACCCCACTGTCATCTCCGACTCGTTCCAACGCGCCGCAAAGCACGCCGTCGAAGTCCTGACCAACATCTCCATCCCCATCAACCTCTCCGACAGACAGACTCTCCTCAAGGCCGCTTCCACTTCGCTCTCCTCAAAGATTGTCTCACAAGAACCCAAGCTCGCTCCTATGGCTGTCGACTCTGTCCTGAAGGTCATCGATCCCAAGACCGCCGACAACGTTGATCTGAAGAACATTCGCATTCTCAAGAAGCCTGGTGGTGTTATCGATGACAGTGAGATGGTTGACGGTCTGGTCCTTAACCAGCAGGTTGTCAAGAGCGGTGGCGGTCCTACCAGAATCGAGAAGGCCAGAATTGCTCTTATCCAGTTCCAACTCAGCCCACCGAAACCCGACATGGAGAACCAAATCGTTGTCAACGACTACAGGCAGATGGACAAGATTTTGAAAGAGGAGAGAACATACTTGCTCAACATGGTCAAGAAGATCAAGAAGGCAAAGTGCAATGTCCTCTTGATTCAAAAATCCATTCTCAGAGACGCTGTCAACGACCTATCTCTGCATTTCCTCGCCAAGCTTGGAATCATGTGTGTCAAGGACATTGAGAGAGACGAGGTCGAATTCATCTGCAAGGTACGACATTTTTCAAGCATATTTTACCGAAATGAGGTATACTAATCTGCTCCTAGAGCACTGGTTGCAAGCCTATTGCAGACATCGACTCCTTCACCGAGGACAAGCTTGCCAGCGCAGACCTTATTGAGGAGGTCTCATCGCTCGGCTCGCGCATCACCAAGGTTACTGGTATCAAGTCAACAGGTCCCTCCGCCCCCAAGACCGTCAGCATCATCTGCAGAGGTGCCAACCCCCTCATTCTGGATGAGGCCGAGAGAAGTTTGCACGACGCACAGTGTGTGTTGCGCTGTTTGGTAAAGAATAAGGCCCTCCTTCCTGGTGGTGGTTCACCGGAAATGGCTGTCTCACATTCGCTCTCCAGACTCGCCCTCACCTCATCTTACCCAGACAACATTTGCTTCAAGGCCTTTGCCGAAGCACTCGAAGTTGTTCCCATCACTCTAGCAGAAAACGCTGGTCTCAACTCCATCAAGGTTGTCACAGAACTCCGATCACGACACGCAAATGGCGAGACGAATGTCGGCGTCAGTATCAAGCGTGGAGGTGTTGGTGTCATGGGTGGAGAGGTTGGTGGCAATGCTGGAGAAAGTGGTGAGGGTGTCATGCAGCCTCTTTTGGTCAGCACCAGCGCCATTGAATTGGCTGCTGAGACTGTCAAGATGATTTTGAGAATCGATGACATTGCCCTGAGTAGGTAAATGTCAAAAAGTGTTGTCCGTCAATTAGCATATGAAAAAATCCAGATGCACAACAACAGGCTATATTTTGAATGTCTGTAAACACAAACTCCCAATGTAAAATGAAGTATGATGCACAGTGACTCGATCTCTTGTGCTGTCGCAACGGGCATACAGCTGATGATCGCTTTCCAATCTCTTTTCGATCACATGGAGTGTTCAAGTGCTCCGCGCTCACATCAGATATGCACGAGAGTTGACTGTCAACTTTGCGCCGCAAAGCCACACCCGCAAGATTAGAGGTTGCAACAACAACAAAAAGTCATCGACGGCAATTAGGCCTTCAGCTGGAACCACTGGAAATATCAAGAGACACATGCTTATCAAGGTCTGGTCTTGCAGACACATCTCGAATTCGTAAAGATATGCAGCATCCCCCAACTTGATGTGTCGAGGTCGGGAAGCGAATGATCTTCAGCTCATCAGCAGCACGCACAGGGGCTAGAATTTTGCGCTGTCTCTGCACACTGCAGCTGTACCGCGACCGTTGAGCTTCGCTCGCTGAGATTGTGGAGTAAAAAAGGCAACCAAGAAAACCAATAGCGGCAAGACCGAGTTGGGGAAGCTTTATGGGTGCGTGCATGATTATTGAGACAAGAGAAGAGAGTTGAGATAAGGAAAAGATTATTGACAGGAGAATGTGAAACCTGTACCACCTGCGCGTAGAGATTGGCTCTATGCAGTGTTTCTTCAGCTCTTTCGATGTTGACAGTGTGAAGGATGCGGTCGTGGGGACTCGGATACAATATGCAGTGCCAGTGGTCCAGCCATGGATAATCTGGAGACGTGGGCGAGTGTTGGGCTTGGCAAGGCCAGGCTAAAGGAAACGCTTCGACGCCCTTGACGAAAGCGGTTTGTGGTTCGGGCGGCGACGGGACATGGATGGATTCGAGCATAATCAGATGGCTGTGGATGGGCAAGCTTATATTGGGGATGCGCGATGGGTAGAGGCGGTGTCCAAGGTACCGTACCGTTGTACAATATTTCTCTCTCCTGTCTGCTTTTCGCATTCTTTCTGCTCTGTTTGTGCATTTTGGTTTCTCGTCGGCAGGTCTCAAGGCAGACCAAGTGTCGATTGTCAGTTGGTTGCTTTTGCAGCAGCGTACGTATTGCGCCGGTAAACCCGATCTTCTCCAGCCGCCGATCTCCTGCTCTGTGGTCATCACGCTGCAAGGTCGAGTCTGCCTTCTCGTTCCAGCGGTCAAGGATTCTCATTGTTTCTCCTTCACTTCCACGACTTCTACGACATTCAAGCGATTAGACATTCGTATTCTTGGTATTCTTGGTTACTCTGCATAATTCACCTCCGGTCCCCCGCCTACTCCTCCATCTCCACGCCTGCCGCAACGCACTCAGCCGACGTACCGGACATATCCAACAGCCCGTACCTTACAACCAGAGTATGCCGTGTCTCCTCGTCGTCTCACCCGAATCAGTCCAACTAAAATAGTCTGTAGCACTCGTTAATTGCTTGTCCTATCGTGCGAGCATTGCCCCTTTCACTATCAATCTCTGGTCGAAGCCTCCACGACGTCTACTCAGCCAGGCCACTCAGGACGACCTGAATTAGTTTGCAACACGTCCCCTTCGGTGCCATCACCACATTAAATCAGGGTTATGAGGTAATACCCTCATCTGAAATATCCAGCCTGCTTCGATCAAGCACATTCCGCCCACACATTCCATCATGTCATCCGAGCAGCCACGTCGCCGGTTCGATCCGACTCCTGTCGAGACATCCTCCAAGTCAAACCGTCAGACAGCACAAACTGGAGAGAACGCCGCTCCGCGAAAGTTCAATGTCCAGCCGGCCGAGACCACAACACGAAGCAGCAAGGATAGCAACACAAATGGCCGAGGTGTCAATCAGTCCCCACCGAGGCGTTTTAGTCCAACACCCGTCGAGACTAGCACAAAGAGCTCAAGAGATACACAACAGCCACAACAGCCTGCTAGAAGATTCGCACCAGAACCAGTCGAGACCAGTGTGAAGAGCAGCAAAGACAAAGATCAAGCGCCATCACAACCCGCTAGGAAATTCGCTCCAGAGCCTGTCGAGACAAGCACCAAGACGAATCGACAGTCGGATCCACCAGCAGACAAGCCCAAGTCACGCCTTCTACCACAACCAATTGAGATGACATCAAACAGCAACCGTGCAAAGTCAAAGTCGCCTCAATCCAAGTCTCCTGCAACAAAATCTCCTGCATCGAAATCCCCTCAAACAAAATCTCCGCCGAACGAAGAAGCAGTGTCTCCTTCGTCGCAGCCTCAAGATGCTCCCGCCGAGAAGCCAAAACGTAGATTTGCTCCACAGCTCATTGACACATCGAGCCGCTCTCGAAAGAACTCAGACGAGAAACCTTCATGGTCTGCAAACCATAGAACTGACATCACACCCGGAGAGGAGAGCAGAGTTGCATACAACAACATAGGTCAGCAAATTACTATTGCCAACCGCGAAAACACAACTTCACCTACCGAATACCCACGATTCGTCATGCCCTTCGCTCGCCGAAAAGAACGATCCGATTCCGCTCGCAGTCACTCGTTCCGTATGCCCGAACTCGAGACCATCGAAAGCTCCGAGAGTGAACCCAGTGCGCCACCAAGTCTATCTACCAGCCCTTCATCCAACGACTTCTCGCTTGGAGCAGCCATGGAACCAATAAATCCTGCATACAAGCATGCTACGAGGATTCGAGAGAGTGTTGATGAAACCTTCAGCCGCTATCTCCTCGAACTCGAGGGGAGAAAGGCTCAGGCGAAGCTCCAAGAACAAGCGCTGGCAGCCTTCCCCAACTCTGACATTCACGAGCCTGTAGCACATTTCATGGATGGCGAGAGTGAAGATGAGGAAATGGACGACCGGCCCGCGACATGGGAGGGTCACGATGACGACGATTTCATGATGAACGTCCGTACACCACATGGTCGTGGCTCAACGCACGGAACTTATGAGGTTCGTGAGATGCACCAACACTTTGAAGAGATGGAGCAAGAACGCAAGGCTGCTGGTACAACAAGGAGAAAGTCTTCTGTCAAGCCTTCACCATGGTGGAACCCTGCTGGTCACGACTTTGCTGGCTCCAATTATCCTGATAGCGAGGCACGAGCAATGCGAGACAGAGCACGCCCACCTATGCTTGGTAATGATCTGACATTCCCTCGCTCGGCCTCTCCCGAACCTGCACGTTTCGACGTAACACAGGGATCAAATCAATTGCGTAGTCAGATGTGTTACTTGACTGAGCAGTCTCAGACAGAAGTCTCACCAGAAGGACTTTGGGGTGGTAAGAAGACATCGAGAGATCCATCTGAACATCAGAAGACAGTACAAAAAAGCCAGCACACCATATACAGTCAGAAGAGTACGACTTCGCAGAGTGGTGGTGGACTTTGGGGAGGCTTCTGTGTTGACGATCGCAAGTCTGGCGAAAATGGCCTTGCTCCTCCAACATCTGGCACCCAAACTGGTCTTATGACACCTGCTGTTGAGCCGCCGAATCCGTTCGAGTCTGGTTTCAGCCTGCCTCCATCAACCATACTCCCCAAAACGCCTCAGACGCCTCCAGATAATGTTGACTTTGCTAAAATCGACATCATCCTAAGCGAAGATCAAGATCTGGACGAGGTCATGGAGCGCGAATTCCCTGACTCATTTGTCACGCAAGTTTACAACTATCTCTCTCTGGGCTATCCAACTATTGCTCGAGCTTACGATGAGGAATTGTGCAAGATTAGCCACATGCCCATTTCTGATCTTCGACATGACGATGAGATTGCTAAGAAGATGCCTCGTGGGTACATCCGTTTGGGCGAGGACTTCGAAGGCAGAGGCGACGGTTCAGATCAGTTGCTTGAGGAGGGCGGCTGTGCCAGATGGACAGCGCTCAAGAGATACATTCGCGAATGGGCACGCCAGGAAAAGAATATGGTCAAGACTGGCTCAACGGGCATAGGTCTTGGTGGCAACTGGGGCACTGGAGCTAGAAGGGGTAGTTGGGCGTTCTAGAGGTTGTGCGCTTCCTCTCTTGTCGATGCTATTTTGATATTGCTATTGCATTGGGTCGGCGCTTTGTTGTTCTCGGTTGGATGGATTGCATTCTAAGCACACACACAAGGTCGTGGCTTTCAACACATTTTTCATAGTTAATAGCTATTACTTTGAAGACAAAAGCGATTACTTTTTCGAATCCAATGACACCACTCAATAAATCGCAGTAGAGAGAGGTGAAGACAATCCGGAAGGTCCAGACTCGCAAGTTATGCAGCACGTGATTATGCACGCTTATGCAACCCCGTACCAAGAATTTTTTCTTCCATAACTCTTTCTCGACCATCATCCATCATTTTATCTCAATATCATTTTCCATATCACAACATGTCTTTGGTTGGAGCACTTCTTTTCTGCAACGATTGCGGTGGCCTTCTGGAGCGATGCCCCGCTTCGCAAGCTAACATCGACTGTGATGTCTGCGGCAAGAGAAACAAGAGTAGGTCGATTTTTCTTTTCTCTCTCATCTAGCGTTCATGAATGTCACGAAAGAGCAAGAAGCCACACTGTTTCTGTCCCATGCCCAAGATCTCCAGGAACTATAATCTCCAGAAACATGTTTTGCTCCAATCTTTCTTATTCTAACCTAATCTCTTCCCACAGACAAGTGGCCCACATCCATCACCACCGAATCAGCACCCACAGCATTCCCTTCGCGCCTCCGCGATGCCCGCTCAGAGATCCAAGTCTTGTCTGCTGAAGACCGCGAGACTTGGGCCATGACGACTACAGCATGCCCTCAATGCGCCAACCCTGAGATGAGATTCAGAGATGTGCAATTGAGAGGTGCGGATGAAGGAAGTACGATTTTCTACAGATGTCCCAAGTGTGATTACAAGTAAGTGTGCTTTCGTGAGAGATGTGGAAGAGGAGGACAGGCGGCTGACTTGTGCAGATTCAACACCAACAACTAAGGTGGCTTCTTGGCGGAAAGGTTTGGAGAGAACATGGCTGGCTGTGAGGCAAGTCAAGAATAAATGCATTGGAGAGGAGTGAAAAAGTGATAGTTTGATACCCCCGTTTTAACAATCTTTTGTTTGTCAATTCTGCGTCGGACCCTCACTCCGATTTCTTTCTCCTTCGAAAGTTACTTCCCTACTCACATCCTACACTCGCTTGCTCCATTGCGCCGCAGCGACCCTCTCTCACTGTAGCTCACTTCTTTCACCTCACCTCCCAACACTTGATCCCAGTTCTCACACCTTCCTATATCTACTCTGCTTCTCCCTCTTCCACTTCCAGCCTCTCTTACCATCATCCAATCCTTACCTCAACTCGACACAACAACATCCACTACACCAACACAACATAATACTGCAATCCAACACAACAACAGAGCACTCACACTACTTGGTTGCAACTCTGCCCTAGGCTGAGGTTGAGGCGCGTCGCTTTCGACTCGCAAGTCTTCGATTTTAAAAGCTGTTGCTCACCTCTTTCTCCATCAAGGACTGTAGAGACACGTAAGTAAATCATTCTATATAAAGATCTTTGCAAAGTTAAACCAGTGTATCAGAATTCACACTTGGCCAGAGACCAGACACGCTCAGCTCTCCTCTCGCAGCTCTCCTCAAGTCTTTCTATCACACCTTCGACATGAACTCCACACCTCCATCAGTCACCATGGACAACCTGTGCGCTGTCTGTCCACGCCCAGGCACGCTCTGTTCTGGCTGCAAGAACATTCGCTATTGCTCTCATGCTCATCAGAAGCAAGACTGGGAGATGCATTGGACTGTTTGTAAGCAGTTCAGCGAACTTGGCGACCGCCCCTCTCGCGATATGAGACGTGTGATCTACTTCGATACCCCTCTTGGAGAGCATCCCAAGTTCAAGTGGCTACCACTGATATTCGGAGAGGACTACGAACAACCTGATTGGGAGAGCGAGAAACTGTTGGGCCCCGGTGATCCCGCATGGACTCGCGTTGACTTCTCGAAGAACTCGGTGAATGACAAGGAACTGCATCACACTATCTTTCTCGTGCACTTGGTGGTGCGCGGGAGCTGTCGCCAAAGCGATGCTAAGTTCAACGATTCCGTTTACGATATAACCAAGGGAGCCACTACCAACCTCATGGGCCCCATCGTCGCCTACGGAGTTCTGGAGCCGGATTATGACGCAGATGAATTGGAGCCCGAGAGATGTATTGACCTGGACACAACCGATCTTAAGGCTATTGTCAACTACTTACAAGGAAAAGAAAATCCTGGCCGTGAGAACATCGTCGTGAAACTCAACTGCAACGGACTCACTCAGAAGCCGCCAATCGAGCAAAGCAAGCTGATGAACTTCAGGCCCGACGCAATCTTTTCGGGTGTTTGGCTCTACTTCTCCCCACTCTCTAAGATCCTGGGCATCCCTCTTCTCCTTTTTGCTACCTCAACCGAATCTGGACTTGACATCACCAATGATGCGGCAGATCTTCTCATGATCCCTTGCGAAAAGGGTGCAAAGAACTGGGGAAAGGTGATGTCTGAGTGGCGTGGATCTGAAGGCAACATGATTGTCATGCGCAGAGATGGCCGCTTCCTCGATTACATGTATCTCAGGCTGATCATCGCCTGGATCAAGAATGACCTGATTCCTCTTTTCAATGCAGCACGCAGAGAATGCCAAGCGGAGAGAAACAAGGTCAAGAAGGACAAGAACTACTATGGAGAAGCCGCAAGAAAGATTCTCAAAATTCATGAAAAGATGACCTTCGATCACATCACCATGGACAGATTCGAGGACTACACTGGTGAGATCCCTGAGGCAATTCAAGAGTACGTTGTGACCGATGACGAAATGCCACACGACCACAAAGAGCCTGAAGAGAGTGACAACGAGAGCGACCAGTCTGACGAGGATGGTGATCAAGCTCACTACAGCGATGATGAAAAGTAGTTGCTCTTGTCGCTCACGACAAAAAAAACAGGGCACGCTCTCCCAAGTATTATTCTGCGTTGCAAGATTTCACACTCTACATCCTTGCATCTGAATAGTCTGGACAACAGTCGAGAAGAGTTATCTGGCTTGCAGATAACCATTTAGCTCTATTTTTCCCTCAAGAATTCTTGATTGAAGAACAGGGTCGTCCTCTTGGTTACCAGAATCGACCAATCTCTTTCTTTCATTTCTTTTGGTTTTCCATTTCTTTCTCGTTTCTTCTATCTTTGGTAGACGAAGGAATGACCTGCAAGCTTGGAGAGAGGCGGGGCAGTCTGAGCGGCTGCATTTGGATCCCTGACCACACACTGGAGTTATTACCTTTATCGAGTTTTCCTCGCAAATGCAATGAGAACAGTTTTTGGCCATGCGAAAGAGAGAATCTGGCGAAATGAAGGCACTTCCCAACGCAGGAGTTGATCAGAGACAAGATAGCCCGTATAATTTCGAGTAGCAATAGCAAATTCTCTAATCGATTTCACCTCCCCGGGTGCTAGAGATAGTCACAGTGTAGCTATCAAAATGCACAGTGGTAATTTGAATATAATTGCTATCCAATGAGGTAGTCTTCAGTCGGGCCCTCTCTGTAGAAGCCACATTCTTCACGAAAGTATTGTTCCTTTTCTATAGCGACGCTGTGACTGTGTTTAGCACACGGGGATGCAGTCCTGCATAATCGTGAAGAGAAGAACTTCGAGGCACTAAGAGTTTATACAATCACATGCAAGATGCAACAATCGACGTCATGTCGCCAAGGACCGTGTCCCACCAGTCTACGGTTCTAACAGTCTGGGGTAGCATGGGTGTGCCGAGGCTATTGGAATGTTTTAGAGCCGGCTGTGGTCCCCTCGGCTGGCCCATGAGATGTCACAGGGCACATGGAATATTTGGAAGGAACGATGATCTTCTTTTGCTTGGAAAACCTACTGCACCTTCCTACCTTGTCAACTTGATCTCTGCAACTCGAGATCAGCAAGGACCATAGCATCTCTCGTACCGCAACCAGCACTCCTCGCATCCTCACGCGACACAACCACCAAGATGGACATCTCTACCCTACAGGTCTGCTACTGCCCAGATCACTACACTTGCATTCTACTGACACTCTCACAAAGGCAGCAGCCGAACGCATCATCCTCGACCCTTCCTACCACGCTCCCCTCACCCTCCTAAAAGCCATCCGCAATGGCCTCGTCTACGGCACAAAAGTCCGTTTCCCGCACGCGCTGGTCATGATCCTTCTCTTCCGCTCCGGTCCCCTCCCTCAAAAGATCTCCGCAATCCTGAAAGCAACACGCCAGCATGCCAAAAACCTAGCCACCTTTGCATTCATCTACAAAGCATTCATGCTGTTGCAAAAGAGTATAAGACCTGGAGGTAAAGAGTTAAAAGCCGATAGTTTTGTGGCTGGGTTGGCGGGTGGTTGGTATGTCTTTGGCCGCAGCAGGAATAGTGTGAACCAACAAATCGTCATTTACGTTGCTGCGAGAGTGGTGCTTGCTGCAGCGAGTCTGGCTGTTCAACCTCGTGGTGACAATACTTTGCTAGGAGGCAAGTATGGCGGAAGGGGAGGTATGGGGTTGTTGAGTTTGTCGGATGAACACAGAGAAGCTGTGAGAAAACATGCTTGGCCTGTGTTTGCGAGTTTGAGTTGGGGCTGTGTCATGTGGCTGTTCAGGTTCTATCCTGATATGCTGCAGCCCAGTTTGAGGCATTCCATGACTTATATGTGGGTGCTTGTTTTTGTGTTGCCTGAAGATCAAATACTGACAACAATCCCAGTTACGAGAACGCCGACCACTGGGACTCGTTCAGGAACTTTTTGGTGCACAACAAATGAGGTGGGAACATGGAAGAGAGCCACTGGGGACACTGGATACACAATACGACTTTACGGAAGACATCCTCGTTACTTTCTCGCTATGGCGCTACCATCTCAGCGATAACTTCCAGGCAAATGGACGGATGGATCTGCGAAAGCGACCCTCAAAGCTCCTCGATGACATCTTCAATAGCCTGTATGCCGTCAGGCATAAAGACCTCGAAGCCATTGTCGACGACCTCTGGAACTCTCAACGCGCCTCCACGCCATTTGAGCCACTCAGGTCTCTTCAACCACTCCGTCCAAGCATCCAGCTCCATAAACTTCGGCTTGACGACTTTTGACTTCGAAACCAGTCCTATGACTGCCATCAAACCCTTCTTGACGAAAGCATACAACCAAGCAAAAGGAGCAATTACCCAGCTTAGATCTGTCAGGCTGAACCAAAGCCTCTTAGCCCAAGCGAAAGGAGCCACGATCCAGGTTCTGAGCAAGATGAACAAAGCGATGGCCTTGAGCACGTAGCCCTTGATCCAATAGTATGCAGCAATAGAGATTGCAATGGCAGCAAAAATACCGACGATTGTGATAGCGATGCGTAGAGGTCCCCTTTTTCCACGTAAAGTCTCGTCAGCAAACCGTATCTTCCTTGTTTCATCTCATCTTTTTTGATTTTCGACTTTTTGTTGCTTTGCTCCATTCGTGTTCTTCTTTCTTCTTTGCTGCAGTTTGAGGGAGGGGAAAGATTTACCATTGCACACTGCCAGAAGCTTGTGCTCCTGCTCCCCAAGCGTCATTGCCCGCAGCAGGAGTATCCCAGGCGGTGGCGTCTTGCGCCTGTTGTCCCCAGTCTCCATCTGCACCGGCAGCTGGTGTGTTCCAATCGGCATTTCCAGCAGCAGCAGCATCTGCATCCTTGTTCGATTTCTTCGAGCCTGACTTCTTGGATGCGCTCTTTTCGGCATTGTTGGCCGAGGGATGGTTGGAGGGCTCCTTGGTGGTAGGAGTCTTGTGGGTTGACTCAGGGTAGGACCCAGGTGCCTCTTTAGCCTTTTGCGAGGGAGTCTTGGAGGCAGGCTTTGAAGGGACCTTGGAGGCAGGCTTAGTCGCTTCAGCAGGAGCTGGGGTATCCCAAGTAGTATCCCAGGCAGCAGCAGGTGCGGAAGCTGGCTTTGAGCGTTTTGACTTCGCTGGTGAGGGTGTTTTGCCTGTGGTAGGCATTTCATGAGCATTGCTTTGGGTGGGGAGTTCGTTCTTGGTCTCTTGTTTAGCAGAGGCTTTGGCGACGCTGGCTGCTTTGTTCTTGGTACTGTTCTCCCTTGCCATCTGTGTCTCGTCAGTACTCTGGTGTTGATCCGGACACGAACAGAGGCTGTAAAACTTACGCGCAGTCTGAACAACTCATCAGCCAACTCATCCTTTGACATATCCGCCAACTTTGCCTTGAGAGCTTTTCCTTCTTCCTTGATCTCGATCTTGAACTTCTTCTCAATGACCTTTTTGCTGCGGTACTTGAATGTAAACACAGCATATGGCTGCTGCATACTATCCAAGTACTCAGGGCGAGCACACAAATGCAGATAGGGTGCTCCTTTGCCTGTCTTGACTTGATGCTCAACATGTTTGGCACGAGCAGCTTGCTTGGGCACCAAAGGCATGGATTCTTCAGGAGCAATGTAGAGGGCTCTGGCTGGGCGGTACGAGGACATGACAGGACGTTTGTTCCAGTCGTTCCAGTAGGACTTGGGGTTTATGCCATCATGGTCTGGTTCATCAGAGGCGCCATCGAAGAGACCGAACAGGCCACCGAAGGAGCTTTCTTTTGCAGTTGCGGATTTGACGGATGCAGGTTTTGCGGATGCAGGTTTGGCAGACGCAGGTTTGGAAGGTGCTTTGGCCTTCGCGGATGGTTCTTTCTGTTTGTGGCTAGATGATGAGGGTTTGGATGGCTCCTTCTGTTCTTGGTGTACGGACTGCTTGGGTGTCGACTTGCTGACAGAACGTGAAGAACTCTCGACTGTGGCTCTGGAGGAACTTTGTCTACTCACAGGCTCACTGGGTGGGGGAGGTGGAGCATCTTTGCAGCGCAAGACAATGACCTCAATAGTGCCCAAGTTCTCGAGAAACACATCGTCGGTCTCCTCGACCTTGTCAGCAGACACTATGATTCATCAGTACCGCTTCCAAGCATCTCTGGAATCAAGGAAGTTCATACCCAAGTTCAAGCCATGGAAGGTCCAATCCCTGCCTAAGAAACTGCCATCAGGTTGCTTCGTCTCCTTCTGTCTGACGCGCAAATCAACCTCGGTCTGATCACTCTTAACACCTTTGCCTGGAACTATGAGACCACGTCTGTTGCGATTGCATTGATACTGGCCATCCATGTAAACAAACATGGCAAGGCCAGGTGCAATGTAACCATGAGAAGTGAGGTGAACGCTAAAGTTCACTTCCTCGCTGGGGACGGCAATGTAGCTGGTGACGTGACCATCGCCGTAGTCTTTACCGTATTCTGGGACTTTGGTGTGTGTGCTGCCTAGCTCGATGGAGCAGGTGAGCTGTTTAAGAGACGGCATGGTGATGTTGCGCAAGGGATGATGAGATGTGGTGATGCAAATGGTATTCAAGGAGGATAGAGAACAGGACTAAGGTGAAGATAGGACACGCGCAGAGCCAAGACTAGTTGCGAGTTCCGCGAGTGCGAGTGAAACGCGTCGTTGATGGTAGCGAATTTTCCGGTCTGGTTGCTATGCCGCCTTGACGGAGCTCATGAACCATAGACAGACACTGAGCCGCATCGTGGAGATGGCCTAATCCATCAGTGACACTGAGATGTCGAGACGAAAAGGGAGCAAAAGCGTAACAAGACCTTTACATATGCCCCTGAACAACTTAGGTGGCTTAAAGATGACATCCGAATCTGAAGTGAACGCTCACTTCAACCGACTTCACTCTTCCGTACTCCCACTCTATGGCCTTATATTGAAGCAGATCTTACTCCACCACAGAGTTAGGTCCTATGGCCCAACTTGATAAACCTCTCCAAATCGAGTGCGTGAATAGAATCAGGAGGTTGGTAGATTCATAGGTAGCAGACACGTACAGAACGAATGTGTGGGCGACAACAAAGCAAGAGCGACCCTGAGATAGACTATATAGTCCACAAAAATCCCCTTGCTTTCACCTACTCAGCCAGATGATGCGTACGGTGTGTTTGGCTGAGCGGAATAGCCGGTGTTCCCTACTTGTTCGATAATTACATCTCTTGTAGGTAAGACGAGCCGGGAATATTAGGTGTAACGCATCTAATTTTGCTGGTCGTGTGTTCGATTCTGGTCAGTAGTAGTTATGTTTTTTGCTTTGACTCTACACCTTCTTGGAAAGCACATGCGCTGGCCGTGTAAATACAATCCGGAGGTGCTGGGTTCGACTCTGCCCTGGGTCGGTCTCAGCGAGATGATTTGGTCGAAAAGATGTTTCCCACTCCATGGTTTCTTTTGCTCCGTCGACGATCATAGGATCTTTTCCTCTCTCTCCCTATTTCTTGTTTGCGGTATACCTTATACAGCTCCTCATCAATTCCAGACTTGAAACGTCCCCCACAATTACCGCCGAACAATATGTCGTGTGTCGAGACACTGCACGTTGAATGTCGATAGCACCGTGAAGCACATCGAGTTGAAGACCATACCAGAAAGATCTCAAAATATCTCGAAGGGGACTAACAAAGCGAACCAGAAAGGTCTCCAGACCACAAGAGGCTGCAGAGACAAAGGTGGAATGTCTCACTGACACCGGGCTTTGTTGATCTTATGGCTGACCAGATCCCATAAGACATTGAGAGAAGCAGCCAGATGGAGGAGATGTTTGCTTGCCTGACTGTGAAAGGACATTGGAAGAGATGTCTCGGTCTCATATCGTGTTGCGCAATTCCAACACCTCTCATGGAACGGGAGTGGACGGATAAGTATTACTCCTCTTCTGCATACTTCTTCTCCTCTTCCAGTCACAAAGTCTTGTTGAACAGGTAGCATGGCTAGAAAGAGACCATCACCAGTCTTGGAAGAGGCACCCGATATCTCGACACCAGAGATGCCTCAACAGGACCAACAAGCACACCCGCACTCGAAATCGAGCCCACTTCCCGTATCCAGCGAACAACGTCGAAACAGAAGACGACTCTCCAGACGTGGCACATATCCAGAGCAGCATGAGAGCCAATGGGCTCATCAAAGAGTTAGACCATGGCAACTTAGGTCCATGCCAAATGGCATGCCGGATCCTCCTTACCCAGTCACACCTCCATCACCTGAGCGACCCCAGCCTGTCTTGCCTCCACTTGGCTACAGAGCACCGACACCTCTACCGCCTCCACTACCCCCAAGCGTACTAGCCCCGGTCCAGAGACCAGACAACAAGCAATCTCGTTTGCTGCAGCGTCAAAGACAGTGTGCACGCCAGCTCGATGCTTCGTTACCAACACTCAGTCTTTCAGCTCTGGCGTCAGGCTCGATACTGCTGGTTTCTGCTATCCTGTTCGTCCGAAGTGTGATGATTGGCACACCTCATGCAGTCGTTGGAAGGTCAGCATTGATAGTCTTCTTCGCAATCTCGGTTGCAGCTTTCATCATGTCCTTTGCCTTGATCTTGGGCGTGTTGTGTCGAAGAGCCCGAGCCACCAAAAGTGCTGCTGCCAGAGCTCAAGCAAGACAAGAGATTGAGTTGATGGAAACAAGATCGCGTGCGAGCGAAGGTAGGCTACCCATGTATGACCGGAGAAGACGGAACGCAATCTGTGAGCTTCGGGATGAGCCAGGACTTGTGGTTGGTGCTACCCAATATCGTTCAGTACAGGAACAAGAGAGAGTCATCAATCGTCGAGATGCGCCACCTATCCGTGTAGCCTCAAGATACCTGACCGAAGTGCCGTTCTCACGACCTCCGACACCGCACCCAAGGCCACCTTTGTCGCCCCTTCTCCCGGCAGTGCCCAGTACACCTCCTCCACCCATACCGGAACGCAATCCCGCCCGTTTGCTCGTGGCAGCCAGGAAGGTTGGAAATGCTACTGATGCAGATGCTTTGAGCATGACCGCACAGCCCAGTCCAGAGTCAGGCATCCCGCCAAGGACTGTACCGATAAAAGATGTCCTACAGATCGATAATAAGGGCACCGTTTCTGGCCGCTCGACTCAGATGTTCAACCAGCACATGCTTACAGCAGGCATCCGCGAATTGCAAGCCTACCTCGATGCGCCTTCAAACTCTAGCTTGAACACTCTTGCAGCGTACCAACATAGCGAGAGTGACTCGTCTTCCACCCAAGCCATCATGAGTAATGATCGCAGTGTGTACAGCGGTGACAATGACCACATTGACGATGAAGAGGAGAGCCATGTTGGCGAGGCATCTGTGTTGAGTATGCAGAAGGTAGGCAAGGCACGTGAATGTTACGTCCCGGCCTCGAAGAGCAATGTGTCTGCGTCCAAGTCTCCCAAACTGAGCAAGCAGCGACGCTCGAAACTCAAGGTGTTCATGGAGACCTCAGGATCAGAGGGCAAGAACTTCGAGGCACGCAAGCATCGAAGCATGGTGGAGTCAATACCAAGTGCACCTCTTTTGCTTTCTCAACAGAAGAACAAGAACAATCAGCTTGCTGTCAAGAGACCACATAGTCTGAGTCCGAAGAAATTAACAGGAAATGTTTCTAAGCCAAAGGCAGTCGGCTTGGGTATCTCCATCGGCAAAGAGCAGAATAAGGAGAACTTGGACCCGAATCAGGCTGAGGTGGAAACGTGGAGTGCTCTGGGCGACCTTTGAAGTGTCATTGATATTGCGATGTTGTTCAAAGTTGATTCAATGTCTTCTTTTGGTTTCGGTGAAGGGATGAAAGATGGTGGGTTTCAAGATGCGATAGGGCCGAGCTTTCAGTCATTCCAACCTTCAATCTCAAACTCATGCCGCTGAATGTCGTTGTCTGTTGGATGTCCATTTTCGTCATACAGTGTTTTCTCAACATAAGTGACCTTCCCATCGTGATCGACGAGAATAATTGTCTGCTTCTGGGTGCCGTAAACCCCGGTATCAGTCTTTGCGTTGTGACCTACATCGGCAGCAGCAATTTTATCGGCCGAAGAATGCTCTACTTCTTCGCCTCCTATCCGTGGGATGAAGATGCTGTTGCGTAGTTGATAGACGTATGTCTCCCAGTCTTGGCCGTGCTTGCGACGAGGTAGAGTATCTGTGCTCAGGATATCAAAGAAGGAATTGAGCAGATCTTCTTTGCTCGAGCCAGCCGCAACATGCTCCTGAACTGCGGTCTCTAATCGCTTCTCTCCTTCAACGACCTTGGGCCATGTTCTGTCACCGAAATGCGAATTGCTAAGGCCCTGAACCTCGCCAGGCTTTCCACAGACCCAGGTAGTCGCCGATGCATCTTCGGTGCGATTCGAGATGATTGCAAGCCCTTCTCCATTCTTTGCACCGATATTCCTCTTACTCAACCTACCAAAGACGAGACTGAAGCCGCCGACATCACTTACACCAACATCTTCAACCATGTGTCGTGCAAACTCCTGTGAAGACTGGGTACTTTGCGGAGGCAATGATAGGAAGGCTTTAGGCAGACCTCCTCGCGACTTTGTGCCATATATCTGTGCGCCAGACTCGCGGTAATTGGTAAGACAAGCCAGACGACCCTGCTTGGTGAGGCCTAGCCATGTGCCTTGCTCAGGGCGTTGCAAGTCACGACCTCCAAGGACATGATCATTAGGAGAAGGCCAGAAAGCGGCTTTCGCAGTCGGACGAGTCAAGAATTCCTAGCCATGACAATGTTAGTCGGCAAAAGATGGCCAGGGTGGTGTTGGGCATGTTCACATCGCGGTTGTTCAACAAAATGAACGGATAGTCGGGATGGGCAGTCGTAAGCAGGGCAATACACATGGTGCAGGCCTCCGAGGATATGTTTCAGAGTTTGATAGTAGGCAGTTGGATCTACCTTGGAATGCAGTTGTTGTTTGTGGTTGAGAACTGCGACATGCCGCCTGTCTGTCAAATAGTGGCTGGACGGCTGAGTGCATGACGTGGGCCGACGGCTTCCGAGGCGCCCAGCTTTCGACAAGGCAATCGAGACGAGTTCATGAGCTTGACAAAAACACCATAGTAGAAGATAAACCTTCTTGTGCTCAAAACTGTAACATGGTCATGCTTTCAAGGACTATCAACAGTTCATAAGTACAATATTTCTAATGATGGCACGTCAAAATCACATGCGAGCGGAACAGCTCTCCACAAGCAAGCCGGCACCCGTCTTGTGTCCATCGGGGCATCCGTTGAGATCTTTGAGTTGCATGCGGCATAGCGTTTATACTAGTATGCCATGCATACTTACTTTAGTGCTAAAGCTTGATCAATATCTTGTTTATGTCGACGTCAAATGGTCACCAAGCGGCAACCCCTCCAGAGTAATGACCGCAACGATTGCGACTTGATCTTTAGGCGTTTGTCTTGTCTGCAGCGCCCCTCTACTTGTGCCGCTCCCACTTTCTGTAACGCTAACGCTACACTATTTCCGCATGTGGATTTAGCTGTGACACACTGTAAAACTATCCGTTCGAAAAAGTATACTGGTTCATCGTGATTCGCTGCTCCAACGACCGGATCTCCAAAACAGATCGACCTCGTAGATAGCCTCCGAGTTGAGGCTCGGACCGAATTTTCCTGACACGCTTCCAAAATTAAACATCAGACACGAACATTTCGTATCGCAGCGAGCCGCAAAGGCTTGTTCTCCTGTGGTGAACGTTGAGGGAAAACAAATCCCATGCCAGGCACAATCTAGAGAAGGAAGGTCCTCGGTTGTACAAATATCAAGAGAGGAGCGGATGGAGATCCGAATGTAGGGCTCATACAAGATTGTCTCAGGATGAAATGTAGAGATAGAGCGGGACCTATCAAGACTGACATGGCTAATCTCCCGATGCTTGGCCTCCATTTCTCCAAGAGGCGCCGCGGCTAGTCGGATACGGTACTTCAAGCACTCGTACGCCCACTTTTTCAAGAATATCAAGGTTTTGGGATAACCGTTTGCTGAGCTGTTGGCTTTGGTACAAGTAGAGGCTGGGACCTTCCTACTCATAATCGCTCGTTCCTACATTCTTGCATCCACGCTCGCTTTTGGACTTTCTCACATTCTTCAGCATTATCATGAAGACGGTAATCTCACTCTGCGCGTAGTGCCGCAATCGACAGAACGCGTTTACTGACTCTGAATCTAGACATCTGTTTCGGGCGCCGCTCTGGCAGCGGTCTCGATTTTCTCATCTTTTGCAGCAGCAGTCCAGCCTCTTACTGTCGATGGCGCCAACTTCATTACCAAGTCGAGTGGAAACCGCTTCTCAATCGTTGGTGTCGAGTAAGATCCAAATGACGCAAATTTGTCAACGTGCATCTCTAACGGTCAACTGCAGCTACCAGCCCGGCGGCTCATCCGGCGTCACCGCCACAAGCGACCCTCTCAGTGACCCTCAGGCTTGTTTGAGAGATGCAATCCTTCTGCAGCGTTTGGGTGTCAACACCATCAGAGTCTACAACTTGATTGCCGACATCAACCACGATGAGTGTGCATCCATCTTCAACGCTGCTGGTATCTACATGATCCTCGACGTAAACAATGGATTCGACAATTCGTACCTCGACCGCTCCGCACCCTGGACCACTTACACCAACGCATATCTTACCCATGTCTTCAGCATCATTGAGGCGTTTGCCCCTTACCCTAACCTTCTTGGATTCTTTTCTGGTAACGAGGTTATCAACCAGGACAGCGCTGTCAACGCTCCCGCCTACATTCGCGCTGTCACTCGCGACATGAAGGACTACATCGCTAAGAACGTCGCCAGAGATATTGGTGTTGGTTACTCGGCAGCTGATGTCGCTAATCTGCTCAGCGACACCTGGGAGTACCTTGGCTGCGACTTGGCCAACTCGACTTCTTCCAAGATTGATTTCTTTGGCCTGAATGACTATGAGTGGTCCGTAAATTCGACAAAAAACGACTGAAGAGCGTATTCAGTACTAACAAAATTCCCAATAGGTGTGGAGACAGCTCTTACATGCAGTCTGGCTACAACGTGCTCGTTCAACAATTCGGTAACACCAGCATCCCCGTCTTCTTCTCCGAGTACGGATGCAACAAGGTCGAGCCTCGCACTTTCACCAACGTTCCTGTCCTCTACGGCGATCAGATGAGCGTTCTGTCCGGTGGTCTCGTTTACGAGTATTCCGAAGATACAAACAACTATGGTCTTGTCAACATTACTACTGCTGATGAGATCCATCTCCTTCAAGACTACGGTTTCCTGGCCACTCAATACGCTAAGCTCGACGAGAACCTCCTTACTTCTGCCAACAGCACTGCCACTGGCCAAAAGCCTCCTACTTGTGATCCCAGCCTTATCACTGGTGCCGGTTTCTACAACAGCTGGGACCTTCCTCCTCGCCCTAGCGGTGTCGATGCCTTGATCAGCAGCGGTCTTTCCAGTGCCAACAAGGGCAAGACTGTTTCCGTCACTAGCACTGCCATGCCTGCTACCGTCTACGACTACGACGGCTCTCAGCTGAATGGTCTCGAGCTTACCGTTCTTGAGGAACAAGACAGCAACCGTCCTGGTCTTGCTGGCAACTACACTCCTTCCACCCCTACCGGTACTGCCGCAGCCACTAGCGGCAGCACTGGCGGTAGCTCTAGCGCTACTCGCAGCAGCTCTGGCAAGGCCTCGTCCACTGCCTCTCAGACTGCTGCCACAAGCAAAGGTGCTGCAGCACCCATGTTCGTCTCCTCGGGCGCCGCAACCTTTGGTGCTCTCCTTGCCTCTCTCTTCCTTTTGTAAGCGTGATAGTCGTCATATCATTCGCCGCAGCATGAGAGGTGACGCAGGATCATCACCCCTTTTCTTTGTATACCCCCATTTCATACGTGTATCATAATATTCCCATAATTGGTTTCTTGCATCAGCTACAAGGAGGCCTGGTCTATGACTTTTTTTTGGGCTACGATAGCCTTTTGCTTCTCTGAAACATACAATACCACTTTGTTTTGCTTGTCATGATTGCAGTACTCATCTTCTCGCTGTCTTTGCGCAGTCTGTTAGCTGTGCGCATGGTTTCTTGCTTCCCATCTTCATTGCCGCTGGCGTTAGCTATCTGCCCTTTCGAGAATTGCTTTATTCTTGGGCAATCACACTGAGTGTTTGTTTCCATCCGGCAGCGTCTATGAGGTTGTAGCCGCTTGTGTCGCATGTGAAGTTCTTCCAAACTTGAAGCAGGAGCTTTCGACAATCGCAGTTTCTCACAAGCAGGCAGGACACATCGGATATCTGCAAGAGCGACCAGCATCCCACGAAACCGAACTACGACGACCATTTCTCACTTTCGCCCACATCGCAAGCAATCAAAACAATCATCTGCGACGGGAACGACATCGACACTTCCATTCATATCCGCATTGTATCGATATCCATCGCTACCTCTTTTCTCATTGAGCCAATTACTTTCACTCTTGGTCAATCATTACCTCTGCCTTCTATCATCCATCAACTCCGTCTTCACATATACGTTGGAGTCTTCGATTCGACGAAACTGTCAATCGGTGTTCCAGCAAAATGAAGGATTACAATCACCATAACAGGAAGCAGTGTCTGATCTGCCCACGTGTGCAAGAGACAACTCCCTGCGTCAACTGCAAATGTTCCCATTACTGCAGCAAGGAATGTCAAGTGGTCGATCTGCCTGTTCACCGTACCATCTGCAAGTCGTTCGCACAGTTCAAGACCAAACCCAACCAAACCGTGCGCCGCGCTATCTACTTCCCAGTTGACCGCCCCAACCCCGAATTCGTGTGGATGAAGATGGATGAGCAATATGATTACACTCAACCTGACCTTGTCGCGATGCGAAAGTCTTTTTTGGCAGATTCGAAAGACTACATGTGGCCAATTCATCTCGAAGCAGATTATGCCCGTATGATGAAGATCTATCCTCATATCATACTCGGCTGTAGCTCGAAAGCACCCTCCCTGGATGAGCCGGTTAACCAAAGCATTACAACTTTGCTTGGCAAGGAGGGTCATGGTGTGAGAGGCTCATTCATCGCTTATGGCCAGATCAAGCTGAAAAACGAAGATGGCCAGAAGTATCCTGTTGTCACAGATCTTGACACGACCGACCTTACCATCATCACCAACTACTTTCTGGGACGTCACAGGTACGATGGAGCGGAAATGGACGCCGTGCGCATCTACAGCAACCGTAACAGCAGACTCGGTCACCGCTTCAATGCTAACACCATCATATCCACCAAGGAACTCTGCCATGGTGACCTCGGTCTTTTCTCTCCGATCTCCATCTTCTTTGGTATGCCACTTGCTGTCATGTACCGGCTTCCCCTGGGAGATAAACAGCCCGACACCCCGAAGATTCGCGAGGCAATTGAGAAAATCCGCGCAGAGCTGCCTCCAGATTCGGGCAACAGGCTGGCATCGCTCCTCATGATCGACATGGGCAATCGCAAAGGTGCTGTTGCCCAAGACTTTGGCACAATCCCTGCTAAGTACATATCATGTTCTCTCTTCTGCGACCCAGCCATACTAATACTTGAGCCTTGTCAGATATCTTGACCAGCTAGGAGACGCTATCGTCGTCCGCAAGGATCAGAAGCCACTGGACCCAGCTTACTTGGAGGCTTTCTGCACTTGGATCGAAGAAGATCTGCTCCCAAAGTTCACCGATGCCCATGAGCAGATCATGTACTCGTTGGCTACTGAGTATGATGAAGAGAGTCAAGAGGCTAGGGAGCAAGGCATTGCACTACTCAAGCTGAGAGACAAGATGTACGATCGTTGTTCGAGAAAGAGGTTCCGCGCTTGGTGCAAGGAGAAGGGTCTCCACTTGGGTGCTCTGTGAAAGGTTGATTGATTTTGAGAAGATGAAGGTTGGTGTTCCTGGGCCAAGTAACAAAAGATGGACGGGGGAAGTGATGCAACGATGAGAACTGGTCATTTGAAGATAGAGTTGGAGAAAACAGCAGTAGTTGGAATATCAGATCGGCATGCATCCATCATGAAGACAGTAGTGAGTTCTTCACTCAACATGATAAGTAAGGCATTGTGTATCATTGTGGCTTGCCGCTACTCAGAATGGCTCGTAGAATAAAAGACGACCCTCTAGAGCTCAAGGCTGAATGTTGGCTGTTTGGATGTTCGCGCATCGGACTTATCTCGAGTTCTTGGAGCGGAATGGTGCTAGATCAGCAAGCCAGGGATGGCACTCCACAACATCCTCCATCGCACTGCGATCATACATGCGACCACTGATACTCAACTCTTCTCTCCAAGCCCATTCCTCCTCACTCAGGGGGCTTGAAAAGTCCTTCTCCACTCTAGGTTCCTTGGCCTCCTTCTTTGCCTTCTTCTTGGCATCCCAATTCTTCTTGTATGCAGCAATTTTCTTCATCTGCGCAACTCATTCAGGGGAGCCGGCTTCTTCAGCTGTGAATTCGCGAACGGGTTTGCCCATAGCTCGCTGCTCCTTCTCCCAGGTATCGATGCATTCCTTGGTTTCGTCCACGTTCAAGACATTGCCTCGGCCTTCGAGTCTGTCTCTGTAGAATTGCTCGTTCTTGCATTTGAAAAATCCATACGTGAACCAGTCCTTGATGATTTTGAGATCAGAGGTATCCAGATTGATGCTCTGGGTCTCGGTACCCTGCTTCACGTCGACATTGCCGTATGCAATGATGGGACCTGCAAACTTCAGCAGAGAGGAGCCGCCGACCAGGTTGTTGATGGCGATGTTAGGGATAGATCCATCAGTTTGATACTCGTCACGGAACTGAATAGTGATACGGTGGCGCAATCTCTTGCCGGTCTTTGGGTCTTGCACAAAGCTTCTGAAGTCGGTCAGAGCAGGCGAGTTCTTCTTCCATTGATTGTCTGTCCCGAAGAAGTGGCCGCTATTGGGGCGATGGACCTTTCTGCGGTTGATAGGCATCCAGCGGAACTCGATCTTGGTGCTGTTGAAGGGAAAGACGATGACACGCATCATGTTTGGGCCTGGGGGGTCGCGTGCATTCTTGAAGGAGCGGCAGAGCAGCTTGTGAACGGCCCAGTCAGCCTTCTGGCAGTCACGGCCACAGTAGTGGATGTTCTCGCAGCTGGCGCAGAGTTTTCCAGGCTTGGAACAGACGGCACACTGGCCTTCAGTGGTAGTCATGATGATTCAAGGTGTTGGTGATTTGGGGAAGCAGTTGAAGGTAGACTAGAATGAAGATCTCACATTAGAACGTGGTTCTGAAGTAGCAAGGATGATAGACATACCGTGATCGGTGTCTCAAGACACACAAGCGTGTTGATGAGGAAGTGCTGACTGAGTTGATGTTATGTCACGCTTGAAGAGGTCAAAGGTGACCGAGGAGGGGAAGGAAACGGACTTTATCAAGGGTGAATGATGCCGAGAAGGACTGATGGTCTATAGTGAGCGACGGTCGGGCTGTCTCACAGTCGAAACAACAACAGAAGGTGAGAGAAAGCGAAGTGGAAGAAAAGTAATGATGATGTGTTTTCACTCACTCTTGTTGGTGTTGTCGCAAAATTGTTTGCGCTCAAGAACGCGCAGCTCACATACGATCAACAGAACAACTTATTCGCTAACCTGCAGCCTCACTTCCGCGACGATTTCAAATTCTGGTGACGCACTCGTTTTGGCTGCTTGATCTAGTATGATAAGACAGCTCGAAGCACAGGGTGCAAATAGAGAAAGAAGTAGATTCTGGGACGTGCCAGGGGTTCGAGTACACATAAAGCTCAGCGTAATTGATAGAAGCAGCAGAGAAACGCCGTGATAATCGTAATACCAACGTGAGATGGTCGTAGAAGCAATTACATGTCCTCGCGGAAGATGCTGCGGCGCTCCGAGGGAGAGTCGACAGACTGAGCACCAAGACTCTGCTGGTTCTTGTGATGCGGCGGCTTTTGAACTGAGGCTCCAAAAGATGTGTCAACAGTAGGACCAGAGCCAGTATTCTTAATGCTGCTGCGTTCAGCTGTGTCATCGCCGAATGGGTTGGTGCCGTGCATCTCCTCGTCATATCGTGCATCCAGCTCGCGTTGACGGCTGGCAGCACGACCTCTTGTCTCTTCAATTCCTCCAACACCAATGTTCCCTCCTCCATATCCATGTCCTCCGTATGGCCCAGAGTTCATATCCGGGGAGCCCAAGTCATGCTCTTCGTAGTAGCCGTCGCGACCCATACCATAGTCGGCCTCGTTACCAACGCGTGTGTCCCAGGCTTCATCAGGATCCAGAGGGCCGAAGCCACGGTGACCACCTCTTCCGTAACCACCGCTGGGCTCGTATGCGCCGCCAGATGATCTTCCTCCTCCGACACTGCTCTTCAATGCGCCGACCTTGTCCTTGATCCAGCCAACTACACCTCCTGATGCTGGTGAAGGGGCCTGGTATGAGTTTTGTTGTCGTCGGCCACGTGTGAAGGGATTGAGTGAGGGAGCGGGAAGACCCAATCGTCGGGCGCGGTACTGTGTGAATCTACGAGCATAGCAAGTAAGAAAATTGTTTGTAGCAACAGCTCGTGAGCTTCTAGCGCGTCTGCATTGACAGGCAGCTGAGAAGAAAATACAAGACTTACATTATCCATGCGCATCCGCCTATGACGATGAAGACAAAAGCTACGAGGAAGAAGATGCCCCAGCCAGAGAGGCCATGGTCGGGTTCGGTTGCCATGTTCTTTCGTGAGTTGAGTTCAGTTCATGCAGCGCGTGTCGAGGTTAAGGGTGACTGCCGTCTAGCTTGACTCTGTTGTGGAAGGCATGAACTTGTAAGATCAATGGGCTTACTGGCAGGCACGAGGCAGCTGCTTGCTCTCTCGTCTGCTCCGCTGCTGATCCGCGCTATGACGCTCAGCCGAAGCCTGAAGATAGCTTTGCTTGGCAGTATTTATGCCCGACCGCCCGCTTTGTGTGCAGTTGTGCACGGCGATAACGGCCCTATCCTATCATTCAATCATTCTTCCCAATCTGACACCATTTCATATAACTAAGCGCCTGCCTATTCTTGGTCTTTGATCCTTCACTTGGAATTCTCACATCAACATAAATTCCTCATCACCCCTACCACACGCTTTGCCAAACCTTTGGACTTTTGCATCTTCAACTCCCATCGGTCTTTGCTCGTCTTTCTTGACTCGCAGAAACATCCTTCATATCGTGGCCTAAAGTGGTGGCCTGGAAATAAGAGTCATGACATCTGCTCGTCATGTCGTCGTTTCAACAGCCTCCGGGACTGGCCAAGCACAATCCTTCTACGAATCACATCTGACCGACACTTTCAAATCTCTTGGTTTCAAAGAAGGAGAACATTTCTTTGTGCATTTCACAAAATCTGAAGATACCATTACTGAACTCACAAGAAATGTCTTCTTACCCGCTGCAAACGCTGGAGCTGTACTTTCCATCATCTTGCTAAGCGGTGATGGAGGTGTCGTGGATATTATCAATGCTGTTCTGACTTCCTCACGAAGTCCTGATTTTGCTTGTCCTGAGATCACTTTACTGCCGCTGGGTACTGGAAATGCATTGGCAAACTCTCTCGGAATTACCGCAGACGACAGCATGGGATTGTCAACCTTGATGCAAGGAAAATCGCGACCTGTACCAATTCTCCGTACCACTTTCTCTACGGGCTCAAGGCTCCTTATCCACGAAGGCAGTGAGGAGGCAGAGCTCTTCAACCATAAAGGCAAGCCAACGATATGGGGTGCTGTGGTGTGCAGTTGGGGCATGCATGCCTCGCTCGTGGCCGACAGCGACACGACCGAGTATCGCAAACACGGTGTTGAGCGCTTCCAAATGGCAGCTAAAGCAGCTCTCTATCCCGAAGATGGATCACCACCGCACAAGTATCGCGGTCGTGTCTCTATTCTTCGCGACTCGGAATGGCATGAGCTGGACGAAAAAGAGCATGCATACGTTCTGGCAACTTTTGTCTCCAACCTCGAAAAGAACTTTACCATTTCACCTGCATCGAAACCTCTTGACGGAAAGTTGAGGTTGATACATTTTGGTCCCATGTCTGGCGACGAAGTCATGGCAATCATGACAGAGGCGTACAAAGAGGGTAACCATGTCAATGACGACAGAGTTCGCTACGAAGAAATTGATGGTTTGAGAATAGCATTCGACGACTCAGAGGAGGACGGTCGTTGGAGAAGGATCTGCGTCGATGGCAAGATCATTCGTGTTGAAAAGGGAGGCTGGGTTGAACTTGTCAAGGAGAACACCCATGTTCTTGACATCGTTTGCAGTGCTGAATATGTCTGATATCAACAATGCATATAACCTGATGAACCATGAACTCAGCAATTTTCCTGTGGGCGTAGTTGTGCTTGCAGCTCATGAAGTGACGCTTTCTTCCAGTAATGAGAATCTCTGTCTAAACTTAAACTTCGACTTCCGTTCCCCACCAGAGTGTCAGTTGCAATATTCAAAATCAGAGGTCTTGCTTTACTGTTTGAGCAGGGAAAAAAACGAAATCAAATATGGCTCTGATGTTCCCAGTTACATCCAGTCGCTCTGAAGCCTACCTCCTAGATGCATGCAGACAATGAGTCTTGCATTGACTCCAAGCTATCTAGTACTAAATATAACAATTTGAATAGCTGCCTAGCATGGCCAGAAATATCCCTTTGTGTCATAAAAAACAGTTGGCAAGATCTTTGACAAGGCTTCACTTTTTGTGGATACAGCAAAAAGACAAGGGAAAAAAGAATAGCTAAGCTTGGTTTCGATCCAAGGTCCTCCGGGTTATGATCTGTAATTGCTTTCCGCGCTGGTGAATATCATGAAATTAGATAAGGTGATAGTCATGGTGATTAGTTTTCGAAGGAGAATGAGATAAAGGTAAAATGTCGAATTCATAAGGATAAAGTGGATGGTATATAGATAACTTTAATCATGCAAGAATCGTAAAATCGTAGATGCTTTGTCCCCCGAATGTTTGTCGGACTCCTGGTGTCTTAATATCAGCGAGTCCTGAGATTATGGGTGACCAGCACGGCAAGTGGTTTAGCCTCTGCTTTGAGGCTTGCCGATATCATCGGGTGAGAAATACGCAGAACCAGTCTGTCCTTCTTCCACATCATGTCTGCCACGTCTTTGTACAGGCGCTTGGAACACGCTCTGCCATGTGCTCTCTTCTTCTTGCTCTTTGGGCTTCGCTTCAATGGCCTCGAGCTCAACAGGTGGGCTCAATTGCGTATCATCCAATTCAAAATACTGATTCTGCGGCGAAGTTGGATGTTGAGCTGTGTACGAAGGGTTGTGTTGACGGTGCTCGTAAGCCCCAAAGTAGTCGGGTTGACTGGTGTGAACAGGTGAGTGGATGGGTGTTACGACAGGACTGCCGTTGTTTTGAAAGCGTGATTGCTCGATCCAGGAGACACGACGTGATTCTTCGGGTGAAGGAAGGCTTGCCAGTTGTGGGTTGCCGTTTGCAAAGATGGAGTCGCGAGTAAACCAGGAGTTTCCTACGCTGGGTGGATTGCCGACGCTAGGAGGATAGCCAACACTGGGTGGTCTGCTAACAGTTGGGCTGACGTTGAAACTTTGGACAACTGAGGTGAGATGTTGATCTATTGTTCTTGCTTAGCATGTGTTGAATGGTAAAAAGTCATTCCTTCGACTGATCTTACCTGAAGTACTCGGTCTCGTTGACGCGGTCCGCTGAGGTCGATCGTCAACCTCAATGCCTTCTGGGTCTTCTGTGGAGTAGATGGTCCTCCGAGGCTCCTCCGTGTCTTCGGGCTGGATCCCTGTAGGTGTATCTACTTGTCGAGAAACATATGTGTTATGAAAATGTCCGTCATCGTTCTTGTATTCTGCCTCCATCTTCTGTCTTTCGTGTTCCCGTTGTCGTGCCTGCCTTCGGCGTTTGAAGCACCAAATGATACCAATCACGACCAGAGCAATACCAGCTACACCTCCGATTGCACCTCCGGCAATCGCACCAACGTGATCTCCCGCAGATGATGAGGCGACAGGTGTGATTGTTGCCGCTGCTGTCGATGTAGCAGCGGCTGTGGATGAAGTCGTTATGAACGCTGAAGCTACTGTATCATCAACGCTAAGACTTGCAGCGCTGAGATCGTCTGTTGGACATCCACTCGAGCATGGATTGCTCTTGCAGCAACCCATAAATGCTGGATTTGTTCCAGTGCAAGTGTACCAATTACTGTCGGCATCGCATGTTTGGTCGGGAAACATGCCATATTCAGCAATGTCAAAGCTCGCCGGCTTGAGATTCTTTTGTGGGCAACTCGTCTTCTCATTGCATGGGTCGACACTGCCAATACAGCATCCAACGAATCTGGATCCAGTTGTGCAAGCGTACCAGGATCCACCACTGGGACAGGAAGGGTCGAAAGATTGGCGTGGCCAGAGATTACGATCATAGATTAGCGCCATTAACCTTGGTCCAGAAGAGAAAATTGACAACGAGTGACTAGAAGAAAAGAAAGAGCACAGAAGGTACTGGTGTACTTTCCACCTACCTATATGTTTTACGGCCACCCACCAAAAGATTAATACCTGAGACTTTCCGAGTTAATTGCTAGAGGTACGTGCAATGTTCAAGGCCCTGGTTCCCGAGACCACCAACATCGCCGGAAGACGCAACGTGAGCCTGGCTCTGCCGTGCGGCCCGTACCATGGCTTCTAGGGCCAGGATAGTGTGCGAAGGAAGTGGATATCACGAGTTGCCTCGCGGAAAGATGGCTTCCTGTATCAGGGCAGAGTGTTCCGGTATCAGAATTGGCTTGCAGACACGACAGCCACTGGCTAAGTTTTGACCACGCCAGAGACATGACTATGTCGACCAAAACATGGAAAATCGCTCGACAGGGAAAGGTGGAAGGCTTCGCGAAAATGGACGACGTGTGTTGCGCGTTTCAGAAAATGAGAACAGACCAGCTGCTTTGGTGTTATGCGGCTTGTCAACAAATCTCCATCCACCGAGCTATATTACCTATGAGCTGGTTCGCATGACGGAAGAGCTAGAATTCGATTGGATCTAGAAATCATCGGTTGATTGTTCCCATCGTGATTGCGATGCTTATGAATGGGAAGACGATTGTCAGTTGTCCAGCAAATTGAGGCCGCCTGCTCAAACACCCAGCGGACCCTTCATGAGGCTGCGAAAGCCACCCCGCAATGTCCGAGTCGACATTCAAGAGAAGTTTGATTCGACGCCTCCTGGAAAGACACTATGTTCTGTTAGTCTCCGTGGATGTAGGTGTGTCTAGTTCCTGTCGCTCTATCTTGGTGGAGCGACATTCGTGCGGTCTAGTCTTCGTTTTCGTGCTGTTTCTGGGGTAGGGCGGAGCGACTGGAAGAGAAGTTTGTTTCACCTGCAGGTTCGTCTGGTCAAGTCAGCACACCGACTGTTCTTAGGTCGGCAGCCACTAGACTAGTCGTGTGGGTAGAAGAGTGGGAGACCGCAAAGAGTCTGGTACAAACCACAGCTCATGCTCTGATCAGTCTGCATGAATCATCTTGACCGGGTTCTTGGCCACGGCAGCTGATCAAGTCAGTAAATTAAACGCGATGTGCTATTATTTGTCGACCCATGGATATTCGTTGATTTGAGTGATTATCCGGCACTATGTCAAAAAGGCCTGGTTTCTGTCTGATCAAGGTGCGGGTTATGATGATGAGACTATATATTTTACCAGCTCTTCCAGTCTGCACACCCAAAAGCTGAGGTGCAAAAAAGCTGAGTGGCGCAGCGGAAGGTTCGTAACGTTCAACTCCACAATTCCAGACAACATCACTAACTCCATACAGCGCGCCGGGCTCATAACCCGGAGGACCTTGGATCGAAACCAAGCTTAGCTATCTTTTTTGCTTCTTTTTTTCTTCTTCACACTTCCTCGCATTTAGCTTTAGTCACTACTCAAACATCAACATGCCGTCTACGCACGTCGCCAGTGCAATGAAAAGTTGAACGTTACAAACCTTCCGCTGCGCCACTCAGCTTTTTTGCACCTCAGCTTTTGGGTGTGCGAGATTCGGCGGCTGCGCCGCCGAGATGGATATATTATTCGTCTTTACCTATCTTTTATTTGGTTGTTTCTTCGCTGACGGTCCTCACCCTTCTGTTCTGATGCTGCCTCAAACACTCAGCATGTGACGGCGCAGCTACAAAACTCAGGCTTCTCTGATCTTGCCCATCGATTATTTTCCAGCTACCTATCTAATCAACAATAAGAAAGAGACACATTGAGCCATTGACACGCCTTGCAATCTGTTCAGATTCAGCTGGCCATGTGCCAATCAGCAGGCAATAGCATTCTTGTCGAAGCCCGGCATCGTGGCATGTCTAAACAGGCAGGGAGACATGACTGTCCCTTCCTAACCAACCATGTCGACGCCTCACAAATCTTCACGTCTGCCTGACGCGTGATTGATCTTTCCCGAATCAGTCCCACCGACGAAAGACTCAACCAGGTTTGCCTAGAGCGAACAGAAGGAAACACAGGAAGCAACCTGATCTCAAGCGACGTCGCGTTTCGGAGGTAGATGAGGCAGATGGCCATGGCGATCATGATCAGAAGATTGTGTAATAACATGGGAAAAGCTTTCTCATAGACTGTACGACTGGTCCATTGGTTCACACGAACGTGTGGCCAGCCGGTTGCATACAGTCTCGAGAGAAGGATCGGATCGTAGGGGAGCTGTCGGGACGTTGACATCCAATGTCAACCATTGCTATGGCTTACAGGACATGTTCGTCCCAAGCATTTCTTATCAAAGCGTTCGCAAACAGGTTTCGGGCGAGATCATACTTTTTCGCGATGACACAATCTCTAAACCAGTCAGCATATATATCTCGTCGTAGCTCAATATCATAACACACAGCATTAGTTAAGTCTCATTTGACTTGAACAGTTGAGCATTCAAGTTCCTCCACATCAACGTGATTGTTTGAGAATCTAGGCTCGAATATGCCTAAGAACATGATCGACAGCACTGGGTCTCGAAATTGGTATGAGACATGACTGGGAGGACCATAGCGATGATATAACACGTTTGATAGGAAAAGGTCGAGTATATAAGATCAAGTGAGCACGTCGGATAGAACCTGTTCGCTTTCTGATGGATCAATTTCGCTTTTGCGATGAACATGTTGGTTTCTATCAGACATGTCCGGTATTTGTGAACGTGTTCGGTTTTTGGTAAACATTTCGAGTTTTTGATGAAGAATTATCAAGCTCGAATCTCTATGGAACAGGTTCGATCTCCAGTTGAACAAGTTCATTCTTTGATAGAACAGGTTCGATATATTATGGACCGTATTCAGACTTTGATAGATCATGTTCGATTTTCGATACGTTATGTCAACTCTGGATAGACACGGTCCAGGATACACAATCCGGATCAGACATCGGCAGAATATGGTGGCATCAAACTCTAGATCAGTCACGACAGCCTTGATCATGTCTACCCAGTTGAGATCCATTGGTCATGCCGGGCATGAACGTGTTCGCTTGTTGACTTCCATTTGTCATTCATCTGACCTGTCTGAATGGTTGGCAATCAATGTCAACCAACCGAGTTTCTGTGATAGTGATCTGGTCGGTGTTTCTGCGTGGTCAATGATCTCTCGTGTAAATCTTGCACGCATATGCCTGTTTCAGTCCAACCTTTTGAATGTTGTGCGCACTTATCGACCCTTCTCTCGCGGAAGCAATCGCTAGATCACATCCCCGATCTTTTGCAATTCGAAGTCTTTCCAAAAGCAATGCTTTGTGAACACCTCTTCCTCTGGCGCGTGGCAGAGAGCTATCGATGTAAAGGTGAGCAACTTTGCTGTCATCTACATCAACGATTGCCATTCCCGCCACACCAAGCAGTTCACCATATATAGAAGCTGAGAACAAGAGGGTATCTGGACGGGATGCGGCGCTCTCTGCTAGCAGCCTCAAGAGGTCTTCGGAGCGTCCGTTGCTACGAAATCCTTCTATCGATGCTTGGATGAACATTTCGTGGTCGCTTGAAGCAACTATAGAGATATCGATGTCGTTCGTCATGGTCGGATGATCAAAGTCCGATAGGGACATTTGGTATTGGCAAAGGTGACCAGTAATTGTATAGTGATCTGCCAACAGATCGAATGCCGAACTGTGGGCATTTTCACACATGTATATTTCTGAACGAACACCATTCTGCTTATATGCATCTTCGATGGTATGCAGATCATCGTTCGTAACTGGTCCAAACATGCCAAATCCATAAGTGTGATTGAGCTTTGCTCCCCACTTTGTTGGTGACAGGACTGTGACCGATCCTGCCAAATCTTTCGTAGTATATCCTTGATCGGGATGTAATTTTTGTAAGGCTAGTGATTGATGTCGAAGGTGTATGACTTCTGCTTTGGCGATCTTGCGACTCATGGTTTTGGTGGCATTAGAGAGGACGGACATCGTTCTTCAGATATTCTGAGATGCGACACAGAAAGTCAGACAACCTAGCCGTAAGTCAACTTCAGTACTCCAGTATAAACATGATGTTTCTGAGAATGACTCACTTGGATGGTGGGTGGTAAGAAGGCACACCCAAATCTGGGGCGGTGAAGCCACGCGCTTACCACTGATTTTTCGAACCACTGATCCTTCATCATGTCTATCTAGCGTACTCAAATGTTTGCCAGCCGAAAAATTGCATATTCCACTCAACAATTCACAAAGTGCGACACATCATCTTCTCGAGTTTAATTGATGTCGAGACCACCCTGGCGTCAACGACATGATTAGGTGGCACGGTTTCTCTGAAGCCGAAGAAGCAGAAGCCCAGCAAAGAAAGATTCTGGTGAGGGAGGATAGTATGAGTATGATGCAGATGCAGATTGAGAGGGTGCCAGAGACGAAATTCTACAACCAGGTCAGACTTGCTTTGACTAACGGTTGGGGAATGGTGAGTGACGAGCTGAACAAGGCGTTCCCGACCATCAAGCCTACGAGCCTGGAGAAGTTTGTGCTGAAGTGGTGGGATGGTGTTGAGCTGGAAGAAGCAAATTGGAATAGCGAGAACAAGACTTTTGCATTTGATTGGTGGTTGAATGGTCGAGATGTTCGATCTCCTCCAAACGAAGTGAAACAAACATCTTGGCAACTTTCGTGTTCGCTGCTTTCATTTGAGAAATGTAAGCATGGCGCAGATCAAGCCATGCGCAACCGTGAGGCAGTGGAGGCAGTTTTCGAGCCAAAGTACCTGATTAGTCATGATTCTCCTGGTTTGAAAGAGACAAGGAAGTCGCAACTCTGGACTTCACTTGCAGCAAAGACACTGGAGACTTGGCACGAATAGTCACGTTCTCAGAGAAGGAAAGTGCACCAAACGATAATGTTCAAAGCAAATCTGCTTTGAAACTCTCAAATAGAATTGAACATAACTTGCTTCCAGAGCAAAGAGGGACTCAGCACCACTCAAAGCTGTTTCTCTGCTCATCCTCGTCCTCCTGATATTCAGAGTGATTCTTCGAAAGAGAAGATCACTCACTCTGTATTCACTTAGAGACCGAACCAAGCCATGTCTTGAGCACTACATCAAATGTCAGAAATTGAAATATTAGATTGACAGAGCAGTCTTACCCGTTGATGGGAACAGTGTGTCCAACGTTGAGAGCGTAGATACCCTGAACCTTGCCGAGAGGGTTGGCAGAATCAACACCCCAGATATCAGTGGTGTATCCGTTGGCAGGGAAGTTGTTCTTGACAGTCTGGGGCTTGTTGGCATCGAAGCCGAAGACACCGGTCCACTCCTTGACAGACTCTCTGTAGTTGTTGGGGCGGAGGGTGGTGTCGATGCTACCGTGATAAACCTGGAAACGAGGACGAGCACCGTTGTAGCCAGGGTACATGTTCTTGACGACGTTAGTCCAGTAAGCGGCGGACTGATCGACGTTTCCTTGGGCGCAGGTCGAGTTCCAGGCGTCAACAGCACCGGAGGCGGATACGAAACATCCGGCGGGCACTCCGGAGTAAGCAGTGGCGGCAGCAAACAGTTCAGGATAGGTAGCGCTCATGACATTCTGTAGTGTTTTAGCCATAGAAATAATGTTGGGGGTGTGGTGTTATGATGGGTTGAAGTCAGCCACCACCGAACCGCATTCTGGAGGCGTATTGAAGCCTGTTTGCGAGTTTTTCAAGCGTACAATTGCTCCAACACACGAGGCGTGTTCACAGAGAGCGAAAAGAATCATATCTCTCAGTAAAGACTGGCTCGTTGCTGGAAAAGAGTCGCAATTTCTCGCCAAACTTGAGAGGTGACTGACTCTAACACACGTCACGCGGAGAGACGAATAACTTACGGTCATCATGGCACCAGAGCTCGAGCCAGTAACGAAGACTCTCTTGGGGTCGGCGTTGTACTTCTTGAGGGTGTAAGAGACCATGTTAGCAATGGCGTTACTGTCACCACCACCACCGTGCTTCAAAGACTTCTGCGAAGAGACATCCCAGCAGGTACCAGCCTAGTCGGTTGTTAGTGCATGCGCATATGTCGATTGCTAACTTGCAAGACTTACGTGAGGAGAGGAAGGGTAAATGACGATGAAACCCTTCTCATCAGCAAGCTTGGCATAGGGAGAGCCCTGGTAGTAAGCCTGAGCAGTACCAGTGCAGTAGTGAATGGCAACGATAATCGGAGGCTTAGCAGCAAGCTTGGTAGGCACGTAAATGTACATGCCAGTGCCTGAAGGGTTGTCGCCAAAGTTGTTGACCTGGGTGAGCTGGGCCGCACGACCAGCGAGCGAGTTACCAGACACCGCGCCCAGAAGGGCAAAGACGGGAGCAATGAACGAAGAGAAATGCATCTTGAATAGAAAAGAGAGTGGTGATGGACGAACAAGAAAAATCTCCTACCAAGGGGATCTTGAGGTCATATATACTTCTTCAGATCCATTTGACTTCTTGCCATGCTGCAGCTATATTGCTTGTATCTCTAGGCGATCGCATAGCGGAAGAAGTTGATACACTGAAGGCTGATCGGACCGTTCGAGGCGCACGCTCGCCTGCGGGAAGAATACGGTGGGTCGTCTGACATGCTCGCTGAAACGAACGATAGATCAAGGCATCGGTTAAGATGACTATAGGCAAAAATCCATGGTTGCATCAAACACACTATGTCCATATTAGAGTATAACCTAGGGGTATACCATACGTACGAGTACGAGTAGGAGTTGCTTCCATGCGGGGTTGTTGTTCGCTTGGCCGAAGTTGAAACAGTGAAACAGAAGGAACGGATGAGTTCGGCCGAGTTAGAGTAAACGACGCTCATGAGCTCCTTCTATTTCCATATTGACACGCTGGAGATCGAAGACTTCACATTTTGCCATACTTTTGATACTATAGTAGTCTGTCACGAACAAGCAATCAGCCTCTATCACAGGCTAAGCACATCACGGACGAGAACGCTTTCAAAATCCCACCAGTCGCGATGGATACGGCTGAAGTTGTTGGTCATGTCCTTCGAATGCTGCCAGCCAGGGCATCGATCTTGAATTGGCTTCATATCAAATGCGCCTAGAGTTTGAGATATATCGAAGGTCCGCCTTTTCTTGGTTGCTAACAATAGACAAAGTCCAGCCTGTTGTATCACAAGAGATCCCTCGATACCTGCATTCAACCTTGCCTCCTCACCACCTTAACGCTCAACCATCGCTTCGATCAAACCTAAGACTTGTAGTTAACGGTACTCTTGGTGGTAGTGCCAGAAGACATGTTAACATCCTTGACAACGACACTGTCACCATTCTCCGAAGTAGCTCTAACCCAAGCAGTCTTGGTGCCAGTACCGCCAGTAAGCTCGAAGAAGTTGTTGACGTTTCTGGTGGTAGGCTTCCAGGTTTTACCGTTATCGGCACTGACCTCAAGCTTGAATGTGCGCAGGGTAGCGTTCATGACGGTAGCAGCAAACCAGTATTGCGAAGAACCACCGTGCATCTTGATCTCAAGACCACTGGTGATGGGGCAAGGGACAAACTCCCATTCGATGGGGATCTCGCCAAGGTTCTTGTTGGCAAGCTGAGAGAACATGTCAGGAGACATATCCAAGTGGTTCTTGTCACCACCAGTCTTGTTGGTGATCTAGACCGAGATTTAGCATAGTGCTTGCGCTGTGTGCAACTTGGACGTTCATACCATGGCAATCTTCTTGACACCGTTGTAGGTGATAGACACACAGCCACCGCAGTCCTGACCATTGTTCCAGATGGCCTCAGACACGCAGGTAGAGCCAGCAATGGATGAAGGGAGGACGTAGTCAGTGAAAGCGCAAGCGCCTTGCTGCCAGCAGGCTTCTTCGCCACAGCTCTCGCCATACCAAGTACCCTTTCCGGAGTTTAGAGATCTCTCGAAGAGGGCAGGGTTAGGTGAGGTGGCAGGGGCAGCAAGTGCCAGAGGTGCAAGTGCCAGAGCGGCCAGCGCAGTGGAAGAAGAGAACATCATCTTGTATAGAAAGAACGACTGAAGTTGAGAACGAAATTGAAAAGAGAGTGTGTTGTCAAAGCAAAATCCTACAAGATCAGGAGAAGCTATGTTCTTATAGCGAGTCCAAGCATGAAATTGCACCTCCAACACGGTTACTCCTGGTCGGATCACCTACAAGGTTCAGCTGCAATCCGCATTGCTTGTTCAACCATCGCATAGCTTGACCTCCAAATTTCGAGCGCATTGACGTTGGGGCATATTCTCTGACGAACCGTGAACTGTCGGGAAAGCTGAAACTTGACTTGTTGCGTCAGCCTTGTCGAAATGTGGATACCGCATATTGATCGATGAGTGGTTGACAGGAGGCCTCGATCGTTCGTCCCACTGTTTCATGGCCCCATACTCTGCTCAAACATTCACGAGGTCACTTCACGTAAGGATCGAAAGACATGTGCCGCCTTTCCATATGCTGACGGAATCAACGCGACCACCGGACTCAGTAATGCTAAATCCCTTGTGTGTGTTTCCATCAAGTATCGCTGTACATACTTTGACAAGACGTTCGGCAGCTCATGTTTGCTGGAGATGTGTCGATCCGGCTCTTGACGATGGACATCTCTGACTGACGATGGCGCGTTCTCGGAGAGGCCCTTGTCAGTACTCAATGCACTACTCATATGCGTGGAGCATCTGGGAGTGACTGAGTATGATATCAAGCGCAAATGAGAGGAAGATTGGAAGGCTTCGTGTTGAGCTTGAACGTGTAAGAGCTGCAGCTTCTAGTGAGAGAGAGTCACTGGAGTCTCGAAGTTGTAAAGCAGATTCTTAGGTGGAAAAGATATTAAAGGCAGGAGAGACACTACTAGTATACTCGTTGGTGGTAACACCCTGGTCGTGTCCAGAATCGTCGTTGATGAATGCCAACATCCATTGTTGTCTGTCATTCTTTCTGAGAGAGAGATTTTGTCGTAAGTGGCGTAGTTGCGCTGCATGTCAGTGTGCTTGAATCTAATGATCTTGATGGTAATTCAAACGTCATTCGGAAGCCTCGTCGATTCAAAGCTGACAGCAGAAAACTAACCTCAAGCAACCAGGAAATGCATTTCACAAGTTCTATGCACCAGCCGTGGCAGTAACCTCCCGTGTAACTTCCTTCTCTTCCTCCTGATTTTCACTTTCTGCACGTTTCGTATCATCAACAGGACTTCTGTCCAGCGCGTGCTTGAAGACTGGACTCTGCTCAAGCACTTTCCAATCCAAAACCATATACGCATTCTGCTTTGACAATCTGACTTCCTCTGCACCACGAACACTGACTTCTTGAGCATAAGATTGCAGTTGTGACGCCAGGTTGGAAGTGGCAGATGAAGAAGTCTTGTGGTGGTTAATCAAGATGTTGACGAGATTGTATGCATCTTGGATTGCGTGATTGAGGCCTTGTCCACGATCTATATTTGTGATCGTCAGTATCGTGTTTCAGCTACAACTTGGGGCTGAGATGTGTATAGAGAAACTTACGAGGTGGCATAGCATGTGCAGCGTCGCCAGCTAGGACGACTCGTCCGTCTCTGCAATCCCATTCTTTGGTTTCCCACAGATTCAGTTCTTCGAATCTGACGTCTAATTCGTTTCCTAAACAGTCATAGGCAGATTTGAATGGCTCACAGAGGAGATTGCCTCTACGTTTGAGCTCTGCAAGGCGAGAGGAAGGGTCAGAGAAAGAGGTTCGAGAGCCCAGCCAGCCAGAGATTAGCTGGAAGGACCAGGTAGAAGGATCCTGAGAATCACTCTGTAGTACTGTTGATGGTTAGATTTGTCGGTAATTACATTGTGCTAGGAGGACTTACTGGACAGCAAACAGAACAGGTCTGGGTGTAAGCATACGCTCCATGCTGAAACCGTCAGGCATTTGAAAACAACTCATGATTGTGACATCGACTCACCTGGATGTTGTGACCTCAGAAACAAAGCCTTTTCCTTGTCTCCAGGTCGAAAGGTAACGTTAGTATGTATGACATTTTCCAGCGGCTTGACAGCGGCATCTGCTTCGCTGAAGAGGAGTTTGCGTACAGCAGAGCGTGGTCCATCTGCACCGACGACCAGCGATCCTGTTTCCGCAGCTCCATTGGCAAAAGTTGCAGTTACCGTATTATCGTTGTTGTATTGAACATCAGTCAGAGAGTGGTTGTACTGTTGTTACTCATTAGCATGTTATTCCAAGACAATTCACCAAGCACTACCTTCACGTCTATGCCCTCGGCTACTAGTGCCCTCAGCTTCCTTCTTGACACTCGAACGATTTTCCCTTTGACAGGGAATTCTCTCATGATCTCTCCATTCAGGCCATTGTACATGCGCATAAAGTTTAGTGGAGGCTGTTCCCAATCCAAGGAAGGATCAACATATGCCTCTTGAATCCTCGAGAATAGATCATTAGGAAGCAGTGACTCGAGGAAGGGTAAGGACCAATGCAGTCCCATCGTCCATTCTCGAGGGCGACAAGAGGCATTGGGTTCGTGATCGAAAATTGCATAGGGTATGTTTGCCTAGAATGTAAAGTGAGCTTGTCATAGATACTAAACTTGAGACCCGAGGCAGTGGAATTTGGAGTGAATATAGGTCGGAAGGATGTCTCCCCGTGTACTAGAACCTGCACCACATAGCCAAGCATTGCATAATGGGCCCAAGACGCAGGGTAGTGTCCGCCGAGATCGTTTGACTGTTGGACACGTCTCTTGTCTTGAGCAATTGTGCCATTTTGGTAGCTTACACAATGCTTGTACACGAGAGAGTTCAAGCCTCAGACTCTGGTAAACGGAGGAGTGGGAAGGGCCGATCCTGGTTATTGTGACAAAGAATGTCGGCCTTACCTTCTGTAATCCATGCGCTATGGCGAGTCCAGTCACACCTGGCAAGAGGCAGGCCTGAGTCAGCGATCGTGACCATTGTAGTCTCATGCGGGTGGTTTAGAGAGTGATACCAGCTCCGATGATCAAGACGCGGGCTCCATCCTTAACTTCGGTATTGGATGCCATGATGGTGGAGCTCGGATGTGGTGGTGTGGTCTTCCGCGTGATGAATTTGAAACCCAGTAGTATGTAGACCCGAGGGAGTGGGTGCGGTAAGAAGAGTTGGGGACAAGAACAAGGCGAGGAGAAATGCAGTTGAGGAACAAGTGGCCCTGTTGAGCTTTTTGTAGTGCTCGCTCAGACGAAATGCCAATCAAGCAAAAACGAAACTACCATGGCCGCTCTTGCCGTAGATAATTGATGGTCGAGCCCAATCATGAGATTTGGACCGTGCCATGATTTTTTAAATGATTGGCGGCACAACGCGCCTCCATACAGAAGGCACGATACAGCGACACATGTCAGACATGCAAGTTGCCGCCACGCCATGCCAATCATATAGAATCCTTCTCGCGTAACTGAGAGGCTTGCTCGGCTCCCTGCAGCACCCCTCTTTCTTGACATTGATCGACCTACCAAATCCACTTTGACAGACGGCCAGTTCCTTGGAATCCGCTGACCATACCCACTTTCTGATGATTTGCAAGCTATAAAAGAAGGAGTGTCACTCCGATGATATTTGTGACCTTTGCGACGAAACACTCGGTAAGCACAAAGGAAGAACGAGTCAACGTTTCACAGTGGCAGCTTGAGCGCTGACGCGACATTTCACATCGAAGCCCGAGCGTGCCGCTGCATTCAGTAGCCGGACGATCGTTGCATGCCCGTGCCGACCGCCTACAGGGCTAGAACGCTTCACCAGACAATCGAGACGAAGTGGACATTGCGAGAAATTCAAGGGATTTTTCGAATATCACAAGACCTTGTCGTTACAGACAAGGTTGTAGAGGTGAGAATGGGAGAAAGATGGCACAAAATGCATGACGCCTAACAGGGCTGCACATGATAATAGCTGCTCGATGGCTTCCAGCAATCATATCGATGTTATACCTCACAACCAAGACGCTGCTTCCGTTCGGTCTGAGGACGAAGATGGTGAGGTAGATGGAGACATTGTAGGTCCATTTTCATGAGCGCCATTTTATGTACTCTGCTAAAGCCTGGAAACAGGGCTCATCTGCTAGCAACTATGGCAGCTCTGGATCTGCAAGTTATTGCAGCACTATCCGCAGTGATGCTGAAGATTATTACTGGGAGAATGGTCGAAGATACCACGCTATGGGTGGTGGACGATATCTTCTCCCGAACGACGACACAGAACTGGACCGGGAAGACATGAAACATCATATGTGGACCTTGGTTCTCGAAGGCAATCTTCACCTCGCTCCTCTGGGTGGCAGTCCGCAGAAGATACTGGATGTTGGTACAGGATCAGGCATCTGGGCAATGCAGGCAGCGGACAGATATCCGTCAGCTGAAATCATAGGTTTCGACATTTCGCCGGTGCAACCGAACTGGGTTCCGCCGAATCTGGTCTTCGAGGTAGACGATCTCGAGCAAGAATGGCTGTGGGGAGCAGAGTCATTCGACCTTGTACATTGCAGGTTCATGTTCATGTCTGTATTGGACTGGCCCGCAATGCTCGAGCAGGCGTATCGAACACTCAAGCCTGGAGGTTACATTGAATTAGATGAACTTGATTTGAAACCCATGCCGGCAGTCAAGGGCAAACCGAGCCCACCACTCATTGATGAGTGGTTTGCCATACAAGGTAACATTTTATCGAAGAAGGGATACAACATGCGTATCGCATCAGAGTTCAAGCAGCTGCTTCTGGATGCAGGATTTGAAGATGTGGTAGAGGTCGTACGGCCAGTGCCTTGGGGTATGTGGCCGTCAGACAAGCGACTCAGGGCCATTGGATATTGGCATATTGGTGAGTACTTGTGCAGCAAAAGATTGAGTCACAAAGCACTGATTCATGTGCAGAGCAACTCAAAATGGGGTTGCAGGGCATCACAATGGCGACGTTGACTAGAGCAGGTTGGACAGTGGCCGAGGTCGAAATATTCCTCGCTGGGTTGCGTGCAGAGATGAAAGATCCGAGATGGCAGATCCAGGATCAGGCGTAAGTTGACACATGAGATTCAGTAAGATCCACAACTCACGATAGACAGGTATATTGTGTATGGCAGGAAGCCACTTTGAATAGTATCATGATGGAGGGATTGATGGATGGATGATGGAAGAGGTCGGTGGATGTGATGACGATGGTTGGCGGAGGAGGCGGTCTGTGCAGACGTGGTTGTTGCACCAGCAACAGGGGGATGTTTACACTCGTCCAAATCTTTCCGCCCAAGCTTGTTGTACAGTTCATAGTCGCCGGTCTGCTTCACTATCCACCTACCTAGCTATCAGCATCAATATTCTCACATACACATACCATGGCGACGCCTTCACACTCAGGCGGCACAATGCACGCCACAGTCACATCACCATTCAAGTTCCTCATGGGTTCAACACACAGCGCCCCCGACATGTCGGTTAATGCCCTGGTCGACCGCTTCACAACCCTTGAAGTCAAGGACCGCGACGAAGACTCGGCGAAACGCACAGTAAGACGGCTTGAAGCTGCTCTAAGGAGAGCAGAGATGGCCCGCGAGGAGGCAGAGACCGAAGCTACGAGCTTGCGCGACGAGCTCAGAGAGCAGAGAGACATGGCCGAGGAGCGTCTGCGCGAGAAGACCGACTTGCGCCAGAGACTGGACGAGTATGAGGTATGCAATCTGCCATTCTCTGGACTTGAACACACAACTGACCTGCCACGACAGAAAAAGTACGAAAAGGCCAAGGAGCGCTTCAAGCAGCAAAAAGTTAAGCACGAAGAACAACTGCGCAAGGTGCAAAGAGACTACATGGAGCGCGAGAAGCTGCACTGGAGACAGCAGCAGCAACTACAAGAAGAAGCCGATTGGGAGAAGAAGTTGCGCGCCGATTCAAACGACCTGATTGCTTTCCTGGAGATTGACCACATCGTTGCTCTTCAAACACTGAAAGACAAGCACCTCGAGCTACTCGCAAATCAACAGCGCGCCGCACCTCAGGTCCAACGTCGCGAGGACCCAATCGACGACTTTGAGATCGAGATCGACACACCTAAGAAGCAAGAAGACGAGCCAATGCCCGAAGCACCTTGCGAGCCTGCTCAGCACGACTACGCTGTCGAAGACACTCCCGAGCCAGAGGCTGCCCATATCCGCACCTCTCACACACCCGTCCGCAGCCACTCCAGCACGCCAGTCGCTCACGACTCACCTCAGAACACCACGACTCCCATTCCCCCACCAACAACCAGCACGAAACAAACCCTTCGCGTACCTATAAACTTCAACGACGACGAAGAAGACCCATCCTCAACCAGCGACAAAGAAAACTCCTTGCCTCTGCTCCAACCACCACGTACACCCATCCCTTCTTCCCGTACCGTCAGCGCACCGCCTCACCATCTCAAAACACCCATGACGATCTCTTGCTCAACGCCAGCAGCGCACCCAAACATCCCTGACTTCTTGAATACGCCTATTGACAGAGAGGCTGCGCTTGCAGCTATCAGAGAGAGAAGAGGTAGAGCTAAGAGCAATGGTGCTGCGAACATGGCTACTCCGCGACGACTAGGCAGAGATGCTTCAGCACCACCTGGAGCCAGGGCTGTTGGATCTAGATCTAAGAGTCGTGGTCCTTGAATGAGCTTGTAGAAGATGTTTCTTTGTACATGTTGATATTCCTTCCTCCTAATATCGACTCTCGAGTTTGGAGGAAAGGCTTTTTTGATTCTTGTATTCGTACGTCCGTTCTGTTAGCATGGCGTGCTTTTGGGGGCTGGAAAAATGGATGGGTTGGGAGTAGTGGTTCTGGGTTCTTCCTCTTGATGTACTTTCTAGTAATGATTTTCAAAACCATTGCAGTATTCTTTCTTGACCTTTGACTTTTTTTGCCCCAAGTCATCGAGTTAGCGTACCAATGCGGATATGTGGAACTGATGCACGCGACACAGAGGATTACAAGAGAAAGCTACGAGCGGGTTTGCGTATGCGCATGTTGACCTAGGTAGCGCGGTCCATGGACGTAATTGAGACGATGTCACGTTGTTAAAGCATGCGACATGCTTAATTGATGATACTCTCATGCGGTACGCGCGATAGATGTTCAAGGCAAGAGTGATTAGGGACGGAGAGAAAAGAGTTGATGAATTTTGTACTTTTGCATTCTCGACATGAGGCTAGCCCTATTGCATAGCGACCAGATCGTAAAAAGAGAAACGCCCCCATGTCTTCCAGCCCTGTTAGATCACACGGAACGATGCACCTCTTCCCGTGGCATGTCTTTTTTTGGTCATCTCACGTCCAGAGAAAAAGAGAAAGGTCGAAGAAAGATGCGACAAAAAGCAGCACTGAAGCAAAGTGGAGAAAAAGACAAGCTTTTGCCATTTCTTTTTGTTGTAATTGTCTTTTTTTCGAACCAACAAATCCTCTCCCTCCCTTGTAGCCTGCCCAGGCGATACGTTTATCGGTTGGACTTGGCGACACGCTCGAGCTCATCCTTCTTCTTGATGGCGTACGAGTTGGAAGAACCCTTGGCGGCGTTGATGAGCTCCTCAGCAAGGCACTCGGCAACAGACTTGATGTTGCGGAAAGCGGCCTCACGGGCACCGATGGTCAGGAGGGCAATGGCCTGGTTGACACGGCGGAGGGGAGAGACATCGACGGCCTGGCGACGGACGGTACCGGCGGAACCGATACGGGTGGAGTCTTCACGGGGACCGCAGTTGACGATGGCGTCGACGGCGATCTGGATGGGGTTCTGGTCGGTCATGATGTGGATCTGTAGGGGATGTTAGCTTGTCTGCGAGACCAAGAGTCGACACACAGCCGACTACTAGTTCGAGGTTGTACGTACGATCTCGAAGGCGTGGGCGACGATGCGGACGGCCATGATCTTCTTTCCGTTGTTGCGGCCGTTCATCATGAGGGCGTTGGTGAGACGCTCAATGATGGGGCACTGGGCCTTGCGGAATCTCTTGGAGGCGTAACGGCCAGCAGAGTGGGGGAGGTAGACGGGCTGACGGATCTGGATGTAGTCGCTGAGGTATGAGGGTCAGCTAAGTGCTTGCGCGTGCCGATACTTCCTCTGCCTCGAAGGTGCGTCTGTTGCCAGTCTGTAGGGTATGGTATGGTATGGTATGGTATGGTATCATCAAGATGATGTTTGCGCGCCGTGTCTCTCTTGCAAGACCTGCGCCAATGTCCAACTCTTTCGTATCCAGCTCTTTCTTCCCATTTCCAGACTGACAATGACCATCCTGGCGTCGCAGAGTGTTGCGCAGACTCACGTCAAAGAGATATCTCTGATCTCGACATCCTCGTAGGTCCACTTGTTGAACAGCTTGACGCTGCCAATCTCCTGGGCGACATCCTTGGGCAGGACGGGGTAGCCCTGGGGCTGCTCGACTTCAATTTCTCCGGCGTCAGACATGTTGGCGATGTGATGAGGGAGGGGGTTGGGCGTGGTTGTCGAGATGGTCGCTGGGTCGTCGAACAGATTTCGCGAGCTGCGCAAATTCGACTCGGTGAGTGTGGACTTTCGCTAGAACCGGACTTCAGCCGATCGGTGCTGCCAAGGACCGTGGGACCCTGCCTCCTGGCACGACGGCCCTCGCTTCGTGAATCGTCAACGCCTGACCCGCCCGAGCTTTCACTTCCACCGGCTGCGACCACTCGCACGTCAGTGCTCTCCTCGTCATCTATTATTGCCCTCATTCTATTTTGCATAGATTCAATCACTGGACATAGGGTCTAAGTAATTATCACAGTGTATACATAGATTGTTGCGTACGAGGCTTCTCGAAAGTCTTCCAGGCTGCTGTTGAATTGTCATGGCCGTTGGTGCCGCGAGATGCGAGCAAGACAGTGCAAAGTAAAAGGTCTGCATTTTTTCCGCCATGATCCTTATTGTCAACGTGCCGATCGAGGCTATCCCGTCGACCGCGAGATTAATCGAAGCATTTAGGCAATCGCTATATACCTGCCTTGTTTCCTTTCGTGACTTCATCAATGCAGATTTTCGTCCAAGCCAAGTGCCTTCAACTCGCTCCTTCCACAGTCCCCCTGAGTGTTTACTTCGTCCCTATATATCTTTTGTGAACACAACCAAACAGGATTCAACTCATTGATGACCTCTCGACTTCACCGTTATGGTTGAGCAACCAGGATTCACAGCCAAAAAGTCTCCTGCTCGCTCGGAACAGGCCTCAATACTCGATATTCAATACCTCAAAGGCCGCGTCTCATGGATCCGAGACGAGCTAGATCCCAATGTCGCTCGCGACGGCCCGGATACCCTACGACCTGATAACGTTATTACTCTCTTCAAGTTTTTCGAACAGCTACGCACATCTCGCTTGAGTCTTGAAGCTATTCGCGACTCTCGCATACATCTGGCCCTTATCGAGATTTCTAGGCGTGCTACCAGATGGCCGGTTAGACTTATTGAAGAAGCTGAAGAAATTATTCTCAAATGGGAGTCCGAATGGGGTCCTCTTTCAAGTGTCAAGGTCAATCTTTACAATACAGGCGGAAGGTTACATGGCATCAGCACTCCCGAAGACCTCCAACGAGAAATTCTACTCAACAAATGGTCACGTAAAGAGACTGCTTGGGTCAATCCGAATTTAGCGAGGCGAAATGGAGACCTTGGTTTTCTACCAGGAGAGTGAGTATAGTCTTCCATGCTTCCTGATTTTCCTAACACTTCTCCCAGCTGGTGGATCAACACCATGTTTGCATATCACGATGGAATCATTGCCAATCCATCATCAGACAGTGGCGTCACCACCTGCTACACACAAGCATACGCCTTACTGCTAGCAGATGGCGATGAACTAGATTGTACAGATCCAGCACACTTCATATATCGCTCGACCTCTGGAGACTCTAGACGGTATCACCTTTGTGCCGGGACACTGGCTTCGAGGCGGCCCATTCGTGTGCTACGAAGCCATACTTTGCGCAGCTTTTTCGCTCCACGTGCTGGCGTCAGATACGATGGGCTTTACAAGGTTTCCGGATGGCGAATCACTCAGGATCCAAAGACAAAAGAGATCAACTATTACATCTCCTTCGATCGTCTGCATTCGGAGCCGCCCCTTGGTCCAGTACTAGAGCATCCAACTGCGGAAGAATTGGACGACTATCGTGAGTATAAACGTATTCGAAAAGAGATCCGCCAAAGTCGCAGCCTCTTGCGTCACGGTCTGCGATTTGATGCCTCCAACACCGCTTCCACCTCTACTCAGGACCGCATGTCGCTACCCAAGAAGACCGAGAGTCATGATACCGCGAGAAGTGTCGAGAAATCGATCTCAAAGAGGAGAGGTAGCTCGATGTCTCTACGACTTACAGCTTCTGAGCCTGTCTCTGATCGAAATGTGCGAACAAAACCTGAAACGAAACTTGATGACAACCCTTTCTTTGCTAGCCCGACGCCTGATGACAATCCCTTCTTCTCTGGTGGCCTGGACTCGCAAACTGGACTCGGCAAGATCAACACACTGCGTCCTGATATGATCAACTACGCACCTGTGCTGCAAGCCGCTTCTGCTGCTGGCGCAGCCATAGATCCATTCTTTGCAAATGCTTTAGAAGAGCAAGCAACGAAGAGGGCAGCTGCCTTTAGATTAAGCATCAGCCCACCAACATCTCCACGTTCTCCAAAAGCGATGAGTCTTGGTCTTGGTGGCAGAAAGCCAATGGTCGGATTTATTAGCACCATTCAGGAGGCAGATGAGCCGAAGAGCCATTCATACATGAGGCGAGACTCGCAGAGTCCAGTGCTTACCAAAGGCTGAGGTTGTGTCTACTCATTTTTATTTATCCTTGCTTCATTCCCCTTAGCGATATCGATACCCTACTAGCAACCAAGTTATGTCCTAGAATTATACTTCTCAATTTTTCATCTCTTTACATCCTCAGCAATCACGGATGCCAGTTTTGTCAACAGTACTATTGTTACTCGGGGCTACATTTTGACTTCCCTATATCTCATTTCCCCGTCAATGTATTAAGGGAGATTTCGCGAAATGACTTTATGTTGTCTTGATGAGGGACGCGGCAAATCTATGTCATGGGGTAACCCTGACTGGTCGCCAAAAACTGCGTTGCTCGGCAAAACTCCCCGCGCAACACAGTATCAACAAACACTTTTTGTAGCGACAGTCCAACATCCATATAGATTCGATTGTATTTCAGCTTACTGCCTTTATAGTAGCTATGGATGTTTCCGAATTGATAGAATGTAAGATATGAATTTCTCTTGTTCCTCTCACTCTTCATGCACACCCTTTTCGAAAAAAGATCAACGCGCGGTCTCATAGACAAGATTATGATTCTCGTACGCGACAGTTTGTTGTTTCTGATTGAGAAAAAATTGAACATTCGGAAATATGTATGGGTACATCCTATGTTCAGTCCTAGACTCATCATGGGCTAGATTGGCTCATGGCTAGGTGCACTTCACCACCTCCTTCAAGAAGATGCTACCATTACCTTCAATGCGTCCAAACCTTTCTCGAAAATTAGGACTTGAGATTTGCAAGCTGACATTGATATCACAGCAACAACACACGCCTCGCCATCACCAGATGGCCATTACATTGCTGGTCTAACCCCCGATCACCTCTACGTGTATTACACAGCAACTCTGACGATTGCATCTTCTTTCCCCCTCGACAACTCCAACGCCCCAACAACTCGATCTACAGAAACTCCCACACTACATTGGACGCCATGTTCGCTTTCCATCATCCTACAGACCAGCAGTTATGTGTCACTTCATAGCCTGGCAAACACGGCTAGCAGAGTGAAAATTGCCAATGGAAGCGCTAGCTTGGGTAGAATTGCCAGTGTGGATGTTTTTGGTGAGAATGTTTTTGTGGTGTGGGAGTTTGGTAGGGTTGGTGTTTTTGAGATTGCGAGGGGAAGGGTGACGGAGATTGGTGAGTTGAAGACTGGGATTGGAAGTCTGAAGTCTGCATGGGGGATCAGAAGGGTCAAGGGGAGAGCTGAAGGTGTGTTTTCTTTCATGTTACTTCAGGAGTACGTTGAAGGTATGGCTAACAATCACAGTACTTGCGATGTTGTGTCGCACTGCGGCAACGGACGTGTTGTCCATGATATTGACTCCCTCGACTACACCTTTCACGACGGTACATGTACCGACAATCGATGCTCAGTCATTAGCTTGGAGCCCATCAGGTAAATGGTTGAGCATACTAGACACACCCTTGAGCGCGCCAAACTCCGCCGTACACATCTATACTGCAGATGGCAACTTCTACCGCAGTTATCCTCCTGCAAGTTCTGCGCCTGTTGAGGAAACCTACGCATTAGGTCCTCTGCGTCAAGCATGGGGCTCCAACCATCTGGCTCTCGCCAACGCAGACGGTAGCATTACTCTTCTCGCCACAACCACGTTTTCTCCAGTATGCACCTTTGAACCATGGACAATAGCCGAGGACGACATCTCAGCCGTATACCGCGAGCAAGTAAGCGGCAAAGGCGATCGCAACTGGACATATCTGGGCAACGGTGACGACAGCACCTCCCAACTCCTATCATCCTACTCACCAGCCATCGAGATGAAATTCGATGCAGCTGGAAAGTTCCTCGCTTTTCGACCAGAGGCATTCCCAGAAACCGTGGTTGTTTGGAAGATTCCTTCTTCCAAACCTATCTTTGCCTCTGCCACCGAGCCGGAAGAAGAGGAAATTGAAGATCAAAAGACCTCGATATTGGTGTTCCACCACCACACAACTGTCAAGAAGCTGCAATGGCACCCTACAATCTCTGGCCTTTTGCTGTCGCACACAGAAGACAATCAAGTCTACCTATCCTCTACCACAGGCGAGACAAATGCACCGCTACACCTTTCTCATCCCTTCTCTGCCCCTGCAGCAGCTTCATCGACTTCCTCTACTCCACCCACTGACCTTGTAAATGCCCATTGGGTGGCCTCATCAACCATCCTTATCACCACCAAGAAACGCGGCTGGGTCATGACATATCCTTTCGGTGCTCCCTCTGCTCCTTCGTCTCCAGTTCTACCCCAATCTTCGGCTGGAGCTAAGGGAGCAAGAGATGAAGAGACGCAAGAAGAAGCCAGCGAGGATTCTTTGTATGATATTCTTAGTGGGAGGACACCTTTGCCGGCATTGAGGATCTCTGATGACTATTTGCCTGAGGATTCGGAGGTGGAAGGAGACGGAGAGGATCATGGAGACGGACTGAATGATACGTTCAGAGGAAAGGGGACTGCAGGAACCAACGGGAGTTTTGAGTACTAGACGCGAAGAGAAGCGTTGTCAGGATGTGTTGAACGAACTTTTGCAATGAACTCTTTTGTGCTTTGGTTGCACTCTCACTTGTCTTGTTGGCATCTTGTCTAGACGGGAACACTTAGCCAAGAAGGCCAGAAGCAATCCGACAGTCTACCAAGCGCATCGGTATCATCTACACCTCTCTACCTTACCACCAACCCTCTACCCCGAAGTCTCCCCTTTGCGCAAAATCCTCACAGGCAAAGGCTTCTTATCCCACACCAAATGCGTAGTCTGATCCAACCAATCCCTGTCTGCTTCCCCATCAAGCTCAACATCAAAATGCCACAACAAATTCGCCATGATCAGTCTCATCTCATGATATGCCAGCGTCAACCCAATGCAATTCCTAGGTCCCACGGAGAAGGGTTGATGAATTTCTTTCTTGTCGGTTGCGTAGAGGGGGGAGTAGAGGGGGTGGGAGGGGGAGAGCCAACGTTCGGGGGCGAAGGTTTCGGGGGAGGTGAAGTTGAGGGGGTGGTGGTAGGCTGCGTAGTGGGGGATGCTGACTTTGACCTGCGAGGAGAGGGAGGGTCAGTGAATGGGCTGGAGGAGGGAGAGGGAGCTTACATTCGGGGGGATGAAGTGGCCGCCGATTGTTGCGCCAGAGGCAGGGGTGATTCTTCTGATGCCTTCGGGGACTGCAGGGAACATTCTCATGCCTTCTTCCAGGCAGGCGGATAAGTACTGTAGACAAAGGTTCTGGTTAGCCTTTTTTGCCTCTCCTTGTGAGTCTCAGTCTGATTTTCTGTCACTTACAGGCAATCTAGGTAATGACTCCATCGTAATGTCATCAATGCTGGTGAACGCATCTCTGATCTCTTTGGTCAAGTGATCGAGTACAGTTTTATTGTTCAACAAATACCAAGTCAATCCACACAAACTTGTCGCTGTGGTCTCGGTACCAGCAATCATCAACAAATCAGCATTAGCATACAACTCATCCATCGTCATCTCTGCACCCTCTTCTTTGTGCTTAAGCATCAAGCCCAACATATCAGGTCTTTCTGTCTTCATCTCGAGACGCTTGTTTACCTTATCGACGGTAATTTTGTAGGAAGAATCGATGGAGTCTTGGATGTGTTTTGGAATCATCATAGTGGCGAGGCGGAACAAAAGAGGGAAGTATTGGAGGGCGCGAGAGGCACCGGCTAGCCAGATGGAGACGAAGAGCTGGGAGAGCCAGTCTGAGTACTCCATGTTTTCGCAGAGACCGAGGGATTTGCCGAACATCAGGTCGGCGATAGTATCGAAGCTATTGATCTGATTAGTATCATATTATATTCTCATTTCACGGCCAGTCTCTTCTTGGGTGGAGGAGGTAAAGAGAAAATTAAGACAGAGTACTGAAATCACTCACGTAACGCAGTTGAAGACTTTGGCCATATCGATAGCCTTGTTCTCCTTCATCCTCTCCTCCAACCTCTCAACCATCATACCAGTATAAGTTGTCAACATACCCTGTTGCAACTTCAAAGCCCTCTCGCCAAACGCAGGTGCCAGCATCTTTCTCTGTCTACCATGATCGGCACCAGCCAAAAGGATTGATCGCTTGGTGTTTTCTGAGAGTGCATAATTGGTCCAATCCTTTTTCAGTTCTGGTTTCTTGAACCCGTAGATGTCTTTCCAAACTGGAGTTATGAAGGAGAGTTCGTTTGGAGCCATACGAACGATGGGTCCGTATTTGAGGTGCCATTGGAGGACTGTTTGGGGTTCGTGGCCGTTGATGTTTAGCCAGAGGCGAGGTAAGGGAGAGATGGCATTGAGGAAAGGACCAGGATGCTGCGAGAGTGGGTGGAAATAGAGGTTATATATGGCCTGAGTTGCAAAATAGAGAATCACTGCAGAGACGGCGAAGATGCCAATGTTCGGCAGGTTGTCAAGAAACGCCATGGTCGGCAGGCTTCAATAGGGACGCAGCACGAAAATGACTGACAACAAGCAGCAGCAGACGCTGGCCAGGGCCTATATTTGTACCTACCATGTTGATTGACAGAACCCCTCTTTCACGAACACAGCTTTAGTGGGGCATTCGTTCTTGATGTAAGTTGATATGAATGCTGAAGAGATTTGCAGGGTGCTTGGACGAGTTGGATCCTTCTGGTGAGTCCTCGGCCTATCATGATGGCAGAATACTGACCGCACCCGCAACTAGGTTGTTTACCTGCATGAAAATTGGGAGCGATAGTGTGAAGAATAGATTGATGCCTATAATAGGCGAAGGCGCGAAGGATGCACAAATGTGGGGTTCTCGGTGCCATGGTCAAAAGAACATCAGACACACAGAGTCATGTTTTTGCTCCCAAAGAGAGACGAGAAAATGGGAGTGGCTGTTGTCGTGCAAAGATATTGTATCAGAGGTCTCACGACTGTTTTTGTGCATGAGGCTGGGTAGAAACGTGTAGCGGGCTCAACGTCATGATTGGCGGGCTGACTTCCAAGTTCTCCAGGAAAGCACCCTTGTGGGTACTCGAGTACTGATAGTCAGGCTGTGTAGAAACAGCGGCGCTTGGCTGCGAGCAGAGGGCGCAGTACGGTTCAATAGTAGGTGATTCTAGTATAGGCAAAGAGGCTGAGTCAAAGTGCAACAGGGCCAAGGAGCAAATAGATGCCAGTTATGATGCTTCAATTGAGACAGAGTTCCTTGGAAGGCCCTGAGTCTAGATACAGGTAGCTCTTTTCTTGGCGCAAGGTGACGCACGCATCTGCACCTTTTTTGGTTGAAGGCGCTTGCTGAAAGACGCCAACCACTTCTTTTTCCGGGAATTGCAGGTTGAAAAGCTTCAACATATTGATACGCGCATTCCTTCCCTTTGTTGAGCTCCTGTCCTGCTTGCTTGTGAAAAGTATCTGGACACGACAAACCACGCGACCGTATATCACCACTACCACAGGCCTGACAAGCGGCTTATCGGACCCTACTCATACTTCCACCCAAATCCGCCGTCATGAGCTGGTTCACAGCTCCAACCTCGTACCGCCTCAACGCCGCAAATGTCTTATCAGCAGGAATGGGAGGCTTGAAGGAGAGAAGATACACATCGGCTGCCGTCGAACTACCCATGATGGCTCTAGGAAATGGTCACACATCACACCCAGACTTTGCCCACTTGGTGCTGCTAGTATTTGAAGCAGTGCTGGAAGTGGTATGCGTCAGCCTGCCGGGCTACATTGTAGCCAGGCGAGGCATGTTTGACGCAGAGGCTCAGAAGATGGTAGCCAACTTGAACGTCCAACTCTTCACGCCCTGTCTAGTCTTTACCAAGCTCGCCTCGCAACTCAACGCCGACAAGCTCGTCGATCTCGCCGTTATCCCCGTCATCTTCTGCGTCCAAACTCTCGTTTCGTGGATTTGCGCTCGTCTCATGTCCAAGGCCTTTGGTTTCGGTAAGAGACAGACCAACTTCGTCATCGCCATGGGTGTCTTTGGCAATTCCAACTCGCTACCTATCTCGCTCGTCGTCTCGCTTTCCAAGACTCTCAAGGGGCTGCACTGGGACCGTGTTCCTGGCGACAACGACAATGAAGTTGCTGCAAGAGGTATTCTGTACCTGCTCATCTTCCAACAGCTCGGCCAACTCGTGCGCTGGACCTGGGGGTACAATGTTCTGCTCGCTCCCGCTGTCGAGGCTAAGATCGTCGATCAAGAGAGGGACAGCCTGATTGAAGAGGGCAGATACCGTGACGATGTCGACGACGAAGACTTGGAGCAGGGCTCATCTTCTACCAAGAAGAGCAGTGGCTCAGCCTCTGGCACCGACTCTCCTCGCACCGTCTCTTCTATGGCCTCTTCGTCTTCCAACGATGCCACTACAGTGAAGCCTGTTGAGGGTGAAGTCATGGCTACACCTGCCAATGGAAATCTTGTCGGCACTGGACCTGGCAACTTTGCAGGCAATCTTGGTCCTCGTCAGCGCTCGACTGGCCACATGACACAATTCCCCAACTACTCGACTGCTTCGACCGATCACTCCGAAGCTCCCACTGGCATCAAGGCCACCATCTCAAACTTCTTCGCACGCGTTGGTGCTTCGATCAGTTCCTTCTTCAACAACATGTTCGCCAAACTCCCCCCTGGCATGCAGAAGTTCTTGAGCACTGTCTCTCACTATACTGGTCGCTTCTTGAAGGGTGTTTGGGAATTCATGAACCCCCCTCTTTGGGCCATGGTTGCTGCTTTGATCGTCGCCTCTGTCCCCAAGCTCCAGCACACCTTCTTCGCTCCTCACACTTTCGTCTCCAACTCGGTTACTCGTGCTGTCCAGCAGAGCGGCGGTGTCGCCGTTCCCCTGATTCTTGTCGTCCTCGGCGCAAACCTCGCCCGCAACACTCTTCCTCAGGAAGAGCTGACAACTACTCCTGAAGGCAAGAAGGAAGAGCGCAATCTCCTCATCGCCGCTCTTGTCAGCCGCATGCTCCTACCCACCCTAGTCATGGCTCCCTTCCTCGCCATCTTTGCCAAATACGTCCCTGTCAGTATCCTGGACGACCCTATTTTCGTCATCGTCTGCTTCTTGCTTACTGGCGCACCTTCTGCTCTTCAACTCGCCCAGATCTGCCAACTCAACAATGTCTTCATGGGCGTGATGTCCAAGTTGTTGGTGCAGAGCTATGTTGTCTGGATCTTGCCCAGCACACTTATCTTGGTTATGCTTGCTCTCGAGGTTGTCGAGTGGGCTGCGTAAAGGACCGAGGACGAAATGTGAATATTGAACCTCTGTATTATAGCCATCCGTCTGTTTTTTCTGCTGCGTTTAGGCGTGTTATGACCATTATCTGACCCTCACTACTATATCAACGACCAAGACTATGTGAATTCTCTCAGTGCAGGTTTCTTGATGGTGCCAATCTCGCCATCAGTAGAAGTGCTTGCAAGTAGGAAATGAACAACGGCATGGCATACCAACACACTCCAAGATATTACCACAAGCACGGCCACCAAGCTCAAAGATCAATCCAATCGACACGATCATGACACAAGACTCGTCCTTGTCGACAATTTGCCTCTTCCACAAGTTCTGCATCTTGGCCTCTTCATCAAGTCTTCTCCTTCTTCCCACTGGCTGCTTCCTTCATACCGACACTCGACTCAATCACCATATGATCGATGCATTAATGAGCCGCCTTCTCGTAGTTCTTTGATTCGACGGGTTCGCAGCGCACGTTTGTACCGCGACGTTTCTCGCATTGGCGAAAGTCTTCTTTGCGTTTGTCGCCGCAGGTGTAGCGGCGGTAGAATTGTGTGCACATGTGTTTTGAGAGAGTGGGGAGGGTAGGTGGGAGGGAGGAACCTCTTTTTTGATGATTTTGTTTTGGGAAGGTAGGGAGGGCTTAGATGCTTTTTGTGTAGATTGAGAGTTGGTAGGAAAGGAGGAAGGAGAGAGAGCGATATGGGCGGCAGGAGATTTGCTCATTATCACAAGACTGTCATTGTTCATTGCTTACTGTTCTTGGGGGTTGGAGAGGGTTGCAGTTGGTGGAAGAATTGGTAGCAAGGCTGAGTAGTGGTGGTTGCCTTGCAGCGAGACATAGCATGTGATTATGATAAGGCGACAACAGCGTATCCAGTAGACAGGCCATCAACGATGCAGTCAGCAGTGCACACTTTCAGACAAAAAAGGAGTTTTGTCTTTGACTGAAATTGACGACCAAAATGATGTCGAGATCATCACCTTGATGGAAACTCCAACGCCTCAACGCGTGACGCGTTCTCTCATTTCCCAGCGACCACTTCAAAGTCAAGTCAAACATGCCACCTCCATACCGTCAACCTTCTCAAGTAGGCGCCACAGCAGCGACAAAACGTCCTTTCAAGCCTCCAGCCATCTCAAAAGCCGGCGCAACCTCTTCGTCCAGCGGCAACGCCCCTCCTCGACCTGTTCCTGCACCACAAAAGCCACCAACCTCAATATCCAGAACAGCATCTGCCGCAAATCCGCAACCATGGAACGCAAACAAGCCATCAGGCTTCCAATCTGCCAGTGCGCAGTTCGACAAGGACGACCTTGAAGCTATGCTCATCTCCGACGACGACGATGACGACGACGACGAAGACAATGATGATTTCTCCGCTGCTCCTACCAGACGACCTGCTCCACCAACCACCATCGAACCAGCAGCAAAACGCCAAAAGACAGCGCCACAACTACCTACACGCTTGCCGTCTTTATCACCTTTATCTTCTGCCGTCCAACCCGATCCTGCACCTCAACCCGCACCCACAATCGCCTCAGCCGCAGTAATAGGCAGCAAAAAAGACGATATACCACTACTTCCTTCCGCCCTTATAACACGTCTCCTACACGAAAGTTTCGACGACAAGAGTACTAAGATAGGCAAAGATGCCAATGCATTGACGGCAAGATATTTGGATTTGTTTGTTAGAGAGGCAGTGGCTAGAGCTACAGAGGTGGCTAAAGAGAGGAAAGAGATGAGAGAGGCTGGAGGTCAGAAAGTGGATGATGGGGTTTGGCTTGATGTGCAGGATCTTGAAGAGGTGGCCCCGGGATTGGTCTTGGACTTTTGAGTTGAGATGGCTTGGTTCGCACTTGACTTGCGCATGGGACGGATTGTGAGCAATCCTCTTTCTTGATGGCGCGATTTGGTGCATGCGGAATTATGGTCTGTATAGGAACTACAGCGCCCTGGTTGTACAGGACTTACGTGTGTCCCGTCCTCGTCAAACCAAGCTGTTCACAATATCGGCAGTATGCACATGAGGGCAGTGATCTCAACTTCTTGAGCATTGGCTACATACAGTATGACCACGATGTGTATGTCTGGCGAGAGATTCAAGGCACACGAGAAGTCCTGTTGAGGACTGAGCATCACAGGAACCAGGTCTTAGATCTACTGGCATTGATCGCACTTTGATACACCAACCCTACCGGCGAACACGACGAAAGAGCACATCACAACAGGCATAATGAAATGTTTGGGACACTCAATTGTTAAAAACTACAAAGAGAAAATTTCATTAAAAATTCATGCTCATGCCAAAATTACCCTTCCTCCTCTTTCTGCTTGTACAAAGCAAATGTTTTTCTACCTGGTTTTCCCTCGTCTCTCTCTCCATTCCTTGTTTTCGTGACATCGTTGCTGTTTCTTGTTGCTGGAGATTTCTACTCCAACTCAACCTTCCTAACACTCTCCCATCCCTCTTCTTCCTGCTCCGCAATCTTGGGCACCACAACCCTCAAAACTCCATCCTCGAGTTTAGCGCCAATTCTCTCTTCATCAATCTTGACACCCTCTTCAAGCTTAATCTCTCGCTCGAAAATGCCGACTTCGCGGCGTTCGTCGGTGACCAGACAATTCATCATGGATTCGGAAATGTCGGGGCGGGACACTACGCCCGAGATGGTGATGCTGTTGCGGGTGGAGGAGTAGGTTATGTCGAGGTCGGACTTTTTGGCGCCTGGGAGCGAGGAGTGCAGGATGTAGCTTGTGGGCGTGCTGAAGAGATCGATGGAAGGAGTGAAGGTGCCGTCGTTGTTGGTAGCCCTGGTTACATCGTTGGTGGTCTGATTGTTGGCGAAGGGGTTGTTGCCGCCGAAGAGCGCAGGTGCAAAGGCTTCGGCTAGAGCGTTGAGGTCGAAGGGGAAGGCAGGGGGGTGAGGGGGCCCACGAGGATGATTGTGGTGTCCGCCCCTAGGTCCATGGCCTCCTCTAGGACCACCTCTGGAATGGTGTCCGCCTCTTCCTCGGCGATGCGGCGATGGTCCTCTGGGGTGATGGTGGCCGGGCCCTTCGTGATGACGAAGACCATGGTGGGGAGGTGGGGATGGTCCACGAGAGTGCGGGTGGGGGTGATGGTGAGGCTCTGCAGGCGTCTCAGGAGGAGTGTGAGGAGACGATGAGCGAGATGGGTGCTCGTTGGCAGGAGGAGGTGGTGGAGGAGCATTTCTATCGTGCTCAGGAGGTGGTGGAGGTGGGCCTCTTGGACCATCTCCGCCATGCCTGTGGCCATGAGGACCTTGATGAGGACCGTGACGTCTGCCACGATGAGCCCAAGGACCCCAGAACTCTTGACCGAAAGGATCAAAATCAGGTGCAGAGCCTCTGCCTTCAGCGAAGGGAGCTGCGCCCTGGTTGTTCTGGAGACTGGCGACAAAGTCCCAGAAGTTGTTGTTGTTCATGTTTCTAGTGTTCGACATATTGATTGAATGATTGACGAGAAAGAGAAGAGATGGATTTGATGAACACAACCCTACCTTATATGCCTACCTACCTTTCTAGAGCTTCAGGCAACAGCATCAAAGACGTGTACACAAAGTCGTCACTTGCATCAGCCACAACAGCTCTAACCTGCCGTCTATTCGTCCAGGGCTATTGTGCAATCACTAGCATGGAACCTGGAAGAAGAGGCAAGTGTGCACCAGAAGGTGGGGGAATAGGCAGCTCTGAGCCACGCGTTCGAAGCATTCGCCACAGGGAGGGCAAGTTCGCCCGCTGCGGCCGCTGTGGCGTACGTACTTCGCCACAGCAAAGCAATGGCATGTTCGCTAATTGGACTCTAGCATCGCAAGAAATCGATTTGTTTCTTGTACTCAATTCCAGGTGAGTCAGCATGCAGAAGATGCTGCCTCGAAGGAGATGTTGTCGGAGTGCGGAGATCGATTCGGCCGACGGCTCCGAGTCGTGCATTGAAATCCACGATTCTCAGCTTGGGAGAAGAGAGAGTGTGTGCAAGTGGAACGATTTCCTATAGGTGACCCTGTCAAATGTACTCCTCTCAAGATATCGTGCATGTTGCAGGGTCAGCATCTCTGGAAACCCGACTGATGAAAGCATTCTGGAAAGCACTTCTTGGCGACTTCTTCCAAGGCAAGGATCAAAAACCTTTCGGAAATGAACGCTTCGTCGGCATGCTTGCCTTCCTTGGGCATCGGCCGTAAATGGATACTTCTGTACTTTGCCTGTCACAAGGATTCTTCACATGAAAAGGTTCACATGAAAGAGGTCTTTGAATCATGATGCTGGTGCGATCTCAGCAATCCTCGATTAATACGAATAACCTCAAGGTTTCAGCTTCGAAGAAAAACCACATGCATGCTGTACAAACAAGGGAAGAAAGGCGAGATTTCGAAGGAAGCGAGAAGCGCGAGAGAAGAAGGGCCGTCCGGAGCGCGCTCCAGATTCTGGGTCGAGTGATGTCAAGGGCTGGCGGCTTCGATGAATTCGGCAGTTAACCAGTTCGATGTTTTTTTCGAAGGATGCAAACCACAGAATCGATTGCCTTGTGTCCGAAAGAGGGCGAGTGTCTGGCTAATCGCTACGATTGATCGTGGCGGTTTTGCGGTCTTCGATAGCATGATAGACTTTGCAATCCATGTGCCGAGCCATGTGCGTGGTCGATGATGGGGATTTAAGGCTTAAGACAGCGACAGGATGGTACTTCTTGCAGGTACTTTTGATGATCTGCATGTATTCGAGTCAGAAAGTAGGCAACCTTTCTATCAAACAACCTTTTTATCAAGTGGAGGCGAAAAGTAGGAAGCACAATAAACCCTAGTTAGGCATCGGAAATAGCTAGCTTGCTGTTGCAATAGACAAATTAAATGCAGGGGATTTGATTCGTGAAGTCTACGTGTACAGCAACATGCGCAAAATCGAGATTCGACAGATCTAGACGAGCAAAGTATCTATCGCGCAACACGCTGCGTCAGCGATCAAGACGACAGTCCGAGGCAATGGATGGTCCCCACGATTTGGCTAGTAGAAAACAATGAATCTAGTTTGATACTTTGGGAGCACCTGGGAGATTGCACTCGCGGGAACATGCTAAAGAGTCAAGACACTGCATATCGTACGAGTCGAGTAGGAGAAGCATCCTACAAGCAAGAATCGGTTTAATCCTTCAAAGTAGTGCCGCTGACCAAAACCCAGCCTCCGAGTGTTTTCCACGAGTCAACATCCCTCCATCATCCCTCTTCTCTCCTCTCGTTTGTGTCTGTTCCGGCTCGGTCCTGTTTATTCCTCGTGGCTTGCATGTCTCGTGCTTTGTGGGGCTCCTCGTGCCAGCCCAATTCTTTCCAACAGTCAGCAAAGTGCTCGTGCGAGCTCCTTCCTGCTTCCACCTTGCCCTCCACCTCAACGACGTTGCCCTCTTCTCCAACACAGCAATGTGTTCGGTCCTTTCCCACATAGACTCCACATATAAGCATTCTTATTATTCAAAAACAATAGATCCGTGGAGCATCAAATAAAACACGAGTCTAACGAGCGCATTCAACTGTTATTCAATCAAACGATTAAGCGAAGACACCTAACCTTGTGGTCCCATAAGCTTCCTCTACTTTTTGCTTATCCATGGTGAAGGGCATGGAGAGTCTCGCCAGAAAGAATAAAAATATCGACGATCTTCATCATCAGGCCTTGGCACCGCTTTCTGTGAGACAGCCATGTCATTGCCTGTTGGGGATCTTCGTGCAGCATCCGGGTTGGCGACCGTCACTTGCCGACCCTTTTCGTGTTGGGACTTGCTTTCCCTGGAGGCTTGCGAACCCTGGCACGGCGTCTCAGCAGATCCAGCGTCATGGCCGAAACAGCGGTCGAAGAAGAAACGACGTACCATCCACTACATGGCAATCAGTGACGACGGACAAGAAATGAAATACGAGATTCGCAAGTGCATGGACATGATGAGGAAGAGAGATGATTTTGAAGGTGAAAATAATCATGTAATTGCATAGTCTAGTAGAAAGAACTCCTCATCCATGGTATCAACCGGAAAAAAAGTAAACCAAAACTCCCATATCAAACCAGGCACCAATGCCATGTATTTGTGATGCCCCAAGATAACCTGAACTCCATACATTAAATCCAAACGAAAGAATTAATGGGCCAATGCCCAATCCCATAAGTGGTATCGGTCGCTCAAAGCGTCAATAAAGAAAGTAAACAACGTGATCTGCTGGCGACTGAGCGACAGACAGGAGAGCGAGAAAGAAAGCGCTTAAACGCAGGATCAAGAACTGAGAAAGACGTTGACGCTCAGGCTTGGGTATGCGTGAAGCTGGCGTGTCGTAGAGTCGATAAGGTCGTAAATTAGAAGGTGCTCCAGTTCCAGTTGCCGCCAACGGACTGGGCAACGCTGCCGACGGGCTGCTGTTCCTCAGATGACTTATTTGAGTTGGGAACACCGACGGGTTGAGTGAACATGGTCTCGTTGCTGTCTCTGCTGCCGACGCTGTTGTTGCGCGAAGGGCGAGCAGCACGCCATGCACGGTAGTCAGTCCAGCAGTTGTCGCAAGCACGCTGAAGAGTGCCCTCAGAGTGGAAGCGAGCCTCTTGGTCGAGGGGAATAGCGTGAGGACTGTGGCTGCTGCAAAAAATGTCTCCGCAGCGACGGCAGTGATGACGACGGTTGAGCATAGAGAAAGGACGAGTGCATGTGGAAGACTTGCACTGAGCAGCACTGTTGTCAGGCTTCCAGTGGTTTCTCGTGGGAGCACCAGTGACAGCACCCTGAGTCTCAGTCCACTCGTCGGAAACGACTCTGGAAATGCTAGCAGGACCCCAGGGGCCGAACGATCTAGAGTCGTCCTCATCGGGGCTGAGAGGAGGGGATGCGAGGCCAGCAGGAGCGGCAAACTTGAAGCCATCTCTGGACATATCCATGCTGCTGTGTGCGCTGCGAGGAGGGGTCAAGGACGTTTGTCTTGAGCCAGGCAACTCTGTGGGGCGCAGAACGGCAGGGACGTAGAGAGGCTGCTTTGGCTGGCGAACCTGCTTGGCGTGCATGTATGCGGAACGGCTGGAAGGAGAGACATTGTTTGAAGGAGGAGTGGTCGAATCGCCATATTGAGGCTGACTAGAGTAGATGTAGGTGGGCGACTGCATAGGTTGAGGGTGCTGGGCGAAAGTGGTGGCCATGTTGAATATTGGTCGTGTGATAAGTCGATCTAAAACATAAATAGTTGTCGAGGGTGGTCGTTAAGTATCCAGTTGTAGAATGTCGTAGGTTGTGGGGAGATGCAAGGAGAAATGTCAAATGTCGGTCTGCCCAGGGGGATGTGTGATGATCCAAAGTTACGGAGATGCACACAAGGGCTGCAAGATAAGAGAGATAGCTGGCCAACCAGGTATTTGGACAGTCTACTGCAAGGTGCAAGGCTACCCGGGTTTCAGGTATGTCGCGTGAGAAAGGGGATGGAGTAGATAAGAGTAAGTAGTAAAGAGTTGGTGGCTGTGGTATGTAGTGTAGCACACGATGACCTTCCGGACAAGACAGGTGGGCGAGATGGGCTATGTATATGAGCCGCTCGCGTGCAGCGCAACAGTTGACTGGGGCAGATGGGGGCTTGACACGGCACGCCTAGCCTGGCGAGCGCAACAAGGTTTGAGTTACGTCCGGCGCTATGGGTGGTTAGGTGGATAGACGAGGACCCTTGGCTGATGCGCCGAAGGGATCAAAAGCGACTCAAAGCGCTGCGAGCAAAGCAAACGGCCGACCGAGATTTAACGCTGTCAACGACCGACCGTGTGCTGGAGAGATAGAGCGGCGCGCGTGCTGACCACAGATTATGACATCCCCGCCTTCTACACTGCTTGCTCTCCATTGAGTATGCAATGCAAGCAGATTTGAACAAACTAAGCAGTACACTTCTCGACACGACTGCAGCAAAGCAATACTCATCAAATCTTAATTCATATTCTTCTGGCCACAGAGCCAAAAGATCCACGACATATCTTTGCTTCTGGCGGGTCAGCATCATCTTGCATGAGCGGGCGGCCGCTCTATTCCGTTTTGGGAGCGCTCGACTCAGTTGCAGAGATAAGCCAGATGGCTCTGATTGGCTCGTATCCGCTGTCGCATGCTTGACCCTCTCTTCTCAACAACCTCTTAGCCGCTACGTCTTTAGCATTTCTAGTGGCGGCCGCCGGTTCTCATGTGAACTCACGGTCCGGCAGGAATATGGAAGCGCTGCAAGCCATCCGACTCGACCGCGTATATCTGCTACTCGTGGTTGGCTGCACCAGCTCGTAACCTGTAACGGTCCCCAGTCTTGACTGTCTTCTTCAGCCATGCCTTCTGGCGCGGAAGCACCATCTTGCAGCCGCGAAATCTCAGTCGTCCGTTGCATCTCTATCCTCCTTCTAACCGGGTTTCATGTGAAGCTATCACTTGCTCTGTCGCGTGTAGCAGATCTGGTTGAGATGTCCCCTTCTTGAACCCCCTCGAGGTCCGAGGATCGCCTTGGCTTGCGCTTTCCACTTCCGATGTTCCGGTGCTCAGCTTCCGAGTCGGGGACTCGGCGTCTGGAGTGGCCTCCAGGTTCGTTCGTTGGAGCAGACCGCATCGTCAAATCTAAGCACCGACGAAAGCCCATCGAAAGCCTGTAAATCTGGTTGTCCAGAGCATCAAGAAAGTTTGGATTCTGACACATCGATTCCACTTTGGAGAGATGGCCCTCCACCTTTGACGACTTCACCATCAAAGAACCAAAGGACAGTGCTCGGCTCATCTTTATTTGGCTGGCCCCGCCAAGCTTCTTTGCGAATCGCTTCCAGGGCTGCCACATGGCGAGGTTTGAGACATTGAATTCTAAATGAATTCAACCGAAGCCTTCCGTGATCTCGCTCTCGGTATCTAGCACCTTTTACAACGACTCGTTGTCAGAGTCGGCTGACTGCTGGCAGTTGCTCTTCATTATGGAGCAACGAGCCTAGAGGGACGATCTTGAATCGCCATTCTGGTTGATGAAACAACTTTGGGATGATCCCAAAATCCAGACTTGCATCTCACAACCCTTCCGCATGACGGCTTCATGATAGTCCCTCGGCTCCTGATTGGCTCTACCCTGTGGGTAAGGGCATAGCAAGAACGAACATTACCTCCCATCTAACCATCGTGTGTGCATACTTTTGGCCAATATTGTGATGCTTCTTGTGACGTTGCGTCGTCAGGCAAAACAGTCTTGAGGCTTCTGGTATTCGGTAATGCAGCGTTATTGGGGCTGTTTGCCACAGATGCGAGCATTACCCAGCAGCAGTGATCACTGATAAATGTTATATCCTCAACTCGTATCAATGTGTATGATGGATCTACAGGCACACGCAAACAGTTTCATGCATGCCGCTCGAGTAATTCGAATCACCATTTGAGATTGATCAATTGTCTGTCAACTCATTACTGGATCAAGCCGAGGTTGTGATACAACGGCGATGTGAGGGGTAAACTGAAGCTCGTCTCTAAAAGACAGACTTGCGACCGGCGACCGCACATCCATACAGCAACGATATTCGAGATCAAGCCGTTCCTTTGATGCGGTATTGATTGTTTTGGTTTCACACAGTATTGAACGTTCGCTGTATATCCCTCAAAAGCCAAGCTCCACGCACAAATCTCGGAAGCATCAACGGGATTCCACGTTGCTTGCAGCCACTCGACATGTCAAGCCAACGTCGTACGACCCAACAAAGTCCAAGTCCCCTGTCTCCTTTCCAAGATGATCAAATCTTGACCGACAGCCAGTGGACTACATTGGCGTCAATCGTTGATACTATCATATCCCCAGAGACACAGACTAGTGGGGAAAATCCCAAGAAGACTCAACTCAAAGCTGCCGTTGATACTATCAAGCACAACACGAATGTTACAGATGAGGCCTTGTTATCTGAGTATTTGGCAGAGTCGGCAACTTCATGTCCCGAGTTTAGAGAGGCCATCCACAGGCTGCTCGCAGAGCAGATTCATACACAAGGAAGAAAGGAACTTCTCAGTGTCCTTGATGCTTTGACGTATTGGGTCCCTTCACCCCTCATAACAGATCGAGGGCTGACATAGAATAGTAATGCTCGTACTTCCTGGCTCTTGACTGGTCATTTGACACCATTCGCACAACTCTCCCTACGCCAGCGAGAAAAGGTTATACAATCATGGGCCACAGCACGTTTGCAAATCTTCAGAGTGCTCTTTAGGACGTTTAACGACATGACAAAGGCGTACTGGACGCGCACATCCCCTACGCTTGGCCGCGTCTTATCTTACCCATACACCCCTATCAATCATAGTTATGGGAAAGGTTTCGACTTCCCCTTCGTGGTGTTTCCGCCACTCCCTCAGGGGTCTACGCTTGTCCCAGCGACCTTCGAGACGGATGTTCTCATTATCGGAAGTGGTTGCACTGGAGCAGTTGCCGCTTCTGTCATAGCACGTTCTGGGCTTGAAGTTCTAGTAGCCGAGAAAGGTTATCATTGGAAGCCAAACCACCTTCCCATGTCGGAAAAAAACGGAATGGTACACCTTTTTGCTAATGGAGGCGTGACACTGTCAGATACTGGTAAGATGGGAATCCTAGCTGGCTCATGCTTTGGCGGAGGTGGTACTGTGAACTGGTCTGCGTCGCTCCAGCTCCAGCCGTTCGTCAGACAAGAATTCGCAAAGAAACACAACCTGCCATATTTCGAGAGTTCTGCGTTCCAACATGACATGGATGCAGTCTGCGAAACCATGGGTGTTGGGACCCAAGCTATCAAACACAACCCTGGAAACCAGATGCTTCTGGATGGTGCAAAGAAGCTCGGCATGAAAGCGAAGCCCGTGCCTCAGAACACCGGAGGTGAAGCTCATCAATGTGGTTATTGTACACTTGGCTGTGGAAGCTGCGGCAAGAAAGGACCGACAGAGAGCTGGCTTCCTGACGCTGCTCGACATGGCGCTAAATTTGTTGAAGGCTTCCAGTGTGAGAAAGTGATATTTGCTGCGGATAAAACACAAGACGGAAAGCAAATTGCCATCGGTGCTCAAGGTGTTTGGACTTCTCGAGACGAGTCTGGCGGCGTGTCTGGGAAGGTGTATAGGCGTCCGGTCACGATCTACGCCAGGCGTGCCGTGGTCGTGGCTGCCGGAGCGCTTGGAGGCACCGCGCTGCTCCTCGAGAGAAGCGGCATTCAGAATCCCCATCTCGGCAAGCACTTGAAATTGCATCCTGTCAACACTTTATTCGGCGTCTTCGATAGAGACATTATGCCGTGGGAAGGTGGTATCTTGACCTCGGTTGTCACTGAATACGAAAATATCAACTCAACAGGCTATGGCTGCAAATTGGAATGCGTCACTATGCTTCCTAGCATGGTTCTACCATTGATGCAGTGGAAATCAGGTTTGGAATGGAAGGTACATGCTGCCAAGTTCAAGCGTATGGCAGGGTGGATATCACTCGCTCGAGACGAAGGCGAAGGTGAAGTCTATGCTGACCCAGTCGACAAATACAGAGTCAGAGTCAAGTACGACACATCAAAGTCTGATCAGAAGAACATTGCAGTCGGCCTTGTCGCATTGGCAAAGATCGCGTTCGTCGAAGGGGCACGCGAGATTCATGTCGGTGCTGCAGGCGTACCTCCATTCATTCGTCGCCAATCTGTCAGAACGTCCTCATCGGCGATCTATGCCAGCCAGACCGGGGGAAATGCTGGAGACACGGCAAGCATAAACGACCCGGAGTTTTTGCAATGGCTGTCGCGTCTAGAACTGCTTGCCGTCAACGGACTTCCTGGAGATGCTGGGCAGGTGTCAGCTCATCAAATGGGCACTGCGAGAATGGGTTCCTCGCCCACGAACAGTGTCGTGAACTCCCGGGGTGCTGTGTGGAATACACAGTCACTGTTTGTAGCTGACACTTCTGTTTTCCCGGGAGCAAGTGGAGTGAACCCTATGATTACAGGAATGGCAATTGCAAGAGGTATCGCTCGAGGCATTGTCGAAGATCTGGGTCTTCCTTCCACACAACAAGCACCAACAGCGAAGCTGTGAGCAAAACAGCCCGACGAAGTGGTTGGGTGTACGGCTTTGCTCTGCTCGAGCTGCTTCGCATCCCATGCGAGTCATTAAGCTTAAACCAGCGGAAGCTATTACATAAGATCCATACTCAATCTACTTAAGAGAACGGTTTATACTTTATGGTATGCATAGCTAGAGCAACCAACGAACGCCCGTCATCTCCCATCTCTCGCCTACTCGCGGTCCATCTATATTATTGCCGTTTGTTCCAGAATGTCAGTGGCAGATAGGATGGTATGGCGCCTTCCGCTGCCGCTACGACAATAGCTTTGAAACCACACCGCGGGGCCAAATGCATTCACGGAAATTGGCCCGGGTCAGATGGGAATACGAATGTACGAGTAGTTGACGAAGCATGTGCGCAGCATAGATGCGACACTCGTACGATAGTGCTGCGGACCTAGATGCGCATCTAGATTGTCCTATCTTTGCCTGACTAGGAGATGGCTGGCAGAGTGTGCGCGTCGCTTGTGCTTGACACGCAGAACATGAGACGATAGTCAGTAAAAAGGATGTTCAATTATTACAATCCACAACGTCCACCGCTCAGTTACGCAACGTGTATGGTACTCTAGTAGATCAATGTCTTCTCCACCGAGCATGCATAATAGATTGCCTGCTTACTGATCCTCCAGGAGATTCAACAGATTTTAACTTGCAAGATAGATTGCCATCTACACTCGGTTCAACACACACAGATGAAGGCTTTGTTGGAGACTTGGAGTATTACCACTCGTCCTGTTTGATTTGCCAATCGCTTCGCGGAGCCTCATTCAAGCATTGGTTGAGGCTTGTGGACACGCGACACCTTACCAAAAATTGCTATAAGCCTCTCCCTTTTAGCGCCGAGCTCTCAGCGAGTGGAAGTGCAACGGTGGGCAGTCCGAAGGTCCGTCTCCGCCCGAACACATTCCTTCCAGTCCGGTTCTAACGGACCGAGTTTCGCTCTTGCTTCTGTTGGACTGCATGGAAACCGAAACTCCACATGCAAGTTGATCCAACCACACATCTGCATACAAAAAAAAGCTAGACAAGACGTGGCTGAACCAGGGTATCAACTTGGGATGTCATGTCGGCGCCAAACGGAAGAAAATCCCAGTTGCAGACCCTTGAACCCTTCGAAAGTCTATTGTGTGTAATCGTCCCGCTTCGTGTCCCTGGTTTCTAACTTTTTTGCCCTTGCCCTTCTTTTCGTGTCGAAAGAAGTCAGTGGTGGTGCTTCTTTCATTTTGTAGATCAATAGTGAAATGGGTCAGGTGGAGAGGAGGAAGGACCATGCACCGAGGGTCTCCCGAAACTCAACCCGCCCATAAATGATACATGTGGACAAAGGACGGGTTGGGGCTCGTATGCGCTTTTTGGGAAGGCATTGGCAAGGCGAGAGTTCGGATTACCGGGAAGCATGTGCTAGACGACGGCAGTTGTATTTGCTGCACTCGGTTCCTTGCAGATAGGCTGACCAACCTCGGCGGTCGCACAGAGTTTGCGATTTGGGACTCGAATAAACTTGCTTGTCACCCAACACATCGCCTCGGAACACCTGAATAGAAGTCGCGGACTTCATGGATACAATGTGTTCCAAAAACGACAGCTCAAAGCAATGTTTGACAAAGTATATCTTGATACAGAAACGGCTTTCTTCCATCAATCTCTTCTTAGCTCAGTTGGTTTAGAGCGTCTGACTGTAATTGCTTGATTGTCATCAGAAGGTCCTTTGTTCGACTCAGAGAGAGGAGATTTCTTTTTGCTTTTGCTCGCGTCATCCCACTCACTATACACTTGCTTTCTGCTTCTATTGTCACATAGCGGGTCGTGTGTATCTTCTTTGCTGGTTCGTATCTTGAGATTCTCGGTTGCATGGTATCATGCTCTTTTGTTCAGTCGTGGTGAAAAGATCAGGTCCCCTGGCCGCGCTTTTTGGACTGACGGACTTTGAAAGAGACTAACTATGCATACCTCACCAACCCAAAGCTTCTTTGAGCTTCGAACACATCAGACAGTTCAAGGTGTCCTTCTCAGACAGTTCATAATAATCAGAGCAGTAAAATCTCTGCGGATGGTCGTGAACGAGGACATTCAGGCTTCCATCGGGATGTCAGTGGGGTCACCCTGCTCCACACTCACCGCTGTATCTACACACGAGCAATCTCCAGAAGTAGAGTAATCATAACTGCCACATGTATGAGTCATTAATTCTCGAGATTTGACTGTTATTCTTAACCACTGCTAGGTTTGCACAGTTTGGCCGCGATCATGAGATCGCAACTACTCCTCATGAGACGATAGGGATATTAGAAATTACGACGCGCTATACCATGCACCTCTTCTAATGCCAGCTATCGAACAAGACAATCGAAGTCCATAGCAAACAGCTTGAGTCTGGGTGGTCGAGATTGACATTTTCTCTCCCTACTGCCTAGAGATGAGATGTTCGTTGATCAGAGCGTGTCTCGCAAGTAGCTCGAGCTCTGCAAGAACGCTCTTTGCTCTTTTCTTTCTGACCAGTCACGACTGGCTCCGCGAAGCACATCTCTAAGAGCTGTCAAAGTAAGCCAAGGTATCTCGGCCATTGTAAAAATCCACAGATGACGATATGCTGGGATTATTGCCGTGTAGAGAGACAAGATAGTACCTGTATATTGCCAATGTCATTACCCGTACAGATTTCTTCCATACCAAGGTCGACTATGTTTGATTCATCTGGCGCTCTTATCAAGTCGGAAAATAGTCGGACTCGAAGGTGTGCAACGTGTAAGATCGTCCGATCATACTCGCGCGGTTTCGAGAATTAGGTTCGTGTTGAGAGCTCAGCCACATGTGGAGCCATCCAAGTATGGAAGCTGTACTACAAGGCGATATCAGTTTTGTAAGACGATGCGGGCTCGCTAAGAACGATGATTATTGGATTTGGACTCGGGAAGGCCAGGACTTGTATAGCTGAATCAATTGCACCGAACATACCCTTTGTGTTGAGTGTCACGTTAAGTTGCGAACGGAAGTACTTTGCTCCTGTGCTCCATGGTCTCTCTTGCTACGAAAAGTGATCGGATTGAACACTGAGCAAAGGTCAATGAGGTTGACACAATATCACAGAGGTCATTACTATGGCGCTCATGAATAAGTGACGATGCCGCCGAGACTCGTTCAAGTTTGTCACATGTTCTCAAACCCCCGTTGTTCGCGCTGTTCAGATCTGACGAAGTATACCGTTCTTGATCTGATACCCTAAACGTAAAGGCATGGCTGGTTCGATTCATCATAGATGAGCTGGTAGATGGGATTCAGCTAAGGAGATTTGCTTTTTGTATAGCAATGTTCCTGCTCAAGTGCGTATACAGTTCCAGAAGCGTGCGGTGGCCATGACAGCACCAGGTGCAACAGCGTCCAAATCCAGACCAAGAAAGTTGATGACACGTCCTGGATACAGAAGCTGGCGACGGAAAAACTGAACATACTAGACTCGAAACTGGACGTCAACTCTCAGCTTGAAAGAAGTGTATGGGAAAGATGTTGCTCGCTCACCCTTGAGGCATGATTTGAAGCGAACCCAAGATACTGTCTATGCTCTGCAAGTTCTGCGAGAGCAGAAGACAGAAGCTTTGCTTGATGGCACCGGGATTCAGATGCTCAAGTATATGCTGCTCTGTAGGAACCACAATCGGAATTTCATCACCCTCAGCAGATATACGAGACCTAAGAACCGAAAGACCAGATACTGTGTTTGTGCTATAAATAGTTTTAAAGAGGACGTTAGGCGTATAAGTGCAAGTGCAGGCGAAGAAAAGGAAGGCCGATGGCATGAACCAGAGTCGAATAGAGCAGACCACCTTCTCTTCACAATGGATCGTGAGTAGGCGACAACGCTGCACGGTCGTTCTCGGAAGCTGTTGCACAAGATATGAAAGTAGCTTCGAAAGAACGACTGGAAATTTGTGCATTTCATTGCGAAACCGAAAAGTCGCAGATGTAAGGTCATGAAAGACTCTCAGTCGAGCAAAATCTCCTTGAACACTGTCTTGTCCACTCTTTGCCAATTAACATATCGTAACAGGGCATGGTAGTCGAAGTCATCAGGCTGAGGCGAGAGGTGGCGGGCAACTGGCTGGCAGTTTCTGGAGCGGAGCTGGCGGATGATTTCATGGAGAATCTGATCAAACAGTGCTCGATCCAACTGTGCTATGGCTAATTCAATGTAGTCTGTGTTGCCAACACGGTGACCTTCTCCCTTGAGCTGTGATGTGCAGAACCATCCACGATACACTATGCCAGTCTCATGTACTTTCCTGGTCGTACGATGGTGACCAGGTCTTCCATTGACAGGTCCGTGATGAGGACAGTGAATATGTTTGCGGTAGTAGTGATGTAGAGTTTGAGCCAGATTTAGTTTACCGCCCTCCACAGTCATGCCAATCCGAGGGTTCAGCGTCACAGAATCTGGTGGTTGCGCAGATTCTAATCCTCTCAATGGTTGGTTGGTAGTCATTGACGAACCAGAGACAACCATATAGCTGCCTCTCTGATGATTGAACACAGGCAAGGTCGAAGCATATGCCAAAGCTGCTGTTTGGTCCTTGATTGTTAGTGTTGTATTGGTCATTGTAGCAATTTTGGCGGCAAGCGTGAGCTTGAGAATGACCTTGGCGGGACTCAACAGGCTTGGTCACTTGTTTCACTCCGGGCGGTCTTTCTCGGCGTTGGTGATCGTCATGAAAACCACCCTGGCTGGAATCACCACTGCAGTCGTCGTTGCAGCTGAGCACGACATGGCTGCGGAACTTGATCAGAGCCTCCTCATCTATAGCAACACCTCAATTCGGCGAGAGCGACCTTGCAGTGGATTCTGCAAAGCCTGCCGAGGGTCCATGACATGTGGTGATGCCCTGAGGTCGGTCTTCGTTATGGCCGACACGTTTCTGAGGTGGGAAATGGGTCGGTTCGAACGCGTCATCCCTAATACGCTTCTTGCTCTGGCAACGTGAGTCTTCAGGCATCATTGTGTGATGAGCACGATGATCGGGAGGTGCAATGGCAGTTGTTGAAAGGCCAAAGCTGTGTTGATGGAATAAGCCAGGCTGAGTGTCTTGTGTATAGTGGGAAGAGTTAGTGTTTCGCGAACGAATCAAAGTCTTGTGAGAAGGAAAGCAGTGACTGCAACATTTGAATCACGGTGCCGTCTGACTTGTGTATCTGAGGAAGGCGCGACTCACTTAGCTGTTGCGCGAGACGTCAACATTAAAGACGCGAGATGGTCCTTGGCAAGACACATCGGCAAAATGTCGGCTGCATGTATAAAGCTTGAAAGCTTCAAAAAGATTTTCATCTCGCGCCTGAAATTCTTTTCATTGTCAACAAGAGCTCCTGCTCGTCTATCCATGTCTGCGTGGTACCACATGCGCCACTGAGAGATATATTGAAAGCTTTCATCGTCGTATGTGTGCCTCGGCAGCTGTGGATTTGCGATGCGCCCACAGCTGATTGTCGTGAGCGGTGCCGACCGGTCAACACATCCTTGCCAACCACTAGGTATGCATCTCTTTCGTTCCATCCCGCCCACCTTCTCGAAGTGATGAAATTCCTGCGCAAAATTCACAGACCTGTTCGGAAACAAACAATGTCGAGAAAATGCTTGGAGACCTTCTGATCTTTCATCAATTACCCTTTTCGTACAAGACTGCTGCACGTAAGCCTTGAATGCTGACTGGGAATACTAGGTCTCGGCTACACAACGCCGGATGGAACGGCAGTTTGGTTACATAGAGCTAGAATTAGATATCCAGTATACGCATTGGTTGAACTCATATCATTACCGCTCGTTGAGCCTTGTTATGCGCACACCTTTCTGTTTTGCAGTCCAATAAGCCCAAGAATCCTTTCTCGACTGCCATGTTCTGTTCACTCAGTCATATGCTGTGAGCGAGGGTGTCATTGTTGAAGCAAGTGTTGAGAAGAAGAGTCAGAGCGGCCGGACACACCGTCGGCATAGCCGAGTATATCTCGTAGCGGCTATACGAATGATGCAAAATCGTGACAGTCGGAGGCTGTGAACTTTTCCTAAAAGCCATGATATTGATAATGCGAACGCTCAGCCTTGCAGTCGAGCAAACACTGCCTGAATACTGAGGAGAAGAAAAGGCCATCCACTTCCCGTTCCCGTTCCCGTACCACCCATCAATATCGATCTTCCATACTGTGTTGGGGTTCAAGAAGGTCACAAAGATTACGCCCTTGGTGACACCAAACCGTGGTCACTCTGCTGTGGATCAGACGCAGTCTTGGGCCGCTATTCCCCCCTGCCCAACAAGGTCAGTATCGGTCGATCACAATGTACAAGTATGGATTCGTGTTGATGTGTTCGCTTCTACTCATAGGGTGAGAGTTTTTTTTGACAAGCACCATTCGACTTTCTGAGCATCGTCGGGAGCACTCTGCCCGGCAACCGAGGTCTGACAAGAGACGGTTCACGTGGCGCCAGAAGCTTCAGCCCTTCAGCTCGTAGCTGACAAGACAACCCCTGGCACGAACGTCGACTTCTGCCGTCTTCTTTGACCGGTACTCAACACATATTGTACAAAGAATTACTGTGGCAATTCTCAAATCACCAAAAGACCAGGATCCATACTGGCTGATCGGAGAACGACAGAACCATACGCAACACTAGGCACATTCATCTCTCACTTTCAAGCGTTGTTGTCCAATCACAGTCTGGAACACTGCCTGCGGGTCGCGTTCGCGGGGAACTTTCCCAAATCAGTTAATGATCCCAATAGCTCAGCGGACCTTGCCCTCTCCAAATTCTTATACCCACGGACTCGCCGGGGTCCAAGTTCACCTGCCTTTTTCCTTTTCGAGTTTGCAAACCTGCTCTTTTCCCCTTTACGGATTCTTCTCTGCTGGTCCAAGTTCAAGTCTCTAGGAGAAGTGGAGCAAACAAGAGGCAAATCACAGCAAAAACAGTGACCGATCATCGTTCGGTCGAGAATTAGGTCAGAGAAGAACGAAAACAGAGAAAGGAACTGACCATGGCGGCCGTGGGCAAGTTTGTGTTTGTCAACTATACTGGCGAACCCGAGGCTGAAGCCAAGCAATCTCTGCCAACCGTAAGACAGCATGTTATGCATGACTTTTTCCGGCGGCAAAGGGAGGAGGCAGATAACGGCGTTCCTCCAGAAGAAGGTGCTGCGCCAGAAGTTTCAGCTGCTAAATCAAAGGAATCTCGGCGGCGAAATACCAACACTCGTCAGGCTGCGTCTCAGCCGCGCCCCAAGCGCTCTTCCGTAAAAAGACCATCACGAGCTCGCAAGGATCCTCAACTCCATCGCCAATCATCTGCCTCATCCACCGAGTTGGTATTTCTTCAAGAGTTCCCTGAAAGACCCTCTCCATCGTCCACTCGGACCTCATCTTTTGAAGAGACTCCTAATTCATCCCCACCTGGTTCCACCGACTCAGTTAGCTATAACGATTCATCATCGCCTTTGTTCTCTGTTGCACAATCTGGTTCTTCTCCGGACGTTCTTGAGGAGGCCTCACCTCAATCTACCTCCCTTGTTCAAATCAACGCCCAAGCGTCACCTGTCTTTTTCCAAGACGATCAGTCTGCCCTGCTTCAAGCACCGAATCCTTTCCTCCACAGTCCTGCTGTTCACCGTTGGGACCCATTTAATACACTTCCCTTGAACGGCCTTGCTGTTGATCAATTGGCGACTTGGCACTTCCATCGTCCCATCAACCGAAATAACATTTGGGAAAGCAAAGTTCTCTGGCTTGACAAAGTTGACATTCACTTCAGAAGAGGCTTGTGGAGCATCGCACTCACAAGCACACCGCTCTTTCATATTTTACTCTGCATTGCGGAGATGAAACGTAGTGTTCTTACTGGAGACCGAAATCAAATCAGCTACTTTGAACACAAGATTGCTGCTATGCGAGCAGTCTCACAAGGCGTTTCGAGACTTTCTAGCCTTCCTCAATTCACAGGCATGCACGGCATGGCTCTACCTAGTAAGAGTTGAAAGCTGAGAAAGACTGAGGACTATACTGACATCAGACAGCGGATGACACCTCGGGTTTGTCAGAAACATCAACAGATACCTTCGTCATGTTAGTGGCCATCCAAGTAAACTTGGCTCTGGGCGATAAAGAATATGATGCCGCAAAGACACATATGCGATGCGTTACCGACCTTGTCAACAAAGCCGGTGGTCTCCAATCCTTCGGCTACACACAATGGCGTCACACGATTTGGAACGACTTAAAGCTAGCATCTGCGCTCCTGGAGAGACCGATGCTTGAATATGGTCTGCGAATGGAGTCTGTCAATGCGGCATTCCCTACTGAGGTGATAACCCAAGCTCACCGTCTAGCATTGGAGACGATACGTACGATCCCAACATCAGATACATTGACAACGGAGTTGTCGTATGACCTCTTCAACCGTCTCCATCAGGTGTGTCTGACTTTTGACACCACACTCAGTCAAGAGGCACACTTCATGGCTTTTGAAAACGCCCTATACACTATTGTGTACCAATTGTGCAACTCCATTGCAGATATCCAGTCAAACACCGAGTGCAGCGCCACAGATATGTTGATTTTGGGTGCCCAACTTTGTACTTGGACATGCATGCCGTCGCTGGTCAACATGCGTGCACTCTTCAACACAGTCATCATGGCCATTCAATCAAAACTAGTCTACCGCCTCTGGAATGGTCTCAAGCCAGATCTGATACTACAGTGGGAGTCGACCGCAAAACTCGACTCACTTCTCTGGGTTCTGTTCCAGGCCTCATCTGCAGCCATCGGTGTTTGCTCGAACGGAGAAACATGGATGCCGGCCTACATGTTGGACTCTTTCCTGACGACTACCAAACAAGTGACCCTGAGATTGCAGATTCACAGTTTGGCAGACTTCGAAAGGACATTGAGAAGTTTCCCCTACAGCGAAAATGTGTTTGGTGATGATGCCAGAATGTTATGGCAACAGATGGGACTCGATACTGGCATGATTGATGGAGTGGTATCTCCAAGCTCGGTGATTGTCGAAGAAATGTGAGCAGGATTGTGAGCATTGGGATTGGTGGTAGAGGTCGTCCCTCCCACTGGGTGTTTGGTGGTTCCTTCCTTTCTTTCTCTCTTTCACTATTCTTCCCTTTCGACGCTCATGAGACGTCTTTGTGCAGCTCACGCTGCTTCCATTTCTTTTTTACTATGGCATCATATCTTGTGACGAACTCAAGATTACAGCTACAGCATACTATTAGAACCTTCTTCCCCATCTTCTGGCTTGGAGTGTTTCCTTCAGCCATCGAACAATGCGCCCAAACAGGAAACCACGAGGAGGTCGAGCCTGACGCTTGGCTGACAGCCTCATCGTTGATGGTGGCGCATCTAAGGCCCACTTTAGCCGGATACCACACGATGTTTTAGGTTATCTTGTGGCTTCATCATCAGCCATGATGTATGCAAGTGTCAAGTAGTGCAGATCCTAGGCAGCCAAGTGAACGACCACTTACTGTTTTGGTTCGTTTGACTGTCTCATGAGTTGAGGCTCCGCCAGCCACAGGGTGTGGCGTGTTCTAGCTCCTGCGGATGTTTAATCCTCCTTTACATCGCTGGCTTTGATTGCCGGTAGAGGGTTCATCTTGGCAGACCTATCTCTGAAAGCCGTAAGTGATCTCGGGCATGCAAGGAAGGAACATGCAAGAATACGGCCCGACTTAGAATCCTTTGCAGGAATCGATTACGTCCATATCGAGTTAACAATCCTTTGCAGCTTCGACGTAGCATCGTTCGCGCCTGCCTGATGGTTGTTTGGTTAACGCACCGTCATGAAGTATCGGCACTCCAGCGCATCATCTGACATTTTGTGACTTGCTGACTGGCACTACGCAAGCGGTGAGTCTTTGTCCTACAAATACAGAGTCGTACGGTGATCTATCCACATCACAAAGCGCCTCATATGGCCAGAAGCATCGATGAGCCTCAGATTTACTTACACAGACGTACGGGCGTAAGCTTATTCATTCGCCTGGCTGAAAATGCAGGTACAACCGCATAGAGTTTGAGCTCTGCATATCTGTGGACCCTTTATCATGGCACATGGTCCTTTTCAAGTGCCTCGACTTTTGACAATCCGATCGATGACCATTCACTGAATGTGGAAATCAGTGATTTGGATCTGCACACGGAGAGTCCGACTGAGTTTCTTCCCTGCCCATCAGCTGTGAGCAAATCGATCAGCTGGTCCCTCGTACGTCCTGTAGCATAGTGCTGAGTCGATAGCAGTACGACGTCAACCTACCCATACCAGAAACTGGTCGATCTCTTGGTGAACACACAAGATGTGCTTGATGTCTTCCATCTCCGAGCTTGACCGGTCAGTGATGCTTGTTGACCCCAATGATTCAATCTCAACAATACGACTCAAGCCTCTGCGTAGGAAATCCCGAGTTGGGTGCAAGGTCACCATTATTGTAGGATATGATGAGTTGCCCCTCGGAGACGATAACAGAAACAATATCATGATAAACATTGGTTTGCCTGGGGCTCTGATGCACCCCCGACAGCGTTTTTGATGCTGGATTGTTGCCAGTCATCAGTTTCTATGGAGGTGACATCAATCCAGGCGTACAGAATAAATCATGCTAGACCGTCGTTTTTCGCTTTGGCTCATTGCTACCATTCCATTATTGAGTATTATCGAACAGTTGCATGGCGTACAAGTACATCAGCACATCCCAGGGGTTACACAAGCTGACTGTTATCACCAAATTTGAGAAGAGCAAAATGCAAGCCATGTAGTGTTCTGCCGAGACAGACACAAACTGTAGATCTCTCTGACTCAAGTTCACATCCACAACTTGGTCCAACAATGACTCCGTATCGATGACTTCGTATGTTGTGGCTCGTGAGAGTCAACCTTGGTAACACTAAGTATGTCGGTGAAGATTCGAGTGGGTCTACCAAGGACATCCATCTGGATTGAGAAGACAGTCAGGATCTGGAGCGACGAGACGACCGTCACCGAAGATTATGGGGCTTCTTCCATACCACTCCAGGTAATCGATGCATGTGGACCAGCCAACTGACTACCCAGATCTCTCAGAACGAAGTATAAGTAGAGCAACCTCAGACCTCTTTGGAACTCATCGCAGAATCAACTTAGATCAATTCTGCACTCATCTCCTCGTCCAACGAACTTGCTCCAACAACCATGCGCCTCACAACCATCCTCACCATCGCCGCTCTCGCTCTCACCAAGCAAGTCACAGCCACAATCTGCACAGGCACATCCACCTTCACCTCAGGAAACCTCAAAGGCACCTCCTACGATGTAGCCTGGATCGACGGCGAAGACGCTTGCCAATGGACTTTCATCGCAAACGCCAACGACAACCCCTGTGGCAGAAAGTTTACTCTGCCCAATGGCTACACATACTATCTTGGAGATTGTGGTGATGCTAATTTTGCATTGTATAATGGGGATGGCAGTTATAACCATATTGCTGTGTATGATCCTGATTACGAGGTATGTTGTGGAGATGGGAGATGCACAGGAGAGAAGAGTGCTGATTGTTGTGTGTGATACAGAAGGATGATTGTGTCAACAACAATGGTCAGTATAAGGTTGTCAAGACCTGGCAATTCTGAGTGTTGCCTTCTACCCTGATGTGCAAGAACACAGTGCAACATCGCATTCATGAATATGTGGAGAGAGGAAATGAAGTCTGGGAAGTGGCAAGAAAGGTGATCAGAGACTGGCAGATCAAAGCAGAAGGACCAAAAAAAAAAAAAAAAAAAAGAAAAAAACAGATAGCTGAGCCAGCTGTAATACAATCATTCGCTTACATCAATGCTTCATGTGAAGCCCAATATTTCAAAGTCTGTCAGCGAGAAGAGTTCGCCTATAGTGATAGCATGGGTTGATGGTCGTAACAGCGAAGGTACCGTTGAGCGAAAACGAATGGGAGGCAGAGCACAGAGGTTACTTGACCGTATGACACTTACAAGGCGACGACATCAAGTGTTCACGATCACAAGAGCTGGTCAGACATCACGATTCGAGACAAGAAGAGAAGGGTTTTTGCATGGGTGCCGCCATCACAACGAACCACAGGGATATCATTTTGGTTCGACATAAAAAACGCCATTTTTTGTCCCGTCATAATGCACACCATGCAAGGAAGAATGAGAAAGGAAAGTTTGGGCAACACCGCTTTTTGTCTTTTTTATCGCTGGTAGATAGTCCGTTTTCCCGTAACCGCTTTTCCCAGACCGATCTCTCATCATTCGAACGTCACAAACGCAGAGTTAATGCATTTATGCGGCGGTGATGGCGCGGCGGTTGCGCTGAGCGCGCTGGCGGTTGTTAAGGCGGACAGCCTCACGGCCGGCAGCCTCGGGGGCCTTCTGAACGACCTCCTCGCCCTCAGTGAGGATCATCTCAATGTGGCAGGGGTTGGACATGTAAGGGTTGATCTGGAGAACATGTTAGTCGAGGGTGATGAGAGAATGGATAGAAGAGTCGAAACGTACGCGACCGTGGGCACGGTATGTGCGGCGGCGCTGCTTGGGGGCCTGGTTGACCTGGATGTGCTTGACAATCAGGTTGGAGGTGTCAAGACCCTTGGTGTCGGCGTTGGCCTCGGCGTTCTTGAGGAGCGAGAGGATGAACTCGGCAGACTTGACGGGCCAGCGGGCCTTGGAGACACCGAACTGCTTGCCTTTTGCAAATATCAATATGTATGTTCTTAAACCCAGGTGGACTTTCAATCCCCATATGCATCCTCGCAGCTGGCAGACTTACCCTGGGCGGTGCGGCCAGTGCTCCCGGCATAACGTCTCATGGGGACAGCCTCGGCGTGGTTCTTGACGTTCTCGAGGTACTGGATGGCACGGGTGACCTTCCAGCCGTTGATGGCCTGAGCGGTCTCACGGGTGTTCTTGAAAGAGACACGGAGGTAGGAACCGCGAGCGCGGGCGCTCTTGGCGTTCTCGATTTCGGTAGCGGCGTAACGGACCTGAAGGGAGAGGATGTGTTAGTCGAGAGTCGCATTCGATCATTGTGTGCGCAGAGGTGCGTTGTGTGAAAGTGCGAATTGTGAAGAGAGTCGTGGATAGGAGCATAACCGGCCAGGTGATGGATCGGACGCAGACTGGAGCGATTGCGCAAAAATCGAGACTGAGCGAGATGGGCAGAATCTGGTCGAGCGATGCGCAATCGAGCGAGGCGGCGGTCGAAACAAGCAGGTGGCCGGTCGGAGAGGGTATTCGAGCGAGTGTGCGTGTCGAACCGGCGTGTATGCGTGCGTCTCCAGTGAAAGAAAAAACTCACCATCTTGTCGTTAGTTGTCGAGTAAAAAAGTCGCGGACAAAGATCAGAAGGGAAGAAGCAATTGGCAGCAGATTGTGAAAATTGGACGTCGCAAAGCCAGGGCCTTGGCATTGTGTGCCCCAGACCGTCGCTTAGTATCTCGGTCCGCTAAGCCGACCGCTTGCGACTCTGCCTCCTCGTGTGCAGCCTTTCACTGAGTACGTCTATAGAAATGCACAATGTTTTCGGAAAGAATGTGGTTTACACAAAGAAAGTCTCAATGACGGCTATCCTCATGGTCAGACTCCACCAAATTGCTGACATGCCGTCTCTATAGCTACCATAATAACCGACCAAGAGTTGTCTCTCTTGAAATTGTCGCAGTCAATATCCAGCAGCCTACTAATGATATTGCTTACGAGGCGAATAAACCTCGTGATCACCGCTGTCAAAATCAAGTGAATCGGCCAGTCAATTTTTGTCAGATTTTTTGTTTTCTATACTACTTTAAACTAGCGATTGCGAAAGATCAGACGGGGTGGATGGACTCCAACAAAACACAAGGAAGAGTGTCTAGAGGAAGGAGAGAACAAAGCCGTGCAGGTTCTTCTGAGAACCAACCAAAGAATTCCTTCGTATGGGTCGGAAAGTCATCCAGGCGAAACATTGGACTTTTGGGTGCGGCTCTCGGCGTGCGAATCCAAAGATGACTTTTTGACGGTGACTCGGCGTGTAGCTTCGGCGTGCCTGCATTCTTCAACCTCGAGAACGTAGCACGCAGCCCTGTCGCAGTAGAAGCCATGAAGCGGTTCGTCATCTTGTGGTGGCTTGACACTCAATGCCCAAGTATCAATAGGCTCATGGGCGCCCCATCGACACACTCGAGCAAATGGTTCCAGTTCAGGAACGCATCGATCGACTACGAAATTGTTGCGGCCTTTACTAACATTTCCGTTTCTCGTCTGAGCTATGATGAATGAAGGGTCTGTGAACTCTTCTGTCATGCGGAGACCTGCAACGGAGAGATCAATCCTGTGATAGTACATCAGACTGTTCGACAAGAGAAGCTTGCGACATGCCAGAAGTTGCTGATCATGCTCGATCTTTGCTTGACGAGGACCTGCAACACGCGGAGCCGGCGCCCAACTCCTTCTTGTCCACTCATTGGCCAGCATTGCTATGTCAAACATGCCCCAAACAACATGCTTATGATTACCCTCTTTCCTCTGATGTTTCGGCAATAGACATGCAGGAGTGGCCCAGTCTGACATTGACTTCTGAGTCACGACGGGGTGTTCAGGATCAGGGATGCCTCTGTCGTCACAGATCAGAAGTTGCCCACGCAGGCGGGGGTAGGCTCGTTTCATATCTTCCCAGCTGTCATTGTTGACCGACCCTCCGTCTAATCCTGAGATGATGATGCGATACATGAATTGACTTTCAGAAGTTGGATCATCCTCGATAGTTCTCTGGGCATGTTCGGATAGTTCTTGAAGAGCTGCGGCGCACTCCTGCTGCGGGAGAAGCATATCTCGCAACGATTCGGTTCCTTGAATGTTGGGCAATGTACATCTCATATGCATGGGGTACTCGAACGATCCTTGGACATAAGGCTTTGTTTCGGGTTGCTGTTTTTGGGCTCCGAACAGAGCATTGGTCGCCTTGATGCGTGCTTCATATGTTTCGTTCAACTTCTCATGCTGAATCTCGCTTACGACATCACTATAACGAGAGATGAAGATGTGAAGCATTGCCGGGTTTTCAAGTGGGCTAGGGGTCGGGCTGCACCTCTTGGCTCGCAGTTCATTGAGATACCTTGCGCTCAATTCGCGAGCAGGGATCATTGTAGCAACCCATCTGTCCTTTTCGTTCGTATCTTGCTGGAAATGGTGGCTTTGGCGATCCAGAATAACTCGCAAAAGTCTTATGAGATTCCATTTCTCAGGAACGGGGAACTTCTCGTGCTCCATCATCTCACGAATGGGGCCTTCCATTTCTTCAACGGTCATACCTGTACGATTCTTAGGACTCGACAAAAGTCTGAAAATCAAATCTCGAATGCCGCTGATGCATGAGGGTAGGAATGATTTGGGTGAGACAATCTTCTTCTGTCGCTTGCTGAGCCGTCTGTCGTTGGCTGTCTGATCAACGGTTCGATTGCCAGCCTTGTGCTTCTTGAGAGTCTCCTTCTTGGTCTTTTCAGGAATTTCTTTATGGATCACCTTGCTTAGAGCATCAATGCGAGCTTGAGCGCGATTGACAGCATCATGGTCAGGAAGTATACCGTTTTCGGAGAGAGCGGCTTCGGAACGTTCGTTCGGCCCTTCAGTGCCTAGTAGAAGACCACGGATTGCCTCTTGAAACTTCCATCTGATGCGGATTGCAAATTCGAGGGCCTCCTTCGTGTTAATCGTCGTGTGAAATTTTTCGCCATTCATATAAATGATGGCATTGTGAGCGGAGAAAACTCCACAGTCGTTCATGTTTGCTTGTCTGGCGGGCGTCGGGCACACGACATTCTACTTCGTAACCTTCCAACCACGCATGGAAGCACACAATTCTGCAAACTGTGGCAGCACTTTCTCGGCGTATTCCTTTCGCTCTCCATCAGGAAGGCTATCGACGAAGGTGATTGTGCTTGTGGTTGAGTCGATGCCAAACATCGTCCAGTGTTGTGGGAATGAAAGCACAGCGACCACTCGAGTAGTGGTCTCCTTGAGGCCGAACGGCGCATCAATATGGTTATCGATAAAGTTGTTCAGCTGGATGAGGGTTTGTTCAGGGGTTCCAGACTGTGGCAAGACCGACCCAATAATTATGGGATCAAGAAACTCTGATCCTTCGACAAAAGTGCTCCAAGTGCACAGCTTGACCATGTTGTAGATGGTGTTGTCACTCAACCAACAAGCCAGGCCTATGTCTCCAGACGACGGCTGGAGAGCAAGGTAGTCTTGAAGGTACATGGCGTGGGTAAGGACATCTTGCAGCATGGCAATCCTTGTAACGGGCACTCCAAACTGTTCTGCCTCTTGACAAAACCTCTCTTCGACGTCCAGGCAAGACTCAGCAAACACACCCAGTGAATTGGCGCGACGAACATTGGCGTAAAGAAGGATTAATTGTCGAGCAAGCTTCTCCTCTTGTTCCTGATCATATATTTCCTTTTTCTTCTTCTCTGTAGCAGCGGGCTCGGCATCGACGTCAATAATGCTTTGCTTGTCTTGATCAACCACCTCAACATCATCGCCTGCCTCAGAGTCGTCATCTGCATCGATGTCCTCCTCGTAGCTGCCATCTGACTCGTCGCCAAAGTCGGAGTAGGCATAGTCAGACTCATCCGAGTCTGATTCATTGTCTGAATCATCAGAACTAGAGCCATCAGAACTAGAGCTAGGCCCACCGGTAGTGGCGGCGGGTGGTGTAGTCCGGGAGTTGAGGGAACTGAGGGCGCTGATGGAGCCGATGATAGCCTTGAAAGCAGGTGTTAAGACTCTCTCTACGTCTGAGCGGTTCAAAAAGTGGTCAACGCCTTCGAGAGTGGCCTTGAGGTCTTTCTCAACCTTTTTGGCTTCCTTCTGCTTGAGCTGGTTGACAGCGCTGGGTCTGGCATTCACAGGCTGGAAAAGAACTTTTCGCTTCGCCTTATCTTTCTTGCGCTGGCTACGACCAGGATTGTACTTCTTGTGCTTTTGGCAGCGGCCGTTGGGCTGACCAGGCCTGCAATCTGGGCAGTCGGCAGGAGCGCCGGCCATTGTCGTTGTTGTTGTTGTTGTTGCTGTTGTTGATGGCGGCGGGGGCGGGGGTGGGGGCAGGAGCGGCGCGGCAGTGAGTGGTGGTGGTGGGCGGAGGTGGAAGAGTTTATGTCAGGCGTGGAAGAAAGATTTAAGGTGAATGTCCGGAAGTGAGATTACAAGGAAACTAAAGTGAAGACTCAGAAGTGAAACCACCACAAGTTTGACCCATCTCCGCTGTGAGATATGGTGAATTGTAAGCCATAAAAAGGCACAGTAGTTTTTCAAAAGGAAGTGTGGCCACAGAGATATCCTCAAATTGTGTGCTCTCTCTGGATACTGCTTGTTCCCTGAAACTACTGTGCAGTCTGATAGCTACATGTGACAGCGGTAAGCACGCAGGAGACACTCGAACAACAGCACAGACCCGGAAAACTCTACCACAGATTGGAACAATTGGGAGTATTGGGAGTTGGAAGGAAAACATGATGCAACTAGAAGAGACGCCTGGAAATAAAGAGACAGGGAGAGCATCAAGATGACTGGAGCACACTTACGATTGCAGATATAAAGCCCTGCTGCCACATACCTGCGAGATGTCCCCTTTGTAGGCTCCTCTGCTTCTTGAATGTGGCAGGTGCATCAGGGTCGCTCCTTCCCGCACTGCAACATGCCTTCCTTATTAAAGTCACTCCTTCCCTCACTGTCTTCTGACTCTAATCCAACGTCACTCCGTACCATGTCAAATCTCGATCCTCTGTCTACGTATGTCTCTATGTCCGTTGAAGCTTCTCGTCTAGTGCGAATGTGAAGACTCGCTCTTACCATGATCACACCGGTTGAACTGGAGCACAAGGTACTCAACACTCTACAGCATTCGAAATCAACGAGCACAAGATGTTCGGAGAAAATCAGGCAATGACGGCAGATGAAGAGGCCTGAAGGTGATCGAGATTAGGCGCATGTGAGTAACGCTCTTTTCGTTGTTTTTGTCCTCGCAGAAAGAAGACCTCAATTTTCTCTCGTGATGAGTATAAGCCAGACAGCCCTGACGTCCGAGTCATATTGCTGTCTTGAATGATAGGCCGTACTCTGTCAGCAATGCTGTAAGAAGATCCTGGTCTCTGGTCAGTCACGCTGTATTTGTGTTGGCTTGGTGAAATATGGCTCTTACTGATTGCAGAACACCTTGGAGTGATTCAAGTTGCCACACTTTGAAGACCAGAAGCTGACACTCACCGTTTACCTTAGAGGTCGTCTACTACTACTAGACACCAGTCATTCTCTCACATCTCCAGAACATCGACATTACACTTCTTCATTCATTTCATTCTCCAACGAGTAGCTCACCAAGACAAACTGAACTTCGAGTGAATCTTGGCGACTCGCTGAGTCAGCACGGTCCGTCTTCTGGGGTCAAGCTCGAATGACGCTTGGACCACGAAAAAAGTGTGCGCTGCGCTTGCTCTCGGATTTTCCTTCAAGACTGCACATCGACTAGATCTCTTCACGTCGACGGTCCGACACATTTTTTTCACAACTCCCATACATTCCCTATACGCATAATATGGCTTTCACTCCTCGCGGCGGAGCTGGTGGACGTGGTGGACGCGGTTCGCAACTATCTTTCCAGGCTCTCTACAACGTGTACTGACAGAAAAATGCAGGCGGCTTCGGCGACCGTGGTGGCAGAGGCGGCGCTCGTGGAGGTAGAGGCGGTACGTCCCTTTCCTTCTTCAATCGGCTCAGGAATAAATGCTGACGGTACCAAATAGGTGGCAGAGGCGGATTTGGCGATCGTGGAGGCCGTGGGGGCGCACGCGGCGGCGCAAGAGGTACAAACCCTTCTTGAATGAGCTTGGAACAAGATCCTAACGATATATCAGGCGGTCGTGGAGCTTCCAGAGGAGGTGGCAGGGGTGGTACGTTCCCTTTGACCTTCCTACAAGCCCAGACAATGAATGCTAACGATTACAAACAGGAAGAGGAGGTGCAGCTGGCGCAAAGGGCGGTCAGAAGGCCGTAGTTGTATGTTACATCTTCAGGAAGCTCCAAAACCTTCAAAATACTGATAAAAAGCGCGAAGGAACCTCATCGTCACGCCGGCGTGTTCATTGCAAGAGGAAAGGAAGATTTACTCTGCACGAAGAGCATGGCGCCAGGAGTTGCTGTGTATGGCGAGAAGCGCATCACCGTCGACTCACCTGCTCCTGTCGTCGAAAACGGCGAATCTGCCGCTGCAACCAAGGTCGAATACCGTGTCTGGAACCCCTTCCGCTCAAAGATCGCTGCTGGTATCCTCGGTGGTCTTCAGGACATCTACATGAAGCCCGGCAGCAAGGTTCTTTACCTTGGTTCTGCCTCTGGTACTTCCGTTTCTCACGTCGCTGATATCGTCGGACCCACTGGTACCGTCTACGCCGTCGAGTTCTCTCACCGTTCCGGCCGTGACTTGATCAACATGGCTACTCACCGCACCAACGTTATCCCCATCGTCGAGGATGCCCGTCACCCTCTCAAGTACCGTATGCTCGTTGGCATGGTCGACTGCATCTTCGCCGATGTTGCCCAGCCCGACCAGGCCCGTATCGTCGGTCTTAACGCCCACTTGTTCTTGAAGGTCGGTGGTGGTGTCCTTGTTTCCATCAAGGCCAACTGTATCGATTCGACTGCTGCCCCCGAGGCCGTCTTCGCCCGTGAGGTTCAAAAGATGAGAGAGGAGCGCATCAAGCCCAAGGAGCAGCTTACCCTTGAGCCCTTCGAGAGAGACCACGCCATGGTTGCTGGTATCTACCAGCGCGCAGCATAAATGCATTCTCAGCAGGCTTAATCGGTCTAGTTTGGGAAGCTTTGCATTTGCATCTGTGTCACATGTGTACGATCTTGCTGATTACAAAAACGGGTGTCAAGAAGAGAGACGGCTATTTTCTCTTACGGCTTTTGGGTTACAAGTGGCGTTCTGTGGTGTCAAGACAATTCATCATCCTGGGAGTTTTACGGGCTTAAAGAGCGTGAAATGCAACAATTTTCTTATCCTTCAACTCGTGTCGTCATTTCGTCGTGAATTTATTGTCTCTATCCAATGTTGAGTGATGCTATGACAACGCTGATGCGAAGTCGTATTGTTGATCGTTGCTTCCGAATTGTTTCCCATGCCATGCCATGCGCCTTCCAAATTCATCTCCCGACCAGATTCAAAATAAGCAGGAAGCGCCCGCGTGTAGTTGCCCAATTTCTTTGCGCAACCAAGACTCCTTTTTAGGTATGTTGAACGCTCATCAAGCCTATGCAGTTGCGACTGTGCAAAAATGAAAACCACCTTGTGTATTGCTCACACATCGTCATCTTTGCCCAGAGGTTCGACGCGGATATGACAACCATTCAGCCACACCCATCTCCTGAACATGACATGTGGTATCTTCTCTTCTCCTTCCTCACCCTGTCCCAGTCCTCTTGCAATCTCATCAGCCACCTCATCAGGCAACCTGACACACAACAGTAGCCTGACCTCTGCAACACACTTCCTCACTGACAGAATGATTTCTTGCAGCTTTGGATCTTTGAGCCACAAATCCGCATTTGCCTTCTCGTTCAGACTTGGCTGCCATCTAGGTCCTCGGTAGCGAATAGTCAACTGCCGTAGCCCAGGCAAGTCACGCACGAGGCTTCTTTCTACAGCATTTGTATTGAACCAAGCAGTCCAGAGACGAGTGTCGTTGCTGCGGATGCGGAGAGTGACGTGGGGTATGAGAGATGCGAATGAGCGATTACTCAAAGCGTGAGCGAACATGTTTGCATCGCTGGGGTGGGAGAAGGCGAGGGTGTTTGTTTGGTAGAGCACGTGAGCTGCTTCTTCGTAGATGGATCGACACGTGCGCAGGAGTTGAGGACTCAGATTGTGGGACTGGTGTTCTACGGGCCAGAGGATGTTTTGACCGCTTGTCAGGAGGTACGAGTAGATCTGCAGGCGTAGATCGCGTGGTAGACGAAACAGAGGGCTTGAAGATACGGAGGGAGGGAGATTGTCGCTTGAAGGGACCTGAGTAAGGGCGTCGTGAAAATCATCTTCGTCGTTGTAGGATGAGGTTATTGAGGTCAGAGTGTTCTTGCGAAGGGTTGAGGGTCTGGTCGAGTCGAGGGCATCGATGGTGCTGACATAGGAAAGACTGCGTGTTGACAAGACCGACTCGCGCCATTGGTATGGATCTGCCATGTTGAGGTCTGCTACGCTGTAGTTTCTAGATATTGAGGGTGGAGAGATGTATGGTGTAAGCGACTGGAGCGCTGACGAGGATTGCTAGGAGCTGCTATGTACTAGTCATGTTTGTTGTTGGCCTTGGTTCATTCATTGTGTGGCTCGTTGCACCAAAGTCTCGGCTCCTTCAACTCCGAAAAGTCCAGGTGCAAGATGATGACCAACACTCCACACTCGTCCTGCCCTTTCCACTTGTAACCATCTCAGTCTTGTCTTGACATCCTTCTATGCATCACGGTAAATCTCCAATCAACAGCCAAGTAGGCAATCCACTATTATCCATGCATCCATGCTCGTGTGTTTCACAAACATTTCACCGCCGCGCTTCGCCCAATATATTCATGCAATCCTCCATGCGCTGATTGGCTCCATCCAATACCACTCCATCTATTTTGAGGCCTTGTCATGCAGCTTTGCAGCCATACAGCCTCATGCTGTATTGTGTATTTACCTATTCCGCCCTGAGCGCTTGCGCTTCAACTCCCCACTCGCTGTCATTCTCATTTCCTTGCTCTCTTTTCTCTGTCTCTCACTCTGCCCTATACTCTTACACAACATACCATACGATTGCTTCTGATCCCTGTCTTTGTTCGTCTCGCTGTTGCTTGTGTGACTAGCCCTGTCTCTGTATGCCTTTACGAAACACGTACTTCTGACCGTGCGACTGGTCCTAGCCATGACTTCCTCATCCGTCTCAACCTCAGCCACTGCTATACCTAGTCCAATTTCTTTCGCACCTTCGCAATACTGGGATGGAAATGATGGAAGGTACGAGCCTGTATTTATCACGATCCTCGAATCTCAATTGACCACTCCATAGCTGGAGCTCGTTCATGGTCCGCATAGGGACCCCTCCTCAAGACTTTCGAGTCTTTCCTTCTACTGTCGGACAAGAGACGCTCATACCTGTGCCTGAAGGCTGCACTCAAGATGATCCTGCCAACTGTGGTAGTCTACGAGGCGTCATGCCTTTCCAAGGCGATGCTGGTACTGGCTTTTTGAGCAATGCTTCAACGACTTGGACCAACATTGGCGTCTACACGACAGATCTGGAAACAAACCTTGGCATCAATGCGAATGGTGCATACGGATTTGATACTGTCGGTCTGCAAGTCGAAAATTCAGGAGGTATCCAGCAGACACATCAAGTGGTCGCAGGCATTGCCGACAAGAGTTTCATGTACGGTGTCTTTGGTTTAGGACCGAAACCATCAAACTTCTCTGTCTTGTCGGATCCGCAGCCATCATTCATGACATCCCTACGACAAAACAACACAATACCATCCAAGTCATATGGATATACTGCTGGCGCTTCTTACCGTAAGTAACACGTTCGTTCGCTAGATACGGACATGACTGACACGGTGCTAGGGTACAGCAAAGTTCTCGGCAGTCTTACCTTAGGTGGCTACGATGCATCACGAATGAATGGCAATGGCACCATCTTCCCCTTCGCCTCGGACGACTCGAAGCCACTTCAAGCAGGCGTCACTCAAATTACCGCCAGGAATACACTACTCGGCACAGCAACATTATATTCCACCGGCTACTTCTCCGTAATCGACAGCACAGTGCCACATATATGGATGCCACAAGCAGCATGCGACAATTTCGCTTCCAACTTCGGCCTGATCTATGACAACCAAACAGACCTATATATAATAAACGACACAACGCACACGAAACTTCAGCAACTGAACCCAACTATCATCTTCCAACTGTCCCCACAAACTACAGATGGAGGTCCAAGTACCAATATAGTCCTGCCATACGCCGCCTTCGATTTACAAGCAAGCTATCCTTATTACACCAACAGCACGAATTACTTCCCTATCCGAAGAGCAACGAACAACACACAGTATGTCCTCGGACGCACATTTCTACAAGAAGCGTACTTGATAGCAGACTACGAACGCAATAACTTCACCATCACACAAGCGGCGTTTGCAAATCCCATGCCTGCTCAAAATATCGTCTCTATCCTACCATCCGGCGTCAACGCAACAAACTCAACAGGAGGCGACGATGGCGTAGTCACAAGGCCATCAGCCATCCTATCACGCAACGTGATCATTGGCATTGCCGTAGGTGTCGTTGCCGGCGCTGCACTCGTCCTCTTCATCTTCGGCACAATCTTTTACGTCCGTCGTCGACGTCGCCAACGCGAGGCTCAAGCCCTGCTCGCCAATAACCCAGAATCGGGCGACTCGACACCAACTCCTCCACCTGCAGAAGTGGATGCAGCTGTCAAGCTAGAACTGCCTAGTGACTCCGAAGCTGCCTTGAACGAGATGCCCACCGGCGCTGAAAAGTATGGATGGCAGCCGCATGAGGTGCAAGGAAGTAAGGTAGAACCTAGAGTTGAGATGAGAGGAGGTTGGGAACCCCCAGAATTGGATGGGAGAAGTCTGAAGGACGGAACGAGGGGTGGTGTGTATGAACTGCAAGGCAGTGAACCTCTGCAGCAACCATTGAGAGAGGGCACAAGACGGGATGAGCGTGCTAGATTTTCTTGGGATCAGTGATCTGATTTGACTTGTGCCTGAATATAATCTCGCTCTCTAGTCCAAGCTTAATCGTTCCTTCGCCACATGCTATGCTTCGCTCCAGCTCTCTATCTTCGAGCATTGCGGCATACACGCTGGCCCGTATAACACTCGCAAAAGGCAAAAAGGTGTTCCCATGCACGGAATCGAACCATGGATCTGTCAAAGTTATGATCCGTGCATTGGTTGAATCTATTAACTAACTGTCTACTAGCCCCTCAGAGCTAGATATAGCTAACTAGCCCCTCATCGGGATAACTTTCAACCGACTAGTTTAACCGAGGTTTGCTAAACTATCCTTGTTGCTAACACTCCCTCTTAAACCTTAGTTTAACTATAGTCTAACTATCTTCTACTGCTCTCTCTAAAGCTCCTTTAACTACTATAGTCAATCCTATTAATTCTAACAACTGTCTAATCTTTTCCTCGCTTAGAGGCTTAGTAAAGAGGTCTGCTAGGTTATCCCGTCTAGAAACATGTTTAACTACTACCTTCTTACGTTTAACTACCTATCTAGTTAAATGATACTTAATCCTAATATGCTTCGATCATAGATAAAACTATGGTTCCTTACTAAGGGTAATTAAAGCCTAATTGTCCGCTTTTATTAGAAGCAGTCCTATCGTACCTTTAACTTATCTAAGTCTTCTAAGTAATTATTAAAGCTATATAGCTTCTTTAACTATAAAGAATATTACCTAAAATTCCGCTTTACACGTTAAGCTACTAATAATTAGGTTAAGTTTGCTTAACTAGCTAAAAGCTCCTCTACCGAGGGTAAAGATATAGCTACTAGTAGATTTACTAGTTCGTACGTCGTCTACGAAGCTAGAGTCGGTATAACTAATAACTCCTTCTAAGCCCTTATATATTAACCTAACATTAAGCGTTTCTTTAATATATCAGATGATTCGTTTAACTACTATCCGGTATTCCTTAGTTAGATTAGCCATATGTCGGCTAACTTATAAAACTACGTAGGTAATGTCTAGTCTAGTTAATAGCATTACAAACATTAGTTTACTAACTACCTTTTAATACTACTTAATGTCCTCTACCTTTGCTTAATAGTCTTTAGGGGTTTTAGTTAGAAACTTGCTAACTACTATAGGCATAGGTACTAGATTGCAGTTTAGTATATTAGTTAATTCTAGGATTCCTTTTAAGTAATTCGGTTAAGTAAGCAAGATCGTTTTAGCTTCTAAGTCTCGAGTTACTTTAAGTCCTAGGAAGTGCTTATAGGGCCCGAGGTCTATTATCTTAAACGTGGAGGAGAGTTATGCCTTAAGTTTGTTAATGATTTCCATATCTAGTCTAATAAGGAGGAGGTTATCTACGTAGACGACTACTATAAGGTTCCTTATAATAAATACTACTTTATTAAACTCGTATTACTTAAGGTCGAAGTTCTTTAACGTTACTAAGATAGTTTTATACTAGATCCGGGGTACTTACTTAAGCCTATATAGTACTTTCTTTAGTAAGCACACTTTACTAGGGACCTTATAGCCGTAAGGTTATTCTATAAAGATAGTTATATTAATATAACTATAGAGGAAGGCTATTATAATATCCATTTACTTAATATACTAGCCTTAAGCGGCTACTATAGCAAATAGTGCTTTATAGGTCATTAGTTTAGCGACTAAGGTAAAGGTTTCGGTAAAGTTAATACCATATTGTTAATCGTACCCTTTAACTACCTAGCGCGCTTTATACCTTATAATCTTTCTATCTAAGTCTCTCTTAATTTTATAGACCTATCGACTACTAATAATTTTACTAGTAGCCTCCGATCTATTAATAAGTATAAAAGTACTATTATCTATAAGTTACTTTAACTCGAGCTTTATAGTAGTGTCCTATTGTTAATAATCTAGTAAGTTTATAGCTTAATAGTAGTGCTATAGTTTATCCGGTTAGCTTGTCGGATCTTTAACTAAGTATAGTATAACTTTATTAGTATCGTCGCGGTTATCGTGTTTAGTATCCGAGTCCTTAACTTTAGCTAGGTTATCGTCGCTTTAATCGTCCTATTTAACTCTTTTCGTGTCTAGTTTAATGACATTAGGTTAAATATTATTATCGTTCTCCCTCTTAAGCTATTATCGTTTAACCGTATAGATATAAGGTAGGTTAAATACTTACTAAATTAGTACTTAGGAAAGGTTATTAAACACCGCTAGAGGAAGTATATTCTTAGTACTAAGCGGAGCGTCTATAATTGCTAGCATAGATAGGAGTTTCTAGTTGCTAGTCTATACTAGCTTAGTTTCTTTATTAAATACTGCTTCTAAGTAGTGCTTAACTCCTCCTATAAAGGGGTTCTAGAGTCTATATTAGTTAATTCCTTCGTAGCTAAGGAGCACTCTAATTTATCTACGTTTATCTAACTTCTTTAGATAGAGCGCTTTTAGTATAAGCTTATACGCTCTATAACTAATTCTCCTAAGATGGCTAAGGTCTAGTTTCCGCCTAGTCCATATCTCCTATAGAGTTTAGTTTAGCGCCATAGTAGGACTTCTATTATAAAGGTAAACTATAGTTTGCAAAACTTCGGCCTAGAGTACTACGTAAAGGTTACTATCTAGTATTACTACCTATACTCGGTTAAAGAAGTAGCTATTTACCCTCTCTAGTTAACTATTTTAATTCGGTTTATATAGGGCTATTAGTTCTATAATAGCACTAAAGTTTGCTAGCTAGGAGGTAATCGTTTTAGTTATAAATTTGTTATTAGATCTAACCTTCTTTAACTGTCTTCCTATGTTATTATAGGCCTATATAGCCTAGAAGCTAAGATAGCATAGGATTTCTAAGCGTGATTTCATAGTAAACATCTAGATTATTTAGGTAAAGTCATTAACTATTAGTATATAATATCGCTTTCCTATAGTAGTTAGTAGTGTAATTAGTCCTCTAAGGTTAATAGAGATTATTTCAAGTCTTTTAGTTAAACGTCGCGTCTTATTCTAGTTATTAGTTGCTTTCATTTTACCTTAAATGCACGCTATATAGCTAAAGGATTTACTACTGTCGTAGACCTAGATTCCTATAGTCTAGAGTTATGCTTTCCTAATGTTATTAATTCTAAGGTGGCCGAGTCGTTAATACTAGCGTTAAATATCCTCTATAGGGTTAATGTGCCGGGTAAAGAATACCTTTAGCACCTGGTTTTAGTAGCGTTTTTCCTAGACTTTAGCTAATTTAGTTAAAGAGGTATCTAGTTTTCTAAGCCCGCCTCCGGTACGTTTACCGGTTATAATTAGAATTATCTTACTATCTAGGGTGTCTTAAATGAATTTACACCTTCTACTAAGTAGTATACAGAATCTAATTCCTTAATCGTCCATTCGTAATTCTAATAAGAGGTTTATCCTAAGCATAGGGATATAAAGGACCTTACTTAAGCAAAGTAGTCGAATGCCTTATAGTATTTAAATAGGGAGTTTAACGACTTCTTCTCTAAGTATAATATAGTTCTTACCTCTTACTTCTACTACTAGTGGTCGTTTAAATATGTTAATTTCTACGAACTACTCTAGTTTATAGGCGATATAGTAAGTAGCTACTATATTAATTGCCTAGTCTAGTGCTTTAAATCTAGTTAGTTTAGCGGCCGTCATGAAAAAAGATAGTAGGGTTAATAGGTTACTAGGGTCGAAGCTACTCGATTTATTATCCGGCGGTGCTAAGAAAAAGGTGTACCGGAGTATTAGAGTACCCTTATTTAACTAAGGAATTAAAGGCGTACTAGCTATAGTTAAAGCTATGGTTAAATGAGCCTTTAGTTTCTTATTCTTCTTTATAGCATTTCTCTCCTTAACCTAGTCTAGTAGAAGTTAAGGGTTCTTTATCTAGCACTCGGTTAAAGTGTGTCCCATCTTTTAATAGTAGTTATACTTAATATCTAGTCTTCGTCGTTTATTACTTACCTCGAGTCGCATTATAATAACTAGCGTGTCTACTAAATAGAGAAGAGCCTTTTATCTCTCTTCTTTACGCGCTTTAAGCGCAATTTCCTTAAACGAGAGTTTACTATAATCGCTAGTAATTTATCCGTTTCTTATTAAATTAGCAACGAAGATGTCGTATTCTACGCCGAGTCTAAAAAGGAATTTAAGGGAGATATACTAGCTAGGTAGAACGAACTTTACGTCTATCCGGCGTAGCTTAGTAATAAACGTTATAAAGTACTATTCGAATTCTTCGATGTCCTTATAATCTAATAGTTTAAGTTGCTCTAATTGTTTAATAATTAACCATACTTAACTATCTCCTTAAGGCTTCGATCTCTCCTTAAGGTAAGACTAGAGGAATTAAGGACTCTTAAAGTCTTTAACTTTAATCTATATTTTATTGCTTAATTAATCTCTAATTCTAGATAAAGCATATTATATCTTTACTCTTCTAAAAGGAGTAGTTCTATCTTCTTACTCCTAACCTATTATAAGGTTATAAACGCACTCTTTTATAAGGGCGTTCTTCATTTTCCTTTTCCATTTACCCTAGTTATAGCTATATAAGGTACCTATATTAGTAAAGTTCGTTCTATTACTAAAGGGAATCTAGGTATAGTTTCCTCCATATAGGGAGTAGTATAGATAGTGTTAATAAAGAGGTTAAGGTTTAACCGTAGCTAGTTAAACTGCTAGTTAAACTAGTAGTTAGATAGGTGTTTCCCTATGTAAGTAAAAGCGAAGTTATTTTCTATTAGACATTATTCGTCGTTTATTTGCAATGTTATTAGGATATAGTTTAAAGATCGGAGTGTTAATTCGAGGTACTAGATTATTAAGGCCGGCAAAGAATCGCTAGGCCTTAGTAAGATAGTTAGGGTCGTCTCTTTCTAAGTAGCTTAGTAAAAGAGGTTCTAGCGAGGGTTCTAGTAGTAGTTTGCCGAGTTTAGGTAATCCTTAGTAGGCTTAATAGATGTCGTAGTTAAAGCGTAGTAGTTTATTAGCGCTAATATTACTTTTAAGGTTATTTACATCGATTAGACTATTATCGTATAAGCTAAGAGGGTAACCCTATAGGCTAGTTAAACTATTTAAGTTAACAGAGTGACCCTATCCTTTAGAAGTTTTACTATCTTTATTAGAAGATGCTTCTTCGTCGGAGCTACTAGGTATGTCTCCTCTATATGCTTCTACCTATCTAAGGTAAGGGCCTCTACGTTCCTAAGTAGCTACTACTACGCGCGCTACTATTCCCCTAACTACTCGAGGAGGGGTAATATCTTCTTTATAGCTAGAGAAACCGCTACTGCTACTTATAGTAGTAGACGACATAGCTAAGTGCATAGTTAAGCGTTCTAAAGCTAGTACTAAATCTATTAGTTAATCTAGGCTTATAACCTATTAAAGTTATAATCTGTGCATTGGTTAAATCTATTAACTAACTGTCTACTAGCCCCTTAGAGCTAGATATAGCTAACTAGCCCCTTATCGGGATAACTTTTAACTAACTAGTTTAACCGAGGTTTGCTAAACTATCCTTATTGCTAATAGGATCTTATCATTACGAGTGACACGCCGTACCACCTGTATAGGGTTAGTATGCTGTTACTAACAGAGGCTTACAGAGGGGCGTACTTGGCCACACGGGAGATCTTCGGCTGAATTCTGTCTACGAGGATAATAATTGAAGGTATCCTTGAACTGAGTGCATCGAGAGGCACCGCCGGGCAAGGCAATTGATCTCCATAACTACTTCCTCAAAACTTGACAACCGCTTTGCGACACCCAACCATCAAAACACATTCAAAAGATAAGAACAAACGTTTCGCGGCTCATTCAAGAGCCGTGTCCGAAAGCGAGCACTCTTCCCCAAGTCCGCATTTTGCTCTCCGCAACCCCGGTTTGACATCGTCATCCGGGGATCGTCTCTAGCCGAAATAAAGCAATGATCGTCACTCTTTCCCCTCGAAGCTTGTGGAGATCCAAGCGCATGACGACGAGCCGCACCTCTGTAACGACTTTCTTTTCCATTTCCGCGTGCTGCCGTTGCGAGTCAAACAGTGGACCAATTGAGGGGTATTAAAGACAATGCTCGTAAATTCGTATGCGCAGCTGATCAGATGAATTTGATAGGGATGTGCTCTCAAACAGCGGAAAGAGTTTGAGGCTAGTAGATGTTGATGGAAATCGGCATGGAAGAGGTGTTTATAAGAAGTCTTCTGTTTCCTTAGCTCCTCTTGTTTTCATTTTTCGAGTGCCTATTCATCACTTTGCTGCCATCGGTTCTCTCACAGAGATTCGACATTCCACGAAATAATCATGGCTTCCTCACCGTCCAGCACATCTAATTCGGATCCCGACACGATCCAAAAAGCAGAAGCAGAACACCTCGAAAATAATGCCATCAATCCTCGTTGGACACCTGGATATGGTCCCTTGTCTCGCATCCCCACTGGCGACTCTTATCTTCCTGCCTTTGGAGGTGCCTTCCAACCTGGTCTATACAAGCCCCCAACCAGCAACATCGCCAACCCTGCACCATTGGGACTGGCAGGCTTCGGCCTTACGACTTTTTTGCTTAGTCTTATCAATTTGGGGACCAACGGTGTCCATACACCTAACATCGTTGCTGGACCAGCATATGCCTATGGAGGATTGATTCAGATTGTTGCCGGCATGTGGTGAGTTTTACTCCTTAGAGGGTGTCTATTCGAAAGATGCTGACGATCTCGTCCACTAGGGAAATGGCTGTGGGTAATACCTTTGGTGCCACAGCTTTAACATCATATGGCGGCTTCTGGATTGGCTTGGGTATCATTTTCACACCAGGCGGCTTCCACATTGCAGAAGCATACGGAGGCCAAAACGAAGCTTTTTACACGGCATTGGGATTCTATCTTTACGTATGTCTCCGCCTCAGTCTTGTCACGACTCTGCACACACTCTAACACTGATCTAGGGCTGGATGATCTTTACTTTCCTGCTTTGGATTGTGACCCTAAAATCCACCGTCGCATTTTCCTCCCTGTTTTTCACTGTGTGGCTTACCTTCCTCATGCTTGCCACTGGGTATATGTACACCACCACAGTTGATGGCGTCACTGCACCCAACCAAAGCCTCAACCTTGCAGGAGGCTCTTTCGGCATTATTGCCTCGTTTATCGCTTGGTGGAATTTGTTTGCTGGTATCGCGGACAGGGGAAACAGTTTCTTCTTGATTCCCGTGTTGCACTTCCCTTGGAGTGAGAAGGGAAGATCGAGAAGAAGGTCGAAGGCTGAGAGTATTAGAGATGTTGAGAAGGGTGATTAGATGTGTAATTGCTCTCGAACATCACCAGGATAGATGATAGACAGAGATAAGTTTAATGGTAATCAGACTACGGCTGTACCGGACAGATTTCAAGTCCAAAGCTTTTGAGTGATGCACAAGTCCCACAAAACTTCTAGTCACTTCCATTTCTTGAAATCGGGACCGAACTCGCTGCTGCAACCAGATCTATCAAAAAACACATCTCAATACCAGCTTCCATCAATGGAGCCTACTGTGAGGGTGCTCTTCAGCATATGACTACGCTTTACCCCACAGAGAAGCACTATATATCAAGTACGGTGAATAGCTTCATTTCAAGCGGTTAGTCTGACCAGCGACACCGCTTGCAACTCCATCAAGAAACGAGCACAGGCAGAAAAGTCCGATCTCGCCTGTATCATCGACTTGGGAAGGCTGAACCAGGAGTAAGGAGCCAAGGGCAGTGATCCTTGGTGCTCTAACACAATCCCCGATGCGTGCGTGTGTTCACATAGAATATTGACTGCACTCACAATGAGCGAGGCAAAGCAGGGTTGGCGAGATACAAACTCAGAATCAGTGACCTCGCGCTCCTATCTCTGCTCACTTCTCTGCACGTCTCAACAGTCCAGCCATCGTCGTCTTCGTCAAGCTTGGTTGTAGTAGGGGTATTCTTGATACGCCAGCTGGTCGAACAAGTCGTTCTGGCGCCAGGAGAATGTTCGATCTACTTTGTCGAGAGTGTTGTACCCAGATAGCCGTCCGACGCAGAAGACAGAGCAGCGATGCTTGCAAGGGCGACTACCCTCAAGAGCAACGTCTGGGATGATGTGCTTTTCGTGGTCTCGAATCTCTATAAAGAACTACTTGACGTGGCGTGTGAGCAGACTGCCTATGCAGCGTGAATGTGATAGGTAAACATATGAAGACTATCGTGGAGTGAAAGGTCTGGTGACAAAATTTTGACTAGTCTGCTGCATCCTATATGCTACCAAGTATCCAAAAACGTCTCACTATCTCTTCCAAAAATTCTTCCAAGGCCAACTCAGTTACAACACGATCAGAGCTTGACGCAAGAGACTGTCTCTCCATCTTCATATAAGCTCAACACTCAAGAAGTGGTGCCGTTGATAGTCTCACTCATGAAACTAGCACCAAGTTGCTTCTGGAGAACCTGCTGAAAAACACCAATATTGTCAGTCAGCACACTCAAAATCTTAGCACCTGCAGAGCCATCGCATTCGTCAGAATGAGCGGGATTAGCACCCAAATCACGCTTCTTGAAGTTGATGCCAGGCTTGATAGTCACACAGTTGTACTGAGATTCTGCTGCCCGGAGTTGGCAGATGGTGTTGGTCTTGCAGTCACCTGTGCAAGCCGAAACGCCATAACCACGAGATTTGCGAGCATTGAACTGTTGGAACACGGCGTCGTCGTTTGAGAAGAGAGTGGTGACGTTGTGCCAGAATGCAGGTGTAAGTTCAGCAGATACTGCGGTGACCGGTGGGCTAAGCTGGGCACCGTATTGTTCCTTGACAGAGTAGTACTTCTGCCAGGTTGGCCCATTCTGATAGGTAGGAGAGGAAAGGTTGGCAATGTAGACGGTGTAGTCCAAGATGCCGAATGTGACGGGATCGACAGAGTAGACACGGAAAGTAGGATTGCCAGATGTGGGAGTCAGAGCAGGAGCGATGTACGACACGTCGATGGCGTTGGCAGATGTCTGGGCTGTGTAGTTCGAGTAAGTGATCATGAACTCATCTCTGTGGGTGTGGCCGTAAAACTGCGCACTAATGGTGGCACTGTATCTGGTGACAATCTGGTTGAAGTAGTTCGAAGCATCGTGAAAAGTATCGCCGGAACCCATGGGCATGTGTCCAGTTAGCCAGACACGCTCACCAGCTTTCTCAGCAGCGTCAAGCTCAGAGACAAGCCAAGCCAACTGACCACTAGGATCAGTTTCCATGGGCTCTTCGTATAGCCAGAAGTTTTGCTTGTAGTACAGATTGCTGTTGAAGGAAATGATGCGAAGGTTAGTGTTTGGGTTCTTGACCGAGTAGGCACCGAACTTGTCAGCTTCGGTGGCAGCTGCAGAGCCAATCCACTTGGTCCAGGCGGTGGACAAGGTGTCATAGACCCATTGACTCGAGATTGTGGTATCGACAGCAGCAGGAGGGAAGCTGTTGACAGGAGCAGCATCGTGATTACCTACAACTCCGAAGATAGGCATACCAAGAGTGTTCATGAGCGAGTATGCGTTGTTGAGATCGCCTGTAACCTCAGTCTGGTTTACAAGCCAGACTGCGCCCTCTACCACATCGCCAGTGAAAAGAGAGAAGGCTGCATCTGGTACAAGAGTCTTGATTGCGTTGTACATGCTCTGCTCGAGGATGCGTGGGCTGTCGCACTTGTTGTTGCCATAAGCACCAGCAGGGAACTGCGTGTTTCCTGGAGCATCAGCATTCGTGTACGGGCGGCAACAGATATTCTTGGTGCAGTTGTAGTTGGCGCCAGTTTCGTAAGAAAGGTCAACGTGGATGTCACTGTAGTGGACGACCTTCAAAGGGGTCTTGCCACTAGGTGGAGGACGAGCAGCCCCAGCAGGCTTCGCCGAGGGGAACGAGACAGTGTAGGGTGTCACAGCTGGGTAGTCGCAAAGACCAAAGATGGTACCGCAGAAAAGCTTAGCAGTGTGCGAGCCGATCTTCATTTGACGAAGGTCGTGAGCCAAGATGGGCCCCTCAAGTCCAATCGCACCAGCGCATACATCGGGATCCTCTGTCTGTATATATGTCAGTTTTCAGAATTCGTACAAGCCTTCCTGGAAGAACTTACTCCAAGCGACTGACAGACTGAGGTGATGACATCGACAAAGGCATCGTTACCAACGTGAGCAAGAGCCTGGAGGACACCCAACAGAGACTTTGAAATTTAGCTCATGTCGCTGCTAATTGAGCTGCGAGAACCAGACCTGGCAGGCTGTACAAGTGGCAGCGTTCTTGATGTCATCCAAGATATCGCTCACAGTGTCTCTCTTCTGGATTGAAGTAGCAAAAATTGATTGTGCAAACAAAAAGCCCGCTGACACAAGAGGCAGGAGCTTCATGATGATCGAATCTCCTGTGGTAGGTATGCTTGGAGAGTCTTCATCTCGGTCGTGCCTACCTTGACATTTTATACTTGCAAATTGTGCTACGCGACATGTTTACCTCCTCGACCAAGTCTTTGTCTGTGAACATGCTTGTGTCGATCGCTAGTCAATAGTCTCGCGCGTGCAGGCTATGGTCGCGACATGATAGAGCATCACAAGCACGACTAGCATGCGAATCTTGGCACGTGTACTGCACGCAGTCTTTTTACTTGACCTCGATGCGAGATAGGCTGAGAAAGCTTGCATGTTTGAATTACAGGAGAAGAAGTTGTGCTTTGATCTGCAGACTCGCGAGGCGGGTGATGAATCCTCGGACTTTTGCAACCGAATCTCGCTCCAGGTTGCCTCTCTTTGGCTGCGTCGATTGCACCTTCCGTCTTCTTCTAAGGCCTTATTTTATGCGAGCCAACCGGAACGCTTATCACAACACATGTTCTTGAACTCATCAGACCTTATGCTGAAACAGTTGGCAGGCCGGCTGATTGAGCGATGCGGCATAAATGCAGACCGCTTAGTTACCGACCTGCGAACGACAGAAGCTACGCGCCTCAAGCACGTTTTCATCTATTCTTGAAGCACATCTCGCGAACAAGCATCCATCTCATACCAAATTTCGCTTGCATGACCTCCTAGCTTCCGTCGATACGCCAGAAACCATGAATCTAGTGCAGGTGATCTCTTATAAAGATGCAGCAGCGCATATGTTTCACAATCTCCAACAAGCCTAAGTCGCAAAGCTAACCAACATGGGCCTCCTTACAATTGCCACCTTGGCCAATTGCTTACTCTTGACCGCAAGTGTTGCTCAAGCAGCTACATCTGACCCCACGCAGCAGCTCGGAGGAAACAGCCCTTGGTTTCCAGGCCCCGATGTCAACGACATTCCTTACGAGGTGCCTGATGGCTGCTCAGTGGACATGGCCGCATTTGTGTCTCGTCACGCCTCAAGATATCCAGACCCAGGCGCCTACAATGGGTGGGTAGCACTCGCTGAAAAGGTTTGCTTTTGTCTCGTGCAATGTGTCATCAAACATCGGTACTGATCGAAACAGATTCAAGCTGCCCAATTCACTGCCATAGGAGATTACAGCTTTATCTCATCGTGGAAGCCTGTACTTCGCAATCCGGCTGTTGAGATCTCAGACATCTCCATCGGAGGATATAAGGAGTTGTATGACATGGGTGTTGCTTATCGCTGGAGATATCCTGACTTCTATACCGAAAACACTCCTTTCTCGATCTTTGCTAACCAATACCCTGCTGCACCAAGAGTCGTTAACTCGGCAAGGTGAGCTATCTCTGGCAATTCTTTTCTTGTCTAGTCTGACCAAATCCTGCAGACTCTTCGCTAGAGGATACTTAGGACCCAACTCTACTTACGGTGATGTCTATGTGCTCAAGTCCAATATCCCGGCATCTATCGCAAACTCTTTGGCTCCTTCAGACTCTTGTCCCACATACAGCGACAACGGTGGTGGTGATAACCTCACAACCTGGAACAACTTGTACCTGCCTGCTGTCACCAAACGCATCAACAGCCACATTCATGGCAACCTTACTTTCACCGACTCCGACATCACTAATTTCCCATACTTGTGCGGGTTTGAGACGCAGATCACTGGCCGCAGATCGCCATGGTGTAACATTTTCACTGACGACGAGCTTCGCAAATACGAGTACGCACAGGACCTGCGCTACTACTATGGTTCTGGTGTGTGGAGTCCACTGGAGGTTCAGATGTTCTCTTCTTGCTGACTGCTCTGACAGGTCCTGGCTCGGGCAAGAACTACACGCTGATGCAACCCGTTCTCAACGCCATCGTTCAGAGACTTGTCGATGGTCCCAACAAGACATATGTCAACAGCAACGGCCAGTCATGGACACCAGGTCCGCTCATCCCCATGTTCACCAACGATGGTCAGATCAACCAGCTTGCTTCCGAGATTGGTGTCTTTGATCAGCAGAAGCCTCTGCCCAGCACCAAGATCCCCGACGACCAGGTATCGATCCCTCGGTGCTCCTCATTAACTTCAGCCCTGCTAATACTGTTGCATTCTCAACAGCTCTACATTGCCAGTCACTACGTAACCATGCGTGGTACCATCAACTTCGAGCGTCTGACTTGCTCAGACCAAAAATACGTCCGCATCACACTCAACGATGCCGTCTATCGTAAGTCAATCGAACCGAAGCCATCACGCTACATGGACTGACAGTGCCTAGCCGTACCCTCTTGCCAAAGTGGTCCTGGAAAGTCTTGCCCGCTCGAAAGCTATGTTGCACTGATTGCTCAAAAGAGCAAGTCTCAAGGCACTTTCGTGCAGACATGTGGTCTTACAAACTCGACTGCTCCTGCTGCAAAGACAAACACTGCCACCTTCTTGATTGACAATGCATTGTCTTCGGAGTATGTCGTGAAGCCTTAGGTGGCTGATAGAAAGATTGTAGATACTGTTTTTAAGTCTTATAAACAGAAAACTGTAGCTAGATTAGTATTATTGCGGCAATTGTCAAGACTAGATCTCAAGACGTGTATCAATTAGATTCTGGCTGATGATTGATTTCGGCCGAAAATATAATACGTCCTGTCGCGAGAATCGAAGGGAATACCAGAGTCTCCAATTCAGTTCAGCTCGCCCGTATTCCAATGGTACTTGGCGTATCGCGGGTTCGTGTAGGGATCCTCACCACCCCACTCTTGTTCTTCACTCTCCTTTTCCTCACACCAATCCACATTATCAATTTCGAGATTGCAACAAACGCAATCTGCCATGTCTATTCCACAACGCAACACCCCGACCGTCGCCTCCCATTCAAAATCCTCGTCGTCATGTTTGGTCAACTGCCTTCCGGCATACAGATAGACAACGAGGACACCCTTGAGCTTCCAGTCTTCTTGATCGGCCACGATGATGAAATGGGAATGCATTTCGTTGTCGTCTTTAATGGCTTCTTCGATATGGTAGTCATAAATTTCTCGGAGTGTGCGACCAGAGAAGTCTGGCTGAGGTGCAAGGACGCAGTTACTTGTTGTCATATCGCCCGTGTTCAGATCCTCGAGAAAGCGTTGTTGGCCGTCATGGTCCAGCGGAATCAAGGTATATGCTGCAAATTTGGAATGCAATTGATCAGTGCTGTCGTAGCCTTCCGGAGGATAGAATGGTAAAGTGTCTGCGAGCTCTCTGGTTGAGGCCATATTTCAACATTCGAATATCTGACGTATTGTGCAATCTCTGGCTGAGGAGTGCGTTGATATAGGCATATCTTTGAGGCTCCAGACGTGTCTGCTGCCTAGCTGGTGATCTCATTGCCTGCAGCTTACTCGCTTTGATGAATCCTTCTCGCGTTGTCCTCGCGTCGAACCCAAACCTACTCGGAGTAGCGATTTCACATGACTAATTCCGCTCAGATCTCCATTACCAGCAGGACCCATGAGCTCTCAAATTGTCCAAGAAGTCCAAGAAAAAATACAACCCGCCGAAGGAAACCGCTCGTCAGTCGTGAGGGGCACAGGCTTCACTCAATGAGAAAGCACGACCAAGACTTTTGACAGTCGAAGAATTCATTTCGCCTGCCACGATCGTAGTCACATTCTCCTTACCAACATCTCACTAACAAGGACAATTTTGTATCTATGTAGCACCGGTTGAAAAGGATCGCCTCCTTGACTACTCAGGGAAGAGATAATCTGACTTATGTCTTCACCTGGCTGCTCTTCATTATCAACGGTCAAGCTGAGCACCCTCACTCATGCACACGTAGAGGACGCAACGAATTCGACTGCAAGTATCATGGCGATTACAAAATTCCTTCAGACATGAAGATATACGACGAAATAGAATTCCTGCCCTATAGACGAACGTGGGAGCAGGAGAGCTTGTACACAAACATCTGCTTGGGTACCATCCCTGTCATGCCTCACTTTAATGGACAAAAAGATGCCCGAGAGCATCAGTGGACAGCATTCTGGGTTCAGTCATACGGCAAGTCGCTTATAGAGAACTCCCAGCGCCTCAGAGGTGGGCAGATTGGTGCTTCCATATGGAAGAAGAATGAGCGAACACGGTTCATTGGCTGGGACGCACTATGTCCTGCCAATTACACGGAGGAGCTTTTCAGAGGAAGCGAGCTGTCTCTCGTTCGGTGATAGATCACGAGTCATACAACCATTTCTTGTCTACATCCTCGGCCATCCGCGTCTGTGGCATTGTTGTATCGAGCTAAGCCTGTGCCTTCCACTATCGACAGGTATGCACTACGCGAACTATAATTCATAAGGCATCCCTCTTCACCACAGAATTCTTGACTCGACTGTCCTTGGCTAGCTACTTATGATACGATACGAACCATACGATATCATGAAGTCGCGTGTCTGTGGAAAAAAGATGACGATGCCGTCGAAGAGCCGCAACCCGAAGCTCTCGGCAGATGTTCCGCGGAGGCGATCGTCGGAAATAAAGCCAGGTCCACTTAACATGTCTCGAGGCCATAATCGTTGACCAAGCATTTATGATGATTCGCAGCAGATTTATCGGAACTCACGCTTGCTCTCATCTTACGTCTGCAGGCATGAAACCACATAAAGACCACGCAAAGACTTATTTCGGCAATGCTACAGAACTTCAGGGTTGAAGCGGACTTATCTCATTGGTCAATCCACTAGCTGTGCCGTAAGGTAGACTGTGTCATTTCATCCTGGTGCACGATATAGCAGCCGGAGACAACAATCACCAAGAAACCTTCCACTCCACTGCCAAGAAAACTGGCATTGAGTGAGCGGTTGGGCTAGTGCAGGAGACGTCTGCCTTTCCTTACAGCGAGATGCTCCGCGGTGCGTGATGATGAAGCGAAGTCCTTGATATCCGCTCGATAGATCGGTGACGATGGGAGTTGGGTTGGAAATGTCGACAGCAACCAGGGGCAATATGACGAGTCTGTATGATATGCCTGAAAGTCCCCAGCCGGCTTGTGTACCTATTGTCCATTTCGATATCACACACATCTAGACATGTCCAAAAATCTCCTGCGAAGGTCATTTGATCAGCTTCCTGAGTTCCCATCTCCACCAAGGACGTTGACCTCGAAGGGTCGTGTATTCAAAGTATGCACCATCACGACGATAGCCATCCTTTTGCTGCATATCTTCATGAGTGTAAGTAGTGTTGTATATACTCAAGACCATTATGCTGATCCAGGAATAGTTACCACATCATATTGATGATCTCCGACCAGAACGAATTGACGAAAAGCCTGCCTACCTGCATCTCTTGATTCCTGCGTCGCATCCTGATCAGAACCTTTGCAAAGTAGTCCTCAGTGCTGGAATTCTGAACTACCCAGCACCACGATTGCTGAACTGGAATCAAAAGTTCGACGATCCGAATCTTGTGGAAGGAGGATCACACATAGCCAAGATCTCTGGTATCAAGACTTACCTTGACAGCATGGACTCGGCTCGGGACTCTGACCTGGTGTTGATGGTCGACGGATACGATATTTGGTTCCAGCTGCGACCTCAAACAATACTCGACAGATATTTCGATATCAATCGTCGTGCCGACGAACGTGTGCAAAAGGAGCTTGGAAGCAGTGTCGTGAGGGCACACAACATCCATCAGCAGATCGTGTTCTCTTGCCAGAAGCGTTGCTGGCCATGGTCAGAAGAAGATCCAGCGTGCTATGCAGTCCCCGAATCGTCTTTGCCCAAAGACATCTACGGGCCAGAAACCGACACGGATATTGGGGACGAGAAAAATCCATATATCAAGTACCGACAAAGGTTCCTCAACTCGGGCGTAGCGATGGGTACGGTTGGAGCCATGCGCAAGCTGTTCACCGAAGCGCTGTCCCGGGCGGAACAAGATCCAAATTTTGGCAGCGATCAGAAAATCTTCTCTCAGCTGTTTGGCGAGCAGGAAGTTGCCCGTGAGGCTCTAAGACAGGAGTCAACACCTCAGTGGAAAAACCTACTTCGGAACGTCTTTAGTGATGGACGTCTTGGTCGATACAAGAAGGAACATCTAGATGCAGTTGCGGGCAGAGATCTTGAATTCGGCCTCGGTGTGGATTATGAAAGCTCTATCGGACTGGCCACAGTGTTTGCTGAAGATGACACCGAATGGCTAACAGCCAGTAATCAGGAACAGCTGGAGCAAGCCAATTCAATTCGTGGGATCGAGGCATCGAGTAGTAGGCTGAAGAATATCCTGAAGGATGTCGCGCAAACAGTGCCACCCTTTTGGACCTTCGAACAGCGACCCTTGCCACGCGAGCAATCATGGTCAGATGTTTCGCTTTTCACGAATGTGTGGACGGGTATCGCTCCAGCAGTGATCCATCACAACGCCCATCGAGACGGCATGAAATCGCTCAGAGAAGAATGGTGGAACCGTGCTTGGTACCAGGAGCACGCTCGCACTCTGTATAATAGTCATCTCATCGCGCCTTTGGGCCCGCTGGCCGTCTCGGACGGTAGACAATGGTGGAGCCCGGAGGATTGGAAAGGCGGCGCGCGTGTCGACCCTCAGGCTGTAACGAATGAGACTTGGGTGCGATATGAAGAGATGTGCGATGGCACAGAGGATGAGGTCTTTAGAGATGGACTAGGTCCATGGCGTCTCCCTGATGATCATTGAACAGGGCAATGACCGTGAGCAAGCACGTTTGCTGGGCTTGAAAAGTCGTCTATGATTTGAAAAGAAGCTCCTATGTTAGCTAATCATTCAGAAAGGACTGAACCAACACAGATGCTTCTCATGATTGTGTTCGTGGACGCAATCGCAGCATTCTGATGCATGGACCCATGTATCTGAACGCCTGAGACAGCTGCTCCATTACTTCACGATGAAGTTTTCGAGGAATTGTTCTCTCTACGTCTTTAGCGAGTTGGACTTGCATGTGAGTGCTTAAGGTAGTCGCAACTGCAGCCACCGATGCTGTCGTTGAGAACGCCGACCGATTACATCACCTTCGGCAGACCTTCCCTCTTCGCCAACCTTCCCCGCCTCCGTACCCCAACTGATCGACGGAAAGGGCCCCTTCTTCACCACTTTTCTTCCCCTCTCTGCTGCTATTCGAAGGCGAGCGCCGTTGACGCGTGCTTGTACATTACATCAAGCATGCCAATTTAGCCGGTATAAGGCTTGCACAGAGCTTGTCACACCGCGCTGGAAGTCGGCATCAACGGCACATCACTCCACTCCTCAGCCAATCTTATGGGGACCCCGGACAAAGTACTGTGGAGAAGATCAAGACAATTGTATCGGTTTGCCGATTCAGTGAAAGCGGCATAGACCAACGGATAAGTTGCAGGTGAGAAGTCCGAAACGAATATCAAGTCATGGCAAATGTCACAACCATGTGCAGGTCGACGATCACCTGAACAAAGTACTCCCAGCCGCGATCCTCTTTTCTTATACATACCTTTGCAATCTTTCTTACTTCCATCCTCGTTCCATCGTTTTTGTGCTTTTGGTATCAACTGGACTTCTTCTCAAGGATACTCTTGGACCACGCTCTATTCTTTCTCTTTGATCAGTCACCATGAGCCACAACGTTTTCACGACCCCAAATTATGGGGATCGTCGTTCAAGCGAGGTCTACGATGAGAAAGCCGCTGTCGACATGATTGATCGAGTTGAGACCGCAAACACAACACCAGGATTGACGCGGGCCGAAGCCCCAGAACTTGTTCGCAACATGTCTCCAGAAGAGCGAGCGCATGCGGAAAAGGTCCTGGTTCGAAAAATTGATTTCAGACTCATGCCTATGCTTGTTCTGATGTACATTCTCAACTATCTTGACCGTAACAACATTGCTTCGGCGCGTTTGGCTGGACTGGAGACTGATCTGGCCTTGACATCTTCACAATATGAGACTAGTGTCTCGATTCTGTTTGTCGGATACTTGTTGATGCAGAGTAAGAGTGGCTATCACTATTTTGAAGGACTTCATTCTAACAGTACCAGTCCCTTCCAATCTTTTCCTCAACAAAATCGGCAAACCTGCTTTGTATCTCCCAGCAGTGATGTGTGTCTGGGGTGTCATCTCAACATGCACAGCTGCCGTCCAAAGTTTCGGTGGACTTGTAGCAGTCAGATTTGTGCTAGGTGAGTCCGAAAAGTTGAGTCTGCTTCATACGTGCTGCTAATCAGAATGATGTAACAGGTTTCGTCGAGGCTGCCTACTTCCGTGAGTCAATCTCTTCTATTTCTATTACAACCATGATGCTAACAACAATGAAGCTGGTTGTCTGTTCTTCTTGTCTTCTTGGTACACTCGCAAGGAGCTCGCATTCCGCTCTGCCGTCCTTTACTCTGGCTCATTGATCTCGGGTGCATTCTCAGGCCTCATTGCCGCTGGAATTCTCAACGGCATGTCAGGAAGCCTCGGTCTGGCGGCATGGCGTTGGCTCTGTAAGTCTTTGCATGAGCAATGTGAGGTGAGAAGTATACTGAAGTAGCTATAGTCATCATCGAAGGTTGCATCACCATTACAATCGCTTTCATCGCTTTCTTTATCCTTCCAAATTTCCCTCGTACCACCGGGTGGCTTTCTGAGGAAGAACGCCAACTCGCTGTTTGGAGGCTTCAAGAGGATATCGGTATGGATGATTGGGTCAGTAGTGAGGGACAATCGTTCTGGCATGGCTTTAAGCTTGCCTTCCTGGATATCAAGACGTACATTCTCATGGCTTTGCTTTTTGGCATCGTTGCTAGTGGCTCTGTCACCAACTTCTTCCCAACAGGTACGAGATACATATTTGTTGAATCGTGATCAGGCGCTGACTTTTTGTATAGTTGTGGCAACCTTGGGTTACAGCAAGATCATCAGTTTGTGTCTGACAGCACCACCTTACTGCTTGGCCGTCATCACCGCGTTCTGTAACGCCCTTCACGCAGACCGCACTGGAGAACGCTTCTTCCACATCACCATCCCCCTCTTATTTGCAGTTGCCGCATTCATTCTTGCCGCATGCACAACATCCACCGCACCCCGCTACGTTGCCATGATGCTCATGGTTCCTGGAGTCTACACTGGCTACGTCGTCGCTCTCGCCTGGATCAGCAACACCATCCCCCGCCCACCAGCAAAACGTGCCGCGGCTCTTGCAGGCATCAATGCCATTTCCAACGCCAGCAGTATCTACGCCTCGTACATGTATCCCCAATCGGCAGGACCCAGATATGTGGTTGCGATGAGTGTGAATTGCGCTACTGCTGCCTTGGCAATTATTATGGCATTTACTCTAAGGATGATTTTGGTGAGGTTGAATAAGAAGTTGGATAGAGGCGAGCATGTGGAAGGTGCCGTCAGTGCTGGACAGGCTATTCCTGGCGAAGCAGCTAAGAAGGGATTCAGATTCTTGCTTTAAGTTAGGTGTCTATAGTCTGATCTTCGATCTGTATCTAAGATGCTACATACAAAATGGTTCTCTATTTGACTTCCTTCTGTATTGTGAGCTAGACACGTCTAGCGTATACGTATCCTATGTCATCAAACAGAATAGCCAAGGTTTCATCGCGAGCAACAAGCTCTGAAAGCCTGGTCAAGACTTGAGCACGCCTTCCCTTCAGGCTTATCTCTACGGCAAGGCATGTCCACAAACCGGATATCTGAGGAATGTAACGATTCAATTAGAAAATTCATACCATCATTAACACTGATCTCTATACAAAAACTTCCTTCCTATACCAGCGAACCTTATCACAAGTGCCTTGTGCATCTTTCGTCGTGGGTATCGTCTTCCAACCTACAATTTGATTTGCAAGTTCACAAGTCACATACTCAATCTCTTCCCAAAGCTCCCTTTCGACATCTCTGCCAAATCGTTTCTCGGTTTCTTCCTTGGTACCGATCAATCTGTGCGGTATCCCCGTCTTCGCATCGACAAGCACACCAGTATCAATTAATTGTACAGGATCGTACTTTGGAATGTTGTGATGTACCGAAAAGGCGTCTGGGGGGTTATCCATGGTGGTTACGCTGGCAGCTGTAGAGGTAGAGTCTTGTGTGGGATCGTATTGCAGCATTGCTCCTCCGTGGTAGGCGCCGTGTTCGTAGTAGCCGATTGTGTCTACGCATTTCTTGACTTGGTGGAAGGGTGCTTGGGCTACTCGAGCTGCGTGGATGAAAGAGTCTTTGTCGCCTTCGCCGGGTCCTCCTTGGCTCATAAGCGGGTAGTACACGTCAGGGCCGTAGTAGTTGTAGTAGGCTGCAAGTAACAGAGTCAACGCATGACTAGATTTTGAGACCAAGAGCTGGCCAGATTCTGTGGAGGCGAGCGCATTCATTGGTGGTACTGGCTGGCCAGTGATCTCAAAAAGATGTGCAGAAGCAGACGACGCCCAAAAGTCTGGCCAAGTCACCAGACCAGTGGAAGAAAATGGCTCTTGCACAAAAGCATGAGAAGGGTCTTTGGCAACAAAAGCATCAGCATCCAGGAACAGCACGTTCTCAAACGAAGAAGCCAAGATCGCAAACACCTTGACTTGGAAACTTGCAAGGTATCTTGCCCATTTTCCTAGACGGTCTTCTAGTCGCAAGCAATGTGCATTCATGCTAGGAAGAAGAGTCTGACACGTATGCGAAGCCAATTCTGCCTCAGTATCCACGAAGAGCTCGACAGGTAGTTGTGAACCGGTTCTTCGCAACATTCTCAGAGATATGACAAAGACTGGGAGGTACTTTCCAGCAGCCGAAGAAACGATTCCCGAAGCCCCTGTTTGATAAGGAAGACTGATGTGCTGGGCAGATTGCATATATGCACTATGCGCAAATCGCATGGTAGCAACATCATTCGCCGTGAGATTAAGAAGATCCGGTCTCGGTGTTTCTGTATTGGTCTTCCAGAAGACCATAGCAGCTGCTTGGCCAGTTCGTTTGATATCGACATCACCAGGCGAATTTTCTTTCAATGCTTTAAAGACAACATTGCCAAAGCTGGCGAATTCCTGTTCTGTGACAAGGCCTTGGTGACTGCGAATGGGATGTCAGTGGCAACATTAGGGGCGACGAATCGATCACTCAACAAACATACCCGAAAGCGGATTTAATGCCATCCCAATAAACGAACGTCAACAACACCAGGAGACCAACTCCCAAGATTCGAAAGTTATGAGACCGTAACATCAGAGCGTGTCGTGCATGGTCAGAGAGTCTTGTCAGTGTGTAAAAGGACTCTATGCATGACGCATTCAAAAACAAGACAAAGTCAACAATATTGTTGTCGTATGCATGCCACGAAAGCCCGCTGGCCAAGCAAGATCTAGGTTTCTTGGACAGGCTGCTCTAGGCTCAAAACGGGTTGGCAGATACGCCCCTTCCCTCGTATCTATCCCGATAGCCGCTTGATATGGAGGATTGTGGGGGTTTAACCATGGCGTTTGTCTGTCGCAATGTGGAGCAGAGTCAACTATGTATCAAAAGAAGAATTGAAGCAAGGTATATGCAAAATGCACGAAAATTATGGAGTTGTTGATCTGAACACAAATGCAGGTCAAGATTGACCCTGCCCCTTGGACCCTTGGCAGATGCATTCCTGTTGAAAAGGATAAAAATAGCTTCGGGTTTAAGTCTCGTCCGAGAAACCGAGGCATATGTGAGTGACATTGATGGTCCTATCCTAACCTTCCCTTTCTATTGACCTCTGCAACATGGATATCATCAGAGCGTCAACATTGACGAGCCCAGCAACAACATTGTGAAGATAGCGGCCAGAGACGGCGAGCCTCGAGCGCCGACGCTCGAATCAGGGGTCTCCCGGCTCAAATCAGGATTTTCCCGGCCATCATTTGCAGTACACACAAAGGCCTGAGTGCTGATATCATAGTTTCTAGCAAGACAACTCGAGAAAGTGCCATTGGTAGAGTCAGAAATGCAGCTAATGTAGCACCCCTCTGAGTAGACGAGCAGGCCGTCGCCACTGTCATAGTTCGAACAGCACTTCCTCATCGCTCTAGTGGCATTGACTGACATGGGAAGACTGCATCTCTGCTGGATCGGCCAGTCGAGGGTTTGGTTGTCAGGTGGTTGAGTACCGAATCCACACGATGGCGAAATGATGATCTTTGGGTCGGTACAATTGATTCCACAATTTGGCGCAACGACGACTTCTGGGTCGTTACATTTGAAGTTTCTGACTTCTTTGTCGGCTAGACAGCGTTGGAGAGCTTGGTAAGCTTCAGTGTCATTGCTATTGGCGATTGCACAGGAAGCAAAAGGGCCGATCGTGGTATTGAAGTAATAAAGATCACTTTCTGCGCGTCCGCAGCATTGAGCAAGTGTGGACGGAAAATTGTTGCAGGCTGGGGCAGAGCATGCGGCCTGAGAGAAGTTTGAAGAAGTTGAGTCTCTCCATGCATCAGGGATACCATATTGCAGGTCTCTTGGGCATGCGTCGACTGGGTTGTTGGTTATGTTGGTTGCGTTTGACATATTGGCTGTCAGCTGAATCAATTGAGTTTCTATCACGACAGGATATCCTCAGGAAATCGTAGTTCTTATATTAGATCTGTGCTGATGATCCTCTGACCGGAAGGTCCTTGGCTCTTACGTACGAGTGCTGTGCTATGCAATCATTTGAAAGTCCCTTGCTTGTCCTGATTTGAGTCTGGTGACCTCTATTCTTTGCTTTACCTTGGCAAATCCTTCGTGGGTGATTATAGGCTTGGCTCTAGGGATATCTGTTTTGTGATGTAGTTGCTGTAGAAGCCTTGCGTCAGAGTCTCATGCAGTGAACGTTGTTAATCAAAATCAGTCTTGGTTCTGGCGTAGTTCATCACAGTGCGTCGGCGAGATCGAAAAGAATCTGGAGGTAACAGCAAAACAGCAAACAGTTCGTCGTGGATTTAAGGGGTATCTAGTAAAAGTCGTAAGGTGCAATCAAGTGATATCGTTCGTCAAGAAAAGAGTTGGTTCAGCCAAGTTTGTTCAACCATCCACCGATTCGTTCACGGCCATTCTGGCTGCTGATACTGCCCAGTCGCTGCCTTAGGCTTGGTCTTCTTGCGGGAAGTTGGACAGGTTCTGGAGGTAAAATTAGACCAAGCAAGCTCTCGGTACCGAATGCATTGAGCGCAAGTCCGGGGTTATTATCGAAGAAAGATGTAGATTGACGTCTCGATCTGCGACCACTCTCACGCTCACCACGACGAGCAAATGCAGCGTCACCGATGACACTGGCATTGATGTGGGATGCGGTTGAGATGTAGTTGTCGTTGAGGAAATGGTCGCCGCGGTTGCCAAAAACTTCTTCTGTGACAGTGTCACGACGGCGGGGACGGGGACGGTCAGTTGTTGGTCGGTCAGAGATGTTGGTGGTGGACAGACGACGAGCCAAGGCTTCATCGGCACGCTCTTGACGTCTTCGTGCATCGAGTTCTTGCTGATAGTTCATAGGTGTGCGGGTGTTTCTAGAATGGTTTCTGCGTAGTTCGTGTCGGTCATTTCTGTCATGAGTTTCGTTTCTTTCGGTTCTGTCGCGACGGGGTGCGTTTACGACGGTCTCTGCAACGCGCATGTGGTTCAAGCGATCATGGTCGGGAACAGCAGCGTAGTTGAACCATGGACATTCGCAAGTCTTCCAGGGGCTGGCACAGAGCATACAGAAGTCGGAGCCACAGCGGCAGGTCATGTGGTTGCAGCCCTCGTTTAGTTCAACCATAGCTCTGCAGTTGTAGCAGCGTTGCCAACCCTTTTCTTTAGCCAGATCGACAAGTCTCTTAGTGTCTGGATCTTTGGGACATTCGCCGGTGGTGTGCAACTTGTTGTTGCACAAGGTGCAGACCTTGGTCTTGCATCTGGGACAGCGACCATACTTGCGGCCATGGAGCTTGTGCATATTGGCAGGCTTGATCCATTGGCCGCAGCCTTTTGCAGGGCAGTAGAGGCGGTTCTTTGTGGTGTACTCTTGGTATTTAGAGTTCCAGAGGAGTTTGAACTTATCGTCGAAGAGGTGGTCGACGTGCTTCAAGGGAATGTGATCTGGGCTGCAGCATCTGGGCGGCATGTGCTGAGGGTCTTTGAGGGACATGGTAAAGATGCGGCGCAGACATGAGTTGCACATTCGGTGACCGCATGGTAGCTTAGCTGACCGAGTTACAGGCACGTCGTCGGAGCCGCATGTCAGGCATTCGGCGGTACGAACACGCGGTGAAGTTGACGAGGCGGTGGCTGGAGCGGGTATCGAGGGACGGAAGATGGAGCCTAGGAAAGACGAAGTGCGACGATGGTGCTTCTTGTCCTTGTCCTTGTCAATGGGCTTGTCGTCGGAAGGCTTGGTCTGACTTGTCGAGGCGCTTCGCTGCAGTTTGGGCCGTTTCTCGACCGCGGGAGTGTCGTGTTTGCTCTTGGGCACGCTCGATACCGACACAGACGTCTTTGACTTTGACTTGGATGGCTCATAGTAATAGCGGAGTGTGTCTGGCGCCTTTGTCACGCTGCTCCGGCGTGAAGAAGCAGCCATGACGGCACCCGTGACATGCTAAAGTCAAAGTGAATGTGGGCCAGATTGACATGGTCCCCAGTCGAGCAAACCACTGCGCACAGACCATGGACCTCTCTAAAACTCCGTCTGCTATGACACATTTCGACTCATCGGTCTTGACCTTCCTTTCTGATCTCCACTGACAACTTACTCCAATATACTGCTTTCCTATCTCCATCTGGTCAACTGGTCTTGTATACCGTCTCAATTGACTCGTAAAGCTCTATACCATTCACCGCCGATACCGGCCACCACAAATTTATTCGGTCGATACTGATAACTACACCATTTCGCATACCAATATTTATATTGCTGTATTTTCAAGCCATTTCTCTCGCAGCTGTGATACATGCTAACAGAGCTTCAGCATCCAGCATAATGGCTGACCCGAGACCCAACCCCACCTCGGACCTCCATTGGAGTGACTACAGAGGTGCTATCCACCAAATCTTTGCTGCAAATGCAAACAAGCACCCTGAAAGGACTTGTGTTGTTGAAACTGCCTCTTCCAACTCTCCCAAGAGGGTAATCGCCCTCGTTCCCCTCTCCGACTGCATCCACACTAAACTTTTCTAGGTCTTCACATATAAGCACATCAACGAATCCAGTAATGTCCTGGCACATCACCTTGTGGCCAGCGGTGTGCAACGAGGTGAAGTTGTCATGGTCTACGCTCACCGTGGTGTTGACTTGGTCGTTGCTGTCATGGGTGTGCTCAAGGCTGGTGCTACTTTCTCCGTCATTGACCCTCTGTACCCTGCAGACCGCCAAATAATTTACCTCGATGTTGCCAAGCCTCGCGCTCTGGTCGTCATCGAGAAGGCCTCTCAAGAAGCTGGTGAGCTTTCCGCTACCGTTCGCGAGTACATTCAGGAGAACCTGAGACTCAGAACTGAGGTTCCTGGCTTGCAATTACAGGACGATGGTTCTGTCATTGGTGGCAACGTTGATGGTCGTGATTGCCTTGAGGCTCAGCAGCAATCTCGTGCTCAACTTCCTGATGTTGTTGTCGGCCCGGACTCAACCCCTACTCTATCCTTTACTTCTGGTTCAGAGGGAAGACCCAAGGGTGTCAAGGGTCGCCACTTTTCGCTAGCATACTACTTCCCTTGGATGCAGGAGCGCTTCGGCTTGTCCGAGAAGGACCACTTTTCCATGCTCAGCGGTATCGCTCACGACCCAATTCAGCGCGATATCTTCACTCCTCTTTTCCTGGGTGCACGCCTTATTGTGCCCCCTGCTGAGGACATCACCTTCGACAGACTAGCTAAGTGGGCTAGCGACAACGAGATCAGCGTCACTCATCTCACTCCCGCCATGGGTCAAATTCTTCTCGGTAGCTTGGAACCCAAGGTCAACTCATTGCATTCGGCATTCTTTGTCGGTGACATTCTCTTGAAGAGAGATTGCCGTAGATTGCAAGATCTGGCCCCTAACGTTCGCATCAAGAACATGTACGGTACCACCGAGACACAAAGAGCCGTCAGTTTCTATGAGATTCCTAGCAAGTCCGAAGACGCTTCATACCTCGACAAGATGGGTGATGTTATTCCTGCTGGAAAGGGTATGCTCGACGTTCAGCTGCTCGTGGTCGATCGTTCGAACAGAGACCGCATCTGTGAGGTTGGTGAGATTGGTGAGATTTATGTCAGAGCCGGTGGTTTGGCAGAGGGCTACCTCGGTCCCGAGCTCAAGGAGCTCACCAACTCCAAGTTTGTGCAGAACTGGTTCGTCGATAACGAGAAGTGGGTCAAGGAGGACCAAGAGAAGGCTGCCAATGCCGGCAAGGATGAGCCTTGGAGAGAGTTCTACAAGGGCCCAAGAGACAGACTTTACCGCTCCGGTGATCTGGGAAGATACACTGCTGATGGTAACGTCGAGTGTACTGGCAGAGCAGACGACCAAGTCAAGATTCGCGGCTTCCGTATCGAGCTTGGTGAGATCGACACTCATCTTTCTCAGCATCCTCTTATTAGAGAGAACGTCACTCTGGTCAAGCGCGATCACGAAGAGGAGCAGATTCTTGTCAGCTACTACGTTCCTGACCTTAACAAGTGGTCAGCCTGGAAGCAATCAAGGGGTGAGGCCGAGTCTAATGTCGCCGATGATTTGAGCATCCCAGAGAGACTGAAGATGTTCAACACATTGACCAATGACGTCAGAGAGCACCTGAAGAAGAAGCTGGCTTCTTACGCCGTTCCGACCCTCTTCATTCCTATGGTCAGACTTCCTCTGACCCCCAACGGCAAGGTTGACAAGAGAGCACTTCCCTTCCCTGAGAAGTCGGAACTGCTTGCTGCTTCATCGAGCCAGCCTGTTCAGGACGCTGCCACTCGTTCCGACACAGAGAAAGCGCTTGCTGAGATCTGGGCTCTTTACCTTCGCAGTTATGCAGCGGACAGCATTCCTTCAAATGTTCCCTTCTTCGACCTTGGTGGCAACAGTATTGCTGCTGTTCAAATCCCATCTCAGATTCGTAAGAAGTGGCCTGATGTTACTGTTCCAGTCAGTGCCATCTCAAAGAACCCTACTCTCCAACAGCTCGCTGGAGACATCGATCGTTCTCTGAATCCCGTCGGCCTCCGTCTTGATGCACAGGCTCCCGAGACTGAAGACCAGGAGGAGTTCTATTCGAACAGCCTCCCCGAGTTGATCAAGGAGATCCCTGCCAAGATTCAATCTGCTAGCAGAGAATCGGCCAAGCAACAAACCGTCTTCTTGACCGGAGCAACTGGATTCTTGGGATCTTACATTCTTCGTGATCTGCTCTCGTCGGGCAACAAGGTCATTGCACATGTCCGCGCGAAGTCGACAGAGGACGCTTTGCAGCGTGTCAAGGCGACGTGCCAGGCGTATGGCATTTGGACAGACTCATGGGCTTCGAATCTTGAGTGTGTCACTGGTGACTTGCAGGAACAACCTCTGCTCGGCATGCAACAAGATGTGTATGACCGTGTCGCCAAGGAAGCTGATGTTGTGATTCACAACGGTGCCATTGTGCACTGGCTGAAGCCCTACTCATCTCTGAAGTCTGCCAACGTGCTGAGTACTATTTCGGCAATCAAGCTGTGTGCAACTGGCAAAGCCAAGAAGATGGCCTTCGTCAGTTCTACAAGTGCTCTCGACTCTGACCACTACGTCGAGCTGTCCAAGAACCTTATTGCTTCGGGTGCTGCTGGTGTCAGCGAGTCTGATGACATGGAGGGAAGTAGACAAGGTCTTACTACTGGTTACGGTCAAGGCAAGTGGGTGTCTGAACGCCTCATGGAGGAAGCCGGAAGAAGAGGTCTTGTTGGCTCAATCATCCGTGCCGGTTACGTGCTCGGTGACCCCAAGACTGGCACAACCAACACCGACGACTTCCTTATCCGCATGCTCAAGGGCTGCGTGCAAGTCGGCTCCAGACCCGACATCACCAACACCATCAACATGGTACCTGTCGACCACGTTGCCAGACTTGTCATCGCCACAGCACTCAACCAGCCTGTTGCACCCATGGTTGTTTGCCATGTCACTGGCCACCCCAGACTGACCTTCAACCAATACCTCGCCGCGCTGGAAGCTTTCGGCTACGAAGCCCCCAAAGTCGACTTCCCCAAGTGGAGAGACGCCGTCGAAAAGTTCGTCGAGCAAGGCAAAGAAGAGCACGCTCTTCTCGGCCTGTACCACATGGTAACCGGCGATCTTCCCGGCAGCACCAAAGCACCCGAATTGGATGACAGAAACGCTGCTGCTGCGTTGAAGGCCGATGCAGCAAGATCTGGCCAGGACTTTTCTGCTGGCAGTGCTGTTACTGAGGATATTGTGGGACAGTACCTTTCGTTCCTTATCGCTAGAGGATTCATGCCTAAGCCTACAAAGAAGGGTATCAAGACTCTCCCCGAGGCTAGGATTACGCAAGAGCAAATTGAGGCGTTGGATCGTGTTGGAGGACGTGGCGGTGCTGCGTAAATGATTGTGTATAACACAAAGACAAAAGCATAGAAAGGAATTTTTGCAAAGCATATATGGATGATGTTTACAGATAACATATTGAACTTTTAAGGTCACTTGACTGGGCCATATATGTTGCACATTCTATTGACTCGAGCAAAATGACCGTCGATCAACTTGTGATCCAACGAGCAATAGACGCATACCGCTCTCAATAGTATGTTCGGGCTCCGAGGCCGCAATCGAGCAACAGAAGGTCATACAGTGCTGTGCCACTAAAGAACAAATCGTAGTCACGTAAAATTGAGATGGAGACAATATGATTGTCAATTAAAAATGAATTCTGATTGTGATGATCGTGTACTTGATCCCAAAAAGTCTGATGTGTGTCTGTCTCTCTTCTCAATCCCAAAGAAGGATTGTATTCTCTCTCCCTTCCCTCTTCCAAGAATGTTTCGAGTTTATATTCCCTCCCCTTCCAATTGGTATCAAGCCTATCCCCTGAACGCCATAAAGACCTGCCGTAGGTCATGATGCAAAAAGTGTAAAGCTACCCATGCTGACGATGGAAAAAGTCAACAAGGATAAGCAAATCGATAATAAAAACCGCGAGAACGAGTTCAAGAATTTCGGACGGTGAAAAAGAAGGACAGGTCGTCAAGCTAGTGGAAGCCCTCTAAGCCTTGGTGGTGAAATCGGTCTCGTGGGGGTAATCGCCGGCAGCACCGGTCTCGGTGCCATTGCAAGAGCAAGAATCTATAAGACGCAGAGTTAGCAAATTGCCAAACGAAAGGGCGGTAAAGAGAAGACACTCACCCTTGGATCTCTTGCCACAAGCACAGGTGGAACCAGTGGGCTTAGCATTCTCTTGCGAGGAGCGCGAGCAAGTGCAGGCACCGGCAGCGCGTTGGTTGCATGAGCAACGAGCACCGTCGACCTTGTTCTCGGTGGCGGCCTTCTCGCAGGTGCAGTGGAGAGCGGGTTGCTTGCCGCAGGAGCAGGTTGCTTCCTTTGCGCAGACACAGCCGCCTTCGCGACCACAGCAGGTGACGGGGACAGCAGCGACGGGAGCAGACATTGTGATTGTTGGTAAAGTGGTAGAAGGTTGGAAAGAGTTGTTTGAGGGTTCGAGAAAGCTTGGATGAATGTGTGATGAGTGGTAATGATTGGTATTGGTATGAGTGGTTTGTGGAATTTATATCGACGCTTGAGAAAGTAAGCTGTTTACTATGACATAGTTGTTGCCCAATCATGAGGGCTGTATTGTTCAGCCGATTGCGACTGACCAATAGCGTACAAGGCGATTACCACTACCAGCCACTTGGAGGACGGAGCGCCCTCCGGTAAGCCAATTAGAGAAGATGCGATTACCTGCTCACGCGACAGCCACTTCCAGAAATATCGAGTTTGCTCTTGGCAGCCGCCGAAACATTCCATTCTCGCAGCGCTTCGGTCCTTCTGTAAATATGCTGACCTTTCAGCTTTGTGATTGGCTCTTGAATGCACGTGAGAGATGCTCTTGGGATGGTAATAAATTCAGTCGGCACTGGGAAACGGACAGTTCTTAGTATGGACTAGACTATGAACTTGTATTATGTTGCTATGAGCTTACAGATGCAAACCGAGAATTAAATGCCAATTTCCACCAGAACATACAGTAGAGACAGTAAGGGGCGTATATCATCAAGCCTCATGCTTCCCATCGCTTTTTCCCAGCTCAAATAAACACTCAACTCTTGACTGTGCTCTTAACCAGAATAAGTGCCGTTGGAAGTGACAGCATCTCTGAAGCAGCCAGCCGACTGAGCAGAACAACCAGCTTGATTGGCGCCAGGTGCACTACGACACTGATTCTCCTGCGTCTCACAAGACCTACAGCCAGCAAGCTGAGCGGCGCAGAAAGCATGGTTGGTGTCTGGAGCAGAGGTGCAAGTGCTGTATGCAGCATCACAATCGTATGCGCCATACACTGAAGCAGGGTTCTCGGCAGTGTGGAAGCAGATTTGGGCATCTACGGTACATTGGATGCCTTTGGCGTAGTCGGCAGTGACTCTGCAGGATTGCTCGGTTTGCCAGCAGGCTTCGCAGGTGTTGCGCGTGTCGCTGCAGTAACTCTCTGTTTGGTATGGGTTTGCGATGCAGGAGACATAGGCGACGTTGCAGTCGAAGACGTCACGTTTGATCATGACGGGAGTTGCGAGGGCTGATGCAGCCATGGCCAAAGCAAAAACGGAATTGTAGAGCATGTTGATGGAGAAATTGCTTGAGTGTTGGACGATAGTGATTTGTTGAATTGCGGATATTGTGCTTGTGATGATGGGAACTTCAGCGTGCAATGGCCTACCTTTATATACTTGGAGGTTTCGGCGTGATACTGATGTTGCTTGACTCTGTTGGTATGCTGACTGGACCAACAGCAAAGCCACCTCCTCCATCTCGTACTCTCGCTGTTACGTAAAATTCTGGTGTAAGGTCAGACATGCTCACTGCATATACATATTTGTTCAGCTCGAAGAGTCAATCCATAAGTATAACCATGTATCGTAGAGTCGAAGCAGCCATACATGCGTATTGTCGCGGTAGGACCCCAGGATTGAAGAATGGTGCAAGGCTGAGCATCGAAGGCGTCCTGCATGTACAAGAAAAGCTCACATAACTCTTGAGCTGACACCAATCTCAGCTAGCTATTGTTTCTGTCACTGCCACTTGAGAAAGCTGGAGACGTCGACAAGTCGATGCATGCACTGCCCGCATAGCTTCTCATGTCAGCATGCCGTTAACATCACATGTTGTATCGTATCAGGTGGGACACTGCCAGCACCTGATTCCAGCTGAATGGAATACTGAGCTCTAGGTAGCACATGAGTAGCAGTTTTGAGCCAACGGCATGAATCGATTTCCATCACAAGTCAGAGAGGGAAGTGGAGAGGTGCACCGAGAAACAAGCCGTGTCGGTTAATGTTGACCGATCTCGCCAAGTCTTCTCCGCAATGCAATCCTGCAACAATGCACTCCGCTCGCGGGGGCACGACCAAGTCTCGAAGCCCTCGGCGAAGCACTGGGGAAGCTACCTTTCTACTTCTACATTTCTTCCTATGCGGTTTTGATCAGATCGGGACGTGAAACGACGACATGAGACGCGTGACACTAAGAAGCTACTCCAGCTGTCAGTATTGAACTTGCTCAGCTGTCTTATCCTTACGACATGTCAAAGCGATCTTGGTCCGTGGCGAACGCCGCTCAAGGCTTACTCGACATGAACTCGGTAATTCAGATCTTGCAACGGAAACAAGGTGGTACGAGAAAGACTCATGCAAAGACGTGTATAGGGTTCCCGAAGTGCCACTAACGCACCTTCAATGTCTCCACCACAAGGCCCTTCACAGGATTCTCCAAATGGACCCCAGATATCACGAAAGGTCAAAGCATGTGCTGCTTGTCGCAAACAAAAGGTAACCTTGACTGACCATTGCTGACGTTATGACCTGGATCGCTCATGTCTGACCAGATCAAATGCCTTATGGACAACAATGGGGAACCACCATGTCGGCGCTGTATAGAACGAGGCCTCTCGTGTGTTCTAAACAAAAGTCTGCAAACCTTGATAAATGAGCGATCGCAATGGAAGGATGATATGCATCGCGATATTTCAAACATGCATGTAGCCGTTCAGGATATTCTGAAAAGGCTATCCATGCCCGCACTGCAACCACTTAGAGCAACCTCCTCGGCCGAAGATCAACAGGAAACTTCACCCTACGATGATACCGTGGTTGAGAAAGTCGAAGACGTCGGTCCTTCTTGCGACAATTCTCCCAAACTACCACCACAGACCGAGTCTTTACAAAATGTCCCGATCGAGTCGCTGTATCAGATTACGCGATTGCGTTCACTACGGGCTGAAAACTCTGGAGATGAGAACAAGGCAGATGAAGGCTCGGACGTGGTTTCCAAAGGCATAGTGTCTCTTGAAGAAGCCGAGAGATTGACCAAATTATACCTTGGGCGACTGGACCACTATGCCTACAGCATCGCCAACAAATTCACCGATCTGCAATCCATACGGCGGCGATCAGTAGCCCTGACCAACGCAATCCTGACTGTCGCTGCACTGCATGATCCAAATAGTAATCAACTCTTTGGACCATGCTGCCGAGAGCTGAAAAGAGTGCTTTCGGAATCCATGTTCGTGCGTCGCATCGATCGTGAATACCTGCGAGCCATGTGTATAGGATCCTATTGGCTGAGCGACATTTCTTACACGTTGTCTGGGCATGCAATCAGGCGCGCCATGGGCATCAATCTGAGTTCTAATTATTACAGAGTGCTCAAAGATGGGTCGGAAGATGCCGCAGACTGTCTTCGTCTATGGTATTTGCTATACATTTGTGATCAGCATTTGAGCATTCTCTATGGTCGACCAACAACGATACGAATCGATGATCCTAGTCTGCAAGGCTGGGAGCGATATCTCGAAGTCCGCGTGGCGGTGGAGCAGGATCGACGGACTGCTAGTCAAGTCGCGTTGATGGTCATCATGGGTGCTATTAGAGAGTTCTTTGAACGACACAGCAGAGACACACAAACACTCCCACAGAATTTGACCGAGCACATTGCCTCTTTCGACCGCCAGATTGATCGTTGGGTCGAGACCTGGTATCAACATCTAAGTAAGTCACACTCAAGTCTCACCTCCAGCCACCAATAACTAATCTAGCAACAAACAGAACGACGCGATGACATCGGAGACTGGCCTTCGAAAGGCGTCCTCCTCCACTCCAACCTCGCCCGCCTCCACCTCCACTCCCACATCTTCCGCGGCCTCGCAAACGCCCCAGTCCCCCACTACTTCCGGCACTCAGCCGCAAAAGCCGTCGACGCCGCCCGCACAATCGTCGAAGTCCTTCTCTCAGACCCAGACATGCGAGCAGGCCTCGTAGGCATGCCACACTACCTGCACACCATGATTGCCTTTGCCTGCGGTTTCCTGCTCCAAATGACTACAAAATACGACAATGACTTGGTGTCACGCACACACGTACATGACCTAATAAACCGCCTAGTCGCCCAATTGCGTCTCATGCCAACTGGCGAATACCACTTGGTTCGGTTCATGTCCGAGGGTTTGGAAAAAATGGTCGAGGCGAGTATGAGGACGCCCACACAAGCTTCTGCCCAACTCTTCAATGGCGGGTTTCAATATATGAACGACGCTCAGTATAACACAGCAGCAACTCATCAGATGGACATGTTGGCCCCAGGACCTCAAACCGATTTTGGAAATATGGGAGCGAATGCTGGTGCTGCTGCTGGTAACAGGGATGATTCCTTCATGATGCCTGATTTTGGGCTTGCGAATTCGTTTTTGCCCTTTGAGGATCCTGTTTTTAGGACTTCGGATTTTGGGTATCTGTAAAGGGGTCTGCTAGTGGGTTGTCTTTGGTCTGATTCCCGTGTGTCTTGAGTCATGTTCTCTGCAAAGCGTGTCTGTTCATATTGCATCTGAGCCATCTTCAAAGACGATCGTATACGTTGAAAACAATCCTTGAATATTTTTGAAACGATGTAAATAACATTGATTGATGCCCTTTCTATCCGTTTGAAAATGCTACGAAGAAAAAACTCCTGTGCCCGTGCTTTTCTATGCTATTCGAATGTACAGGAAAACAAATAGTCAGCGATTTGCCAACCGATAAAAGATCAAGGAGCGTATGCAAGAAAACAAGGCTGTAAAAACAAAGCAAATGTTCTTTGAACCATGGAAGCAAGCCGACCATGAATCCAAAGTTTTTCATATCCTCATGTGATCATATGAACTTAGTCACTGTCATAAGGGTGCGAGGCCTGCCTTGTAGACGGCTGGCGATAAGGGTTACTGGGACTTCGGCCCATTTGACTCATCTCAACATTCTGACCAGATTGTTGGCGGCCAGATGTCGTTCTGGTTGCGTCCACGTAATTTGTTCCTTGCACGTACGCTGATGGGCTGGTAGGTAGTGCAGGTCCAGAGTTGGGGATGCTGAGGTTCAAGCCCTGAGTACCTTGTGCTTGTGTGCGGTATTGCTCATAGTCGTCGACGTCAAGACTTGCTTCTGCTGTTTGAGCATAGCCGGTGTATGCCATAGGAGGCATGGGTTCATTAATTGCTGGGATATTGGACTGCTGAGAAGGGCGGTCTGAAGGGCGGCGTTTTCCTTTTGTGGTTTCTCTACGCAGCATGCCTCTGACATCTTCAATGTCCTGGGCACGGTCGGAGTTCGAGCGTTCGTCTAATGTGCTGCTGCCGTTTTCCATCCAAGGTTCTTCGCGTGTGGTGTCCAGGCCAGGTGCTTGAGAGTGTAGGTTATCTACGATGGCTGTTTCCTTTGCTGAGAGACCAAGAGGGCCGGTGCCTGAGTGCTTTGAACGTGTCTGAGTAGGGCTCAAGGCTTCCTCGACCTTTTTTGTAGGCACAAGTCTAGCCTTATCCTTAGCATCAGCAGAAGCCTCACGAGCTTCAACAGCCCATCCATCCGAGACAGAAACAGAGTATGATGGGTTGGCGGGGCCACCAAGAGCGTCACCGCCACCACCGGGACCGTTGATAGGCACCTTGCGCAGAGCCTGGACTAGTGCGCACATGAACTTCGAGCGTCTGGCTGCACGTTGTGTCTCGTTGGCAAAGTTACCCTTATGTCTGACTTCAACTCTCAATTGCAACTTGGACATATCGGAAGTTCCCAAGACTTCAACGTCAATATCAGGAAGGAAGTCGCGGCTGTTTTCCTTGTCGGTTACAAAGTTGAGAAGCTCCATCTTGAGAAGTTGAAGGTCCTCGAATGTTGTATCGAAACTAACGTCCAGAGTGAGCTGTTCCTTCATGAGCTTACTGCGGCTGACGTTTTCAATCCAGAGACCGTTGAGTACATTGTTGGGAATCTGAACGCTTTTGCCAACCTCCAGGCCGCTGATACGACGGAAGACAGTGAACAACAAGGAAATGTGATCGACAGCGAGATGATCAGAACCGATGTCGACACGATCTCCAATGTCGTAAGGGTGCTTGACGAACAAGAAAATGCAAGATCCCAAAACTTCCTGAGCAGTAACGGAGAAGACGAATGATAGAGAGAGGAGAGTTGTTCCGGCAGTAGCCAAGGTGGTGGTGAAGCTCTTGTTGAGGAAAGCAATGAAGGTGAAGATGATGATAATAGAGACAATAACCATGAGTAGTCTGTCCAGAACGTTGATGGCTTGGTCGACATCGTGCATGCTGGTTCCAAGAGCCTTGCGGTCACGGCTAATCTGGATGACCTGCTGAACAGCCTCGTCGAGAGAGATGTCACCATTGCAATCCTTGTCGAACATGATAAAGGCTTCCTCTGCCTCTTCCTTACGGCTCTCACCAAGTACTTCAACAAGATCTTCCTCGTACAGGGCTTCCCTGCCCTCGATGACAAAAGACATCCACAAGCGTCTGGCCAGAGCCTCGGAGGTACGTCTTCTCTCAAGAGCACCAGTAACGATGGAGTGAGCACTATTAGGATTGAAGACCTGTTTTCCAGTAATTTCCTGAGCGACATTTCCAAAGGCAGAAGTGACCTGGTCACCGAATCTTCCGACGTTCTGCAACAAGCGGAAGGGGGTAGTGGAACCGCCGCGTTTGTGATTGCCCCTCCTCTTTCCGCCCAACATGGACAGGTTGAGCTGATCGGCGATCATGTAGTCCTCTTCGGCAAAGACCTCATAGGCAGGGAAAAGGGTTCTGGAAGCGTCGTAGAGCAGACCCAACAGATAGACATTGCGCTTGGACTCCTTGATGCGGGCGTTGAATTGCTTGCGGTGGTAGTTGATACTGATGAGCTGGATGAAGAACTTTTCGATCAATAGCACGAGGGTACCAACCAAGGCAGCGGCCAAGATTTTGTTGACGATGTTCATCCAGTGTGCTTCGCCTTGGTTGATGGAGCGAGCGTAGGGATTGCGCAACATGAGAGGGATGAAAGTGGCCAGAGAGGTGATGGCCCAGCCTGCCAGAGACAGAGGAATTTCGAGGGCCTTGATGATGAGAGCATATTTGCGAGTGCCCGAGCTGACCACACCAGCGACAAATTGGAAGATGAAGGGAAGGAAGTGAGAGACGATTTTGGAGCCCCACAAGCTCAACCACACTAATCGAAAGTCAGTCGGCGGTGGGCAAGCAGAGAGCGGAACGATTACTCACCAATTTCGATCCAAGTAAAGAACCAGACGATTGGGACGCCGCCAATCTTTGCATGGGGAGCAGCTGTGGCTCCAACGATGATGGGGACAGCGATGCAGAGAGCCAATGGTGAGACATAGACAAAGTAGCGAGTGACGATACTGAAGTTGAGGATCTTGTTGTAAATTCTGCCCATACGATTGAGCGTGTCTTCTTCTCCATCGTAGCCGACTGAAGAGTCGCCCATGTTCCTCCTGGCTCGTCGTCCAGCGATGTTGCGAGGAGGTTGGCGTGACGAGGTCTTTGTGAGGCCGAGACCATTGCCGGCTAGAGGGGTGTTGCTATCATTCCTCTGAGCAGTCGAGTGGACTTCCTGCAAGGGAATGTCGATAGTTGCGTCACCGTTGTTCATGTTGTCGTTTGGGATAGGCGAGAAGCCCTGGCGAGACAGACGTTGAGAGTTGGTACGCCTCAAGGACATGTCAATAGCGAGCAAGCCTCGGGCGAAGAGCGAAGAGCGAAGAGGGTAGCTTTTATGTCGACCAACGGCTTCTCGTACCAAGCTCTTTGTGAAACGATGACTGCCGGTCAGGAACGAGTCGTGTGCCTTGGCGATCTGTCGGATCTACGTGGGTGAAATGAATGTGGGACCTGGGCTGTTAAGGCGGATACCAGAGAGAGATTCGAGGTGGATCGGATCAGATGGAGGATGCAGAGGGCTGGAAAGAGTCGCAGGGCTCGAGGGTAGTAATACGTGGCAAGACACGAAACAATGGCTCGCAGCGAAAGATGGGATGGCGGCGCTGTGATTCAACAAGACCAAGAAAGAAAAAAGGTGACGACTGCACGCGTACCAAACCGTCGGCCAACAGGACCCTGGCACGCTCAGACCACAGCTGCAGGAACCACTTACGCGTTTCACAAACACATCCGACACAGAATTCTTCAAGCCACAACTGTTCTTTTATGCCGATCTTGATACATGATACTTCCGCTGCCGCTCTGCTCTTCCACGCATATCGAAACTGCTATCATCTCACCATTCTCTGCTCCTGCTGCTTCACTCCAGCATGTGAAACCCCGGTATGCTCGCCGTTGAGAGTCCAAAAATATCCTCGTGTGGTAGCAATTGTGACATCATCTCCCTCACCCCGCATCCGACTGCCCTCTTTGTGTCAAGAATCCTCCGCGAGTTCCGAAAAGCTGCCATCGAATGGACCATCGCGTGTTCTGAGGTCCTCCCAAAAGCGTCATTACGCTATGTCGATCAGTCAATCATCCGTATTGCTCTGACAGAACGACAACCCATCCTCATGTCCACCGTTCTGGCAAAATTACACATTCTGACCGTGTCTCCAAGCGATTCATTCCTGCTTGGGCTTCGGACCATACCAGAGACTGATGATACGATGGACGGTGTCTTCGATCTGTGTCGGCAACTAACCGCGGATGTCTTCGAAGAGAGAGTTGAGTGTGCTTTCCTGAGCAAGACCGCTGAAACGTGCATCGAGAGAGTTGAAGCGGACATCCATGGATTCAAGGCGATTGTCGATGGTTCGGAGATGTTCGTTAATGGAGTTGAGGGTGGTTTCCAGCTTCTCAAATCGCTCGACGAGAACCGACTGCATGTCCTGGAGATCTCCAAACGCGGCATTTGCAGCGGCAAACGGAGAATCTTGACGGCGCTGGGAAGAGTCAATTTCATCGTCGAAGAGAAAAAAATGTGCAAAGAGAGTGCAAAACTTACTCTTTTGCTTGGTGAAGGTGACATCTTGGTAAGGTTATCAAGTGAAGAATTGGATCTACTAATGTGTGACAAATGCTTGTGATGGATGCGTTGGTGTGAAGGTGTGATGGAGAAGTGAAGCTGGATGTCCAAATAAATACCTGAAATGTGACTCAAATGAGGAAGTCGCGAGCCACGGTAGGCAGCAGTGAATCCAGCCACGTGCTCCTAGAGCCGACACCTCGATATTGTCAAATGAGGAAGGCACGACGAGCTCCAGTGAAAGTAAAGAAGTCTGCATTTAGCATTCTCCAACACTGCTGCCCTGTACATCATCAACCTTGATCTTCATCACTACCCCTATCCCTATCCTTTGCCTACAAAACCTATTTGCATGGCTCGTAACCGTACTTCCATCCAGAAGCGCTGCAACTATGAAGATACCCGACGACAGACCCGCAGAGAGAGACTACACCAACTTTGTGTAGATGCCGCAAACGCTTCTATATCCAATCACAACTGGATGATGGATCCTTCAGTGACTGTCGCTTCTGATTGGCATCCAAACAGTAATGTCATGTCTACTGTGCTCAAGACAATATACTCACCTCAATAAGGGAACCAATTCGAGCCTCTGAATCATCTTCAGGATCGCAAGATGCAATGGTTCGCCAGCCGCCGTTCGCGACGTAAAAGGACAAGGGAGTACAAGAGAAAAGAGCTCATCGATTTTCAGCTTGCTACCCTGGATGCCGATCTGTCAACTCGCTTCGATCATGTCATCAGCACGAACAAGCACATCTCCAATGTTCAGCTACCGGATCTCGACCTTTCACCCATGCAGTTGGTCAAGTGGACACCCCCAGTGATGTCTCCAAGACTTACGCCTGTGCCTCGTCTTCAACACATCTCTAACACGGACTGGTCAAACCTTGAGATCAGGTTCTCTCCACCAGTCAAGAAAACTTCAGCTACTCCGTCTCCATCCCCACCAACGTCTCTTATGACTGCGGCCGAACTTGGTCTTCTCACGCCATTGACACCCAAAGTGCACCTACCAGAACTCAACAATGGTTCGCAGGTTGTTTTCAATGCTTCAGCCGACGCCTCGGTTGTCAAGTCGTGGATATCTCCCCCTGCTACACCCATCGGTCAGAACTCATACCTTGGTTTAAGCGCACAAGAAGACGACAATGTCGGCTCTTCATTTGTGGCAGCAAAGTTACCATATTTCCGTGAAATTGATCCATTCGATTTGACCATCTCTTCAACTCTCGACATGGGACCAAACGAGTACGACCACTTCGAGTCGACATCACAGCCGGCAAGGTGTACCCTGTATCGTGAAAAGGACGATCACGAAAGTGAAGGAGTCTCTCTGAGTACCTTCCAGTCGCTGCGTAGTTGTGAGGAAGGCAGGATGCCAGGTCTCATGCACAACGAACCAACCAATCCTCAGGCCTTCGCTCTAGATGTCGAGTGGTCTGACGAGCCCGTCGTGGACTGGCCTTACGATATTGTTGGTGACTGGAATGATGAACCTTATCTTGACTGGAACGGTGAACCTGTTGCTGATTGGGTCGATCAACCTATCGATGATTGTTTCTCTGATCTTGTCATGATCGAGTGTGACGACGAAACCTTTGACTGGACCATCTTGTCTAGAAACAGAGCTTCGAGCGACTGCGCCTCGACTCTGTGCTCTGCCTCTTCAAGTATGGAAATCCTTCCGCTACCCCTGAGAGACTCTTTCATGGAAGAGCGTTCTGCATACGAAGAATCTACTTACGAGCTAATCGAGTCTGCACACGAAGAGCCTGCACGCGAGCTGGCTGAAGATGAAATGAACATGCGCAGAGTATCAAAGTCGGCCTGGGAGTCCGAGACTGACTTCTGTATTCCTGCTTTCTTCTAGGAGGGAGAAAAGAGCTTGAGTGAGGAGGTTTTCGAGAGTGCTTGTTTTGCAATGTATCCATCCTCTCGTGAAGATGACAAGGGCTGGGACTGGTAATCGAGCATGTGTATGACTGTCAAAGGGCCAGCTGTTGTTGACAGTCTGTAATTTCCTTGAGTATGAGCGACATCAAATTGAACTTACCCTACGGCTCCCTCGTCTCCGTTGACTTCCTGACCGCTTGCAAATCGTCTACGGACTATACTATTTCTTGTTCCCTCGTCTTCTAGGAGTGAGGTACACTGGGTGTGTTCAATGGAGCTTCCTGTTTTGTCTCTGGGTATCAAATTCTGTAGCTGTTACTCTGCTCCAACTATAAGGAAGAACAAAATTTATACTGTGAAAAGGCACAATTGGTTCTAGATCCAGAGGCCCGTCCATGGAGAGTCGACAGCTTGTTATCTCTCAAGGGAAACTATCTTATCCCTCATTGGTATTATGCGTTTCTATAGCTATACTCGTCTAATACTTAAGTACACAGAGAGGATGTAAATAGAAAGCTGCAGCTTTTGAAATGCACGATTTTCCTCAGGAAGAACGCAGTGTCCAGACTGAGACCGCTGGCCCATGTTTCCGTGGAAAAGCTCTCGCTAGAGAACAACATTGTGCATTTCGATAGAGCAAGTGTTGCAAGATTTCGGCGTGGGAGACCCTCAAAGCGTCGAAAGAGGAGATCGAGGTTCGAGACGCTTAGAGTGCAACTTCCTAGGGATTTAGTTCATGGCAAAAAAGCAAAACAACTTTCAGACTCTCTTTGAAGGCCGAACATTGTCTACAAGATAGATCGATGGCTGCAAAAAAGTCGTTCCGACACGGGGAATTGAACCCCGGCCTCCTCGGACCTGATCGTACAGAAGTACTGTTTGAGAGCGAGAAATCCTAGCCACTAGACCATATCGGATATTGTTGAGGCAATATTGGACTATTTGGAATATAATTCACTAATCAATACACGCACGTGTGCCCCATTCGAGCATACCGACTTCCGAGCCGCCTCACGCGTCACATCTTATCAATCGCAATAGCTCCAGAACTCAAACCACCCGCAATAAGCAAACATGACTGACATCTCTCTGCTAAGTCCAGACGCCAACAGTGTGTCTCTATCTTATCGACAGATGGCACTAGTAACAGCAGGCTCACTCTTCAGCAGAAATCACTGGAGTCGAGGTCAATGCCAAAGTAGAAGCTGCAGTCAAGAAGGTCGGCTCAGACTGGAATGACCTTCCCGAGGGCCATGCATTGCTCAAGATGTCAGCGAGGCTAGGCGACCTCATCAAGGAAGCTGGATATGCCGAGATGTATGGGGTTGAGCTTGCTGCACCTACTGAGGAGTATGTCGTCTTTCCCAGCATCTACAGGCTATGAAGAGGCACTGACTGTAATCACAGAGGCAAACCCTCTCCCTTCAGCACCCTCCTCATCCTCCAAAAATTCCTCCGCGCAAACCAAAACCAAATCAACAAAGCCTGCGAACAACTCGTAGGAGCACTGAAATGGCGTAAAGAGTTCAAGCCGCTAGAAGTTAAGAATCAAGTCTTTGATAAGACTAAGTTCCAAGGCTTGGGCTATATCACAAAACTCAAGAATGTACCCGAGAGTCCTAATGAAGTGGATATTGCTACGTTTAATATCTACGGTGCTGTCAAGGATACCAAAAAGACATTTGGAGATTTGGACGAGTGAGTACTGGCACAAAGGCTTGAAAAGGGATGAAAGGAATTTACTGACCTATCTGCCTTACTTCAGATTTATCCGTTGGCGTGTCGCTCTCATGGAGCTGACTGTCCAATCTCTCTCCCTCTCCACAACCACCATACCCATCCCCGACTACAACAAAGGCCCCGACCCCCACCAAGCCCTCCAAATCCACGATTACCTACGCGTCTCCTTCCTCCGCCAACCTTCCGAAGTAAAAGCTGCCTCCCAAAAAGCCATCCAACTTTTCAGCGCATACTACCCAGAGACTCTCTCCAAGAAGTACTTTGTAAATGTGCCGTTGGTGATGCAGTGGATGTTTGGCGCTATGCAGGTGTTTATGGCTAAAGAGACGATCCAGAAAATGCAGTGGATGAGTTATGGTGAAGAGTTGCACAAGTACCTAGGGACTGATGTGGGCAAGGAGTATGGTGGTCAGGGACCTGAGTTGGAGGCTGTGGGTGTGACGCCCTTGTATGACCAACAGACATCTAGAGATGCTGTTGCTGATGCCGCTGCTGCCAAGGAGGTGGCTATTTGATTCGATGTCATGCCTTTCACGACTTTTCACTTTGCTCGCGGGCTAGGCGTTCCTTGCGGAGGATCCACCGAACTATTTTGTAGACAAGACCCCAGTCCTGGCCTTTGTGAGCCGGTGGGATCCTATCGATGAGGTGGTCTTGGAGCAAATCAACAAAAGGCTCTTTGGGCTGCTTATCAGAGTACTTCTTGATGATATCCTTGACCTCCTGGATGTGCTCGGCCATCGGCTGGCCTAGGCGCACGGTGAAAAGGATCATATCGACCATGTCAGTGTGAACAGCCGGTGGATGGACTATCTTGCGCCGTCTGGGATACATCTTGTGGAACAAGCACCAGCAAAGAATATGCCAGTGCAAGAGGTGGCGATGAAGTAGAGCAAGCACCAGCAAAGAATATGCCAGTGCGGAAGGTGGTAAGGTGTTAGAACAAGCACCGGCAAAGAATATGCCAGTGCGGGAGGGATTTAGTGATGTGAGAACAAGCACCGACAAAGAATATGTCAATGCAGGAGATAGAAAGGTATTAGAACAAGCACCGGCAAAGAATATGCCAATGCAAGAGGTGGCGATGAAGTAGAACAAGCACCAGCAAAGAATATGTCAGTACGCACAAAAAAAGAAAGAAGAATACGTCGCTGCACAGGAAGAAAAACGAATTGGTAGAAGAGTTGGACAAGGAAAAGCAGAGTTAGAAGTTTCGAAATTATTTGGTTCCGTTCAAGGCAGTGAAGGAAAAAGTAAGCACGATCCTCGAACTGTCTATCACTCTCAGACAGTGAATCAGCAGAATGCTACTGACTCACTTTAGCATTCGGAAGGAGATGCAGGAATCGGTGTTGGAAGAGATTGCAAGGAGTTTCACTTTAGTGAAACTGAAAGTGACAGAAGCTCGCCTCTCTCGCCAGCCATTCATTGAACTTACGAGCTGCAGAAATTCACAGTGATACCGTTTCTAGAATTTCAGCCAGTGAGAGTCGTGCGTTCTTGGTCTCTCAGTGGATTATGTCTCAGTTGAGACACTACTCTGCATTTTTACAAGTTAGAATATCATGGTCAAGCGTTCGGAGATTGCTGAGAAGAGAGGATTTCAATCGTGGAAGGTCAAATGATAACAAGATTGTGCATTTTGACAGATAACCGAAATGCTATTCATCCACAAACGGGGCTCGCTGCAAAGAATGCAAGAGCCATGACATTGTCAATCGCTTTTATGGCTGCTCTGGTTAATAGTGTTTTTGAGACAAAGCAAAAAAGAATGCAAAACAAAACATACAGCAGCAGGACTGCATCCCTACTCTATGCAGCACTAACCACTTTTGATCTATCCCATCCAAGCAGAACTCCTTTCTCTTAACAAATATTCTACAAGAATGCACACCAACCAATGTACATCTGACACAAATTCCACGGGTCAGTGGCCTGTCCAATCAAAGCATTTACATGACCTTCCACACTCAATGGCACAGTTTCTCCTCTGAGGAATCCTTTGAGCTTTCCACTGACCGAGTCGAGAACTTCTTGCGGTGTCTCTGGCACTCCAGGCGTAGTCCTCTTCTTCTTGCCAATGAAATCAGTGGTAGGATCGTGCAAGAACGTTTCCAAAATGTTCATCAAAGTATCCTGGTGTTGACGGAGCAAGCCCAGTGTCAATTCAGCCGACTTGCGGAAAGGTCCTTCATATCCGTAAGCACCCATTGCCGCGATCATGTTGTGTGTCAGGCGGAAAGGAACAAGTTCTGGTTTCTCGAATGTGAGACCTTTGTCGAATAGACAATTGAAGTCGACATGGAAGACACCACCAGTATCTTCTTGGAGCAAGATGTTTTCTCCATGTCGATCACCAAGTCCAAGGACATGTCCTACCATAGACATGACTGCTGCTGAGCGAGCATATCTTAAGCGAGCAGCGAACCATGTGTCAGGCTCGGGGAACATCTCCGTGAACCACTCATGAAGGATGGATGGGAAAACCTTGAGTACTTTCTCGGTGAAGATATCCACGTTAGCCGGATTAGAGCTTGCCTCACTAAGGAAGACTCGTAGTTCGTTGTAATTAGGTTGCACACCCTTTCGCTGATATAACTTGAGAAGAATGTCGCGCAGAGGTTTGATCCCTTCAACCCACTCGATGGTGCCCGATTCTTCACTCAATGGCGTCACACCATATGTCTTGATGTACAGACGACGCTTGCTCGACTCCGTGTCTCGTTTGAGTGCTCTGTTGATCATTGTATTGAACTCCATGAGGCGTTGATCTTTTCTCAAATCGTCCTTTGGCTTGCACAAAAGTCCATATTGTTTGCCATCCGATCCTCTGACTGTCAACTTACGTGGTCGCTGCAGAGAGTTGAGCACCAGGACTTCATCGCTGAAGCTTTGTATCGTAATGCGTTCCTGAGCGAATGCCACGAACTTACGGATGTGGAAAGCGTCCTGCACCACAGGAGCATTGGCTGTCAGGGTAGATTCCAGAGGTATGACAAGAGGATTGGGAGCCAGTTTGTGATTGAAGTTCAGATCCTTGGACAGACTGACGTTCGCTGACCGTGTCTCGATATGGATCTCACAAGCTTGTAGCAGACCATCCGATAGCTTCTGCCCGTGACTTATCATCACTCTCAGGTCAAAACTAGCCGAGTCGCTCTTCGGCCTGTTCTTAGGGTCTTTCAGCTTGTTGATGATGGCCACGCCACGGCTTGCTCTATCCGATGCAGTGGCCTTGCAGACCGCTAGCAAGAACCAAAGTGCTTGACTAGGATGGGTCGAAACAATCTTCTGAATGATCATTGCCAACACTTCGTAGACTTTGGGGTTCGGGTGAGTGATACGCGAGATCATCTGAGGCAGAGCGTTGTAGAAGATGTATGGAGGTATACGGTCAAAGTATTTCCTCATTTGCTTGTGAATCGCATCAAGCCAGTGAGAACGTTTGGCGGTCACATCAGCCTGGACATCATTCCTGGTCCTCTGCATACAATCCATGCCAAGATCCAACCAGAGTGTGATGATTTTTGGGATTGTCTGATACCAGTACTTGGAGCCAAATGGTACAGACCGCAAGTAGTTTACGATGACCAGTTTGGTCAGCTCTCCAGAAACAAAAGGCTCAGACTGCTTGTGCGAAGGAAGAAGTTTTCCAGCATCGAGAAGCATGTTGTAATGCTTGCCCAGATAGTAGTGACCTTTCTCCCATCTGGAGTAATGTCTGGCAGCATACTGATACTTGCCTACTACTTTTGTTGCCTGTGTCTGTCCAGAAGCATCCAGCCATTTGGCAAGTAGCAGATGCGCTCTTGCAGAAAGCATGTTCTGCTTCTGTTGTGCTTCTTCAGGATTACTGGTATCCACCATCCTCTGGTCATAAGTTGCGAACGTATTGGACGCAATGGCACCCTCGAGGCTCTGAATGGCTTGTCTGTGCTGATTGTCTTTCCAAAGCAGTCTAGCATGTTCGATCTTGGCTGCGTCGTCTCCGCAGCTGAATGCGTTGAGTACAGCATAATGTGCGACGGTTGAGACATTGGTCTTTCGAGCAAGACGAGCGGTTGTGAGCCATGAACTGCCGATGCTGACGCTCGAGAAATCGACGCTCGACAATCGCATGACTGCACGTCGTATGCCAAGCAAGTATTGTTTGTCAGAGATGTATGATCCGATGACGTTCAATCTCTTATCCATAACCGCAAGGACTGATGTAGCAGCTGGATCTTGAGCAGCAGGAACATCGATCGCTCCACTGAGTGCACCTATCTCATACACAATATGGAGTTTCAACAGAACATCATGGCAAGCCTGTAGCGAGCTCCCAGAGACGGAGGTGATGCCCTTGACCACGATATTGCGAAGTCTGTTGACCATGGTTGACACTGCATCTTGGTTTTTCTCTTGCATGGCGAGGAGCACTCTGGCGACTCCAATGTTGAAATCGGTCTGGCCATCTTCCGAAAGACCCGCGAGAGTGTCCTTGAGGGTATCAAATCTGTCTGTAGTCCAACATGCCTCTGTGATGTACGACAAGAGTGTACCTTTGTCGCTCTGACTCGAGTTATCTTTGTAAAACGATGCATAACGCAACACTTGATCATACTGACCAGATTCTCTGAGACAGCTTAAAAGATCGATTTGACGGCTTGTGTTGGAGGGTTCCTTAATCAGTTCGAACTCGTACCAGCTTTGTGCAGCTGACCACCTGCCTGCTCTCTGATGTTGGAAAGCTTGTTGCTCTGGGCTAAGGATGTTGAGGTGTGCCGAAATTCCGTCAAGACCGTCCGGCTCGTCTATTTGAGAATAGATAGAATGCAAACGTTGGAACATTGCGTCGTGCTCTTTGGCGTTCTGATTGGTTTGTCTCCGAGATTCACTTCGGATGTAGCTCTCCCAATGGAACAGAGCACGAGCATATGAGCCGCACTCCATAGCACGTTGGGCGATGATGTCTGCCGGAATGGAGTTTATCACGCTCTCGACACTTTCAATTTGGCCGACGTCTTTGACTTCCTCCAACTCTGAAGGTGCATGACCAGCTCGCAAAGCTGCAGCTCGGTATGCGGCCATTGTTCGTTTTTTCTCCTGTAGCCATTTCGACATGTAATCCAACACAGCAAAGACATTCTCGCTGCATTGACGAAGCGCCTCCTTCTCAGATTCAACAGGTGATTCAGTGGACAAGACTGTCAGCATTTCAACTCCAATGTCTTTAGCCTCCTGCACAGTACCGCCAAGAACGATGTTGAGTGCCACGTACGGGAGCAGGAAGCTAGCAATCGAGATATCGTGTCGATTGATGATGCGTGCCAGGATGGGGAAAACCATTTCTGCGTTATCGCCTTTACCTCTCCACATCATATCGTAAGCCCATTCGCGAAGCCATGTGCTGTGACGTTTACCGTTGGTAAAGACAGGGTAGTTTCGTTTCCCTGGTTGAACGGACGAACTGCTGTTTAGCAAGTATCTTGAGCTCAAAAAGGGAGTGAGCGTATTCCGGACGTTTTCTGGCATCTCCGCCCAGCGACTGTAAGCAGGGCCGGCTTGAGATGGCCTCATGCGCGCAGTCGCGGCTTCGTTGAAACCACAAAATCGGACCAGTTCTTGCATGACATAGGCTAGGAAACCTTGGTCGCGTGCGTTCGTGGATGATCTGAATGCTGGTACCAGAACATCTTCGAGCATGATAGCGACCCAGTTGATAACCTCAGAGGCCTTTTCAAAGTTCGAAAGCACGAGCACCTGTCTTCTGCTGCTGCTCATCTCGACACTGTTGGGGTCCAAGCAGCCAATGATACCAATACATTGTGCACTCAGATCGACGACTGTGGAGTCATGGTCAGCATACTTTGTGCAGACATCCAACAAAGCACGCATTACATCGGCTATCGCAGCCTTAGGTTGTTCGCTGACAGCTGCCTCATGAACAAAGCCTTGGTTTTCGCCGAGCCATGGGACTAGCTCGCGGAGTCCCTGAGTAACGATCGCGACATTCTCATCGTGCAATCGTTTAGCGAAGGCACGCAGATGGACGTCGGGACGTTCGTCCTTTTTCAACCTCTGTATTTCCAGACCAATCTTGGACATCAACGGGATCGAAGCCAATGATGGTATGGTCATGAGCTTCTCCCGTATCACATTGCTGTGAGTCTTGACCATCTCACTGATAGTGTCGTGAATCTTCAATTGCAGAGGCGAGGAGAGGCTATCCCAATGTTGAGCCACGAGCGCGAAGGTATGATCAACCATGTCAGCAACATCATCGCCTTCTAGAACACCGATTAGAGTAAGCCAAGCAGAAAGTGCTGACTCTTGAAGTTTGGGCTGATCAATGGCGCTCTGAAGACACGCTCTTATCTAGAACAATGTAAGCCATGGGTACGATCTGCAAAAGTGTAAGTGAACATACCTGAGGAAGAGCTACGCTGACCTTGCTCTTAGCTAATATGATCATTTGTTCGATTGCATTAACACAGCGAAGCTTTTCTGATGGTGACAATGACAGGGTGTTGTCGATTGAGTTGGAGAACTCGGTCATGATGCCCAAAATATGTGCTTCGAAGAAACTGATAACCATACGATTGGCTTTGGCATTCGACTTTGTATGACTTGGCTTCCCTTCGACCAGCATAGTGAAAATCTGGATGGCTTGTTGTGCCTGTGAAAACGCTTGAGTCTAGAATCGGGGAAAGAAACACTTAACACAAAGTCTTACCTTAGATGCATTCGACTCATCTTCGTCTCCCGCAGTCTTGAGCATTTCACACGCGATGAGAACAGGATTTGATCTGATCAGACTTCCCAGGTCGCTGCTCTGAATGCCAGGAGCAACTTCAGCAAGACATCTGATTGCGTTACCTTCTACATCACTTGATGACTGGAAGAGCAACGTAGATATCACGACAGCAAGATTAGCAGGCGGCTGAAGACAAATGTCTTGTATGCTAGTCTCTGCACTACGAGCCGAGGCAATTCGCTGTAGTATGTCCTTCTTCTTTGTCAAGACAAGAAAAGGCACGGTATCTCGTTGTGTCAGCAGCAGAAAATGACTGACGCTCATCCCTAGGAATTCGGAGAGCTGCTGAGCCTTCTGCGGTTTGGTAGTGAGATCCTGAATGACAGCGACAGCGATGCTGCGATAAAATGGTTTGAGAAGTGTCTGTGGTGAGAGAGACAGCGTCTCGGCGATATCCTCCAACTGTGTTGACTGTTAGAGAATTCAAAGCGATCGCAATACGTTACATACCTCGCTGAAAGCAAGAGAACAAACCAGAGAATTTGGATGACCCAGATAGTCGACCAGCCTGAGCAATGCCAGATTGAGCTCTTTCTCACCGCATACCCTACTGGTGTCAATATCTCATACTGAGCCAAGAGAAAAGGCGGAACTTACACTGCTACTCGGCCCCAAGCCAATATCAATGTTTCGTGTTGACCTACAATATCCTTCGATGACAGTGCTCTCAGAAAATTCAGAGCGACTTGTCGATTCTTGTTCCGAATTTCGATGGGCAATCCTTCACGGAGAAAAGCAGCCATTGTTCGCCTGCCTCTGTTAGTAACAAGTCAAGCTCCTCATTTATCTGAACTCACCCTGCAGCAACTCGTAGCTCTCGGGAAGAACTGTGCAAGTACTTTAGGCACCATTCTGCTAAGAAAGAGGTTCCGAGCTCAAGTTGGCTAGGATTTTGGTTGTGCAAAACAATCGATCGGACTGCCAGGATGGCGAGTACTCTATTTCTGTCAGAGTGTTGAAGGGCTTGGCTCTCGAAAAGTTCCGTGAGCATCAGAAACATTTCATTCCAGTCTGTGCCTCGATTGTTTTCTTCCCAAGTGTTCTTTTCTGGTTCTTGCTGCAAGCGTCGGTCTCCGTCACAGAACGAGCATTTTCCGTTGTGCAAATTATTCGTAGCAGCGCAAGCACAAGACCGAACCATCTCCCAGAACGTGCTCCGTTCGACTTCAGAGAAAGCAGCGTAACGCGATCTTCCAGAAAGTCAGCATACATGTGAATAAGATCTTGAAGAAGAGGAACTTACGCGACGTCGGGACTGTCTGTACCTGTGGTGGTCGCTTTGCCCAGAAGAGCGTCAATTCTATGTTTGAGCTTCTCGTACGCATCTTCCGATTGGCTACTGGATCGTGTATCTCGTGGGTTCAATAAGCCCTGTAAGTCTCTTCGTAACGGTCTTGTCCCCGCTGGCCTCGAGGCTGGCAGTTCGGGGTGGATCTGGGGGGCGTGGTCGCTCATGACAACATCAGTCTGACCTTTTCTGTCATGTCTCTCCAGACATTGACGTACCACGTAGCGCAAAGACTCGCTAGCAGCCTCAAACTTTGTCGAATTGCGAGCTAAGGCTCGAAAAGAGGGAAGTAGAAATTCTTCGATTATGTATCCATACTCTGCATCGTAGCGGCCGACCAACCTCTCGACAATCGACGTAAGCTCCGTTTGCAACTCTGCATCTGGCAATGTTTCTCCATCATGAACAATGAGCCTTGAACAAGACTCGCAGAGGCCAGCGAGCATATAAGATGTGCGATTGTGGATGGTCGGATCTGGCGAGCCAATCAAGATGACATCTTGAAGACGAATAATCTGCAAAGCAGCCGTAGAAAAGAAAGAATGTTTTTCAAACCATGATTTATGTTGAAACAGAATTCGATTCAAAAAGGCAACTGAGTCAGATACCCATTTGTGTAACGGAAATGTTGAGGTCTGGAATTGCGTCAAGGTCGACTTTGCTGATGCAATGTTTTGTAGGACAGAAACAAGTAGCAGTAATATCCCGACAGCTGACAAGGCATCGTTTGTAGATAACTGATGACCTAAAGACAGGGCTACATTGTTCTCTGTCTGCGGCCAGATGTTCGACGTACTCCTGACCGGTGGTAACAAGACAGCGGGTACTTGAGCGGCAGACTTTGAGAAAACGCGGCTGTCTTGGAGTAACACAAAAAGGTCAGTAGCACAGTCCCGAAGCATTTGCAGCAATGCTTTTGCGTATGGCCATAGGTCCAGAGTCTTGGACAGGCTCAAGACTAGCGAAGACAGGAGGGAGACCAAGGAATCCTGCAGCTGAGCGCCCTTTGTGTGCTTAGATATCATGAGCAGCTTGGGAAAAAGCCAAAGCAGGAGATGGGGATTTTGATCGGGGTTTGCTGTATCGTTGTTGAAAAGAATGTCTGGCTGTCTTTGAATGGTGGACTGGATGACAGCCAGACTGTCGATTGCTTGGGGGATCAGAAAGTCCCATTGAGCAAATGGGTCATCTTGAAATAGGACATCAAGACCTGCCTCGACAACAACCTTGATTAATTTATGATTGACATCAACATCGGTCTCGGGGACCGAAGATTTACTGAGGATTTCTTGCAGTAGCTGACGGAAGGTGACGGTTGTGTCTGGTTGATTCAAACCACGGGCAGTGTCGACGTGATTTTGGACAAGTTGGGCAGCAAGGGTAGAGGGTGGTGGAAGATTTGCAGCAGTCAAATCATCGCCACCTATGGAAGCGGCACCACGACCATGACTGTGAGCGAGAAGCCTCCCGACCATCTTGCATGACTTGATCAGGACGCAGCCGTAAAAGCAGCAGACATGTCACCTGGCTGTTGTTCGATACGAGCAAATGGTGAATGAAATGGGAAGACGCGCTGATGGATGGCCACGTCGTCACGTGTTGCGTAAATTGATTTGGAAGTTGCGGCGGCGTCAGTCTGGAGAAGGCTGAAGCGAGTGCTCAAGCAAGCAGCAGCTGCAAAAGCAGTTGCATATTCTATTCGCCGCTTAGGAACCACCTTCTCAGCACTGTCATCAAGACATCACTCTGGACAACAAGTCGCGCATTCAATCCAGGTCCATACGCACAGCCACCCAACATGGCTGTCTTCCCGGCCAAACGCTTCCGCTCGAGCTCGTACAATGGCACTATGCCTGCTAGATACCGCGCACTGCTCGCTAAACACCCCTTCGCTCTCTTCGGCCTCCCCTTCATTGCGACAATGGTTTTGGGCTCTTTCTTCTTGACCCCCGCAACCGCCATCAGATATGAAAAGCATGACCGCAAAGTCAAGCAACTGTCCAAGGAAGAAGAGCTCGGTATTGGCAAGGACAGGCGAAGGATTGACTTGAAGGAGGAATACTACGTACGTGAACTGCTTGAGCTCTTCTGTACGACCCTATCTGACACAAAGCGCAGAGACTGGCCGCCAAGGATCTCGACAACTGGGAACAGAAAAGAGTCAAAAGACTACCTGGCGAGCACGACGGTATCCTTTAAGCCGCTCCCTCCCTCTCTCCTCTCATCCTCACATATCATTTTATCTCTTGGGTTTAGCAAGGCGTTGGTTTGGAAACATTATGGCATTTACGGGAACACCAAATACTACAATACTGTGTTGGTCCATCTTGGAACTATCGCAAGGCGCCATGCTCGCCTGGGTTCAAGTTCGGATCACATGCAATCTTCCTTTCCACGAGTCGTTAGTCCGTTCAGTTTCATTTCATGCTTCCCAGCTGGTGACCGCCTTTTGTCTTTTGTTTTCTTGCGCTTAAAGCCGAGGCACGTGGAAAGAGTGTCGACGTCATGTGTTGATATTCCGCGTTCCATATCCATCTCTTGCCCCTAATCAAGACCACCATCACACGTCTTTTCATAAATTCATCATTTGTGAAGACGCTCAACATGGACAACTCAACATATGGTATCGTCAAATTTTTGTTTCCACGCATCCCGTCGTTTACGAAGACGGCCGTTGCTCACTCCCTATCGCTATCTCCAACATCTTCAAAATGGGATCTCAAGACCGAAATGACTGTTGCTTTCTTGCGCTCTCTCATGAACGGTGGTCCCTCCCCAGTTGGACTGACGCAAGCTCGCACTCTGCAGGATCCTGGCGCCAAGGGTAAGGTCTGGACAGCCAAAGTCACTATTCCGGCTCCCAAGGACGAAAGCATCAGAGATGCCACCTTTACTGCCATTGCAGACCTTGGAGATGGCAATGAGACATATACAAAGCCAGGACTTTCTGCTATCGAAGCCGAGTGGACGGGCTTCCGACCTGATGCTGGTGCTGAAGAGCCTTTGCCGAACATCTCAGAGCAGGAGAAATATAACAAATTGATGAATGAGCCCACGACATCGAGCAAGACGACAATTCTCTATCTCCATGGTGGAGCCTACTACATGTGCGGATTTGGAACTCACAGACTGAATGTTTCGAAATTAGCAAAGGCTTGCAATGGAAGAGCATTCAATGTTGCCTATCGTCTCGCGCCACAAGCTGCTTTTCCATCACAGCTACTAGACGCACTTAACGCATATCTCTACTTGTTGTACCCACCTCCTGGAGCTTTGCATGAGCCGGTCTCTGCGAGCAATATTGTCTTTGCCGGTGACTCGGCAGGTGGTAACTTGGTTTTCGCGCTGCTTCAACTCTTGTTGCAACTTCATCGTACTAAGCCAGTGGATTCAAAGAACCCTACTGTCCGGTACCACGGAAAGGCAGTTGAGGTACCTCTACCTGCCGGCGCATCAGCCAACTCTGGCTGGTTCGATATCACCAGATCAATGCCTTCTTTAGTACACAATGCAAAGTACGACTACCTTCCGCCAGCAGATCATGACGATGCCTTGGGACGATTTCCAAAAGACGATTTCTGGCCTACTACACCGCCTAGAGGTGACTTGTTCTGCGATCTCAGTATGATATGTCACCCTCTCGTGTCCCCACTCGCGGCCAAAGACTGGAGCAATGCACCACCACTTTGGATCGAGACAGGAGAAGAACTTCTCACGGACGAAGATTTGGTAGTCGCTGTCAGGGCAGCCACTCAAGGTGTAAAGGTCCACTTCGAGCAGTACGAGGCAATGCCTCACTGTTTTGCTATGCTTCTACCTACACTTGCTAACAGCAAGCGTTGTGTCGATTCATGGGGCGCGTTCTGCCGGAAATGTACGGAAGGCACGGTGGAGACAAGTGGTACTTGGATCGCAGCCAAGACTGGACTTGAGAAAGAGGTCGATGTGACAAAGGTCACCGAGTTGACTGTTGAGGATGCTATCGAGAGGATGAGAGATGCCCAAAAGAGACGGTACGCTGGCTACGAGAAAGAGGGTAAATCAATGCCCAATCCGAGCTTGTAAACACATATTTTGCCTTCACGGGGATGATGGGCGCAGAGTAATCATAGAGGTGCCTGAACAATATATCTCTCGAACGTTCAATAGTATACAGCGCATAATAATCCTTTGTATTATACACTTTTGAAGATGTAGATAGTATCCGAGAGAACCTTTCCGAGGAGTCGGATGAGGCACTCCGAACCCCTCCTCCGCTTATGACGAGGTGAATCAATACGACACCTCTTTCATCTTCCTACCCTTACAAAACATAACAGCTTCTGTGTCCATCTACGAATAAAAATCAGAGAACATACGGACCATTCTTTTCTCTCTTCCTCTCTTTCCCAGTGCTTCATCCTACTATGCCGTTCGCCAAGGTCAATCACAAGACCCTGTACTATAAAGACTGGTCACCCAAAGATGACTCTTCCCCCCGAGGAACACTTGTCATGGTAAGGAACCGTGATCATGAACTAGTATACAGCTGCTAAGATATCACTAGAGCCATGGCTTGGGCTCCAGTAACAACTACTACACTGCAGTGGTACCATTCTTGACAGAGCAGGGTTACCGCTGCATCACTTTCGACATGACCGGATCAGGTCTCTCGTCTTACACCTATGTTGAACAGAGTATCCACAGCCTAGCCGAGGACGTGATTGCTCTGATGGATGTTCTATCAATTGACAAAGCAGTCTTTGTTGGCCACAGCATGTCTGGCATAGTTGGTCCTGAAGTGGCAGCCGAGTGGCCAGATCGCATCCAAGGACTCATTCTAGTAGGACCTGTCTGGCCCACCTCAGATGTCACACCCGTCTTCGAGGACCGCATCAACAAGGTCGCAGACAAAGGCATGGAAGCTATGGCAGATACCGTGCCCTATGCTGCAGTAGGCTCCAAAGCAAACTCCTTGCACCACGCCTTTATCCGAGAACTGCTGCTTGGAATGGAGCCTGCTGGATACATCAGTTTGTGCAGGGTGATTGCCAATGCGCACAAATCACCACCAAAGTATGGAAAGGTTTCGTGTCCGACTCTGATTATTGCTGGAGAGGAGGATAAGAGTGCACCTGTGGCTGGATGCGAGAAGATCATTGGAGCGCTTGGCTCTGGCCAGAAAGACATGGTTGTCATGAGCAAGTGCGGTCACTGGCACTGCATTGAAGACCCGACAGAGGTTGGAAAACTGTCTGTCGAATTCCTCAAGCAGACCTTATAGAGCCAATTGTTATCGAGTTGATCACAGCAGTAACGACCAGATCGTTGGACACTTTACGCGATATCGGTTGACATGTCTGGTATGTTCAAATAAACCAGACCCTGCAGGTACCCGCTTGGTTGAGCTGCGCTGCGGGACAGTCTCCACATACAAAAACTGGATGCTGTCCAGAATGCGAAACATTGAATCAGCACACTGTTCGAACAAAGAGATGGAGCTGATGACCGGAGAATACAAATCTGATATGATTAGATGTTCCATCCCTCGAGCGACCTGCTCCAGGCCCCCAGCAACATTTGTTGAGGGAAAGGGGCGATGTGGGATAGGGCCGCAAGGCGGTGTGGTTGAGGGTTTGGATAGCCAACGTGTCAGAGAGTTTTAATCGACGTTTCAACAGTCCGAATCCGGCAGTTGCTCCTATGCCTCTATTCCAAGTCGCGATACGATGTGAGGGGAGCATATATTGAATCTCTGGACCAATAATAACAATGTAGATAGTCACGAGAAGTCAACGGCAGTTGACATGGCAGGCAGATGGTTGGCACGTTGGAAGAACATCGTACGAGTGTTTCGAACATGAAGCAGAAGCTCTTGGCGACAGGCGTTGGATAAGAAGACGTGGGAAGCTTATCCAGCGCCAGCCCCTTGAGTGGACTGATTATTTTGTAGAGACCAAAGTACCTTAGGTAATTAAAGTCGGAGTATAATTTGGCGCGCAGTCCTCGAACCAACCTCCACGTCCATCTCTCTACCCTCTTTCCTTGAATCCAACGCTGCTGTTGTTTCTTTGTTGAGCTTGTTGCTTCGTTGTTTCTTGCTAATATTGTTCTGATACCCCCTTTCTACCATACTCTCAACTTTTTCCAATCACTACGCCACAATGTCTGAACGCCCTGAGAACATCGGTATCAAGGCCATTGAGCTCTACTTCCCCAGCCAGGTTCGCGATTTGCACCGTCTGATTATGCTGCAAAGCAATCGCTAACCATACGTGTTGCGCAGTGTGTTGACCAGGCCGAACTCGAGAAGTTCGATGGAGTCAGCGCTGGAAAGTACACCATTGGTCTCGGCCAGACCAGAATGAGCTTCTGCGACGACAGAGAGGGTGAGCACGCGATCAGCAAGTGCGATTTCAGGAACCAAAATCTAACAAGTTGCCAGACATCTACTCGCTCGCTCTGACCGCCGTCTCCTCGCTCCTCCGCAAGTACAAGATCGACCCCAAGGACATTGGTCGCCTCGAAGTCGGTACCGAGACCATTCTCGACAAGTCCAAATCGGTCAAGTCCGTCTTGATGCAGCTTTTCAAAGAGTCGGGCAACACCAATGTCGAGGGTGTCGACACTGTCAACGCTTGCTACGGTGGCACCAACGCACTTTTCAACGCCATCAACTGGGTCGAGTCCTCAGCATGGGATGGTCGACTCGCCATTGTCGTCGCTGGTGACATTGCTCTTTACAAGAAGGGTGCCGCCAGACCCACTGGTGGTGCTGGATGCGTTGCCATGCTGGTTGGCCCCGACGCTCCCCTGGCTTTCGAGCCCGGCCACAGAGGCAGCTACATCACCCACGCATACGATTTCTACAAGCCCGACCTGACCAGCGAGTACCCCATCGTCGACGGTCACTTCTCCATCAAGTGCTACACTCAGGCTGTTGATGCTTGTTACGAGGCCTACAACACTCGCGAGGCTCAGCTGAAGTCCAAGGCCAATGGTGCTGCTAACGGCAACGGTGTCCACGCCGAGCCCGAGACTCCTCTTGACCGCTTCGATCACATGTGCTTCCACGCCCCTACATGCAAGCTGGTTTCCAAGTCTTACGCCCGCATGCTCTACAACGACTACAAGAAGAACCCCGAGAACCCTATCTTCGCCGAGGTTCCTGCCGAGCTCAAGGGTATGGACGTCGAGACCTCATACAGCGACAAGACCGTCGAGAAGACCTTCATGGCCCTCTCCAGGAAGCGCTTCGCTGCTCGCGTGCAGCCTTCGATCCAGGTCCCCACCATGTGTGGTAACATGTACTGCGGATCCGTCTACGGTTCGCTCTGCGCTCTTCTCTCCAACGTTTCATCGCAAGACCTCCAGGGCAAGCGCGTCGGAATCTTCTCATACGGATCAGGCCTCGCCTCATCCTTCTTCTCGTTCAGAGTTAAGGGCAGCACCGAGGAGATGATGAAGCAGATTGACCTCCAGAACAGACTCGACTCGCGCAGAGTCGTTGCCCCTGAGGTTTACGACGAGATGTGCAACCTCCGTGAGCGTGCTCACTTGAAGAAGGACTACTCGCCTTCAGGCAACCCTGAGACTCTCTTCCCTGGTACCTACTACCTGACCAAGGTCGACGAGATGTTCAGAAGAGAGTATGCCATCAAGCAGTAAATGTTTTGACTGCAAAGTGGTAGGAGAGTGGATGAAGGCATCGTGGTGAAGACAAGCACTGTCGGCACAGACTTTAGAGCGGACCCTCCGGCTGTCGAGTGTTTGACTGCATGCTTCACGGCTTGTGTCGCGAACTCTTTTTTCTTTTTTATTTCTTCTTCATCATTTTCTCGGATTACGGATGGAACAGCGGCGCATACAGAATTGTAGTAGTACTTTTAACTCGTCTTAAAGCCATGATAGTCAGAGGGCAGACGATAACGACATGAAAAGCATGCAAATACCAAGACACTTTCCAAGAACAGACTCTTGAGAGCCAAAAAAAAAGAAACCTGGCTCGGCTTGGTTTCGATAGTGTTCATGACAGGTGCAAACAGTGTTGTGCCGAAAAGAACACGGGGAGTGACGGAAGAGGCGGCTGTGGACTTGGTCTTGGTCGCTAAATCTGTCTCAGCGTCCCGTGGAGTCGATCAGAGCGCAGCGGATGCCCCCTTAGCGTTCATTCTTCTCCTTGGCACCTGCTGGCAAACTGGGCGTTTCGCTGCGACGACAAGCCATTGCTTCTGCCCATTATCTCTGCCTATCCAACACTCGCTATTCGAAATTCGTGAAATTCTCTTCTACGCCATACCTTTGCCCATCCGATACGACGAGTCAACCGAACGCGCTCGTTTTGCTGCCCTCACCCCCTCCCGAGCCCCAGGTGCCGGGCCCCGACGACCGACCACTCGACCGCGTCTCAACCACTTTTTACCACACCGTCGATTCTCCTAAAACATGGCCAACCTTCGTGATCAGCCTCGCAAGTCGACAGATGACGTTTTCGACGACGAATATGCCGTAGACGACTTTGACGGAGTCGCTGACGGCTTTGCTCCTGGCCGCGTCCACCCGAACAATGACCGATGGTCAATCCACTCCGAAGACCCGTCTATCCATAGCGTTCACGCACACATGTCGGATGCTCCTCGGTTTGCCGCTGGTCCCAGCAGAAATAGCATGCACAAACCGCGAGATGTCGAGAACCCCTTCAGCAGCACAGAGGACGATGATGACGACAATATCGACGAGCGCTCCGCACTCCAGCGCTCAACCAGTATCCAATCCTCTTCGACAGCTCAATATGCTCCTGGGATCGCCCACAGACTTAGCACCGCTTCATCATCGAGAACATATGCTCGCACCGCGAGCCCTCTCCTCGGCACCGGCGGCCCTAGTCACCCATATTCCATGTATCCTCAGGGCACCAGTGTAGCACGCACTCCTTCTGTATCTACCACTGCCTCTACCGTTCGTGCGGCACAATCTACCGCCGTCCCAAGCCAAGGACCTGCTCACCCTTACAGCATGTATCCACAAAATGTTTCTGAACACGAGGCAGCCGACACTGCTGCTCCTGCACCGAACCATGCCCAGACGGTCATTCCGGTTGGCTTCCCTGGCAGATCACAAGGCTTTGTGAGAGCACGAGGGCCTGAAGACGAAGAACAGGATATCATTGGAGTCGATGGTCATTCGGAACAACTACCCCCTTACTCCGAGTATCCTGAGGATGGTGTGCCAAAACCAGTCGTAATACCAGCACAAATGGCTACTCCCACCAACGGCAGCCGTATGCATGTTCCCTTGATGCAGCAACAGCGTCAGCCCGAAAGTATGTCAGATCAGGCCACCACTCGTGGCTATAGTGAGATGCAACAAATGAACTCTACCGACTCGGAGCGCACTCCATCAGAGAACAAGAGTTGGAGCGAGAAGTCATGGAAAGAGAAGCGGAAGACGCGCTTCTGTGGTATCCCTTTTTGGTGGATCTTGTTGTCTCTCTGCGTGCTTGCCTTCATTGCGATTGTTTTGGGCGCCGCCATTGGTGGTATCTTCGCCAGTGCTAGGAAATCAGCTGTCAAAGCTACGACCAAGTAAGTTCTCATTGTCAGCCTGTTTTCCGGTATTCTACTAACAAGCGTATCTAGGCACCATGGTAATACCACAACTCTTCTAGATGCCTCACCCATTCCTACATCATCCATAGGTGCACCACCACCGACTGGTGTTTATGCTCTGGACTTCGGTCAGCCTAGAGCCACACAATCAGCCTGTATTGTCAACCAGAATTACTCAGCCGCTTGGACTTGCAACATTTATGGCACGCCGCAGATGGCCATCAACATCGGCCTTTCACCGGACGGAAGCAACAACGAAGGTGCCTCTCTGTATGGATTCAGCAATGCTACTGGTATCAACTATGGCACGCAACCTCCCAACACGCATTTCGCTCCATTCATCTCTGTCGAAGATGATGATGAGCCTTATCGAGGACCTGCTTTCTATTTCCAGACTTTCTACGACAAGTTCGTCGTTGTTCCTGAGAGTGCTTTCCCTGCAAGCGTCGCGCAGAAGCGCTCATATATCGGCGGCAATGACTGGTTCACTCAGCACCAGGTCCAAGCTGGAGACAAGCCGTGGTTCTGCTGGTTCAATGGTACCTTCCTCGAAGGCTTCATCTATGCCAATAACTACACAGATCCGAGCCAGTCCTCGTCAACTTCATCTCCATCTTCATCTACCTCAACTTCCTCGGATGTGAAACACGCCAAGTCCTCATCATTCCCACTAACTACTTCTACCATCATTGAAGTGTCAGGTCCTTCGACAACGGCTACCTTGACTTCTGCAGTCCAGTCCACTGCATACACTTCCAATCCTTACAACCACGGTTCCAATGGTCGTAAAGCAAGACGTGGCTGGCAACTGGAGAAACGTATGTGGACGTTTGCTGAACTGTCTTCCTTTGGCTATGTCGTCAAGATCGAAGAGCGTCGTGTGCCGGACAGCGTGCAACCGTACTGCCAGCAGTTCCAAATCTTGGACAATGGCATGGCAGGCTCCCTCGATGATCCAAGCACAGGGCAGCAAATAACAGTCTATCTGCAAGAGTCTGATCCGGATTACAGCGCTTATCAACAAGAGACGTATGGCGCGGCTCCGACAGGATCGTCAAAGGTCAAGCGTGATCCCATTGCTGGCGCTTGTCATTGTGAGTGGTGGAGTGGATCTTCACCAAGCTCGTAATCTTCTCTGTTCTATTTTTGTGTCTATGATTTCTTTCCTCTTCTGGTACCAGGGAGATATCTTGTTTCCTTTGTCACATTCTGTTCTGATCGGTAAGCGAGCTTAGAAAGCGGGACGGCGTTAATCAACTATTGGAGGATCAAGTTGTGGAATATCTTGAAGAGATTCTGTTTTGTTTTTATCATAGGAAAGTAAACTGGGGTTCTCGCTTGTGGGAGATATGGCGCGTTGGTTTCAAATGGTTTCTATATCTTCTCGTACAGCAAAGTAGCTTGGTAGTTTCTTGCCTTTGAATTCACTCATGAGAACATGCATTTTATCTATTAGGAACATTCACTTCTCACCAACTTGCCGTTTGCTTGTGAAGCGTGTCTTACTACTTTTTTGCGTCAGTTGTGTTTGCTTGGCACTCACTTCATCACGGCCGTCGTAGTCGTCCGGCCGCATATTTCGTCGCGCCTTCCTTGTGTCGAGACTTCCGTCCACCACGACATCATAATAAATCAGTATTTATTCACGATGGATTCTATCGACTATCCTTCCTCGCCCACCCCATCCGAAGCCGAAATGGATGCCATGACCGCTCACGTCGAAAACAGGCCCTACCATGAGGCTTTCATGCGCGAGGCCATCAACATGGTATGCTTTCACCCTTTCCGCACATACTTTTTATCAAAAGATCTTTAAAACATGAACATGCGCTAACCCTCATCTCTCTCTCAGGCCGAGCTCGCTCTCGCCTCTGATGAGACTCCTGTTGGCTGTGTCTTCGTCCACGATGGAAAGATCATCGCCAAGGGCATGAACGGCACCAACATCACCATGAATGTAAGTAAACACATCAAGATCTCATTCGACTCGCACACTGCGCTTGTTATCCAACCATCTTCCCATCTCATCCCAACAACACTTGGTCGATCACTTCTCTTTTCACAATCATTATCTGACATGCTTTCATCCAGGGCACTCGCCATGCCGAGTTCGTCGCCCTGAGCCAGATCCTCGCTGAACACAAGCCCGAGATCCTTCAGGAGTGTGACTTGTATGTCACTGTCGAGCCTTGCATCATGTGCGCCTCTGTCCTGCGCCAGTTCCGCATCCGCGCTGTCTACTTTGGCTGCCTGAACGACCGCTTCGGTGGCTGTGGTGGAGTCATGCGTATCTGTGACGAGTGAGTTGACAACCATCATCTACATTAACTCAAGACACTGACAAGTGAACAGTCCCAGCGTCGACCCTCCCTACAAGATCTACGGCGGCATCTTCAGAGCCGAGGCCATTATGCTGCTCCGTCGCTTCTACGTTCAGGAGAACGAGAAGGGTTAGTGCTGTCATGCTTTTCCGCTTTTATTTTTAACTGCTAACTCTGAGTTTCTACAGCCCCTGAGCCCAAGCAGAAGAAGAACAGAGAGCTCAAGACCGACATTCTTCCTCTGGTCAACATGAAGAACCCCGAGGGTTGAAAGTGAAGAACGACATTCTTCTCTGAACCAAATCAACCAACCAACACCCACCTTGTACGACTACCAATCAATCCGGACCTCGTCGCCGTTTTTCCTTGCTGGCTACAGAGATTGTGCTCGTCTCTTGCATGAACCTCATCAATACCCAGCATGCAACGAACACAAAACAGACCAGACCTTCACTCACCAATTCCTACACCAAACAGCATTTCAGCAGTGTTAATAGACACCTCTTTGCCCGTCGAGGAGCGGACGAAGGAAACACTGCACATTCAAACAGCAGAACTAGGCAAAAGCAGTGTTATGGAATGCATCAAAGGCATGAGAAAGAGAGAAGAGAGATGGACTGAAGGTCTTGTTCTCGTGGAAGCAAGCACAGAAAAGAATAGCAGACGTTATCATATCCTCCAGAAAACGAGAAGAAAATTTGCCCTTCACACATATACACACATGTCGTGCATGCCAAACTCCCAAGTTTTGTTTTGATCGTCCGCCGTCTTGCTTGAAACAGTCTTCTTCCCAGACATCTCAGGTCGTGTTACCGCCATCGTTGCTAAACTACAACTACCGTCCAAGCCAGAGGTGACGTAAAGACGGTAAGGAATGTCTCATGCAGCATGAAGGGAGAACAAAAAGGGAAGGTGAAATTTTCTGCCATGTGTATCTCATGCCTCTTTGCTCCTTAGCCACCGACCCATGTCTCTGGCGATGGGGCTGGTCAGACCTTGCAAAACCCCTTTTTGAGTGTCCAAGAAAAGAAAGAAAGCTTTCAAGTGATCTCAAGAGAAGAGAAAAAAAAACACTTGGTTGATGCAGAATATCCTTCCTTGTTCTTCTTATCCAGCAATGTCTCCCTTTGCGATGCTGTCGTTCTCGACATAGTTCCAATCCCATTTCCACTCATACACAAGAAATTCCCTACTCGAAAAACAACATAGTACCAGTGTTTTGTGTAAGGACCACCATAATCCTTGTTCGGCTTCGATCGTTGCGGCGGAGACAAGAAAGGTGAGAGCAGGTTGGACCCCTGACATGCTGCGCCAATTCCAGAGGAAGAGATGTGTCTCTCTCTTCTTGTAGGGGCGGCCGGAAGGCAAAGGCGCAAGCCTCGACTTTGGCAGAAGGCCATTGATTCGGGACATCGTTGGTGGACTTCTGTGTTACACATCAAAGAAAAGAAAGAGGAAAACCATTGTGTCTGTCCGTCCAGTTCGTCGACAGAGTTCACTCATCAAGCCCAGCCACCACCACCGTTGTTGTTGTTTCCACCTGTCCATCCTTCTTCCAATGTACGATCTTCTAGCTGTCGTACAAAGTTTGTCTGACTTCGAGCATCTCTTGGTCCCCTGCTCATACGTCTTCTGCCACCGACATTGCCGACGTCACCTGTTTGCTCATTCGGAGGGGGGTAGTAGGCCGGACTAGGTTGTAGTCGGATGGGTGCGTTGGGATCGAGGTGTGATACTACGCGTTGCAATGTCGAGGGAATACCGTTCGCTAGATCCATGGTCGAGGCACGCTGACGACCAGCTCTTGTGGTGGCCTGAGCGTAGAGCGACGATTGAGGTTGGTTGTGCTGGTAGGAATGTTGCTGAGACTGGTGGCCGTGCATTGAAGCGGTTGGCGGCGGTTGCTGCAGCATTGGGGCTTGGTTGTATGCGTTGGGCACAGCGGCTGAAGGATATGGAGGAGGAGCTTGTTGCTGCTGTGTGGGAGTGTACATGTTAGAGTACATGGGCGATTGCTGGGCGTGAGGAGAAGCTGGGTAGCCAGGAGGTTGAGTGTGCATGTGCATGTTGGCATAAGCAGCGTTGGCAGCAGATTGAGCCTGTTGTTGCTGATGCTGTTGCTGTTGTGCGGCCTGAGCACGCTGCTTGGACAGAGCCTCAGCTTGCTGCTGTTGTTGGAGGCCAGGGGCAGGTGAGCGAGAAGATGAGGATTTGAGATGCATTTGAGGCTGGAAGGGGCCGGTGAACTTTTGTTGGGTGATGAAAGGATGAGTGCGAGCCTGCTGTGGCGTCCATCTCTCCAGTGGGTTGATGTTCAGGAGACCATGGACAAAGTCGATAAAAGCGACTCTGTTGTTCATTTCTGACCCATGTTAGCTTTTGTTGGCGGTCGTGTTTCCTTCGAAGATACATACCACGGTCAATTTCCGCTTGTTTCATGCCCTTACGCGGCATTGGGTAATTGCGAATAATTTCAGGAAGCGTTGTCGCGGAGAAGTATTTCTTGCTGGGTTGCTCCTTTGTGCCGTGCTCTCTCGAGTACTGGTCCATTGGCTTGAGACGGTAGGTTTTGCGACCAAACTCGTCATGTGTTTTCTCAAAGAACTCGCCTGATTGCTTGCCGACTTCAAGCATCCAGGTAGGAGGAAGGCCGAGCATCTCAGTAATTCGCGATACTTGGTTGTACTCGGACGACCCAGGGAATAGAGGCAAGCCGAGGAAAAGCTCGACGACAATACAGCCCAGAGACCACATGTCAATAGCTGCTGAATAGGGCAAGCCGAGCAACACTTCTGGCGATCTGTAGAAGCGCGATTGGATATATGTGTATACTGTTTGACGTTCGTCGCATGCTGATCCGAAGTCAATTATCTTGATGATTGGACTCTCGAGGCTGTCAAAGTGTTAGCTGTTGATCATTATACCCATGTGTAGCAATGAAACAGACTTCTTGAGTAGAATATTCTCAGGCTTCAGATCGCAGTGGATCAAGCGCGCTTTGCTAAGCAAACACAGACCACTCAGCAACTGCTGGGCGAAAACTCTCACAAGAGTGGTGCTCAATCCTCTGAATTGATTTTGCTTGATGAGCTCGTACAGGTTGACCGATAACAACTCGAACACCAGGCACAAGTGCTGTCTGTGGATGAAGGTGTCTTTGAGTCGGAGGATGTGATGGTCGTCGTTTTTATCCATGCGTCCGTTGAGCTACGCGAAGACAGTCAGCTAAGTCAAATCAACGTCACGCACGATATCTTGAAGCTCACCAAGTCTAGTACGGAAACCTCCATCATGCTCTGGTTGAAGTAGGCAGTGCGGTTCTTCACCACCTTGACCGCAACAACCTCCTGTGTCTTGAGATTCTGGCATTTTACCACCTGACCAAAGGTGCCCTGGCCAAGAACGTCAAGGATGAGGTAGCGGTTCTTGTTGTTGGTATCGTCGCTGCCGAGGATGTCGTTGACATAGAGAATATAATCGCTGTCCTCATTGTCGTATCCGTCATTCTTGGTGCCCTTAGATGGCTTGGTGAGGACTCGACGCGGGTTGCGCGAACTCTCGTATTGGAAGTTCGGGTTGCAGATTCTATATGTCGCAGGTAATTGTGTAGTCAAGGCCTGCAAAGGCGAGATGAAACCGCCATCGGGATGAGCTCTTCTGAAAGGCGGCTGAGCATTTACACGAGGCTGCAAATCGCCAATGTTGTCGCACTTTGTGAAGGCAGGGACCGGACCGCGATTCTGTGGCTCGGAATGGGACTGGTTGGGAGGAGGCAGGCGCGGAGATTGGGGACCGCTCTGATTAAATGGCGAGGGGTAGAAGTCGGCATTGGACTGAATTGGAGGGAGATTCGGGCGCGCTTGAGTAGGCGACGAGTACATGTGACGCGTAGGCGATTGTCGCATCTGCTGTGGAGTGTACTGATTTGGACTGGACACGTATGGTGAGGTGGGGGAGGTCGTGTTCATGGGCGAGTAGCGGCGGGCAGCGGCCGAGTCCATGTTGGGTTGCGACGAAAGGTAAGCGTTCCTCTGAGTAGGAGTGCGCGAGCTGGACGAGTATTTCTGGCGGTTGTAGGGATCTGCGTCTTCCATGACTCTGTCTCCGTCGTTGTCGCCGTCAAGGGGGTTGGTCTGCGACGAGGGACGGGCCATCTTGTAGGGGTCGTACTTGGGCGGCTGCTGCTGCGACGCAGCTGCAATGGAGCCATGTCGGGAGGCAGAGCCGGCCGGGTTCGCTTGCCATGACTGCTGCTGTTGCGAGTCCATGGCTGTAGCAATGGAAGCGGCCTTTGTGGTGGTAGGCAGCGCGTCTTTGTGATGATGAAAGCTGACTTTGGGTGGGATGGATAGCACGGGTGGGAAAGATGGGGTGGATGATGCGACAACAGCAATACAGGACTCGTACTGCCGCGCTACCTGTCCACGTCTGCGGAAGCTCCTGCGTCAGCCGGCAACAATTCTGCCTGAACGTGTTGGCATGGCCCACTCACCTCTTGCTTGTCCTTGGGACGTGGTGTCAAAGGCCTCGACAGCCAACGAAGCGAGCGCTGAGCAGTTGCTTGGTGTTTGTCAACCACGACCAAAGGCACTCCCAAAACGCAAGCGGGGCTCATTTGCAGCTTCAACTTGCTCCTGCCCAACGCAACATGACGCATGCATTCTTAGCTATTTCCCCTATCTTGTAACGTCTCAACAATTGTCACTCGACCAAATCAAGTAAAATACGTTCTTTTTGCCATTGCATCGTGCGATCTAGGGGGATAGAGTAAAGAGATATAAACTGTGAAACAAAACATGACAATCCTGCCCGGCTTTTGGTGTCCTTGTGCGCTGCAATAACGTACGGAAAATGTGTCACTATGAGAAGAACGCCAAAACCCATCCGCAGCATCCATTGACCAGCCATTGAACTCTTACGATCTGATGGCATTGCCCAAGACACCGCCCTGGAAGCCACCACCGCCTCTTCTGATGCCTTGGCCACCACCTCTGCCGCCGCGTCCGCCTCTGGCACCTCCTCTGCCTCCTCTCTGTGCGCCTTGTCTCTCGAACGCGTTGGCAGTGCCTTGTGTTCTTTGCTCCAGTGTCTTCTCGTTGCTCTCGATGAGGCCGCTGGCCTTGTCGCTGAGGGTGAGGGCCAAGCTTTGCAGTCTGCTGAGCTCGACTCCCTTTCTGAAGATGATGGCGCCGTTGACTTGGTCAAGGGCAGCAGCAAGCTCTTCGTGGCTGATCATCTTGCTGACAATGGCCGAGACCTTGCGCTCCGACAGCTCAAACATTGATGCAAGCTTTTCGATCGAAAGAGTGTCGTAGAAGGGAGCGTAGGTGAAAAGGTAGGTGCGCAGACCCTCTTCTTGGATCTGCTCCTCGAGCATGGTCTTGATCTTGGAGGCTTGCGGCAGAAGGTCCCAAATCTTGATAGCAGTGATGAACTCGGCAGCCTTGCGCCATTCACCCTGGGCAAGAGCCTTACTTGCCTGCATGACGTGGTCACGAGTGTTCTCAGGAGGACCAGTGAAGATCTGGCGCTCATGGTACTCTAGCATACGGCGGTAAGACTTGCTGATGACACGCTTCTTGAGGTCGGGCGAAGAGCCGACCTGAGCAAGAAGAGGAATCTCAAGCAGCATAGAGCAAGTGAGGTAGACACACTCGAGAAGCTCGAGGTTGACGTGCATGTGGAAAGGAAGCTGGCGCTGGCGCTCGATACGCTCTTGCTCGGGGGTGATTTGAGAGTAGCGTTGCATCTGTAGACCTTGGGCGAGCAACTCCTTCTGTCTTTGGGAGCCGCAAATGTCCTGGAGTGAGTTCTGGGCCTCGTAAACAAGTCCAGCGCGGAAAGCACAAAGACCGACCTGGGTCAAGGTACGGTTGAACAAGATCTGGGTGTTGACATCAAATCCGGAGATGGTCTCCTGCAAGTGCGACATGAGGAGCATGTCACGAGCCTTGTAGTACTGGTCGTGAAGGGCGAGGTAGTAAACTTGGCAAAGCATAGCACGGGCACGGATGATGCCTTCGCTGTGGGTGTAAAGGTATGTGCAGATGGCGGTGACAAGAGCAGAGCTGTCACCAGCAGCAGAGCGAGGGGTGACGGAAGAGTCGAGAGAGGCGGGGAGGGCCTTCCAGACGTTCTCCTCGAGGATGTCGATGACCTGCGAAGGCTTGAAGTAGATGTGCTCAAGTCTGCGCATGACAATGCGGTTGGCTGTCTCCTGAACAAAGTTGAGCTTCTCATCCTTTGCTAGGCGCTCGCAGTACAGCTGTGTGCGGACGATGTTGGTGTAAAGGGAAGCCTCGTCGCTGAGACGCTCGACGTATTCGGCAGTGTGGGGGTCAACGGCCTGCAAAACACGGGTAAGCTCATCATCGAGACGCTCGACCAGGGAGACGATGCTGCCAGGGATCTTGAAGGTCTCCTCGGGAGTAATGGTGGGGTGCTTCTCGTCGTCCTCCCAGTCCTCGGCGTTCTCGATGACGACCAGGTAAGGGTGCTCCTCGAGGAGGGCCAAGAGAGCAGCAATCTCTTGCTGGACAAGTTTCCACTGTTCCTGTGCCATAGTGTTACCGCTGCCGCTAGTCAAGTCGAAACGGGTCGAAACAAGAGTCAGGAGCACGCGAGCCTTCTGGTACTCGGTAGCAGCCACATCGAGCAGCTTCTCAAGGGTACGGATCTGCTCCAGACGGTCGGTGTTCTTGCGTCCTCTGGATTCGACAATAGTGCGGAGATGCTTGAGAATACTCTCAGGAGTGTAAGTTGTGGCCTTGCCACCAGCGCCAACCACGGTGAAGCCGTCATCATCAGCACCGACGATGGTCTCATCAATGATAGCCTTCTTGGCCTTCTTGGGGGCAGCAGCAGTGGGCTCCTCGACAACGTCTTCCTTCATGTAGTCATCGGGGCTGTCGCGGTAGGCCTTGATGTCGGCTTCGTGGTCACGGTTGTTCTTGCGGATCTTCTGGCGCATGGCGTTGAGACCCTTTGCGGCGATGGGGTTCATCTTCTTCCCCTTCTGCTTCTCCAGAGCCTCGAGCATGGCGGTTTCAAGGTCGGCAATGGTCTTGATGTACATCTTGGGGGCCTTGCCATCGTTGTCACGCTGCAGGACGGGCAGCTGGCGGTTGAGTTTGTCATAGTCTGGACGGGTGGATTAGCTACCGCTCTGGAGCACAAACAGCGGCATAGTAGGTGAACGTACTGTCGTTGATGACACTCCAGTCGTTGATCTTCTGGGCGTTCTCAATCAGGCGGATGGTGCCCTCGAGTTCGTCGAAACGCTTGTCCTTTGCACTCTTGACCACGGTGCGGTCGTCCTCTTCGTCGCTCTCGTCCTCGCTGGACTCGTCGCGCAAGAAACGGTTGGCACCAGTCTTGCCACCGTCGTCGTCGCTGGAATCCTCATCCGAATCTTCCTCGTCAGACTCCTCCTCGCTGGATTCCTCTTCAGACTTCTCTTCCTCCTCCTCTTCGCTGTAGAGTTCTTCCTCGTCCGAGGACGACTCGCTGGAGCTGTCGCTGCCGTAGAAAAAGCGAGACATGTTGGCTGACGCTGGTAATACACAGAGTCGAGTCGCGATGCGCGTATACTGTAGTTGTGGACTGCGAGCTTTTTCTGCCAAGACTTCGGCCGCTAACTTGCAACTTGGTTGTGTGCTGGCTGAATTTCCACGTGACCGTCTCAATGCAGTGTGCTTTCGGTACAGCCCGCCGTTCGTAGTCGATGTTAAAGAAGCAACCTGATGATAAATAATTAATTCATCCGTCACTCAGCATGTCAGGTCCTGCGCTCTCTCACTTGGCTGTACTGCGCTGGCGTGTACCCAGAGTGATTGGCTCTGTGCGAAACAACTCAACCATCCAAGAAGCACGCCAGAAACATTCTAATATTATCCGCCGCTTGCAGAGGCAAGAGCGTATCGCAGCCGCCACTCTGGATGCTGATATAGACGACTTCCTGCAACGACTTGAACCTTTTCACAAATCAAGGGCTGCAAACGATGATACTGTCAACACTGCTTTACGACAAAACAAGTATATTTGTACAGAACGACTGTATCATGACAACAACTTAACCAAACTTAGTCAAGAAATCATCGAGCATTTCGATGACTTGAAGAAGCACCTCGCGGATCTCAGGGAAGAGCCCTTCTCAGACTGGCAGCCTGGCGACTCGGATATTGTTCTCCGTCAACTAAATGATCCAAATCTCAAGCCCGGAGATCTGGAGACCGAGTTGAAGACCAGAGAAAAGGATGTCTTACGTCTTCTTAAAAAGGCCGACGAACACCACGCAGCGTTGGTGAAAGCTAGAGAAGCCTTGCGTGAAAAAGGCGTTGCCGCTGCTGAAGCCGTCGCTGACAACTTCGTCAACGCACATGTCTCCGACTATGCAAACATTGATGTCCCTTTGAATCCTGTCGACCTTGATACTATAGACGAAGATCCCTCAGCCATTCTTGCTTCGATCAGGGAAAGGGCTCCCTGAAATCAACACGGGCTGGCGACTTCACACAGTTGCACCAGGAAACTTTCGTTGTGTCTACCAGACACTGCAGAACTCGTCTGTTCTGTCTCATGGGTCGCAGAATCAACCAAGACTTCAAATATATGCAGTACCCTGCTTGGATAGGAAATTGCAGGCAAGGCAAAGATCAGCACGACTGCTCTCTGCGATGGTGTTGAATCTCAAAGAACCACGCCACGATTCAGCGTAGATTCCAAGCACACAATATCCGAGACAGATCAGAAAAGCAGTTGAACCCTCCACAATCTCTCGACTTCAACATGTCACTGAGGGAATCACGACTTTGCAACAACTCTTTCATGCGAGACACATCTTATGGTCAGTGGTATACCAATACTGATGCTGCTCGGCCTTGTTGCCATAACTTCATGGTCGGAGGCCGGCTCTCAGAGATCCACCAGAGTACATCAGCAGTTTTCATGTCTTACCATGAGTAACCTGAGCGCACCACACTCATCACAATGGTTACTGGTCCTATGCAAAAAGTAGGGGATACTTAGACATACAGCCTCTCATCACATTTAATCTACTTGTTAATGCAATATCAAATGCCAAGAACAGCAATTTCATTTTCTTCTTTTATCTTGAGTAGAATACACGAGACTTTCCTCATCGTGTAAGCTGTGTCGCCAGCAAAGCAGTCTTGATTGACAAGCGCATAATTTATATTACACCCGCGAGCGTGCCCCCCTATAAAACAAAAAACTTTTTATCTTGTTTTGTGGTATCGTGTGCAGGAAAAAACAAGACCTCCTTCCCCATCTTAAAGAAGAATAAAAGAAATGAGATTATGATATTGAGCCTTGGAAGGAGGCTGCGAGTAATAGAGATGCGCAGAAAAAAGCCACCGAGGAAAAGAGAACAGTAACAACAGTTCTCTTCAGTTGGTGGGCTTGACGAGCTTTTCCACATCGGCGCCTCTCTTGAGGACGTCTTCCGAGAGGAGAGTCTCTTTTTCTGCGTACAAGCTTTTGTAGGCGCTTCGGATTGTGCTGTCACTGACCTTTGCGACTTCTCCAATGGCTTTGGGCGATCTGACCTGATCCATGAGCAAACTGGCCATGTAGATACAAGCAGCTGCTCCAGACAAGGGCGAGCGGCCAGCAAGGGCTCCGATACTGGCCATGCCCAAAGCAAGGCTTTTAGCGACTTCGGTGGTAGCGAAGTCCATACCGAGTTGGGCACAGAAACGACTGCATAGTTCGTCGGGATTGGTAGTAACAGTCCCTTGGTAAGCCTCGTGAATGCCAACAACTCCATTGCCAATCACCTTGGCCTTGCCTCCAGATTGTTTGTCTTGCTTTGCCAGCATCGACTCAAGCAGCTTGAACGTTCTCCCAATCTCTTTCTTCGAGACGTGAGTCATATCATATATTTCTCGGAAGGTACGAGGCACTTTGTTGCGACGACATGCGATAAAGATGCAGCCGGCGATGATAGCTTCGGTCGACTTGCCTTTGAAATTCTTCGAGTCCTCTGCGTCTTTGAAGATGTGCTTGGCAGCGTCGGCAACGACGTTAGGAAGATCGTAGGAGTCGCAGTAGGCACCAATCTGCTTGAATGCCTGAAGCAAGTTTTTGTTTCCCTTGTCGGCATTGGCCTTACTTTGTGCACGGTGAAGCTCCTTGCTTCTCAGCGAGCCATCACCAAAGGCAATATTTGTTTGTAGCTGACTGCCATTCAACAGGAGATTAGGACCCTCACCGACACGCGAGGGATCATCATTGCCCTGATCATCGTTTGCGAAAGTGCGCCACTCAGCACGCTGATCGATTCCACGTTGCGAGAGAACCATGCCACAGTCTTCACAGATGACATCAGCAGCTTGAGGATCTTCGACGAGGTTGGGAGGATCTTCTTTGCAATCGGGGCATATCATGCGGACGCTAAGATTCTGGCGCCATTCATCAGGCGCCTCGACCTGTGGTTCAACATCGGGTATGGCACCCGGCGACAAAGTGTAGCTCATGATGGTCTTTGGTTTCTGTTGCGAGCTTCGACGCAGAGACTGACGGCGCTTGATGGCTCTTGCGGTGACTCTGAGATTGTATTGTTTTGCGCAGCAGCGGATGAAGAGCGGAGAATACACTTTGGCGACGGGCGACTCAAAAGAAATGTGATAGACGACTAGAGTGAGCAGGTTAGCACGAAGAAGAAGGCTGAACAGAACGAGACGATGGGCAATAGGAATTAGAGGCCAAGTTGAGTGGCGACTCGAGATGCTATGCTAGTGTAACGCAAAGCAGCATGGCTTACCCAAACATCTAGCGGCAGATGGCCCTTGTGAGGTGTCTGGGAAGTGACTAGGACTTTCTTTGCAGTTGTTGTCTTGGAACAGGCGACTGGCGAGACCAGGCAGCAGGAGCCTTCAGTGTTCCGAGACGGATGCGCAGAAAGAGCAGTCGAGCGGGTGGGCGCGTCGATCCAGAAGATGAGACGTGTGCCGAGAAGAACCGCAGATGAAGGAGAGACGGAGGTCGAGGACAAGGACGTGGGCTGATCAAGACGAGTTCGACTTGACGAGGCGTAGAAGAGGTTGTTGTTGTCGCAGCCTGCGCTGTCTCAAGGCAGGCCGCCGGATGGAATGGGTGCACGGGCCACGCGGATCACGGGATCAAACGACGACGGGCGAGTGAATTGGGGCGCGACAGCGAAAGAGTTGTTAGTAGGCAGTTGCTAGAGAAGGAACAATCATATCCACACTCCACTCAATCGCCATGCTCGGTCAATCTCTCAGGGCCTCGGTATGCCGCTATCCATGTCCACGTTGTTGCGCACCACAGATCTTCGTCCGCTGACACCCGCCGCAGCGCCAGTCGCTCCTCCGTCTTGCTAAGCAGCAGTCGGCCACCACCTTCCGCCGCACCTTTGTCACTCCCACTGCTGTTCGCCAAGGTACTTGATCTATCATACCACCCGACAATCCCGCCGAACAGCCGCTCATTGATTCTTCTACCACAGCCGATCTCGTTCAGGACCTCTACCTCCGCGAGCTTAAGGCCTACAAGCCTCCTACCGTCAAGGCCTCTGACTCCGAGGGTCAAGTCCAGAAGTTCTCTCTTCCTCAAGCCCCTGCTTCCCCCGAGGAGGCCGACATTGCCAGCCAGCTCAGCGCATACGAGTCCCAGGAGGTCGAGGTTGAGGGTCAATCCACTGAGGCCGGTGCTGCCCCCGTCGAGGACTGGTACCACTCCCACACCCATCATACGCTGCCACGAACGATTGTTACTAACCACAGCTCTCCAGGTTCGATGAGAGCGAGCTTGCCGACGAGGAGCCTGCCCACCACTAAGCTCCTGTAAATCCCGCCATGTAAAACAGTTTGAAAATACATTCAAGAGCTTGTCCTTCATAATCTCCGTCTTCTGTTCCACTCCAGTCTACGCTCCCGCAAGCGCCAATTCTTATATGCTCAAGAAATATACACTCAAATTCATCTCATGCCTTCTCATCTCCCCTTGGGCTTGTCATGAGGGTCCTTTCGGTCCACCAGCTCAGACTCGAAATAAGAACCGTCTGCTCGAGATTTCCTTATATACGCTTCTTATGAACGATCTGGCTTGAATCTGCCGAGCTCGGGCTACTTTGTACACTATCTCGAGCGAGAGTGAGACAATCTGCTCCAGTGCATGGACGGTCGATCAGCCTGTTTGTGATATGGAGATTTCCAGAAAGTGTTCATCTTAACTGAGAGACCCCCCTAGATCAATGCGAGATGAGCCTTGCTCGTCTTGCATCTTGTAATGTGATTAGATGGATATCCCCCGCACGTCGGGGCGTATTGATATTGAGGTAAGATAAGCCGCATTAAACGCTCGGAATGTTCAATCTTGCAAGGATCTTATAGCATAGATCTTCATCAATCAGGCATGTTTGTAGATACCTTGTCCGAAGCACAGAGGTTCTGATCGTGAAGACTAACTTATGTGAAGCCGGTGCCACTTGCCACTACTATCAGCCAACCAAAAGCTACCGTCTTGTCAGGACTCTTCCTCCGGACGTTTGAAAGGTAGGCAACAATGTAAATCACAACTTGTTCATATTGACATGCATGGCAGACACCGAGTCACGCAAGCCACTTCCTGCAGCTGGATCATGTAAGAAAGGTTCTGCATATGACAAGTGAGCAGAGGTGCGAAGATAGACAAGACAATGCATGCATAGCTTGATCAACGCTTTGCCAGCATGACGAGAGTTCCGCATCGATTATGCAGGTAGGAAGTTGCAAGACGTCCGTCGGGGCACCGTTGTGGCCGCGTAGATCCAACAAGGAGTCGACGACGCGTACAGTTAAGTTACTATGCATGTAGCTAAGCCGCGCCGTGGACGACGAGGACCTCCGAACTCTCCTGATCGAGGGATGCGGCTGTGTGCTTCGACCAGTACGAGTCGTCGGCTTGTGCTCGCACCTCCCCTCTGCCAATGGTGCCATATGCGACTCAGATTAATGTTGAGATTGAGGCAGAAAAGAGGCTGCTCCTACGGTGTAAGTTCCGCGAAGGCGCGCGCGATTATTGTTGGTGGGAAGCGAACGGCAGTTCAGCGGACTCTTGCTTGAGCTAGGATGTTTTGTGCATACTCAACCAGATCGTTGACAGATCGAACCAGGGTAGGGTACAGAGACCTGGAGATTGCAAAGCTGCATTTTGCTTGGCGTAAACTAAGACTTGCTTGCAACAAGGACGGCATGGACGTTGATCACGGCGTATCTGCACCGAGCGGTGTAATAGACAGGAGAGTACGAGGGCCAACAAGTCATGAACGAGACATACTATTGCAGTCTGAATATGCTAAGATGGTCGCAGAGTGACGCTAAAGTGTTGAGCTTGGACGGCAGCTGTTGCTATTTACGTTCTTGGAAAAGAAGGCACAAAGAAAGGGCCGGCCGGCCAGAAGAGAGCTCGTGCGGCAAGTACGGAGTCGGTAAGTGTCTGCAACGACGACTCGACGGTGCCAAGGTCGTCCCGACACGATTCGGCTCCGGATCTGCGATACGTTTTGCTGGCAGTGTCAGCCATGGCAACTTGCAAGCAAGCAGGCTGCACACATGACTGGGCCGCTGGTGGAGCGGCGCGCACAGCAGCAGAGTTCGCGAGTCGGACAGCAGGGGTATTGCACCTTACTGTAAAGTTTAAAAACGTCATATTGGAGAAGCGAAGACAGCGGTTTGTCGGGATGGGTTAGACGATAGATGACCATAGCGTGCCGCCGGTGCTGGTGCCCTGCTTCCGTTTGAAACGACTTTTACCTATCCAATCCCCTCTTCGTCTCGTCTCAGATTGTTCTTTTGTACCTTCTCTGTTCCTTCCTCTGACGTTCGTCCCGTCGCCTGTACATACACCCTCGTTCCCGCCCCGGTCTATATAGTATTGCCATACCCTTCAATTGGCTTTCGAACTCTCTCAGGACAATTACCAAAACCGACCATCTTCCCGCACAGGTCTGTACTTGATCCGCTCGAGCACGCGTACGCCTCGTGACAGTAATCCATCTGTCTTGGACCATCTGGAACACATCTGCGCCGTATCCCTGGATTTGGACATGGCTAGACTGTAGTCGCAGCGTCCAGTGTCTGATCAGCCCCCTTGAAACGCGAAAGGGTGGTATAGAAAGAGAAAGAGAAAGAGAATTAGCTTCGGGAAAGAACACATCACGAGCATTCAGAGAGAAGAGGACGCAGGATACAAGCTGGGATCAAGAGCTCCAAAGAGAAGAATCGAGCACATTGTCGACCATGACGAGTGTTGCCAACAACTACCAGAACCATACGGACGCGCTCGCAAACCCAAGGGCCAGGAGATCATATGTCGAGGCTTCCAACGCTGCAGATTTTACCCGTAGCGCCAGCTACACATTTTTGGGACATGCAGCAAAAAAGAATCCCGCCTACAATGCGCCCATGCCCATCACCAACCGGGGTAGCTTTTGCGAACAGGATTTGATCGCTCCCATGGTCGACGACAGCACCGACACATCGCCGCCTGAGTCGTCTGGTTGGTCGACGCCCGCTGACGATCAGATGATGCCTGTCAGCCTGCCTCAGGACCTGGTTGCCGAGCTACACAAGAGTCCCGAAATCACCGTCACAGCGGATAGCGAGCATGATCCAAGCCCACCTGTCTCGCTCAAAGAGGGGACAGCAAGCATAGATTCGGCCAAAGTCCTACCTGCTCCTGTGCTGGGCGATAGGACTCGCTCCCCTTCGAAATCAAGATCTCTAGCAAAACGCCTGAGCAGGAGATTGTCCAGTGCTCCCGTCTCACGCTCTCCGTCACCCGCCAACAGAACACGCGAGGCGAAGCCTGACGAGCCTGTCCAGAATGCTGTCGGTGATTTAGCAGCAGGAACAGCACCGGCAGCAGCAACAGCAGCAGCAGTAGCACCGGCAGCAACACCCGCAACACCAGTAGCACCAGCACCAGCCAGTCGACCGGTGGTCAACCGCAGAAAATCAATCTTTAGAAGACGAGATTCAGAGAAAAACAAGGAAGATGACACTGAAGCTGCAGAGACTGTCGGTTTTCTGGCCAGAAGAGGTACTGTGCTAAAGAGAAAATCACTCAAACCGATTGCGCCAACAGTCACAGTCAGAGCATCCATGGAGGAGCCAACCAAATCTAACCCACCAATGCCACAACTGCCCAAATCCTTCTCCACTGACAGATTACACAACACCACACACTTGCATCCTGGCTCTGCGAATCCCATGCCGCCATTGTCTTCCACCGAGAAGTATCAGACTCTACCTGCACTTTCCTTGCCTAGGAAGAAAGATGAGTTATGGAGTGTTTTCAGATCATTAGATGGCGACTACACTAAGTAAGGACATCCCATACCCTTCGGTTCTCCTGCTACCCGAGCTTACATTTTCTAGATTCCAGTCCAAGTCAAGCACTCTGAAAGCGAACGTAGTCAGATCTTCGCTACTACCCTTCCTACGAAACTATGCCGACCATCCATCGAATCTCACACTAAGAGCAGAAGACTTGGATCGACGCACAAACATCCTCAACAAGTGGTGGACTGGCCTTCTGGATATGCTTCATGGAAGAAACAATCAGTCTATTTCAGGCACAGACCGTCCAGCCATCTTGGATGGTATATCAGGCATCATGGACCGCCAGGAATGGCGCTTGTCCCCATCGCCTCTCTGTCCTCTTGATCGAAGGACCACTGTTGTGCCTGTGAGGAACAAGTCTACGACTTCCCTGTCTTCGAGCGGTCTCGATTTCTTGACCGAGTCCGTTCACCACAACGTGCGAAACATGTTTGTGCAAAACCTCAACTCACAGATGGCCTTTGTGGTTGATAGGATGTCGCTCAAGAATGCTTCTGCCAGTCTGGTAACATTCTGTGGAAAAGCTACTGCCTACGCCTTTTTCTTCTGCCCAGGAATCGCTGAGGTGCTTGTGCGCCTCTGGGACGCACCTACGGAAATCATGCGAAGAGTTCTTTCAGAAAGTGGTGTGAGCAGATTTGACAATCTTGCTGAGGATGCTGCAAGGATCAACTCGGCCTTCCCCCCTGCCATGCAGTCCTTGGGCTTTGTCTCGTTAGGAAAGATGGTCAAACATCTCAGAACACAGACACCTTTGCCACTTGGAACAGCAAACATTCAATGGTACGGCTATTGGCTCGAGCGATGGTCAGGTCGTGAAAGCGACCTTTTCTTCGCCTTTGTCAAGCACTTTCATATTCTAGTCGCCGACTACCTGCCGTCGGATGCTACCAAGAAAGAGAGAATCTGCGTCCCAGGTCTACTCTTTGTACACTCTCAGATCTTGGTCAACCTTGATTCTACTATTCACCGTGATGCTGGTCAATTACACGGTGATTCATCAAACAATATTTCTCCTACGTTTGACGACGTCCTGGTTGATCCAGACGCAGTCGCGTCAACTTTACCCTTACCACCTACTAATGCTATCCGAATTATGGCGGAAAATCGCCTAATAATGCTAATTCGAGACTTCCTATCAGAGAGAGCCTCGGAGCATCCTTTTGCTCGACAACTCTTTGCAGAGTCCTTTGCATCTCTGCTGCAAGCCGGCGCACGTGGCATATCTGTTTATGACCATCTAGCCTGCTATACCCTTTGCGATTTCTTGGAAGAAGCGTTTGCAATCATCGTTCGATACGAACAGATGCATCCCTCGCAGTCATGTCTCCTTGACTCGGATTTCTGGATCGACGTGTGCAAGAGAATGGTTTTCAGCCAAAACACCATGACCGAGATCAGATTGTTCGCCTTCCTTTACACAATCTGGAGCACGGTCAACAGCAGCCCAGAGCGCAAGACCAAGATGTGCATCGACCTCCTACTCGATCAAGAAGTCTTTGACAAGACCTTCAACCATTGGTGTCCCATGGTCCGCGCTTACTACATGCGACTACTTTGCTGGCGTGTTGGTCGCTACGATGGGGAGGAGTCTACATGTGACAAGTGCGTTGACCAAAATTGTACCTGCACTGAACAACTTGCTAATTCACATCTTTCTAGGCTGATCTTTGAGACACTGCTGCAACGTCTACAGGTCGTCTGGTCACACTTCTTGTGGCAAAGACAACAAGCCGCTCAGGGCAAGATGTTACCCCCTTCAACAACTCCTTGCAATCCTGCTCCTAGCAGACGTTTGTTGATCATTCGTACTGATACTCAGGTTGCACCGGGTGGCTCTTTCTTGGCCTTCGACGGAATTGTGCCACCGCATCCATCGGCTCCGATCGGTGCGCCCAGCCAGACATGGAAAAGAGATTCTGTCATCTCTCAAGCAGCTTCACTAGATATCCGACCCACTTCGTCGGCGTCTTCTTCTGACTTTGGCATGGAAACCGAGCGCCCTGAAAGTGGACTTCGTGGCTTCCTTCGTAACATAATGGGAGGCAAGAGCCGATCGAAGGCCGCATCTGCCTCGACGGCTAAGAATTCGTCCGCATCCGCCTCCTTGCCATCTGTTCCAGAATCCACGGCATCCGGTGGCAAGTTAAGCCGTTCAGCAACAACCGCTACCCAGGCACCAAGAGCGCGTGCCTCTGCTATGAAGCAGTCGCCTCTAACAACACCTCATGCCAGTCGAGGTCCGTCGCCGATCAGGCACCGAAACTTTTGCTTCAAGTTCTCGCTCGAGATGCAGCACAAAGCACACCACCCTACCGCCATGCGCCTAGCCCCACCTCGGCTCCCCTTGGCCGCACACCTCTATCTCCAAGAAGCCAACGATGAAGAGGTTGTCATCAAGGCTGCTGAACCCATTGGTGAGGCTAAAGCTCAATCAGTATACTCTGGCCGAGCTCTAGCTGAGTGGGTATGCATCCTAATGGAGTGCCAGGGCTTCTTCGAGCGCAGAAAGGGTGAGGGAGTGCCATCCAACAAGCATGTCGAGACACCAACTCTAGGTGTTGAGGTCTTTGGCAAGGGCAGATGATTTTTCACCTACACTTGAGCTGTCGATTCTTTGCCTTGCACTTCCTCTTGTTCATTCTTTTGTCCATTTCAGTACATAGTCAAGCATTTGTTGGATTTGGGGTTTCGTCTTTTGTGTTTCTTTTTCTGGTTGCATTGCATGGTCGGTCGTTCTGCATTACAGGAAAATCTGCCCTCTGAAGGCATGAGATATATACATGGTATTCGTTACTGAAGCAATTCAAGCGGTGATATCTTGCCGGGTCAACAACAAGCATCGAAAAATAAATTGATTCCAAGCCGCTCCAATGCCGGTATATCTAGTACCCAGCCCGATGACAGTCTGCTTTAGACAGATAGCTTTCTCCTTCAGATCTGTCTAAGTGACGAGAACTGGTCACGGACCTTACCATCGATGGTTTACGTTGCTCTTCTTCTTTTGCTTCCTTTCGGCCAATCTCGCATGCTAGAACGAGCATATAGCTAGCAAGGGGTCAGTTCCGCGGCTCTTCCAAGACTAGGAATCTCAGGTCCAGAACTCAAAATCTCGAGATGGAGCTCTCTACAGAGCATCAACCTCCTCCCAAGTTTTTTTTGCGAACGACTTCAAGATTCCCTAGATGGCAATCGTAAGGCTCGTTGGCCAGGAGCGTATCCATGTTGGGCTTCAGATAGTAGCCTGATCTTCCTTCTGTCGTGCATTCCACTACCCGATGCAATCTCATACAAAGGTCACATGGCCATGGATTTGGTGAGTCGCTCCAGTAACTCCAAGAACAACAGCAGCTCATGGTTGAGGATATCCTCATGACCGCGGAGCATTGGCGTTCTCCCTGTTCGGAGCTAAACTCGTGTCTGGCACGGTAGGTCTCGCGAAAAATGTGGTTTAGACCAGGACATGGTTCTCCGATACGCCAGGGTATAGATACTTCTTCTTGCAGAGAACTTGCGTTGCTTTGGTAGCCATTGGTCGGTTGACGCTGTGCTCATCGCCAATAGGTCATCCTCGTAGACATCCTCAGACGAGATAGCCGATGCCTCGTCTGGACGTTTAAGCTGCGAAGCGTGCTTTGTTCTCAAGGTTGGAGAATCAGGAGTCCTGGTTGGAGGCGACCATCCATAGACTTGGGACAAGCGATGGAAATTTCAATTGGAATGCACTCACCTCGTTTTGTCTAGCCTTAGGCGATCTGATTGTCACTGCTATTTGTCTAGATCTGGTAGAGACATGATACGTTTTCAGCTGGTCGGGTCTCTACACTGAGACTGTCTCTCGGCGAAGACTTGTCGCGAGACCCCAAGAACGTCTCAGCTTGGCAATGATGGCAGTGCGATGGGAGCAAAAAGAGAGAGCAGTTGGATGCCAATATCGCCAAGTTAATTTTTCGTGCGGAGGCCCCGGCACCCCGGAATGACTTCTTATTCTGGTGATGGATGCGAAGACGCGTATGTCATGATGGTCGCATGTCAATTTGATTTGTGACAGATGAGATAGGAAGTACCGGAGGGTACGACTTACGACTCCAGGTCTGGGACTTCGAGAGATACATCGTTCATGTTAGATGGTGTAGTAAGTTACCCTTTCAAATACTTGCACTGCCCAGATCAAAGGCAGAATGATCTTAGAAGATGGCCAAATAGGGCCGGTGGAAGGATCTGCTCGGCAAATAATAGGAAAGATACGGCGCGCAAAGCAGTTACAGAGCTGAGAATGCCGTTCGTATCTCGTTCCTGCCGTATTCCATTTTCCCCGCATCACCCGGCGATAAATGGTCGCCGATGTGTCAATCATCAGTTGCAATCGCGATATGGGCGACATCTAACGACTGCTTCAATTCGCTCGAATCTGAGACGCACGTCGTTATTACCCAGTCGAGACCGCGGACGTGGCGGAGGTAGCACATTCAATCTCACCAAGGACCCCTAGTCGCGTCATCGAAGTATTGTCATTCTCGGCGACCCATCCGGGGCGACTGGGCACACGCGCTGCACATGCAGGATCGTCGTCGAAAGTCAAGCTTAACAACAAGTGTGGCGCTACTTGTCACCGGCCGCGGATATCTTCTCGCCCGTTTCTTCCACGAACTGTCCGCTGTCGCCCATAATTGTCCCCTTTGTCCCTGCCAGCCTTCGCATCCATATTTGTACTTTTTGCGAGAGCATGATCGCCTCATTGTCTCCCATTGTCCTATAACCTATCCTCTCTGGCCTTGACGCTGAACACACCCCACTACGTTGGTAGCCATGCTTAGCCAATGGCTATTGTCAGCAAGTCTGCTCGCGGGCGGAGCAACCGCCTTACTGATTCAACCAACGAATATCACCCAAAATACTGATGTCGTCGACCTCATCGTGGGTAACATTGATTTCGGCGCGGTGCAACCCCTGACCCAAAGTGCCACTGTCAAATTGAATGTAATTATCATCTCTTCAGAACAGGTTTTGTTTCCAAGACGGACGCTGACACGCGACATAGGCGGGTATTCATGATACCATTTACCATGTAACGACACAGAATCGGGATAGTCTTACCGGCTCAGAAATTGCCTACATATCCTGCGATTCCAATGATTATACTGGTTTCCTTTCTTTGAATGATGTCTACTCAACAGCACTCGGCGTTAACGCCTCAGCTATCATCCTCTATAGTTTGAGATCTGAACAATGCAATCTCACCGATCCGGAAACGGCATACCAGAGAGTCTTCTCAATGTCGAACCACACCAGAGCTCAGGATGTATTAAACGCTATCAACAACGAGCCTGGCGTATTGGCAACCATCCAGTATACTACAACCTCGAATCACAACAACGCCAGTAACCAGCAGAACCCAACAGCCACTTACGGATCTTCTCCTACCACAGCAGTTGCCATGATCATTTTGTACAGTGTGACTGGTATTATCACGGCTTTATTCCTCATCATTATCATTACGGGAGCAATTCGAGCACATCGTCATCCAGAGCGTTATGGACCGAGAAACGTCATGGGAAGACCTCGACAAACCAGAGCTAGAGGTATCGCTCGCGCTATGTTGGATACCATTCCTGTTGTCAAGTTCGGCGAGCAACCTAAGTCAGATCCAAAGGTCACAGACGTCGAGTTGGCGGATAACGATACACCTGTGATTCGTCGCTCGGTTGAGAATGATGGTACTCAAGAGACAGAGTCTCACGACCAGGCCGAGCCAAGACGATCAATGGCATCTGCTCGTTCAGGTATCGGTGCTGCAACGGGACATGCTGACTCTGATGCTATTGGAGCAGTGGCTCCCGCTGATTCGGGCGAGGCTCTGGGATGCTCGATCTGTACTGACGATTTTGAGACTGGACAGGACATCCGTGTACTGCCTTGCGACCACAAGTTCCACCCAGCATGTATTGACCCTTGGTTGTTGAATGTCTCGTCAACTTGCCCGCTGTGCCGTATTGACCTTCGCCCTGAAGGATCCACCGACACAGATGCGGCGGCCACCGAGGCAGGCGAAAATGGCGACTTGCCTCCTCCCATGAATGGCTACAATGGACAACCCTACCGCGTCAGCATGCGTCGCAGCTTGCTCATCGGACTTGGACTTGACCGTGGACATCTCGACCAGGGACAAAGAATGGCCGCAGCACGTGAGCTACGTGAACTTCGCCACGATAACCTTGATGGTGTCGAGGGCACACAGCAGGAGCAGGGTGAGGAAGGTCGTCAGCGTCGTAGATTACGAGAGCGCTTCGGAGTGCGTACAAGAAGAAGAGGACAAGCTGATGCGCAGGCGCAGGCAGTTGCTGCCGTCGCTGAAGAGACGGCTTCGACTGCTCCATCGGCAGGTCCAGAGGTTGACAATGCAGCGGACCAGCGTCCTACCACGACTTAGATGCATTGTCGACGGGATGATATTACATGCTACGAGGTTTTTCTGAAGGTGTCTCTGGTGTTTGGGTCTGCATGGCAAAGAGCGAGTGATGATTGAGAATGTGGTTGGACGTTGCTCTTGCATCATCAGGATATGGGTCATTGGAGTAAGGCATGGCATTATGTATTAGTACGACTGAATGAGCGAAAATGTTTCTCCTGGATCTACTTGTCTCTCTGCAGCAACTGATGTGATAGTAAATCGTCACCTCTGTATGATGTGGCCCGTGCATCAGATGCTTGTCCAGTGACGAAGGCGCTTGGAAACAATTCAGCCGCGCGACGACGAAGGCACCACATTTTCCCACACCCTCATCTTGTCTACACAACCAACAAGATCATACACAATGGCTCCCAAGCGTGCAAACCAACAAGGCGCCATCAGCCAGGTCTACACTAGCCTCGCCTCGCCCGACAACCGCTCCGTCGTCACCGCCGTCGCCTTCTTCGCCGTAAGTGCTCTTTGCATTGCACCTCCTTGAAGAAGCATTCTAGTTATTGCAAGAGGAGGAACACAAACCGTAGAAGAGACAGAGGACTACAGACTATGCTTCTAAAGGGGGGGGTGAAGTGCTTGAGAAGAGAGACAAGACTGATTGAAAACCACAGGCCGGTGTCGCATTCCTGCACAGCAGCTGGAGCGAGATGCTGCTTCCTCCGTAAGTCACCTTCGCCCTTCTCTGTACACGATCTTTCTCGCTTGGTTCAGGACGTCAAAACCTACCATACCATACGCCTTCTCTTGGAGACCCAGAAGCTTACATCACGCGCAATTGCAGTCTTTAAATGCATTCCGCATCAAACCCAACAGATATGACGCGATTGTAGGACTACGCCTGGAAGAGGGAGAGGGGCACACACTTGTATAAACACACAAAACATCGCGCTTTCTTTTTTCATGAATAGGGAATGGGCGTTTTGCTTCTACAAAAGAGGAATCCAATACTTTCTCCATCATATCGACTACTCTTCTACAATCAGTTAGTGGGAATCGAAAGACTCAGGGAGTCTGGTCAAGTGCAGGTATGGAGGTTTGCATGACTTCCGAGTGACTTGTTTGACTAGAATGTGGTTGTTCTCTGGACTGTCGGTTCGCGCTTTCCTTGTTGAGTCTTAAGTCACCACAACGTTACTGCCTTTTGTTGATTAAAGTGCTGACACAAGATCATGTACAATTCGCTCTTTCATAGCGTATGGTTTCCGATTGCTCATCATACAGATTGACAGCCATTCCTGAGCACCAAAAACATGCGGCCCTCGCGCCTTCCAATCTAGTACTGTTGTTGCCTGGGTCAGCACCACCTGCTCCACCACATCCGGAGCCATCGTTCCTTCCAATCAAGAACCAAATTCGACCTTGGTGCAGCAAGAGCTAGAGCCACGGGTTTCTCCATTGACTATGTCGCTCTTTCCTCCAGCTACCAGCTCAAAGACACAAAATCTCGTATTCCTGATTTGTTCTTCTTCTGCCATCTTACATCTATCCATCCAACATCATCATCGAGCCCACAGCGCATCTATCAGCGACGGTGCAGCCACGCGACACGCTTAACTCTGCTTTCCTTAAGGGGATCGTGAGACTCGAATCTACCGCTCAAGCATCCCTCTGCTGAAGCTTTCATGCCGATGCAAGTCTGCTTGTGCGCTGTCGAATCGGGGTGTGTGGAGAAGCGAGTTGCTCGATCAAAATATGATGACTTGCGTTCTGATGATGTTGGTTGGTGAGGGATACTCAAGGTCGAACTTGTCGAGATGAGTTCAGATTATTGATGTTTTATCGCGAATTGACATGGAATGTGACCTTGACCTCTAGGTGTATGGATCCGTTCGATGTTGTTTGGAAGCTGCACAATATCCTGGCTTCTACGGCGATGATGTCTCCACGGAGCCCTTGCTACATGGCGGGAACAATCATTGACTTTTCCTCTTCGCCAGTCCACTCAATGGTCTTCACGCAGAATGCTTCTCTTAGTACCCTCGCCGGTCTTCGGAATGCTATCTGGGTGATCATTCGGATCAGAGGCCTCCGCTTGCTTTGCGGCAGACTTCTGGCTTATATCTATACTGCCATGATGTTTAACTTTCTGCTTGATTGTCTCGCTCTTGACAACGCAGAAAGCATTCGTGCTCTCCTGCCAACTCGAGGTGCTTATGGCGAAACGATATACCTCGTTCATACCCACGACTTTAATGGTCAACGTTTCAAGCACTGTTTGCTGCATAGGCCCACTTGCCTGTCTGCCGACACATTGACAGCACGCCGGTACGGAAGTTGACCCGTTATTCGCCAGTGCACTGCCCTTGCTAAGACGTCTATCTGGTTTAGGCTTTGTGCAGGATATCAGAATCGACAGATGTGAGCTACCTCGACTGGTCACGTTCTTTGTCGCAATCATATCAAAGAGCAGCTGATATATATTCACGGGTAAGATACACAATGCTGACAACCACTGACAGCCGGACTTCGAGACCCTTCATTGCCCACGTCCGCTCTTAATATTGACTCCGGGTTCTTTCTCTGTATGCTCACCCGAGCTCTTTCTCCAATAAGCTTTTATCTGCGTGGTTGCAAGGCAATCTCACCAATCGCATGAACCCTCAGAAAAGATGAGCACTAAATTATCTTCGGTCATGGACGCCGTTCTCGTCCTCGATGTGGGTGTCACGGCGGACAGTGAGAGCTCCTAAGAGTTCGACGCACTTGCATCGCTAGTGCTCCTTATCTAGGTAGCCGAGACCTTACGCATCATGATAATTAGGTTCAGGCGATTTGTGACAGTGTTCCATACTTCTCTGTATTGAGCTGTCACTAAGCACAAGAGTGTAAGTGCATGTGCAGGCAGCAGACAAGCAGCCATGACTCAAAATAGTCCTTGTTGTGTCTGGTGATGCTACACGACTGGTATTTGCGAGTGACGCATCAGGTTGCCTCAAATTCATCTAGACTACCGAGCCAGCGAATTTGTTATTCGGAGCCGAAGATCCACTCTTTGGTGTCTGGTCCTCTTTCTTTGTCTTTCCTGGTGAATGCCAGATGCACTATGCAATCAAATTCCTTCGTGGCTCAGTCATGAGGAACGAAACTCATGGCTCTGAAAAAATAATGGACTCATGACCACCTCTGCTCCAACAAGAGATAGCAGATATACATCAGAATAGTATTCGCTTGATTGACTACTCGACAGTAGCGGAGCATTTAGGGTTGACATATCTTCGCTTGACTCAAGCTTGACAATATAATGCTTTCCGAATATCCTTCCACGGACATCACAAAATAGCAACATGCTTGTCACGATTCTCGTTTGTTAATAGTAGCTACTATACCAACGACAATGACAGAAACTTGTATGTCAGGGCCCTTCGATCATTGTCGACAAGCATCAGTATACTCATGCCAGGGTCATATGCTCGTCAGCCCAAGCACGAAGCACGTCCGAACCTCGGCCGCCACTTTTCCCTTACCACAAACTCCACGCATCACCAGATGCTCGCCAACATGGCATTGACTCTTGTGAGCTGTCGAGACCATGCAGATCACTTGATCAAGTGACGGAACGCTGTCAATGACAGACGGCAATTTGTGCCTGTGGCCCGAGGATGTCGCGCTACAACGCCGAGGCAATGGCGATAATAGTTAGCGATAGATAATGCTTGCTTTTCGGACGGCTAAACAAGTCAAGAGAGTGTTTAGAGTTGTTCCGAGGAAAGAGCTTCGGATGTTGTTGCCGCGATAGTTGCTGTCAGGGACCCTGATGCTTGAGCATTGATGCTGCCGGGATGCTGCTAGTCTTGAACTTAGAAGCGAGAGCTGTATATGCAACTAGGTGATCTTGACGACTCGACCGGGATCCTCCACTAGAGATGTGGTCTATGTTGAACATCTTTCTGGATCTGTGCACCTTCAAATGACACCTTTCCTACCGCAAAGAAATCTACTGAAGCGAGAAAGTAGCGAAGACGACGTGCAAGAAACATCTACCTAGCAGATCCCGACTGGTAGCTACATATGAAGTATAACGAGTATGGTCCAAGGCCGCTGGGGAACATTAATAAAGTTCTGATCCTTGACTTCACACTACCCGTCTCGTTCTTGCTGGAAATACAGAGTTGTACTCTTGTGGTGCAAGGCGACAAACCATGACCTACCTTGAACTCTGCGTGACCGTGACAACAATAGAAAAGAGAAGACATACCAGTTGTTGCGTTGCCAAGCAAAACTCGTCCCTGTACTTAACCTCTGTTAGAATGTTCCATTAAGCAATTCGCAGAAAGAAGAAATCGTCCGCGAATTGCTACCTCTCGGTCTTGCTCGCTAGTACTTGGATGCATTGCTTGATTCCAGTTTCAATCCTTCAGAACACTGCTTCTGCAAGCCGTAAATGGCGACAACACGACTATCGAGGCTGAGATCGAGATTGCTATACCATGGTATGTTATCAGGGCGAGCCAGATTGGATTGCATATTGGGAGATCTTGCGAGTATTGGTCCGAACCGACTAGACAATAAGCTAACGTGTCTTCGATGTCCAATCGTAGTGTCGTTCCTCCAGGAGTTCATTCAGAAGCATCGAGACCACGGACGCTTGGTTCAGAATAAGACTCGGAGGCAATAGGGATTGCTCGAGTGTACGCCTCTTCCTAAAACCGGCGAGCGCTTGGGCTGAATTCGGATCATATTCTGCCGAGCGTTGTTGTAAAACGGCCGGTCAGCAAGACCCCGTAGGAGTAGCAGAGTTGTAACCGATATTGTGACAGATCAAACACTTGAGGGCTTGAAGAGTCGTTAATGGCCAGATGACTGGTAACCAGTAGGCATTAGACCGAGCGCTTGACTGTTGTTCGGCCATGTCAAGGATAGGATGAACCCTCAACGTCCCGGATCTTGTGTATGTATACACCGAGCAAGTCCAGATTCGAGCGTGTCTCACAACCCCATATCGTTCCTACGTGACATGGCGGAATGAACGTATACCAGCCTGTCAGTACTGCGAGAGAGATGACAGAAGTGTAATCGCAGATTCCTATGAGCATACTTTACTCCTGTCGGCATCGAGCCTTAAGCATTGGCGATGGAGGCAAGAATATACTGTGGATATCGATATTCAGTACTTAAGATAGCGCCGGATACTTTTGCTGGTACACGTTGTCCTCGCAGAGCATCTGTGATATTCAAGAGAGACAAAGTGATTCGCAAGATCGTGTGTGTACAGGCGATCGTGGTGATCATAGTAATCGCAGAAGTCCGATACAATATTGCCAAGCATTATGCTTATGGCAAACGTCTGCTAAGATTGATATGAGACACTCAGCGGTCTCTGACGGGAGGCAGAAACCAAAGCTTTTGACCATGTTTGCAATGTCGGTCGGAACATATACCGATCGCATCTATAGGTTCGGGGTTCGAAATTCCCTAAAGGACGACAATGTGAACGTTTTGCGCCATCAACTAGTCTTCCTTGCGCTCAGGATGCGAGATTCTTGCTGTCGGAGCTTGGCTGAACTCAGTACCGATGAAGTCCAATCTTGGTAAAACGGCCGCACATTATCGTGATAACGGTGACTGGTATCGTTGAATGCCAACTTGGCTCATGTGCAGAATGTTCGGTAGGCGCAACAATCGATACGTGACAAAACAACCAGAACTGGTCAGCTGTTGAATATACAGCATCGTGTGAATCGAAAGTCGCTTTGCAGAAACTAGCGGGTTGTTGTAATGCTGCAGATTGAGATCCAGAGAACATGTATCTCGAGCATTGGTCGATAGTGACAGAAAACATTCGTCTCGAGCAATCGTCTTCCAGATCGTCGTCGCATCGTCTTCGTGACAGGGAGTCTATACCATTTTTTGAGATACAAGTTTTGAAAAGAGTGCACTGTGATCTTCTTGCATGACCGTTTCAACGGCCAATGTTAGTTGCGCCAGGCGCCATCAACGTAACTTGACGGTCATCGTAGCGTTGCTGTACATGGTACAGAAGGACATTGTTGAGTTGTGCAGTGAGTAGAAGAGTCTTGAGGATCTGTCGATATCAGTTCGGGGAAGGCAGATACAGTAGAGGTGTCTCAATGATCTCGCAAGGTCGTTGGTGGTGAGCTCGTGGCATCATTCAGCTGGTACTTCGCGCCGACGACTTCGACAAAATTCGCAAGCGATCTGCTGGAAGCAGATGTGGTACGCAGATCGAAGTGTGCGAAGCCTTGGCGGAAGTGTATACAGCTTGGATATGTTGGCACCTTGGCCCTTGGCTGTTTGTGTAAGAAAACTAGCGGGCAGCAACCGTCCGCAAGCCGATGCGTATTGATCGTGTGGCCAGGTGTTGAGCTTCAGATTGAGTATCAATCAAAGGTCAAAGGAGTTGCAGGCTAGACTGCGCCCCTGTCTTTGATTGATCACTGCGCCTTGTCTTGAAAGCAGAAGACCAAGAACGCTTTCGTCTTTGTGGGGGAGCCCAACTAGGCAAACAGTCAGCCACGGCTGCCAAACTTGGAGTTTAACACTGTAAGTGGATTTGAGCCAAGCCATAGCCGTGCATAACTCAAGCCCCTTGACTACTGTTGATTCAGATCAGTATTGGTTCTAGACATCAAGAAGTCGAAGTTGTATGATGAAGAATGATATGGATATCGTCCTGTACACGTCAAAAGTGAAGTGGAAGAATGGTATGATTGCGACATAGACGACCATTACTCGGATTTGACGTCTTCCGGCTACTGCGGCAGTGACGCTGATGTGATCTGCTATGCATACGGACAGAAAAGGCTCCGTGAAACAAGGGCACCTTTCTCTGCTTTTCTCCACGAAAGTCAAAGAGAAAAGGGTCCGATCGCAGCGGCGCAACAACTCACCGACTGCTTGGCTGCAGAGAAGCAGGAAACGCCGAAACGGTACGCTCGCGAATACGGCGACACAAAGGTCCGAGTGCGGCGGCCTGTTGTTGCTGTGAAGGTCTTGGTTGCGGTCAGAAGAACTGCTTGTAAGGTCCGAGCCACCGTTGCGACAGTCGCCGGATGCGCTCGCGAGATTGTCAATTTTGTTACAGGCCCTGGTCGGTCTAGGCCAAAACGCCAGTAGTGCTTGCGAATAGGAAAGCATGGCTTCGTTGCGATACTCACGATATGGGAAAGTAAGGCTATTGCTTCACGCCTGATCAACGCTCCATTGCTCAATTCTGGCAGGGGTCCAGAACAGAAATGCCCTCAATGGTTGCAACTGATTACAATGGATGATGCGACGATTAACAATACTGTTTAGCATGTCGCTGACAATTGATTCCTCATCTGAGGCAGCTGTGGAAGAGTCACAGAGGCTGCTTGCTCAGCATTGCTCACAGTATGTGTGAGGAACAGATGCGATTGGCTGGGTCAGATTACTCATGTCATGACTTGTACACGGCTTTTGCGGCATGATCCTGCAGGTCGATTCTAAATCCGAGGCGGAGCGGTCGGCGGTGTCTTCTTTCCTGCGCCCGGCGACGGTTGGATTAGAGTTCAGATCATGAACGGAAGGGAAAACGTCTACCTTCCGGAATGACAAAGCCCTTGAGACCCGACTCTGGGTGCCTGAGCACTGGTATTATAACTCCCATCGATGTCCGGCTGACAGTAGCTTTTTGTTTCATCACAATCACAACCAGCGAACAATTGAACATCAACTACTATAAACATAGAGGGATTATCTTCCCCAGGCTTTGATCATCACTGGATAGCAATACTATCTGATTGCCTTTTAACACCATCAGCCACTCGCCTCTCATTGGCTGTGAGTAACCATTGCGACAGATTTGGTAATCACCAAACTGACTCATCTATTAGATCACCATTTTTATATAAACAACATGTCGACACAATCATACTTCCCTGGATCTGCCGCATCACCAGCAAAGAAACAAAGAATGTCTCTCACACAAACATACTACATTGCCTCCACTGCGAGGAGCAAGCTTGGCCGCGAGGCCTCGCGTGCAGACCACAACCTCAGACTCCTTGTTGGCCACGCCAACCTTCTTGACACTCTTATGATCGAACTCCAGGATGCAGAGAGGGAGCAAGAGGCCTGGTTCAACGAGTCTATCAAGGCTAACAAGCCCGACCCTGCTACTCACCATGTTCAATGGATTGACTCTATCGTCGAGGAACTTGAGGAGGACTCATCTGATGAGGAGAGTGACGACGAGGACTCATTCTACGACGAGGCCGACGACTTTGTCCACGCAACACCATCAGCATACTCTGTCTCAACTGTCGAGGTCGATGATGACGAGTTCGAGGAGGACTACGAGTACGACGAAGAGCACGCTCTTACCAGAGTGGACTCTCACCCACCAGAGCTTGTCCACGGCGACTCAGACTCAGAAGATGAGTCTATGCCACCATCACCTACACAAGAATCAATGGACCTTCAGGAATCACAACACGCTCAACCTATCAAGACAACACCATACCTGAACAAGATGGACCACTCAGATTACCTTGGCGACAACATTGTCTTGACGCAACGGCAATCACCAATGATCAGCGCCTACTAGACGCTCTTCACTCTTCTTCGTCTATCTTGTCCAGCGTTCAAGCGATTCTTGTTCTCATCTCTTACAAATTTTCATGGCATCACGACTAGGATATCCCGGCTTGAAGCCACGGCGTTTTTATGATGATCTTTCTTTGGGGGGAAACCGGAAACATCTCTTCTTTTACTTGAGTTGAGCTATGAGCTCCTCTTTCTTATCTACAGGCTTTAGTTGCCTCTCTAATCATAACCATCTTCAACCTTCACACCTCTCTCCCTTTCTTGTGATCAATGTGCTTTCTGATTGTTTTGTCTGCCTTATTTCCACTTATCGCTTACACTGACCACGAGCACTAATCGCCGAGTAGATCAGGCTCCTACAGGATGCTTCCTCAAATGTCCGCCTTAACCTCGCTTGTGACCGGAGCCGGGTTTCCGAGGATGCAGGTCGCCGAGCTTAAACTTTTTCTTGCCTTTCTGGCGTCATCAAAAAACTATCCTCCACACCACAGAAGATGCGATAGACAAGATCGTCTCTGTCAATCTTTACTCTGTCCGACCCAGCGCCGAGAGAAGGCAAAAGAATTTGCAAAGGATCTGTTTTTTTTTTGCGTGCTTATCAAGACAAAGACAGGGCTCGCGCTTTTTCTTTTTGGCTGACATATCTCGCAATATTGATGTTGTAATCGATGTCTCCGCAAAGAAGCCGTGCAAAGAATGCGTTGGAAGCGAGGATAGAACAGTTTTTTTTTTCTTCCCTTCCCTTCTTTCTAGAGCATGCGCACGGTGTTTGACTGGTACAGATGGTTGTCACGCGAAATCATACTCGCCGTTTGATATTTCTTCGCGACCTCTTGCTACATATGGTTCTTGCTCCGAGTCCGTCTTGGCTCTTGCAGTCTTTTGACCCTTTTGACCATGCAACGAACGACTCGGTTGCGACTCGCAAGCGAAAAAGGCTGTTGTCGGCACTCGGAGCTTCCGATTCAGCTTTGCCGAGCGCAGAGTTCGGATCCGCTCGTATCGTGTCTCGTATATCTCTTGGCTTTTTTCGATCTTTTCTCTTTTGACAAGGGTCTGGTATGAAACCGCCAAGGGCTTGTGCTTTCTGTTTGTGTTTGCGTCTCTCTTGAACAGAAAAGAAAGAGAAACTTGGCATAGAAGAGAAAGCATCGGCCAACAATACCAGCATCAAATCTCGGCCCACCCTGCCTCCCAGCGGTACAGCTTTTTCAGGTTGCCTAGCCAGGTGTTGCTTTGTACCAGTCTTTTCGCTTACCGTCCCCTTGTTGGCTGTCTGCTTTTTGCTTTGCGGTGTGTGATTGCAGATGCCAGCAAGAGGTTCCTCTGTCCTTGCGTAGTAATTGTCGACCAAACAGCTAGCGGGCCCACCAAGACTACCAACAGAACAACACACTCTACCATCTCTCACCGGTTCGTCCGAGACCCGGCGATGTGGACTGAGTGAGCACAACACATGACCTTTGAATCCTTCCTCCGCTGTGTCCGCACTGCCCGCTGATGGGCAGCGCAGGCACTGCGGAGATTATGCATGCCAGCAGCAGCCTTGCTCGCAGCGAACTCGGTGCCTGGCATGCAGAACCCCGCGTGTCTGTCTTCCTTCGGAGGATTTCGTAGCTCTTCGGCGGAGATAACAACATCCATGCATCCATCCTTTGAACCATACTGTTTTACACATGCTGTCAGCGGATGGATGGATACAAGCTCTCTTTGTGACTCATCTGGTACCAGCACCACCTAAATCTTCTTCGATCAGCAGTGACACCGAACACCAAATCCGTAAATTTGGGAGATGCTCGTGCTTGCCTTGCCATCCCGTCAGATTGGGCGCAAGCGGTGAACAGATGCTTGCGATGCTCTCCACACGATCTTGCTAGGTTCCTGCATGGATCAGCTGAAGCCCCCCTTGTGGCTGTGTGCCTCGTTCGCAGGGCTGAAGAATGTTGGAACTTGCGGTCTTACGTGACACCACCCAAGGACTTTAGCTCCGCCCACGTTTTCTACTTCCGGGATGTTTTGGTCTGACCTCCTTGAGGGTGCGACCACCAGTAAGCAGGTTGCCTGTAGCTACGTACCTTGCGTATGATCTCTTACTTGGTCTGCTGCCTGAGACCCACAAAAAGCTACTGTACGTTGGAAAGTTGTATCTACACCAACATCAGATCAGCAGGATAGTTGAAAAACGACTGTTCTGAATCTAGGAAATGGTTGTTTGCATGAACGATGAGCAGTTTCCTCTCTACTATCAAATGTTATTTGCAACTTGACACCTCCGAATCCTTGGTGTTTGTTGGAAAGCTTACGTGCGATGAAGACTGAGAACAAGGTAGTCCACGACATCGATTACCATTCCCTATCCGCAAAGCAGTGTTTGTAAAACACACGGCACAGTGTTGCGAGGTCCGTCACAAGGCAGACGATCTGATGCAGGATTCCAATACTCATCGTTCGATTTCTATACAGCTTGAGGTCTTAGCATCGTCAAGAGCAGATACTGCAGAGGTCAACACCAAGAAAAGAGCCGCCAGACAAGCAAAAGACGATGGAAGGAGCGATCAGCAGTTGTCAGTTATACCCATCACAATAACATCTCAGTTCGGCTCTCCAAACTCCCCATTGGCGCCCGACCACGTGAAACGTCGTAGGACTCTTGAAATCACGAAATAGAGACAACGACACCGGGCCAGTATCTACGATGGGTTTCAGACACGATCTCAGATGCACCTACTGCATACCAAAGTACTTGAAGAACAACATGAGTTTTAACCTCGAGTTGGCTGCTGTGGAGATGGTCATTAGCTATCCAGATACATTGACCTGTTTCCGCACGGTGGTGGCATCATTGGCGAACTGTGAAACGAGCCAAAGGTGCTTAATCGAGTTGGTAGCCTGTCGAGACGCATGATGCAGACGCATACGACCTTGACTCGGATAGTAAGAAAGTTTCCAGACATGTCTCTTTCAAAGGCCAGACACATGTACGCTGCAGGAAATCTGGTATCGAGCCATTTGATTGAGCCAAACGAGTTACACTTCTCGGTGTCTTAGCTTCCACATGCAGACAACATGCGAATGAAGCTTGCTACTACTTCGGTCTCTTATGAAAAGAAGAAAAAGAGAAGATGTATTTCGCCCCTTTTATATATTGGGAGACAACTGATCATGAGCGACCAACGACTCAACACTCTCGATACTAGCCTGCATGAACTTTCTCGCCTCGAGGCCAGCCCACACCTTGATCATCGAGAGATCACCTCCTTTGAGCATACTGCCTGCACCTCCAGAGGTACCCAATTGCCTCAAGATGGGAAGAGCCCTGCAGAAAGAAAGTAACGAGTCAGCTTACCAATCCTCAAAAAGTAATGAAGATCCAATGTCTACGAACCCAGAGAACAAGTCCAAGTCAGGATTTAGGCTGCGGCCGATGCCTTCAAGAAGGAGGATACTCAATACTACGTTGACAAAATCGCCTTCGAGTCTGACGTGGTGACCGCGGACCATACTCAATACTTCATTCAAGATGTCGCCAATCTTGATGTTTCCAAGAGCAAAAGTGCGGCTCTTGACGCCTAAGACCAGATGTTGCATACGAAGAGCAAAGACCTCTTTGTCGATGACGGCAGACGGTTGGCGACAACGCTCCACCATCAGATGTCCCGCTTTGTAACCATCGAACTCGGCGACAGCCTTGAAGAGGTCAAGGAAATTACGACGATTGATGCCGTTCAGCTCAGTCACTAGACCAGTGTCGATGAAGATGAGTTGGGGACGGTAGCCTTCGTGATCAAGCTGATCTAATGTCTGAGCCCAGTCCTCCTTTGACTTCCTGTGCGGCCTTAGACGACCAAGAACTTCTTCGGTTACGTCGGTCGATTGCTTGGGATCAGGCTTTGGTCGGCTGAAGAAGCTACCCTTGACGTCGATCTGAGCGGGTTTGTAGAAGCGAACCATGATGTTTCCAGGATGCAGATCGGCGTGGATGAAATTGTCGATCAAGAGCATGTGAAGGAAGGCATCAAGACCTTCGTCTGCGATTTCCTTCTGGAAGACACCACCACCGTTTTGCAAAAAGTCCTCGAGAGGGATACCCTGAGCAAACTCTTCAACTAAAACCTGACGAGAAGTGTACTGAGTGTATGGGTAAGGGAACCAAGCGGTGGTGCGGTTGCGGAAGTTCTTTCGGAAGATGGTCAAGTTGGCGGCCTCGATACGAAGATCAAGCTGCAAACGCATCATTTCGCCAAACTGTTCAACCTCGTCAGGAAAAGAAAGCCATTCCATGGTAGGAATCAGATTGATGATTGAAGCCATGAAACCCATGATCTTCAGGTCTCTGCGCACAACGCGCTCGATCTTAGGATGAAGGACCTTGATAGCAACGTATTTCGAGGGCGTTCTTTGGGGAGTACTCTTCAATGTAATATCAACACCTCTCTTGATCTTTTCGCGATAAGTGTCAGAGTTGTGAGGGTCGAGGTCTTCGGTGACAGCAATATCAGACTTCAGTCTTGCTTTGTAAACCTGTGCTATGGCGCCAACACCCAGTGGCTTTTCATCAAACTCGTCAAATATGTCTTCGAAACGCATGCCGAACGCTCGCTCGATGGTCTTCTTAGTGTGACGTAGCGAATGGGCAGGAGCATTGGAGTGGAGAGCAGACATGATGGCGCACATCTGGGTTGGGAAGATGTCTGTTCTGGAAGCAGCCCATTGGCCGAGCTGGATATCGGTCAGTATGGAATGAAGATTCTGCAGCACACTTGATTACCTTGATGAAAGCAGCACCGGCTCTCTCCATGCTATTAACCAAGAAAGCATACCACCAGAGTGTTCCTGACCTCTCATTATCTCTTTCGGGTTGCCTTTGGCCGAACCAGATGACAGGGACCGTCACAATGACAGGAACAAAGATGAAGATTAGATGTAGTAATCTGAAGCCAGTGGCAATAGGTTCAATGATCCAAGTATCGAGGAATCTCCAGAGACCTTTACGGAGAGATTTTGAGCCTCCAACCCAGCGAGGGACTTGCTCGGCCAGCTCTTTCCTCGAAGCTTCGAGCATCTGTTGCTCGCCTGTCAAGCCATCGTCTGACTCGTCGTTCTCGCTCAGAGATACGAAAGCAGCGGGCGAGAGGGCGGCGAGGCAGAGAGAGCCACCTTTGACTGGTGGAGGCGGACTTCTGAAGAATTGACGAGCATTTTGAAAGAATCGAGGGCGATTATATGTTCTGGCAGTAAATGTGAAGGAGCGAGTGGCCTGGGATCTGAAGAAGGGAAGGGCGTTATGTTGGTTTTGGAAGGCGTGTTTCGCGCAGGTGCGCCCAAAGAGCAGTGGGGCGCTCATGCTGATACCTGATTTGAGTAAGCAGCTATCGTATCGTCCGAGTATCCATGTCCTGTGTCGTCTACGTTCGTGTCAATGTCAAGGTCATGGTGATTGTGGTCGAGTCGCTGCCGCCTCGTCGATAAGTGCCAATCCGATGTCCATGTCAACGTCATGGCCCATCACATGCAAGTCCAAGCCAGTGCCTGCCCAGGTCGGCAACGGCTTCAAAGCCCACCCGTCCCACTTTCCTTGCCTAATCTGATCAGACATTCGACTTTTATCAATACATCACTTTTCTCTCACTCAGCCCGCGACAAGAGCAATGGGCAACGACGGTGGCAGTATTCCCACGAGACGCGAGCTGGTCAAAGAAGCCGCCCGCGACCCCACCACCACCGAGATCAAGCAATCGCAACACGAACGACAAGAATATGGCTGGTCTACCGATCCTATCTCCCGCAAACCCCTCTCACCGCCCATCGTATCCGATTCGAATGGCAAATTGTATAACAAAGAATCCATCATCGAGTATCTACTGCCCTCCGACGATGTCACCACCACAAAGGCCGACGCCGACACTGTCCTTCAAGGTTCAGTCAAGAGTCTAAAAGACGTTGTAGAAGTCAAGTTTGATGTCGACACAAACGCTGGAAAAGTTGCGAAAAACGCCTGGAAGTGTCCCGTAACCGGCGACCGTCTCGGCCCTGGCGAAAAGGCCGTCTACCTTGTTCCCTGTGGCCACGCCTTCTCTGCCACTGCCATCAAAGAAGTCTCCGGAGAGCGTTGCGTCACTTGCGATCAAGAGTATGCCTCCAATGACATTATCCCCATCTTGCCCACCACTCCCGAAGACATTGCTCGCCTAAGTCTACGCGTCAAGACTTTGAAGGAAAAGGGTCTTGCCCATTCTTTAAAGAAAGCTGCAAAAGAATCAAAGAAGCGCAAGAAGCGTGAAGAGGCCGACGAGGCTCCTGCTCTGGTACCCGTTACCGACAAGAAAGATGCCAATAACATCAACAACTCTTCAACTGCTGCTCTGACAGCCAAGGTCCTTCAAGAGCAGGAAGCCAAGAAAAGAAGAACTCAGAATGACAACCTCAAGACGCTGTTCTCGTCCAGAGATCAGAGCAAGCCACTAGGCAAGAGCGCAGACTTCATGACAAGAGGCTATGATATCCCGGCAGGCGCAAAGAGGTGAAAACTTCCTTGATCTTGAGCTTGCCTCAATCTATACCAAAACGCCACAATCTGCGCCCAGCTGTCAATGCCTATCTAGCCGATCGCACCAGCCGTATCGCCCAACACACTATGTTTGTCATGTCTGGCATTCTTATCTCGATTCAGGATCGACATACGCCTTATTATGGGCGATTGTGGATCGAGCTCTTATCTTTGGATCTAAATCATCCGATAACGTCGTCTCGAAAACGTATCATCACAAGCTTGCTGCAGCAGCATCAGCAAATCCCAAGAGGGAAGCCACACTCGATGGATTGAGAGCAGCGAGCCTGTGCTATCTTGAGAACCAGCCTAGACAAACATTGGCTTATTGTAGATATGTAGAGCAATAGCGGCATGTAAATCGAATTGCTTGCTAGGGAAATCATTGAAAGCATCAAATCTGCTCTCAAAAAGAACCTAAACACCTTACATTCTTGTACCTGACCCTTAAGAAACTGCACATGCATATTGAACGGATCTGCTTTGTAACAAACTTGACATGTGGGTATATATTGAATTTTCTAAAACACCTTTTCCTTGCGCCTGTTCGCGGATATCTTTCCCTCTGCGGTATACACAAAATATCAAAACAGGCAATGCTTCGTACTAAATCTCCTCTTCCTCTTCTCTCACGTCAATAAGACTCTAGAGATGAAGCTTGTCTACAGCTTCTGCTTCTCCATACCCTTCCAGCCGTGGGCCTCTGCAATCATCTCAGCAGCACGTTCACCGATAGCCAGAACAGTAAGCATGGGGTTAATAGTAGGCATCTCAGGGAAAACACCCGCATCCGCAATTCTAATGCCCTTGAGCCCGCGAACCTTGAGTGTGTGATCCACAACAGCAAATTCATCCTTGCTCACATCACCCATCTTGGTGGTGCCGGCGGGGTGGTACACGGTGTGTGCTGCTCTACGTCCATACTCGGAGAGTTGTTCGTCGGTGGTGACTTTGGGGCCGGGAGCCACTTCGCGCTTGATCCAGTCGCTGAAGGGAGCTTGTTGGGCGATCTTTCTGGCGGCTTTGAAGCCCGCGACGATGGTGGCTGCGTCATAGCCTTCGGGGTCGGTGAAGTAGCGGAAGTCGAGGGCGGGCTTGACGGTGGGGTCGGCGGAGGTGAGGTAGAGGCGGCCGCGGGAGCGGGGGCGAGGGATGTTGGGGGTCATGCAGAAGGCATCGATGGGGCTGTCGTAGCCGAGACTGTTTTTGAAAAGTCAGCGAATTGGAAACTACTGGAAGAGATCTTGAGAGAGTAAGCTTACCGAGCAGTGTTCAGGCAGAAGGGGATCTGGTAGCAGTGCATCATAATGTCTGCAATGTCGCCGTCGCCGCCAGCGGCATCGGGGGCCTCGCGACGGAGGAAGATACCAGCGTCAGAGTCCATGGTGGTCTGGTTGATAGGGACAGGCTTGTTCAACTCCCACATGATGATGGTCTCAGGGTGGTCGAGCAAGTTCTCTCCAACACCGGGAATGTCCTTGACGACAGGGATCTTGAGCTCATCGAGCTGCTTCTTAGGTCCGAGACCAGACAGAAGCATAAGACGGGGAGTGTCAACAGCACCGGCGCTGAGAATAGTCTCGGCCTGGGAGTTGAGGGTGTACTTGGAGCCATCTTGGAGGGTAACGTTGACACCAGTGACCTTGTCGCCCTTGACATTAACCTTGCTGACCCAAGCGTTGGTCAGAACAGTGAGGTTAGGTCTCTTCTCGTCACCACGAAGGATAGGGTGAATGTAAGCAACCGAAGCACTGCTTCTGTGACCATTGTCAGGGTTGTATGAAACCGAGAAGAAACCAACACCTTGTCTCAAAGCACCCTTGGACTTGATTTCCTTGTTGAAGTCGTGGATGACGGGAATGTCCATGGCAGTGGAGCACGAGTCAACCCAGTCCAAGCAGAGCTGGTTGCGGTGTCTCTCGTGAACAGGCTGGACCGAGTTTCTGATGTTGTCCAAAAGACGCATGAAAGTCTTGAAGCTCCATCCCTTGCAACCCTGAGCTTCCCAGCGCTTGCAGTCGTACTCGAAGGGACGGAAAGAAATGAGGGTGTTGTGCGAGGAGCAACCGCCGAGCACCTTTGCACGAGAGTGGCGGATGTGGGAGTTGCCCATGGGCTGCTCGGTAGTACCGTAGTCGTAATCGAGTTCACCACCAAGGAGGTTCAACCAGTCCTTGAGTAGCAAAACCCTGTTGTCCATGAAGTCTGAGGGACCAGCCTCAATCAGGAGGACCTTCTTGTTAGGAAGGTAGTCGGAGAGACGACTGGCGATAACACATCCTGCAGTTCCGCCACCTACAATGACAAAGTCAAAGTGGTTCTCAGGGTTCGAGGGAAGGTGTGTGGTAGTCATTATGTACTAAATATGTCCTCTGAAAGATGTTGGGACAGGACAAGGAGATAAACAGGTGTAGAGAAAAGAAGGGAAGCACAAAACAGCGTTTATCAGCGGGGTGTACCGTATATAAAGCTTCGATGCAAGCACCTAGCAGCTCCTGCAACAGCCAACCGTGTAGCTCAACTAACCCTCTTACCTACCAGCGTGACTACGTCCGATCTGTCTCGAAGGTCAAGAACAAAAAGTTACCCTAGCCCCACGGCCGGCGCCTCCTCAATATCTTGGATCATTGATTAACGGGCGCAGTCCTCGATTCATGCAGTTGGTCAAAGTTTACGGTTTCACCAGGGTGCTTTGCGTTGCGTCGCGTTCTCAAAAAATTTCCCCTCCAACGACACGCTGTCGCCTTGGCCTAGATTAGGGCTGACTCGGCAGCGTCGATCAGAAAAGCTCTCGCAGATGTTCCTTAAGATACAATAGAAGGGGGAGTTTCGATACCGAAAAAGGCATGCGATTCCTTGTATCTATCATGCTAGGTACACGAGTTGGCCTATCGGCAGCTTGCTCGTGCGGAGATGGTTGGCATGATTTGTTTCAAGCATGAATGTAGAGTAAGCTCTCCCGATTGTGGCTTGCCCTATGGTGTGCTCGAGATTGAGAACGCTGAAGCTATTGCGAAGGCGATGAGTTGTCAACGAAACTATCGAGCTTCAAAGAGCCCCGCGATGACCGCTTTTGCGACCGAGCGTTACATCCATGCGAGTCGCGACACTTTCCGAGCTCCTCCCACGTCAAGTGCAGACTTAAAACTAGGGCAGCTGTCCGTGCCTTATCAGCAGAGTGTTGGCATTATTGATCATCTTCAATAGAAACCTATCCGATCTTCTTGAGAGAAGGAGGCAAATCTGTCCAGCAAACCACCATGACTTATCCCCTTCGCCAGCTATACTACGACGGCAAGCGTCAAAACGCAACTTCTGGTTCGACATTCGAGACTGTAGATCCAGCAACCGCAAAGCCTGTGGGAGAAGTCCAAGCTGCTTCACACGCCGACATCGATAAAGCTATTGCTTCTGCACAATCAGCCTTTCCATCATGGTCAACCACTCCTCCAATTGAGAGGTCGCGGATCTTACTAAAGGCTGTTGCTCTTCTCCGAGAACGCAATGATGAGATTGCAAAGGTCGAGACCCACGATACTGGCAAACCATTCTCAGAGACCAGTACTGTGGATGTCGTTACTGGTGCCGATGTGCTCGAGTACTTTGCTAACATGGTGGCCTCTGGCGGACTGAATGGCGAAACCACTCAACTGCGTCCAGACGCATGGGTCTATACTACCAAGAACGCTCTGGGTGTCTGCGCAGGTATCGGTGCTTGGAACTATCCCATTCAAATCGCTCTTTGGAAGTCTGCGCCTTGCCTGGCCGCAGGAAACTGCATGGTCTACAAGCCTTCAGAGTTTACTCCCCTCCACGCACAAATTCTGGCTGAGATTTACACTGAGGCCGGTGTTCCCGCTGGTGTCTTCAACGTCGTCCAAGGAGCTGGAGACGTCGGTGCATACCTGACCGCCCACCCCAAGATTGCCAAAGTCAGCTTTACAGGCCAAGTCAGCACTGGCATGAAGGTCGCCGGTTCTGCTGCCGGCAACATGAAATACGTGACCATGGAGCTCGGAGGCAAGTCACCTCTAATCATCCTCCCCGACTGTCCCATCGAAAATGCCGTCGATGGAGCCATGATGGCAAACTTTTTCTCCACCGGCCAGGTCTGCACAAACGGCACCCGCGTCTTCGTACCCAGGAAAATGGTTCCTGCATTTGAGAAGCGCCTGATTCAGAAGATGGAGTACGTCCGTGCCGGCGATGTCATGGACATGAACACCAACTTCGGCCCTTTGGTGAGCAAAGTCCACTACCAAAAAGTGCTCGACTACATCCGCCATGGTGTGCAACAAGACAAGGCCAAGCTTCTCTATGGAGGCCCTGAAAAGCCAACTATCCCTGGAGCAAGCTCAGAAGGCTTCTGGGTCAAGCCTACGATCTTCACGGACTGCACTGATGACATGCGTATCGTCAAGGAAGAAATCTTTGGCCCGGTCATGTCGATTCTTGCATATGATACTGTGGAAGAGGTTGTCAAGCGTGCAAACGACACTCCCATGGGTTTGGCTGCCGGTGTCTTCTCCAACGATATTAATGCCGCCCACAAGATTATTGCACAATTGCAGGCTGGAATCACGTGGGTCAACACTTGGGGTGAGAGTCCCGCCGAAATGCCTGTAGGTGGCTGGAAGCTCAGTGGTGTAGGCGTGGAAAACGGTCGCAAGGGCCTCGAAGCCTGGGTCAAGAACAAGAGCACCCTGGTCGAGATGGGCGGTGTTGTTGGCACTGTCTTTGCCAAGCTCTAAATTGATGGTCTGATTGGAAGACTTGCGTACGAGTGTGACATGTAAATCACCAATTTGATAGTTCTCTTCTTGCATGTACAAGTGATTGCAAAATCTCATCGAACCTTTTCAACGCTACATCAACTGAGTCTACCTCATATCTTCATTTGAACACCCGATCTTTGACGGACCGCGTAGTTTTCAATACCTCGTGAGTACGTGAAGGTCTGTCTAGTAACGGATCCAGGTTCAAAAAGTGAAGCTTGCGATCAAAACCAGTCACCCGTGGTCGTATTGAATAGCATTAAACAATAGGAATCTGATAGTAGTAAGGATATTTGCGCAGCTAAACTATACCGATGCTGTTCAGATCAGCATTACAGTTCGGGTGATGTTTGTCCGGGCGATGATCGTGGCGGAATCTCAGGGATGTAAGCACGCGCACGCTGAGGTTCCTGCTCATAGCGTATGTTATTCTTTCTGAGCTTCTCAATCTCCTTCTTGCCCAAGGCAACCATGTCCAAGTTCTCCGGGAGTTGGCGTTGAGCACTGTCATTGTGTCAGAATGCCCTTTCGGCAAGGTAGCGCAAAGGATAAACTTACATAAGGTATATGACTTTCATATCTCTAGCTTTGAAGCGCATGTCCTCAGCTGATCGGTGCGCTAGAAGTTGTGAGTTGCCCCTTGCCTCATCGATTCTCTTGATCATCGACCAAGATGGGCCATTGTCTCGGATCAACTCGAGAAGAGCCTTGACCTCGTCATTAACCCATGGTCTGCGGCCCTTTGGTGGTTTGATGGTCCTATTTTCTGCTTGATACTGCTTGGTAAGATTGTTTGCCATATTGTGAGAGTCTATAACATCATCGCCGGTAGACCGGAATGGTTCTCTGAGCTGACCAGGATTCTTTCGTTGTCTTTTGTTTGGAGACTCAGGCTCGGGAGTTCTGCCTCGACGCACACTCTGAGTATTTCCTGTTGGCGCCGGTGCTTGGCTGGGCGCAGCTGATGATATCAGTCTAGGTCTGTGGCTAGCATGAGTGCGTTGGTCGGTTTGGAAGCCTTCGTCCTCGCTGGGATCTTGCACATCGCCATCGAGTGTAGGGTCAATTTCAATCTCGTGTCTACCTGACGCTTGCTCTTGAGTGTCAAGTGCAGGCTGCAAGTCGAGCAGATCGTCGACAAGTCTCACACCCCCCGGTTGAGCGTCGATGAATCTCCGTTTCTGACGTTCTTGCTCGTCGATTGCGTTCGCCAACGCCAGCCTTCCGGTCAATCTGGGACGGTCCTGTGTCAGAGCAGCGGACGACTTTACATCGTCATCGAATTGGATGACATTTCGTGAGATCGGCTCTTCGCGAGCGGTAGCGGATGTTGGAGCAGCAGTAGACGTGCCTGGACGGCCTCTAAAGAGGACCGATGGTCTTGCTGGTATCTTTGTGCTGCTGATGTTCAGTCTAAAGCTTTTGTTTCGCACAAATCATTGTTACCTTGAAGTTGGCACTGATGGGGCATTGACTCGTGTAGCAAGAGGATTGCTTTCAATACTTGGCTGTATTTCTTGCTCCGGTTGGTCTTCATGAGTGTATGCGTCTGGATGGTCAAGACGTCGCTTAATTTCATCCTCCAAGGCATTGATGATGTCGTCGATACCACCCAAATCCCTGATACTGTTATCAATCTCTGATAGACGTAGGTTGGACCATTGCAGGAAGCGTGTCTTGAATCGCTCACAAGAGAACTCTTCCCGCAATTTGACCAACCCAGATTCCAGGTTTGCCAACGGATCGTCAAAAGGGTCTTCGATATCACTAAACAACAATCTCTTGATCTCCTCAGTACGTCGAATGATCTTGTCAGCGTAGTTATCGATCTCTTCGTTAAGCGGATCGAGAAGTCTCCATCCTCTAGCATGTCTGCTATGAGAAGCGGCCTGTAGACTTTGCATGGGCCCCATGTCATCATCCTCTTCTACGGATGTGAGCATTACATTCTGAATCATTACTGCGGCGGCATTCAGGGTCGGGTTTTCGTTGAGGAGCATGCCAACAAGTATCTGAGTTCTAAGGTCCAGAGCAAACTCGAATGTGGCCTCTAAGAGGGCACTGTAGCCTGCTTGTATGCTATCTCCCGGTCTGGTGAGTCCGACTGCAAAAGTTGAAGGAAAGGAGCCTTCCATATCGACAGACTCCAAGGCGTCCAACAGACTTGCGTGATCAGATGTGGTCATGATATTGTACGCGAAGATGGCCAGGTTGGCTTTGCATATCACATCATCTGGTCTCCAGGGTCCGGGGGCTTTAGGTAATGGCTGTTGACTTCTTTTTCTCAACAATGCGCGAAGAATAGTGCCGAGAACGAGGTATGCTCCACCTTCAGTATATGTTGCCAGCGTCTGTTCCAGTGCAGTTTGGCAGCCGTCCGCTTTTTGTCTTTGCCTTGATTCGGAGTCCTCCAGTTCACGGACCAATGACTGTAGCTCGTCGGGATCTCCAGTGCGTGCTTTGAAGCAGCTCAGGAGTTTTCTAGCTTGTGTGTTGAGCTCTTCCAAATTATTTTCCATCTGTGCGGGGTCGAGCCTTTGGAGTTCGGTTTGAGAGTAGGTATCTATTGGGGCAGAGTCGTGGTCAGAGACACCCCCCTCCTCATCTTCAGATAGTGCCGACTGTTCACGGCCATCGTCGTCTCCGGTGTCACTCGGACCTTCAGACAGAGGCTCGAGCTCTAGATTACAGGTCAGTCGACATGTCACGGGACGCAAGTGTAGATCGATAGTTCAAGATCACGTTGATGACCGACCACGCACGCGTTTTGCTACAAGCAAGCATGACTTACGTTGTTGAGCCTGACGAGCAGCCCGGGCTGTCCCTTCACGTACGTTCCTGGCCTGACGGTGCACTAAGTGTGGCCCGATGCTAGGCTCTCGACTTTGACTCCTGGTGCGCGCCATCTTGTGGGATGCAAAGTCAAGGTTGGTTGGTCGTTGTGTTGTGGTTGTGTTTGGAGAACAGGCAACCGCGACTTACGCGAAGGAACTCACAGACTCGACAACACGTGATTCATTTCTACAGGTTCAAACCCTTCAAGTAACCCTAACCCCAGCACGCCAATTTTCGCCATTGTCGCCAGATACAGAGGGTTAGGTTTTGTCTTGGGGTTGGGATGGAGGATTAGGCTTGGGTAGAACATCTCCACATAAAGAAACCCTTATACCCTAGACCACCAACATTTTGCAATGACACTGGATCATGGTCTGTGCTTCATGTTGAGAGTGTCACCTGTTTTGCCATAGTTCCGCCTGTCTGGCCTTTCCTATCTATTGATGACCTGTCTATGTGAACATGAAGTGATATGAATGCAATCAATCTGTCGACAGTCTGCCAAAACACGTGTAGAATACAAGAATCTTGCTCGAAAGGTAGATGTTCTTCGAAATATGCAGTCTTTCATTCGTCATATAGCACACCGAGCTCAGAAGCTGGAACCAAACAGAGCTCAATGCCACGTTGAAGTCCGCGAAGTCCGCCGACGACACCAGATGCATTGGAGTCGTATGCAGAGACTGAAACTGCTCAAAGATAGATGCTAACACAAGGCCTGATTTTCGAGACAGGCATGCAACGCGTGTCCCAGCCGCCTTCTCACCAGTTTGCCGCATGAGAGTACAATTACGAAGCTTGCTTGGCAATGTAGAAAGGAGGCGTTCAGAATATATCGTTGTTATCCCTGAAAAACAGTTGTTGCGCCTCAACCTTCACCCTTTTTTTCTTGTATTCACTTACTTTACCGTCTTTCATATTGTCTTCTCTATACGTTTTCCATATTGGACTTCCATTGAGTGACGCTCCCAAATTCGAGCATTCGCGGTTCGGAGCAAACTTAACGCTAGAGCTGTTTTCGTCAGCAGCCCACCGATATCTACTCTACGTCGCATATACGATCCGGACATCTTGACCGACATCCGCCAATATGAGAGTGCGATCGCCTCCTTCGGCTCTCTTGCTACTTCTTCTACCTGCAATTGTCTCCTCAGCAGCGATTGAACCAAAAGCGCAAGATGGAGTACTTGCAGCCAAGGCACCGGTCGCTGGCGCCGTAAAGGACTACACTGCCATCACCACTTCGAACGCACGTGCACCAACACAAAAGCCGGTTGTTGGTACGAAAGATGCTCCTGTAGACGGTCAGGATGGAAAGCCGCATGCAGGACCATTTGTCGACATCACCCCCGAAGACAAGAAGAAGCCTGCAGCTGTCGCCGAGGATCTGGTGAAGCCTCTGCCCACATCTCTTTCAAAGTTGAAGGGAAGCGATGCCACAGATTTCGATTCCATCCCGGAGAAGAATGACGGAGTTATGGATGATGTGAACCGCCTATCCCCCAAGGAGGGCACCACTGGTACTGAGGGAGGCGTTACCGAGAGAAACAAGAAAGAGAAGGAAGCACAAGGTCAGACTGGCGAGAAGGTGGAGAAGAAGCCAGAGACACCAAAAGAAGCACCTCCGCTTCCTCATAGCGAGGAGGAGCGCATTAGCAAGGACTCGCCAGAAAAGGTCAAGGACGCAATCAACCCCGTTGGCAAGCCCAAGGGTGCTCAAGGACTTGAGGTACGACATGGTAGTCCACAATACCTAGCGTAAGACTAACAGAGCACGATAGAAACCGGCCGACCTCCCCGAGAAGCCTCACGAGATCACACCCAAGAAGGCTGCAGAGTTGGAATCTGAAAAGAAGGACACATTTGCACACGCAGCACCAGTAGACACCGGCTCTTCAGGAACACTGACCCATACCGTGGGCTCTACACTGAAAGACACATTGCCCTACACCGAAGGCAAACAACCGACACCACTTCTTGCAGGAGACGAAACTGAGGGCATTATCCAGCCTTTCCATTCTTTCGTTCTCGCATTCACCATGATCATCTTCTCCGAGATCGGTGACAAAACTTTCCTGGTCGCTGCGCTTATGGCCATGCGTCATCCTCAGCTTGTGGTTTTCTCTGGTGCATTCTCAGCTCTTATCGCCATGACTGTACTTTCTGCTGTTCTCGGACACGCAGTACCAACACTTCTTCCCAAGCACTTGACGGCATGGCTTGCAGCTGGTCTCTTCCTTGTCTTTGGTGGTAAGCTGTTGCGCGAAGGCCTCGAGATGGACAAGGACGCTGGTGTTGGAGAAGAGATGCAAGAGGTCGAAGCTGAGCTGGAAGAGAAGGAACACCTCGCGCGCAAAGAGGGTCGAAGAAGATCATCGGTTTCGCCATATGTTCTCGAAGCCGGTCGTGGCAGAAGATCTGGCTCGCGTCACAAGTTCCCTGCACGCGCACAATCTCCTCTGTCCGATGACTCGAGATCACCCTCGCCTTCCGGACGTGGAGCAAAGGCTTCGGTGAGCAACGCGCTTGGCGGACTTAACAACCTTCTTGGTCTTCTTCTTTCTCCTGCATGGGTGCAGACCTTCGTAATGACTTTCCTTGGTGAATGGGGTGACCGATCTCAGATTGCTACCATTGCCATGGCTGCTGGACAAGATTACTGGTGGGTGACAGGTGGTGCTATTGCAGGCCACATGATCTGCACTGGTATCGCTGTCATTGGTGGACGTGCTCTTGCTGGTAGAGTGAGCTTGAGAGTTGGTAAGTACACCTGGAACCCTTCTCCTGATAGCACAAAGCTAACATCATCACAGTCACCTTGGGTGGAGCAATTGCCTTTCTGGTCTTTGGTGTCATCTACTTTTTCGAGGCTTTGTACGACTAGACGACGCACATATCAGTTGAGAGTGGGTTAAACAGGTTGTGGTGGTAACATTTGCTGGTCTGCATAGCATGAAAAAGGACATGGGCACACAAAGGCGGTTTGCGTGTAATGGGAAAAGTGATAAACAATAGTACTTAATGAACGCCATCTCTTATTCGGCAAGTTCGGTCTTTGAACAGAATATCGCGTTGAAGAAGAAGCAGCATACGAGACATTACCGAGTCTGATTGATGAACATGTTGGTGGAAATGGGCCTGCGGAAGCATCGACCTCGGCCACTCGGTAACGATGAGGAAAATGATAACGAGGGCCGAGAATGTTCTTATCCGACACATGTTCTTTCTTCTGATTGGCATCATAAATCCCGCAACCAGATCTAACAAGAGACATGTTGGTTGGCAGAAGAGATAGAGCACTTGAACAACAGAACAACTGTGGCTCTCTGTGACTGGTCTATGATATTCTGTCTGAGTTAATGTCTTCATCAATGTTGAAAAGTGTCGACGTTCGTTACAAAAAGACCAGACGACTGATACCCCCATCCCCAGGGTCTCGTTCGGCCCCGCAGCGGTCTAGTGGGGGACACGGACTCTGTTTAATTATGTGAGCAAGCAACTGCGAGACAAGTCGAACCATTATTCCACTTGATTCCGTCTTCCCCTTTTCGAGTCTCTGTTCGTCTTCGTTCAAGAGACATTGTTCAGCTTTCCCCGATTGTCTCCGAGCGTAACACACCGAAATCACCGAGACAAAACTTCCAATCGCAGCTTCCTTATCAACTCAACATTTTAGCCCGCTCCTCGCTGTCGTGTGCCCCTTGGACAAACCACCCAGGATGACCGACCGACCCCCGCCGCTCAAGCGCCGACGAGTGTCGAGCTCAGCCGAAGACATGCAAAACAGCATTGTTGATCCGGGCACAATCAAGATCAATGTCAGCGGAGCCTACATCATCGACAATGGCGAAGCCCAATCGCCCGCCAGCGATAGCGGAGTCGAGGAACAAGGCTATGAGCATGACCGCCGCGATATCCGTCTACCAAACCACACATCAGTCGTCAGCCACGTTGCCGCAGACATTGGCGGCTCCCTTGCCAAAGTCGTTTACTTCTCACGCGAGCCTGGTGCGAAAGAGCCGGGAGGTCGTCTACACTTTTTGCGCTTCGAGACGGAGAAGATTGATACATGTATCGAGTTCATGCGCGAATTGCAAAAGAAGCAGAGGAGAGCCAATGGCGGCAAGCAATCAGAGCTCTGCGTCATGGCTACCGGTGGTGGTGCTTTCAAGTACTACGATCGCATAAAGGAAAGATTGGGTGTTGATGTTATGAGGGAAGATGAGATGGAGTGTCTGATTCAAGGTTTGGACTTCTTCATCACTGAGATTCCGAATGAGGTCTTTACCTACCACGACGAGGATCAGGACAATCTTATACACTACACTGACGCCCGCGCCGACGTATACCCATATCTCCTTGTCAACATTGGCAGTGGTGTGAGTATGATCAAAGTCGAAGGACCTTCCAAATTCCAACGTATCGGCGGAACATCACTCGGTGGTGGTACCCTCTGGGGTCTGCTCTCTCTGCTCACCGGAGCACGCACATTCGACGATATGCTAGCAATGGCAGATGCTGGCGACAACTCTACGGTAGATCTGTTAGTCGGCGACATTTACGGTCAAGGAATGGGTTACGACAAGATTGGCTTGAGCGAAAGGACCATTGCCAGTTCATTTGGCAAGGTCTTCAAGCGAAAAAGAGAGGCAGAACAAAATGCCGAGGACGGACAATTACAACGTGAAGATGGTCCAGAAAGATACGACACAGCAACACCAGAAGGTGCTGCTAAGCAACAATCAGATCGCAAGTTTGACATTGGCGAGGGCCGTATGTTCGCACCTCAAGACATTTCACGGAGTCTGCTATACGCAGTCAGGTTAGTCTTGCCTCGATTCAGCACCGCTCAGTTTACAAATCACTAACTTTGCAACCACAGTAACAACATCGGTCAAATCGCCTACCTCCAATCAGAAAAACACAATCTCAAGCACATCTACTTTGGCGGCAGTTTCATCCGCGGCCACCGTCAAACCATCCACACTCTATCCTTTGCCATCAAGTTCTGGAGCAAAGGCAACAAACAAGCATACTTTTTGCGTCATGAAGGCTATCTTGGTGCAGTAGGCGCATTCTTGAAACGACAACCCAGGAATTTCGGCCGTAGAGGCAGTGTTCATGAAGAGGAGTCATGAACATAATTCGGTCCTTCATTCTTTCCCTTCGAATCAACACAATCGCTATACCCTAGACCTGTTGTTTTGGATACGCATAACGGCATAGATTTGGCATGATAGAAAGACAGCGCGGCATTGATCTTATACCTTCTCATAGCATTATTTTTTTAAGGTGTCGCCATTCAGTAGTGCCGGCGCAAAATTCAAGTTCCAGATTTGATTCTCCGGCTTTTCACACTTTGCCAGCGTGAACAGGCACAAAAACAGGCGAACCGTCCCGCGTGAGAAAAGAGGTTCAGGAGAATTGCTATTGCAATGCCAGTTGACCGACAAAACGACAAAACAAATGTCGCAGCCGTGAATCGAACACGGGGCTCGTGCATGGCAAGCACGAATTTTACCACTAAACCACTGCGACTTGTGTGATTGAACACTGAAAACGTGGTTGTCGGCAGCCAATATATTTTTGCGTCAGACCTTGCACACCATCTATCCAACTCACTTCTCAACCTCAATCATCAACCCATCACCTCTAACCTTGCCATCAACAACACCTCCCCACACAAAAACACACCCACCATCAATTTCCTGGACTTTGGAGGCGCTGAAACCAGTTCTTCCGCCTATACCCCTGTTGGGTTGTGCTTCTTGTATCATAACGCCTTCAGCAGTAAAGTAGCGCACCTCCGCCCATTCATTTGTTGCATTTTTCTTACTAATGGCATCGCGAGCGCGATCTTTGAGACTCGCTGCCGTGGTTGCTGACGAGCTGAGTTGCAAACTTGAGAGGATGGCGGGTGTGATGTGAAGAAGGTAATTACGACCTTGTCCTGTGGTTATGGGGATTAAAGCTGCCGAGCCCTCGCGAGTAGGTGGAAGAGCGGGTTTATCGGATGGAAGGTAGCACCAAGGGCTTAGTGGGGCAGGACCTGTGGTTTGAGAATCTTTGTAGGAGGGAGATGTGAAGGAGAGGTCGAGGTAGTGTGTTGAGGCTCTGCAGACCAAGTAGAGGCGGTTGGAGTGGAAGGTTATGCTGGGACTTGTGTCTGCGATGTGGGTTGCTGGAGGTGAGGGTAATTGTGACCATGTTCTTGAGGCGATGTCGAAGGTCCAGAGTTCTGCGGTGGCTCTGGAGAAAATTGTCAGCTTGGACTTCTAGAATGTCTCGTCGCGTGCTATTGCATGTGCCGCTTCACGCTCCCTCAAGGATGCAGAGCGATGTGTGAGCTGAAGAATTGCACGATATAGAGCAGTGTCTGTCCAGAGCCGTCGTAGTTTCGGGCTCTCTTGACAAGGCTCAAATCTGAGAACATCCGTGTCTTTCCACAGCTACACACATGGCAGGCCTCTGGATGGGGAGATTATGCGAGAAGGACCACATACCTGTCTTCATCTTCAACAATACCTCCGAACACAACGAAAGTGCCATACGTGCTTGGAGCCAAAGGTTCAGGCACCATCTTCGCCGGATCAGGAGGCAACTGTGGAGCCACATCCTCATCCGTCCTCTGATGCTCAGGTTGAGGCTGAGCACTAGCAGAAGCAGCTGCAAAAGTCCTCGGCGTTGGTACATCTCCCTCAGCAGGATCCAAGCTTGACCATGAATTTGTGTCTGTGTTGAAGACCCATACTCTGCCGTTCTCATTGAGAAGTCCATTCGCGTCCGAGCCGCCAAAGATGTAGATTTGGTCGTCTATGACTGCTGTGCTGTGACCGTATCTTGCAGGAGGGGATGCAGATGTTGGTTCAAGACGTTGGTAATCTGTGCTTTCTATACCTGAGGACGGGAGAATGATCATGTGCATGGCATTATCAGCTAGCTGGTGTTGTGTCAGCCAGTATGTCCACAATAACTCGCTTTTACCGACCTCATCATCATTAGTCTTTCCTCCAAAGACATATGCCCTCCCTTTGACCTCAGAGATGCTATGATGTACTCGTGGTAGATTCACATCAGTGACAGGTTTGATGGTTGCTTTGAGTGGTAGAGTTGGATCGTAAATGCCTTTGGCCAGCGCGAGACCACCTTCGACCAGGTGCTCGACTGCATATAAGACTCCTGCTGCTTCTGCCATTTGTTCTGATGTTATTTTCACTTTGTTGAATAGGTATTGACAGGCTAATGGCAAAGAGGAATGTTGGCTTGAAGCTTCAAGAGCGGGAGGCTTCAAGGAACTGGTGTTGTTGCACCAACCACCTGCGTGGATGCATGATGTAATGAGAGTGGGGAGCTCTGATCTTGGAAGTCACAAGATTGATTAAATATAATAAATAAGAGAAATGGCACAAACTGCAGAAGAAATAACTGGAGGCTGGGTGTCTGTCAAGCTAACAACCACTGAGTAAAACAAAAGACTCGGACCATTGGCCTATTCTCTACCTATAGAGGAAACGCAAAAGAGAAAAAAGATATGCCCACACACGGAATCGAACCATGGATCTTGTCATATCACCTTGGGAAAGGCTTACGAGTGACACGCCGTACCACCTGGATTGGGTTAGCTTATGAAATTTCTGACGCGGTTTCGGTGACACATACTTGGCCATGCGGGCAGTTGTTGGTCTAAATTCAGTTTTCTTGAGTATAGAAATGCATGGGAGTGAAGCCTGGTGCTTGTGGTGGTATTTTGGTCACCTTCCGGGACCTTCTGTCTTCGAACGGCACCCAGACGGCCATGAGCCTAGGCTGTTTGCGACTACAATTTTCTCTGGATTTTTAGAGGTGTGTAGAGGTGTGTAAAGGTGTGTAGAAAGAGAAAGGTTCATCCGCAAAGCAAAAAAAAAGGCTTTTTGGTGGAAAATCCAGCGGAAGGCAAACGACGCGGCTTTCCCGCAGCCGAGACACTCTTTCATTCTGCTCACGACCAATACTTTGATTTTCTAGTTGCTATTCGTCCTCCGTAAGGGTCCTCGAGCCTTCATCGATGTGTGAGCGCAGCTTCTTGCGTGCTAAGGTTGGCCTTGCTCTTTCGCGATGGATGCAGAAGTTGTAAGGCGCGAGAGTAACAAATTGTGATAAACTTGAAGGAATGCCCATGAGACTTTCAGAAATACCTTTGATCAGAAGCTTACCTTATGCTTCTAAAAAAAAAAAAATTGTTCATTCTCGCCGCTGTTGATGCCAATTAAGCACACCTGATGACGGAGCGCGGAATAGGTCTGGCAAGCTTCATGAAGGATTCAGAGAATCGCATCGGAGGCGACGTGCCGACCGTCCGTACAGAACAAAACACCGTTCATCGCAGCAAACATAAATACAAGTCATTACCAGCGAGCAACACCTTATCGAACCACACAATCAAGACGCAAAGACAATCTGGATTCTGAACCACAGTAATCCTCAAAATGGACATGATACTATCAATCCTCTCAACGAGCATAGCTATCACAGCAACAATACTGGCTCTAGCGGCCTCCCTCACATTACTCTGTTTCATCAGCATAAGACTCGCCTTACCATTTGGCGTCCTCCTCTTTGATGGGTTCATATCGCTCTACAATATCGAATTACCTTCAACTCCAAGGCAAAGGCAAAAGATCACGCACGGTCAGAAAATACTTGCTGGGCTTCTCGCCTTGATACTGCACTTTGGTTGTGTTCTCTACGAGCAGATACAAGCTGGCTCGAACTACCGTCCTCTTGGTTTCGATGAGTTTCTAGGTCTAACGGCTAAGGGATGTGTTGAAGGTGTGATTGTGTTGGCGATGTTGAGGTTGGCGTATGAAGGATACAGAAGATTGGCCTGAATGAGCTCTCAAAAGTCCACTGAGGGACGCTTATGGTGTACAGTCATTTGTGTGTTAGAGATGTGTTCCACCGAGAGCTGTGAAGTTCAAGTCTCTCAATGGACAGTCCTCGTTTCCCAGAAGATACTCTGCATTTCAGTAGCTGCATCTACTGATTATCATACAGACGGAGCAAGAGAGCCTGAGTTTGTTGAGGTCTGAGCTGTGGGCATACAGAAGACTGATTGCGGTGATCAACTCTCATGATATCACTGAGGGACATACAGAGCTGTGAAGATGCACAGTCATCGAGGTATTTGAGGTGTATTCCATGGAGAACTCTTGAGTATTCACGTCTCAATGGACAATGCCTCTTTCCTGAAACACACTGTGTATTGCGATAGCTGAATTTACTAGTCATAGCACAAGGCGAAGCAAGAGAAGCTGGCTTGCGCATGAAGCAAGGGAGAACAACCATGCCACACACGATACATATACCCAGCGATATCCTCCATCATCGCACCTCCTCAAGACACTCAACAGAACCTCAACTCTCATCAAACTCTCCTTCAACTAAACCAACGATGGGTGTCTTCACGATGCTCGTCCGAGCCCTACAAGCTATACTCCCAAATCAAACTGTGTCCGAAGTCCACTCAATCCTCGCCCACACCCTCATCGTCACCCTTCTTGTCAGCATACAACTTTCTTTGCTCTCAGCCATGGACGTCCTTGTCTCATTTTCCCTCTCCTTCTTTGGTATCCCCTGGAACGACCGCTTCTGTAATTTGCTTCTCTGGTTTCTCAACCTACCACTTTCTGCAAAACAGCAAAAAACCTCAGAACCTGAAAAACATCTGCCTACACGGCAAGAAGAAGCAAAGCCAGACTCCGCAGAAGCTTTAGAAGCTATGGAGGACAAGAAAGCAAGGGAAGCCACACGAGAGCGATCTTCACCTTCTTTTCCGACAAATCTGCTTGTTTTCTTTGTTAGCTTGGAGAGAGGGTTAGCGTCCAAGACAGGCGCGTATGCGATGGATGGGTTCAGTCTCTTTAGCCTATGGCAGTTATGTCGACTGGCGGCTGTAGCGGTGCCTAGGGGAGCTGTCGAAGGGTTTGCTACATGGACGTTATTAAGAGAAGGTCTGTGGTATTTCAGGACAAGATTTGGCTCTCACGATATCGCAGAGCAAGAGGCTGGGTCTCTGGAGTGCACAACCTGGCATCGCATCCCAGAGCCACAAGAGGCACAAGGAAAAGTGTGAGAACACACAATCATCCCGAGACTCGAGAAAGGTCCAGAGAGAGCTATCCAACTGACCAGCTCTTAACCGGGACCCCTCTTTCCCAGCAAGCTTCTCTGCATTATCACAGCTTTCACACATCAACATGTCCCATCACTAGAAACGAGAGAAAAGAAGATAGACTTGTAAATGCAAACACAGAAATGCTGTTGGACTTTATGCTGCTCATAATCTCAGTAAAAGACGCGCCTCGATACGAAAAAGGAAACCATGAATTTTTACCGCATCCTTCGATTTTCCTCGACCAAAAAAAAGGGGGAACAAGCGCCTTGTGCGTGCTGGAGAGTGCAATCATATCAAAAATTTTCGTGAAACAAACTGGGCCAAAACGAAGATGGGATAAGAAAAGTAGAAGAGGTAGAGAAAGCTCTTCCACATGCCGTCGAGGAAGGTATTTTGTTCTGTAAAGAAGATCGAAACGAAAAGAGGGCTCAGCGGAACTGCAGTCTCCTCACTGGAGATGTCTCTCGGTCTGCTGCGTACTGGCTAGCCGCTGGTTCGAGTCCCAACTGCTGGCCTTGCTGATAAGGGTTGTTGTTCCATTCCAGTGCAGGGTTGTACGAGTGTTGAGGAGTAGGCGGGGGAGCACCATTGTAGTAGTGATGATGCTGAGCACTAGCATTCTCAGCAGCCTTGTCGCGGAAGACGCTGAATGCAAAGTTGGAACCAGCAATGGTTACAAAGATCAAGAGGACCGTGAACACCTAATCATGCCGTCGGTCAGAGCAACTTCCATCGGGATTCAGAGTAAAGGGACAACTTACCATAGCTTTGTACGAGATGGGCTCGATGAAGCTGTTGAAGATTTCGGCAAATGCATGAGCACTAATCCTCGCACGACCAACATTTTGAGGATTCTGATTCATGCACTGCTCCCAGTTGTTACAAGCATTCTCCAGAACTGGTGCGCGAGTTGCAGGATCGCAGCGATTTTGGTTGTAATCTCTTGCGCAAGCGGCCATCTGCGCAAGCACCTCGGCCACAGCGATGCTTGTCTTCTTGTCGACATCGCCACGGATGGTAGCCCAGAAACTGTACAGAATATACATTATGCTGCCGATAAGGAACATGTTGAGAAGTAGTTGTGCGTAGAAGGAGAGGACGTGAGGTAATGTTGGATGTGCGGTGATGAACTCGAACAAAGTTACGGTCCAGTGCTTGTTGGGGGTCTGCGGGTATTGTTGTTGCTGCTGCTGCTGATGTTGCTGTTGCTCTTGAGGTGGTGCGGGCTTGTCCAGGCTCTTATCCTGTTTGCTGCTCACCTTGCGTGGCTTGGCGACTTGGATCTGCTTTACTTCTGTCTCAGAGTCTGAGATGCTGTCTCTTCGAGGTACCAGAGCTTGCTGCTCCTTGCTCCTTCTCTTCATAATCTTGCGCTCGGCTCCATGGGCATAGTCATCCTTTGAACGTGGTGATGAAGCCAGATCCTTGAAACCCTTCCACCAACTCTGACGGCGTGACATCGAGTCCTTTTCCTTCTCTTTCTTTCCTCCAGCAGTAAAGACTGGCTTGCTCATAGTATCCAGGTTGGAGAACTTTGATCTCAGGCTCATATCGGGAGTAGCGTCACTATCGACGTCGTTGCGCTCAGGTGATTTGGGAGTCTCGCCGCCAGAAGATGCAAAGTCATCAACATCCAGCTTCCTTGGAGTAGAGAACAAGGGGTTGTTTCGCATAGACGGGGGCAGAGCAGGCAGAGGTTTGGGCGACGAGAAAAAGTGTGGCTGAGAAGCGGGTTCGCGAAGGCTGGGAAATGTTGACTTGTTTGGCGATCCAAAGACTGCGTAGCTACCTGTTAATACCATTAGTCACCTCTGAAGTGGACCTTGGTTTGATCACACGCGAGCTCATGGGACGTACGTTTCTTGTCGTTTGTGTTGACGTTGTTGCGCTGCGAGTTGCGTCCTACTTGGGCAAAGGGTGATCGTTCATCTAAAGGACCTGTTCCATTCTCGTACTGGAAGTCCATAGGCGTGGCATGCATGCGGTTCGCCATGTTTGCTTGTTGATGCAAGATGAAGGAGCAAAGACGTTACAATTTACAAACAAGTCTTGTTGACATGGCAAGATACCCGTAAAGCTGAAATCCGGGGTCACCCTGACACGTCCAACACGCTCTCACGCTGCAGCACGCGTTCCACTCTATTCTTAAGGTCCTCATCACAAACGTCACCCACTGCACTGACATACAGACATTCTTTTGAGCGAAAAAGTAGATTCAAGATCAAACTGCGTAAAGAGGTATCGTGCAAGAGTAAAACAACAAAAGAGAAGACAAAAACTAAATACCCATGTCTTGCTCCACCATTTTGATCCCTTTCCTCCTTGCTCCTAATAACTCCTGCAAAAACGTCATCTTCTTTTTGCATTCCCTAGATATATGAACAGAAAGAAAGTCCTCCTCTTTCCTCCCTCACAATGGAGATTAATAATAAGAGATATCGTAAGAATGAACTGAGTCAAGCAGACCACGTGAAATGCCGATTTAGAACATGCCTGCCTCATTGAGGACAGGGGAACCAATAGCATCGAAGCGCGCGCTGCTTGCTGCTGTCTGTGCTGTATGGGTAGTGTGTTGTGTGTGGCTGGTCTCGAAGCTCTGCTTTACGCGAAGTGGGGGATGTTGAGCGCCGGCTTCAGCAGAAGGCTTGCGCGAACCCATGTGCTCTTGCGATCCGAATGACGGCACGATAGGTCTCATCGGCGGTGAGCTGAATCCATTCAAAGGCGGTGATGTGACACTGTCGGGAGTCTTCTCTCTATCCGACGAGCCATCTCTACCGAAGCCAAACAACTTGCGACGACGAGAAACTACTGCTGCTTGCTCAATGGCGTAGATCTCATCCATACCGTTCTTGAGCGAAGCTCCAGGAGGCAAGTCGACGGTATCAATGTTTGATGTGGATGACACAAGAGTGGGCTCTGAGATATCGAATTTGTTGATGGTCTTCTTGCGCAACAACTCTCCTCTAGGCTTGCCAAGAGGTACGGAAGGCAACACTGCAGGAGCTTGCTTTGGCAATGGAGGCCTTGACACTGATGAAGTGGTGCCTAGAGGAGGAGACATGACCGAATTGAAGCTTGCTGGTGATTGTGAAGGCGATGGACCGATGGATGGTCTTGCGCTAGAATGCAGGCCTGCAGCTCTACTGTTGCTTCTAAGGCGGCCTCTGGGCTCTGTAGACGGCGATCTATATTGGTTGATCTCGGGTGAGGGTCTCTGTGCAGGCATGGCAGGTGGAGTGTCGGCGCCAACACTCACCGCCGTACCGATCTCACCACGGTTGCGACTTCGTGAGCGTGCTCGAGAAGCATCAGAACCCGATCGATTGCGTGATCGTTCTCTGGCTTGCTGCGGAGGTGTACGGCCGATTTCGCTGTCTGCCTGCTGCCTGGCACTTGGCATTATAGGTCCAGGACCAAGAGGCCATTGTGCGCCGGCATTCGTTGATTGAGGTAGCTTGTCCTCATAGCTTGGGTTGCGCTCAGCAGGATGTGCACCAGAAAGACCCAGACCGAGCCTTGAGCTATTGGTCTGTCTCAGATTCATGGTCTCCTGACTGGGCCTGCTTTTCAGCATACCAAACGCCTTGAGGGCACCGCTTGCGCTTGGGCCAGGACTTGGTCCACGACTTTCACTCTCGACAATGCTCTTCATCTTCTCTTGGATGGCCTTCTTACGAGCTTCGAGTTCGTTGGCAAAGGCCTCGCGTTCTGCTTGAGTTGCAGTGCTAGCATCGCGGTTGTGTGCTGGATGCCATGGAACGTTTCCAACATTATCATCAGAGGTCGATGGCCTTGAGCCGTTTGTCTTCAAAGGCAGTGGGTGAAGTCCCTGTCCTTGCGACGCAGTGGTAGCAGAATTTGTCGAAATGCGCGATGGAATATCTCCGTAGTAGTTGTCAAGCTCGTCGATATTCCAGGCGCTTGAATTACCAGAGAGTCGGCGATCTGAGTAAGTGTTCCGGCTAACCGTCGAGGCGCGATCGGCATATGGTGCGTGAGGAGGATAGATGGAAGAGGTATCACTTCTGTTGCGCAAATGCTGACTGATCATGCCACCAATGCCTTCATGTACGCCAATCGTGGGCGAGTCGATGTCTTCAGCACCAGCCTCAGTGGAGGCGATGTTGATAGATGGTTCGGGGAATGGGAAGCCTTTGCGTTCTTCCTCTTCCTCTTCTTCATCTACCTCGGGAAGATAGTCATTACGGAGAGCGGGGTGTTGCGAGGCAGGCGGTTGGTAAGTAGCCCCATAGCGTCCGGCAGCAGGCGCCGAAGGTGCATAGCTCTCGTCCTCATCCTCGTCGTCACTATCGCCAAAGAATGTGCGGTTGTTGTTGTCAAATGTTGCGACTGCTGCTTGCTCTGGAGAGTCTCCGTGAGCAACACGGTTCTGCATAGCAGCGCGTTGGAACACGGCGAGTGCAGCGTTGACCGGTGGCTCGGGGGCAGTAGTAGCAATGGATCCCGCTTTCGAAACAGAACGAGAACGAGATCGCTGAGATGCTCGTGAGAAGTTGTTCTGTCTAATAGAGTCAAAGTGAGCTGCACGAGAGTCTTGAGGATTGTGCTCTACCGACGCCTGTCTCGAAGTAGCACCTTCTCTCGTTGAGAACTTGCTAAGCGGTGGTTGCTCTGCCTGGACCTGTGGAGGGGTCTCTGACTGACTGACTGGTGACAATTTGACTGGAGTATCGATAGGGGACTCACTCTTAGCCTGACCCATTTGTATTTGTCGCTTGAGATACTGCTGCTCATCGAATTGTTGAGCTGGCTTGTTGAACATGCCTAGAGCAGTTGCCTTTCCGTGGTCGCTTTGTTCGAGAGCTGATTGCAAGACTTGGTACTCCTCAGTCTCGGGAATGACGGGGCTGATGGGAGATTGTGGATAGCTGGAGACCGTTGGACTAGAAGTGCTGGAAGCTACCTTTGAGACCAGTGTGTTGAGTGGAGCCATGCCACTTCTGAGTTGCGGACTAGTGGTGGTATTGTTCAGTGCATATGGCTTATAGGCGCGACGATCCTGCAAGTTTCCAATGCTTCTAGAGTGATTGAGAGCAGATGGTAGCGTGGGAGCACGTTGTCGCTGATTGATCGAGTTCAAACGCGATATGGTCGAGGCTTGTTGATCTTGGATGTGTTGATTTAGACCTTGCTCGTACAAACGACGCTTGGTCATGGAGCGTTCCAGTCCAGGTCCAGTAGGATTCGGTGATGTTTTCGGTACTGTTGCAGGAGTAGAGATGGCAGTTCCAATAGATTGCGAGGCAACCGATGTTGCCGTTGATGCAGAGAGATCCTGAGAAGGAATTGAATTTGTCGTCGAATCGCTGTTGCGCTTGAGGAATGAGAAGCCAGTCTCCGTGCCAGACAAACCAAGTCCCTTAGGTAGATCGTCCGATGCACGATGTTCAGGATCGGTTTCAGGAGACAATAGAGCGCTATCACTGTCCCAATCGGCGCCCATCGCAAGCAGTCTCTCTCTTTCTTGCTGCCTGTACTTCTGGAAAGCCGACATATTTAGATCATCATCGTAAACCATCCTTCCCATACCACGTTCGCTGTTGCCTCCTATGCTTTTTGCGGAACCTGTGGCGATCTTGTAGACCTTCTGGCGACCACCGAACAGCACGTTGCCTTCTCCAGGACGAGCACGGCTCATGACGCTGCCATCAGGATTAGAGTTGTTGTCGGTTCCATAGCCTTCTTCGGATGCAAAAGAGCCAGTTCGGTCGAGAGCGAATGGTGGGCGGATAGAGCTGTTAATCGAGGCAACCTCAGCGATGTCGTTGAGGTTGTTGGATGAGAAGCCGAAGTCGAGGAGACGAGAGTTGCGTTGAGGCTGCAGGACACTATCATCTGAGGCCTTTCCGAGCAACGAGTTTGGGTCGTCTTGCTCTCGGAGCATACTGAATCTAGTCGAGAGATTGGGCATGATAAGACTGGTGCGGAAGTCGTCAATTGACGGCAGGGCAGATCCTAGATCAAGCTCTGGTTTCTCCTCCACAACATCTTTCTTGTTCTTCTTCCACTTCTTACTGCTTGTTGTGGGTGGTGATAGCGGGCTAGACGCGGCATCGCCGTTCTTCTTGCCGAGAAATCGGTGCATGCTGGGTGGTTTCCAGCGGAGTTTACAATATCGGGGCGATTGGTGGTGGAAGCTGAGAATTGACTCTTCAAAGTGTCGAACTACTCTCACACCATGGAGCGGTCAAACCAGGAGTTGAGCGCAGGAGTTTGTGAGGCATGCAAAGGCAAACGGAGGGCGATTGAGCGGATAAGCCAGCCAGTGGCTCGAATGCAGTCGGTACGACAGGAAACAAACGCGCGAACGGAGCAATGGTCGGAAACGCAGGCGGCCGTCGAGGGGCTATGGTTGAGTAGATGTGTGGTGGGGGTTCCTAAGTAGACGGGGGTAAGGAATGTTGACTGGAAATTGACGATGGGCGAAAGTCGAGTGAATGGCCAAAAAATGAGCGTCGGTCGAGAGATGCGGCGGAACAAGTGAATGAAAGAGAAAGCAGAAGGGGATCTGATCGAGTCTGACTCGAATCAGTCACGAAAGAATCGAGTAGAGTAGGTCGGTGGCACAGACTTCGTTTCACGGCGGAAAGTGCAGATTACTCTCTCCACGCGCTTGTCTCTACCGTTGCCGCCCTTGTGCTGATCGGAATTGTATATTCCCAAAGCCAAAACGTCTTTTGAGCGAACGGTCTCGAGAATCGAGATATGAGAAGACAGAGGCACTCCTTAATATCCCATTGACCTTCTGTCGAGGCAAATTCCTTTGCACATTAGCCTGCCCACCACACTGCAAGAAAGCCGACCATCTGTTTCAGCTTGGTCGTGACGTTTGGGAACAACGACGCAACCTAAAGCAACTTTGTTCATATCCTCAAGTGCCTGCCGAACCGTCATCTCCTCCGCTTCGTCATGGCTTGTATATCTCTAACCACCGTGGCTAACACGCAACAAGTCTCCCGCATCGCCATCGCGATTAGGCGACGCCGTCAAACAGTAAAGCAATCCAACATCCCGGTCGTGGCATGGCAGTCATGGCCCTGATTGTGCTTGGCTCAGGGGTAGAAATTGAACGAACCACGTTCCTGGGCATGGCGGTCATGCGACATGATTGGCCCGAGCCGCGGAGAGAAGAAGCCTCTTCGGCGGGCCGCAGAAGCCGTCAAGTTTGACTCGCCTAGTCGAAAAGCATCTGCCTTCATTGCATTTGCATGACAGCTTCTGAGAAAGCCTGTCGAGTTTCGAAACCTACTTTCTTGACCATGTGTCAACTTACCCTTGGCCCCATTGCTTCAGCCTCTGACCCCGACAGACCCCTAGGCCTTCCATGTCAATGCAAGCAGCCATGCCGCCAGCAGCAAGCCAGACAAGCCGTGTGATTCAGAAGTAAACAAATCCATGGCTCAAGCGCAGGGTCCTGCAACGGCCAAACACCAACAGCGGGACGTTACAAAAGACAATTTTTAACTTCGCTGTGCTTTCCCACCATTCATCTCATGTTGACAGCTGAGACAATAATTGTAAGGCTCTGGTAAAGTTTGAATCTGATAGACAAGCTCTTCTGGTCAACACACATGGTTGTTGCACCTGAAAATTCGTTGCGTAAAGCACGTTTAGCAGCCGGAAGATCAGTGACCAAGCTTCTCCTTCAATTTACTGTACATCCTCGAGTCTAAAATTCTCCGATGCATGATTCACAATGATTGACAGCTTTCGATACATAATCTGGGCACTCCCACGACGATCTGGATTCTTTCAACTGGCAAAAGCTGATAGGAGACAAGTCCACCTCACGCTGTTTATTTCCATCCGTTTGGAGATTGTCCGTATAGATCAAACGGGTTTATGTAGATCTGTGTGAAAAGTGTGGGGGTAAATCTGGAGTGTGTCACTTTGAGAAATAAGCTGAAAAACATAAACACTGTGTCGGTATGCCTGTTCACAATGGATCATGATGGAATTCCTGGCACTTTTGGAACATTTGTATCTGCGCAGAGATGGTACTGTCTAAAAAGTGACCATAGTTGCGAACAGAGGCGAAAGTTGGGATACGAGCCAGGCCACTCCTGAAGATCCTACCCTAATGGCCGCTGAGCTCTTGTCATCATCATGCAGAACGGTCTATAACCTCCAGCCCTAGAGCCTCGTTGCGAACCGGACCCAAGGCCGCACAGTTGGATAAGCATGCAGAGAAGGAGTCTTGTGATGAAGCAAGCTTGCACAGACATTCCCAATCGTTCGAAGCGTTTGATCGTAGCGGTGCACGAGTGACCTCATATCTCGAGCTGCTCAGTCTTTTTGTGCGAGATTGCTGAACATGTTTTTGGATCTCCATGCCACGCCAGGAGGCGTACGATCACCGGTATGTTCCCCCTTCTTCTTTCTTTTCTTTTTCTTCTTCGTCGACGTTTCTGCTGTATCTTGAGTGATACCCAAGCTTTGCAATGTGCTCAACACAGCCGCTCTAGCAGCTTCAGCCTCGCCATCAACCTTCGACGTCTTCTCGTCGAGAAGTTCCCGCAGGCTAGGCAGATCGTGAAGCAAAGTGATGAGCTTTTGTAACGGCGAGAGAATTTCTTGACTCGTGCCTTCGAGGAGATTGTGTACGATAGTGGAGATTTGGGATAGCATTCTCAGCGAGTAGAGAGATGCCTGCATTTGACCGCTGGCATGAATGAATGACCAAGATAGAACGCCCTCGCGTGACCCTGTGACAAGTCTGCTGATATCGCTGCTTAGTGGTGGAGGTTTGTCGTTGTCGAGGTTTGATTGACAGACGAGTTTCATTGCCACAGCACGCCATCTGGCCGCCCTGGATAGCGATGAATGCTGTGCCAGATCTTGCTGCAGAGCTTTCAAGCAGTCCTCTAGCATCGTACTTGGGTCGGTTGTGGTGTCCAGTTCAACTACTGTCCCTGCCACACGAGTGCCCTTTCGCTCAAATTCGGTGACTTGTGTAACGCTCGAGTTTAGTACATGTAACAGCGAGTACGCCTGAGCACGGATAGAAACGTCAGATCGCCATGCAGATGTTCTCGTCGGATCATCGATGATGAATGGGAGGTACATGTTGAGATTTTCAGAGTCCTGCAGATCTGAAGGCGCTTCTTGGACTTCCTTTACACGAACCAAATGGACAATCTCAGAGATCCTTGGATCGAGTCGACTAAGCGCTTCTACTGTCTTTGTTTCGTTCATGCTCCTTGTCATCGCCAGTTTGGATAACTTAGGAAGAGATCCGTATTCTTCTGCAAACTCTGCAAATCCAGCAGACATTGGCGTATTCTTTGCTGCAAGTCTGGTGTTCTCGGTAAGACTCTTGTGATGATCCTGGGCCATGAAGAATGCCAATTTGACCAGATTTGGGAGTTCGAACCGCTTGGCGATAGCAGCTGGGTGGTACTCCTGAGTCTTAAGACACTTTCCCCGACTCGGTAAGTGAATAGTCTCGAGATCTCGAAAAAGTATCACTTTTCCAGATTCTCCTAGATCATGGACCAAAAGATCTGAGTCACTGGTGAAAATGACACCACCGTATTTTCTGGCGGCATCTGCGCAGTAAGCATCCGCCTCACCAGGAATGACCGAGACAAGAGAGCTGAAACGGCTTTCAAGAAGCATTTCGATGACTGCAGGAACCAAGAACGGTGGGGCAGGAAGAGCTTTGAGTCGATTTGAAGAAACGACTGCAGTCAAGACATCAAATTTCGATGACTGCACAATATCCATGCGAGAAGGCAAGTCTTCCTTGTTCAGCGCCTTGAAAGTGACAAGCTGATTCGCATAGCTCTGCAATCTCGACAATCTAGTGCTTTGTTTGGACAACGGCAACAAGCCGTCGAAGAAGACTGATTTACTACATGAAGAAAAGAAAAATCAGCCACTTACTCTGAATAGACCCCAGTGGTCGACATACATTTTTAATCCGTACTGCTCGATTTGCTCGAGCCAGTTTACAGCAGCCTGGCCCAACTCTTGGTACGTCGGAGTGGCTTCGAAAGCATTTCTTGCGCTTGTTCTACGAGCTATACACACATAGAAGACATGGTATGCTAGACTGGGTCCATCGATGATTGCATTTTCGTGGTTTGCTGGATTTTGCGGTAGAACAACTTTATCGCCATAGGGTGATAGCGAGTGCGTCAAATGTGGTATGCCCATTGCAGCGATGCTCAATCAACCACGTTTCAGAGCATTTGAAGAGGGCGGCTCGAAAGGTCGCTGAATCGGAAAAGGAGGGTAGTTGTCCGAGGAGGAAATTCGCTTTGTCGCTTTCGCGACGCGCGGAACGTCTCCCTGGAGGCTGTGTCTGACTTTCCATCTTGAAGCCCTTCAACTTTCTCACCCTATCGCACAAGACTAAGTCAACTACCACCAAACCGATCGCCAAGATGCCTACAATGTGGCTCTCAGACTCCCAGAGTATGTATACAACATCAGCTCGCCGTGTGTTCCATGCTAATTCAAATGTAGAGATTGGGGTTGCCTTTTGCTCCGGCGGTAGGTGAGAGTGTGCGCAAAGTCGCATTCATTGCACGAGCAGCTCTGATTGTCAACATAGGAGGCTTCTTCCTGATTGGAGGTGTCATAATGTTCTTTGATCGCGCAATGTACGTTCCACCACTTGTCCTCTACAGCAAGACAGCTAACCAAGAAACAAATAGGTTGGCCATGGGAAACGTACGCTCATCCACACCCGCAACCACTGGTGCAGCACTCACAAACGTCCACAGATCCTCTTCTTGGCCGGTATAACCCTACTACTCGGAGTCCAACGAACCTTCCTCTTCTTCGCGCGCCGCCAAAAAATCAAGGGCACGGCAGCTTTCGTCGCAGGCATCATCCTCATCCTCCTTCGCTGGCCATTGATCGGGTTCCTCGTCGAGATTTACGGAATCTTCATACTGTTTGGCGAGTTCTTCAAGACGATAGCTGGATTTGCGTACAATATCCCAGTCGTGGGTCCATACCTTGCGAGGGGTCTGCAAAAGGCTGGCGAGAAGGCTGGAGAGGGAAACAAGAATAAGGATCTGCCTGTCTAGCGGATGAAAGAGCTTGCGCATTATAAGACATACCGCAGGACACTTCGATTGCCTTGCAGACAACTGGTCTGTTGTCATGATAGCAGAAAGCAGGCCACAGGACAAAGACACGATGAACTTCACGATTCACGACGAACGACAAATTCAAGAAGCACAAGTTCGTATTACCGCCCTGTGCAAAGCCATTGGCACGAAATATTGGTCATGACTGAGAGAAAAACGGCTCGATATAAAACCCCGTGTATACCTAAACATCCAAGAAAAGATACGCTTTTTGAAAATCCCAGGACTCCGTTCGTATGCTCGTCTCGTTTAATGACCGTTGGTGGTCGACTTCTTGACCTGTCTTCTGGCTCTGACGCCCTCGGCAAGGTCCTTGAGGACGTCGACGGTCGTCTCCCAGTTGATGCAGGCGTCGGTGATACTGACACCTCTCTTGAGGCCAGAGGGACCCTCGGCAGGAACCTTCTGGTTGCCTTCGTTGAGGTGAGACTCGATCATGACACCAACGATACCGTCCTCGCCGGCGCGAAGCTGCTCTGAGATAGTCTTGGCGACCTTGGGCTGGTTGCGGTGGTCCTTGAGGGAGTTTCCTGCAGGCAATTATTAGCTTTCGAATCCTGGAAATGACAAGCTTGGCTTGCTTACCGTGCGAGCAGTCAATCATCATGACCTCTGGCAGGTTCTTCTTGGCCAGGGCCTCTCTGCACTTCTTGACATTCTCGGCGTCGTAGTTGGTACCCTTGGTTCCACCTCTGAGGATGACGAAGCAGTCCTTGTTTCCGGTAGTCTTTGTGATGGCAGCAAGACCTTGCTTGGTGACACCCATGAAGTAGTGCTTAGCAGCGGCAGAGCCAATGGCGTCAACGGCGACACCCAAGCTGCCGTCGGTACCGTTCTTGAAGCCCATAGGGAAAGACAGACCAGAGGCAAGCTCTCTGTGCAGCTGAGACTCGGTGGTACGGGCGCCAATGGCACCGAGGGAGATGAGGTCTGCAAGGAACTGAGGAGAGATGGTGTCGAGCATTTCGCTGGCAATAGGCATGCCCTGGCTGGTCAGGTCGCAGAAGAGCTGGCGAGAGACGCGCAGACCCTTGTTGATCTTGTAGCTCTCGTCGAGGTCGGGGTCGTTGATCAGGCCCTTCCAGCCGACAGTGGTACGGGGCTTCTCGAGGTAGGCGCGCATAATGATGCAGAGGTCATCTTGGAGCTCGTCGGCGAGCTTCTTCAGACGACCGCAGTACTCGACAGCAGCTTCGGGGTCGTGCAGCGAGCAGGGACCGCACATGACGAGAAGACGGTCATCCTCCTTGTGAATAATGGCCTGGGCTTCGCGACGGCCCTTCTTGACGGCGTCGAGAGCGACCTGGGTAGCGGGGATCTCGGAGGACAAAAGTTCGGGAGAAATTAGAGGGTCGTAGCCCAAGACGCGAGTGTCGTCGTTCTGGGACTCGCGCAGCTGCTGGGCATCGATGTTGGGGCCGGCCATGTTTGCTGTGTGTGAATGTGCTGAATGTCAAACAAAGTGGGATGACTGGATGACTGTAGTCAATTATTGTGGAAAAGAAATGGCAATCGGGCCGCGTTGCAAGCCGATGGCGGGCGGCTCTGCTGGGCAATTCTTTGTTCTAGGCGCAGTTTTTGTCAAGCCACAGCACGCCAGTACCCCACATCTTCACTACATACAAGCAATTGCGTCCCTGACCGCACGTCCACCTGCTCTCACTAGTGCCTGCCTGGTCTGGCCATGAAACACACTCGCTGACTCCCTTCAGCCTTCACCTGCATGCTGGCTCATGTCTCCCTGTCCCTCCTTTGCACCCCACCTGTCTAGATATCCACAACTGCCACTTCAGCCCTGCCTGACCGCCCGTTATGTTCTCTACACTGTCCCACAAACGTCGCCATGACGATGACGACGATGTTATGTCCATGCACCACGACAAGGTATAACCACATTCCTGTGTATACAGTACATGATGGAGCTCACCTTCTCATAGAGATTGCGTCACTCTTCTGGAAACAACCATGGTGTTTTTGGTTCAAACCCCAGCATCGAAGCTCAATCTATACCTGGTGCCATGGACGATTCATTAGCTTCCACCATAACAGGAACCGACTCATCCGACGACATGGATATGGACATGAGAGATGACTTCCAGATGGAATTCTCCCAGTCTCCTGAGCAGCCATCTTCCTGGATCATCCCAAACGCCCCGCTCCGGAACCCTCGGATGGCTCTTGATGATAGAGGCTCACGAGTGCCAACTCCCATTGCTCTCTTGTCTACACGACCAAAACCTACTCCGCTCCAAGGTAACACCAGTGCTAGTAGTTCTTACAATGCCTCTACTTCGATGCGTGCTCGTTTGGCTGGCCCAAGAGAACGCTTCCCATCACCAATCTCCGAAGACGAGCCTCACACACCCACCACAGCTACTGGAAGCCAGTTCTCCTTGTTGACTGTTAACGATATCGATATGGATGCTGAGACGACACCCCGACCTCCTCCACCACAAACGCCAGAGATACACGTTCGCAAGCAGCGACAACGAAGTGGTGCTTTCACATCTCCGCGTGACCAAGACACTTCTAAAAAGTTCTCTATGGGTTATCGTGAAGACTGTGACAAGTGCAGGAATCGTGTACCTGGCCATATGAACCATTTTCTAAGGTAGCTGCTATTGACTTTTGTTCTGTTGCTATACATCAGGCTATCGTACTACTGGGTACAGACACTGGCGTCAGGGTGTCTGTTTTTTTCTGGCGCAACTGGACTTAGGAGAGCATTGTTAAATACATCTGTGCATGTCAAAGCGGCACTTTCTGGACTTTTGAAATGAGCTTCCCCTCTATGAGTGTGATCTGCCTCAACTCCTCGTATCCCTTCTACGTTCCATCGATTCTTAAGCGCATCATGAGTTGCGATGTCTCAATTTGACGAGCGCTTCCTCCAGGAGACTTTCTTGGTGTTGGCGGTCTTACTATTGCCCTCTTCCTCGGCCTCCTCGTCCTTCTTGCCATCATCTTTGGTGCCGCCTGACGATGGAGCCTGGCGCAATGCCAGAGACACGCCCTCTCTGCTCTGCTTGGGCAAGAAGTCCTGCCAGCGCGCAGAAGACTCAGGGGCGCTGGATGTACAGGGGAAAGGAGTGTCAGACGCACTGACTGGCGCAGAGACCGAGGCACCAGCGAAGTCACGCCAAAGATGTACAGGCGCAATAGGCAAGCTCTCCTCGTAACCCCCACCAGGAGCAGAAGCTGCCACAGCTGCTGCTTGAGGTGCAGCAGCAGGGTCATCAGGAGTGACGAATTCGCCATCTCTAGTGCGGCCGTCGTCTCTAAGGTACATCTACTGCTTCATCAGTACAAAGCTTTCTCATCCTCGATCTTCCTGCTCTTACGCCTTTGCCGTTTACTATGATTTTGTCATAGGTGCAACAAAATCCTGCAGTGATGCATGTCGAGCAAGGACTACCATCATCGCACTTGAGGTTGAGGAGATAGCAGTGTCTGCAACACATCTTCTCCTGTGACAACATCAGTAATCTAGTTTTACTCCTGGTAATCATCATTGTATCGTTCTTGCAAATACTCACGGATGTTTGGGAGGAGACAGTGGGGGCCTATATGCTTGCTCGCGGACCTGAGAACATGCACAAAACTGAACCCAAGATCTCATTGTTTACGAGACTTTTCTGAATCAATTTATGTTTCTGCGTGGGAGTGCCGAGACCTTTGTTGCTTAGTCGTTCGAACATGGACCCGCGTGTCTGGGATTCGTTGTTCGTGGTTCAAGTCTTTCTTGGGAGTCTCAAAAGGATTTGAGACTTTTTTGGTTTTTGTTGCTGTGGGAAGGCAGTGTTTGGTATCATGCTTTGGGGGAAGGTATGTCAGGTTTCATACAGGAGATTTACGTTGTGTGCCTTATGGTTGCTCTACTGTGTGCCTGGCATGTTACCTTGGGTGTGATCTTAACGTTTCTCTGGTGAAGCCATAGTTCGGAATAGCTATTGGATGTCATGATAGTGGTTGTTTCTCGGCAGTGGCACTCAGAAGATGTCGACTCTACAACACCCTCGGTGGACACAATTCTTTTTCCAATTTTCCAATATTCCCTTTTGCATTTTCACAGAAAGGTGTCCGCAAGTTATTGGTGAGTGCAGCTGCGTTCAGAATCCGAGCATCTCGAAATCTTATATCTTGAATATCTCAATGATTATGCATATGTCGGTCAATCAGTGATATGTACAGATCATTCTAGTCTCTCTATTTGCGATGATATGGTGCATGAAGAACACAAGGTACAAATGGTGTTGCCAGTCAAGTTTTTGTCTTCGTGATGCTTGCTTATGGTATGACCCTGGCCACAAACAACCTATACAAACCACCAGATTTTGATAGTCACCACAGGCAATTTCAAACACCTTATCCTAAGAGAAGAATACTAGATACCCATTCTATCTACTCCCTCGCAAAGAATCCCATCTATCCCTTCTCTACCACTTGTATTGATATCCACAACAACCACCACCCAACCTCTTCTCCCGACAACAATAGAACTTCTACTTCTTCTTGCCATCGCACAGCTGCACAACAGCATACTTGCCACTCCAAGCCCATTTACGGGCACCACTATCTCCACCGCCGTTTTCTGTGGCACGGAGACGTTCGTCTTCGCCTTGGGGGAGTCCGACTACTACGTCGGCTTTGCAGGTGCGCAGGGCGAGGGTGCGCATTCCTGAGCCAGGACCTAGAGGCCCGATGGCGGTGGTGAAGGGGGTTGTGGGGTCCCATGCTGCCTGTTTTTGTAGATTTAGCTTAGCAAATCTGCGTCTACAAAACCAAGGGGAACAGAAAGAGGGGAAAGATACTTACATCACCAGTCAACTTGCGGTAATTCAAATCACCCTTGAAAATAACCAATTCGCTAGTCTTGAGATCCTCAAACAGTGCTTCTGCAGTACCAGGAAGTCTCCAGTAACTGCCTGCTTCAGTCCAGAATCTGTTGGGACGAAGCACAATCTTTCCCTCTGCATACAATTCACTCCAGTTCTGGAACAACTGTTGCAAATCGCTTGCTTCCTGCTCAGAAAGTTTGGCTGGTGTGATACCCTTGGCTTCGTCGTCTTCAGAGGGAGACTCGTAAAAGTCCTTTGCGTTGACCAAGACAGTCAAGAGGTCTGAGAAATCCTTGGGCACAACGTCGGAAACGAACCAGGGGATGTTCTTGGGGTGTAGGACTACGGTGGTGGCGAGACCGGCTTGCAAGAGGTATCCAGCAAGAATGACATCGACAAAGAGTTCAAAGCCTGCATTATCGAGGACAATGTCTACGCGACGCTCCTTGGTTCCTTGACTCTTGGCTGCATGAAGCAGTTCAAAGGCTGCGTCAAAATCGTTGGCGATGATGTTCTTCTCTGCTGCTTTTCTTGCCTTGGAGCCCTGCAGTTTTTGAATATCCTCGTAGGTTAGGTTGGTAAGAAGCGACAGGTCTGTGGCATTGCCCCAGAGACAAATCTCGCACATCTCAGTGAAGAGGATTTTCTCAGCTGCCACACGCTCTTCATCTGATTGAGATGAAGCAGACTTGGAAGAAAGTTGTTTGGTAAGTTCGTTGTAGCGAGAAGCGAGCTCCAAAACTGCAGGGCGAGAAGAGCGGAAAGTAGACATCTTTTGCTTGTTGAAGACGTCGTAGTTCTTCCAGTGGGTGGAGAGCTTGAAGAGAGTGGACATGCGGCGGTACAGGTAGCACTCAGAGTAGAGCCATGGTACGCTGAACCATTTAGGGTTGTCGAGCTGTTCTAGTTCCTTGTTATATCCCTCGATGTCGCCTTGTCCATCGTCGGCCAGTGGTCTTTTCGCTTGTCAGTATCGTGAGCTCAAGAGTCTGCTTGTCTACTCACGTAAGCTGGCGGTCGTGCTGCAACTCATACTTGAGCTTGGCGAGCTCAGAAACAATATTTTTGCCCTCTGTCTGCTTTTCAGAGTCCTCAGTCTTGCCTACTGCCTTGTGCAGGTCGTCAATGGCACCTGTCTGAAGCAGTTGTTAGCAAATTGTCGTTGAAGCTCGCTTTCAAGATACTGTCGGTCTCTCGTCCGGGATAGCCAAGTAGCAGTAGCCGTAGCATATCGGATGGGCCGTGCAGATCGAAGCTCAACAGTCGAATGAGATTCAAAGATACTCCTGACAACAGAACAGCATGCCATCCATGGAGTCGACACCGCATCAGAAGCCAAGAGCAGCAATTCAAGCCAGACAAAAACCCCAGACAGAGAGATCGAAGAAGTCCAGTGGATACTCACAAGAATAACAGGCCAGCGGTCGCGCGCAGAAATGTACGCAAATGATGTCTTGTCCGAAGTCTGGTAAAGAGCTTTTACACGCCACAATCAATATTTTCTCAATGCAGACATCGTCAAATGCACTCACGCGTCTTAGTATCAAACTCCATGATTGCGTTCGATGTCACAAAAGAGATATCAAAAAAATTGTTGAACAAGAGTGTTTGGAGTGATGTGAAGCACCCAAAGCATGCTGTGTCATCGAGCAGCTTCGGCTACGCTAGCCAAGTCTGTCGTTGCCGGCTACGCTAGCTGGAAACGCAAATCATGTTGCTGCCACGTTTTTCTGCGGCCCACGTTCTTGACTCTCGCATCCACACATTTTGAATCGCCAGAATTTAATCAGCAGAAGTTTGACAACAAATGGATTTCCAGCAAAAAAAAGTACTTGCAGTCGGCTACAGAGCAAAAGCAATGTGGAGTAGCTGGGAATCGAACCCAGAACCTTCTCCAACTCAGGACTGCTCGAGGAGCAATGCTAAGAAGATGTCATACCACTAGACCACAACCCCAATTGATGGTAGAAATGTGCTTGGAAAATCTCATGATTCTTTGCTCCACCATGATTTCCTTGCTCTTAGACTAGGCTCTCAATGCCTCATACTCTGTTCAGCGAAGCTCATTTGCGCCAAGAATTGGAGCTAGTGTAGTTACTGTAGTAAGTGTGTGACGCTGCTGGTACAGTGGCCGATTTCGTCATTGACAAGGACACACTCGAGCCCGAAATGCTCAAGTAAGCTGCTTGTGTTTCGGACAATGCTTGCGTACTATTCTGTGGGAACCCACCAGGGGCAGTGCCGGTCTGACTGTTTTGACCAGTCTTCAGAAGTGCTAGTAGACTGTAATGGCCACCAACAACAGGTCTCGCTATGAAGGTCGGGCCGCCCACAGGGTAGCCTCCGGTGCCAACAGTGTCAAATAGATCACCAAAGGGCAACCCCGTGCTGGTATTGTTGAGCCAGTACGCTAGCGAATTCACAAACAGTCGGCGAGTCTCAGGGGAGCATGTTGCTGCTGTCCACATCTCCCAATCAGATTTAGTGTAGGTATGTCGACTATCGAGCTGGACCTGCGATCGTTTAGTAAGGTTCTTGCAAGGTGAATGTTATTAGCTGACTTACACCAAAGACTTGAGAGATGGTCGGATACCACTGGCTCTGCATATCATAGAGACTCTGAGGTATGATACCAAGATTCAGAAGCTTGTCAGGATAAGTGTTGTAAAGCAGACCAAAAGATGCACGACTTTGATATGCGAGCATAGTATGGGTACGACTAGGGTCGATCGCAAATTGCTCCCATCGAGTGTAGTAAGCAGAAGCAGTACCCGAGTAGTTGGCCGCCGCTGAGAAGTCACCCACTGCCTCAGAGATGAAGGACATTGCTTTCAGTCCCACAATACCTTTGATGGCCAGATTAGTTTGGTTGGCAAGAGTCCCAGCAAAGTCATCAGTGCTCAACTGTGCCTCTGGAATGAGCGAGTATTGAGTCACGTAACTTGCCCATTGACGGAATTTGGCGTAATTTTGAGAGAGGAAGCTTGCATCGCCAGTGAATTTGTAGTAAGCATAAGCCATCAGAAGCATATTGCCACTTTCCTCGACTGGCATGTACTCGTCGTTACCTTCGACATGGCCAGTGGCATTGGGGAAGTGTGTGCCCAGATCATGCATACTGTAACCGTTTGGGTAGAATCCATTCTCTTGATTATAAAGCAATGGGTTCAAGACCATTTTGAGCATCTGAGGGTTGGCGTAAAGGTAGAAGGGTAAAGCCGGGAAGACAACGTCCACAGTGTTCACGTTGCCATCACTAGAAATCTCCTTCTGGAATAGAAGCGGTTCACCTGGCACGATTGATGATAAGTTGCCGTATTGCAGGTTTGGCGGTACCGTCAGAACGTACGCTCCCATGACCTGACGTGCGCTCAGAGCTACAATAGCGTAATAGCTTTCGGCTTCCGAGACGTCGGGTACAGCAATACCGCTGAAGTTGTTGGGGTCGAGGAAACCATAGCCGTTGCTTGAATCAAAGATGTAGGCTTGACCAAATTGGTTTGTACCGTAGTATTCTTCATCCGAAGCATTGGCATAAGAAGGAGGAGGTGACGGAGTGCTGTTGCTGTAGATTGTTGCTGAAGTGGTCGAGTAGTACGCTTGGACGTCTGCCTTCAGCTGAGCTTCGAAGTCGGCTCCCTTCGCTTGACTAGTTGCGAAGTCGTTGTAATGGAACTCAATAAGGTTAAACAAACTTTCTCCGTAGCACTCAGTCCACCACGGTTGAAGAGGTACAAGCCCATCCGATGTCAGAAATCTGATGACATTCTGTTGCACAGTTCCGATAGTGTACAGTGCACTTCCCGATGTTGCTGAGCCGAAGTCATGTACAAATGCGAAAATTGGCTCCTTGCTTTGAGCACCACGGTAATCAGAGTCCACCACGTCAGTAAGTCCGAAGGTTGTGACGTAGTTGTATCGAAGGTCGAGTGAATAGCCACTCTGGAAGCTGAAGTTTTGAGCTTGACCGGGTCTCGAGGAGTAGGTGAAGTTGCCCCATTGAGGAAAGTCAGCCTGCTCTCCAAATTCATATTGGGTCTTATGAGTGAGCATCCAACTGTAAATAGCAGATGGATGACCTGTTGCATTACCACTTCCATTGACAGCTGAAGTTCCCTCGTACAGGTTCCAAATCACGGCCGTGTTAGTCTCTGGTGAGATCCAACCTGCATTGACATCGCTATACAACTGGACGTCGTGAGCCTGCTGGTCTGTACTGTGGAAGCTGACCTCAAGGTAGCTAAGGGGTACACTGGTCCGGCAAAGGTCTTGTGGTATGACAGGACTGAAAAAGCTTGCGACAAGGTCGACAGGTCCGGCACGAATGGTGAAATTCGAGTACTGAGAATCGAACGAGACGGCGAGTTGAGAAGCAGTTTTGATGTTCTTAAGTGGCGGGAGAGATTGCAAACCAGTACCCAGATACTCGTAAGCAACTTGATCTACGACAATGATACCTTCCCAACCAGCAGCGTTTCCGGGCCAGAACATAGCTCCGTTAGTGTTGAGAGTGCCATTGTTGACAGTAGATGTCCAGATGCTGGTGTAGGGGCTACGGACAGCAAGAGGTATAGCTGGAGGCCGGACAGGCGAGTAAGATGGATCCTTGTGTCTAACAGCCATGAGCAAAAGAACCAACGGAGGCGCTCGACGATGCGAACATCGAGTCACAGCAAGCAGTACCTGTTGGAATCGTAATCTTGGGTGTACGGGTCCTGTGCCCAAGCAATTGAAGCAAGCGATGCCAATAACAGTACTCTGACCATGGCAATGGATGACACAAGCATTGTTGGGATGCTTGAGAGATCAACGAAGGACTACATGAATTTATATGTGCAACGGGTAGCAAGTGCGGAGAAGGAAGGAACGATGGCTGGCTGGGGCTGGTCTTGCTCATTGCATGCTCCGCTAGCAGCACGCAGACTGTTGCCGGCTCGACAGAAGCTTGATGCGGAGAAAGAAGAGGGGGATCATCGATACCGCGAGTCGATCAGACCGGCGCTGTGCAGATGAGGTGCTACGTGAATTTTGCTGTGGTGATTGATGCCATGCAGGATATATGAATACGTGTTACACAGGCACTGGTCTAGGAACAGGGGCGTACTATCGCTTGGGAAAAGCACCAGTAAGATATGTCTGTCCAAATGGTCTGGAGAAGACAACCGCTCGTGGAGAAGGATGCAGGCTAGGGAAAGCGAAAATGTGAGGTTATTCGAAGAGACAGGCAACGGAGTCCGGTGGGGTCAAACTTGCCCCAATCAATCAAAGGCTATATACATCAAGTTTTCGGCAACTTCCATCAATCTCTTCTTTGCTCAGTTGGTTTAGAGCGTCTGACTGTAATTGTTCGATTGTCATCAGAAGGTCCTTTGTTCGACTCAGAGAGAGGAGATTTCTTTTTGTCTTTTTGCTCAGCCATCTTGGTACTAGACTACTGTGAGCGTCTTGTTTTGTTATCACAGTTCACATCAATTAGCACTCATTCTTCTGACGATATTGCATCTTGTGATTCAGCACTATCAGATGATGGCCTTACTTCATCACAAGTTGCAAATGAGTAAAGCATCATACAATGCGAAGGGAGACGAGCTGTGAAGAATCCGATTCTTGACATATATCTACGCTGAATTTCGACAAAAAGCTTGATCAACAATAGAGGAAGTCATTCGTGTGATAACACATGCTCGATGGGACGCTTCCATATGCCAAGTCCAACCAAAGAAACACGCCTCAAGATCTTGATGCATCATACACAACTGGCCTGTTTCCGCCTTCAACTATTGCGCCTCATGTAAGTCTCAGATGCCCATGTCCGCTGTTGTCGTTATGACAATTAATCATTATTCGTATGTAATGCGAAAAAGGTGAGATTTGACCGCATCCACTTTCTCGATAGGCGTAGTATGCTAACGTGGCCTCCCCAATACCCCTCCACAATGTATCGAGAAGTCCCAACTTATGACGCTTTCTGACCATCTTGGTGTGCAGAAGAATTGGTCCCAAACAGAGGCATTGGCGTGCCAAATGCGCCCATCTGTGGCCTTCTGTAGTTGATGTTCTCATAAAGCTCTGGCTTACGATCTTCTGGCTTTCCATTCTGCGCATGCAACGCGCTCGTGACGAAAGCCTGCTGAGGAGCGGAGTGTTCGACAGGGAGTCCTAAAGGCAAGCCATTTGGTGCCGCGCTTGTATGTGATGGTGCACCATGGCGATCTACCTCGGCTGGATCACTGGGTGTCTCGATAGTCGAAGCACTAGACAAGCCCGAGAAGTCTCGTCTGTCCCCACGGTTGCTCAGTGGGTTGCCCAGCGCAGAGCGTACTTTGAGCTGATCAGTTGGTGAGACGTCACCAGGTGGACCTTGTGCAAAACGTTCTCCAGTCTGGGGTACCGCACTTGAAGGAGGGTCGCTAGGTATGCCAATGGTGTCGTTTGAGCCAAGACCATTTTGTGGGTAATCGGCGCGCTTAGCGGGGTTAGGTAGGGGGGTGGTGAATGGAGAAGCAGTGCGCTGGCCAGGTGCGGAGCTTTGACGTATCAGATTCGATTGAAGATGCATACCGTAGGTGCCGAATGGACCAGGAGTTCGTGATTGGTGATGCAAAGGATGCTGAGGATTGGCCCATGGAGTCTGTTCTATGAATCTTTCCTCGGCAGTACGTACAGATGCAGGAGCCGAATGCATATGCACAGAATTCTGGTAAGCGGGGCCTTGCTGTTGAGGCAATGTTTGCCTACGTGGGATGTGCATGGCCTTGAAGTCATCGTCGAGCTCGTTCGTCCGTGCGCCTTGAATATCTGGTGCAGCAGGGAAACCTCGGTATTTGGCCATACCAGACAAGATTGATACCTCGCGATTGTACTTCTCCTGGTTGCGCACTTGGTCGGAGCGCTTTGTAGGAAACTTGTACGAGTACTGATCTTGTTGATCGGCCTGGAATTGGCGACGTTCTTTTTGGATGTCGTACCATTGCTTTCCTAGCTGCTCCAATAGTGAATCGCGCAGCTCTCTTGCTTCCTGGAAATATTGGGTATGCAGTTGGGCACGCTCAGCAAGCACCTGGGTTCGAAGAGTGCCGAGCTTATAACGATGTAGCGTAATCTCTTGTTGGATCTTGGTGTCGCGTCGAGCCGTAATGCATTGCAGCATAGCAAGAAAATCGGGATGAGTTGCATTCGGCAGACTGAGTTGCTCCAATTCGGCTTCTGCTGAAGCCAAACGTTCATTGTGCATTCTGGCACGTCGTTAGTTTCAATGCGCCTGACAAAAAGACGTGAGACTTACTTGGCGCGGAATGTTTGGAACTGCTCGACGATGGCTGTGAAAGCTTCAGTGGCGCGCTTTCTCGTCTCGTCGTCGCCATCATTTGTCTCGTCAGCCTCATCATCTTCGAGCTCTTGTCCGACGGTTTCAGCGGCTGGAGAAGTGTCGCGTAAAGGTTTTGTTTTTTGTTTGGCTCTTTTCAGACGAGCAGCCTTCATTGGTGAGATGTAAGGATTCTCGTCAGCTTCGTCAGTAGGCTCTGGTGTCTCTTGTCGACTCTCGGGGAGTTGTTCGACATGATTGCTGTGACTGAGAGCAAGGGCTTCCTCAGAGTCAGAGTGCTCAGAGAGAGGGCTGTCGGCGTCGCTAATCGGACTCGGTCTTTTACGCTTTCTGCCTGCGATGGCTGTAGGAGAGGCTGAGAATGAAAGATCAGCACTGAGATCCTGAACAGAGACAGTAGTAGTACCTAGGCGAGCTTGTGAAGGTGAGGGCGACTGTGGTTGAGGTTCTGGCGATGAGGCAGGTTCAGAGCGAACTTCGGCCTGATTCAATTTTGTCGGAGAGGGAATCCATGACTTTACAGGAGACCGTTCAAGGCGTTCGGTTTCTGCTTCTGAATCACGGTCGTTGTTGTCTCTCTGGTCTTGGTCGTCGAATTCGGCGTCATAGTCGCTCAGACTGCTCGAACCGTCACTTTGGTCGACATGATCAACTTGATCGGGTTGTTCGGTCGGTTGGAGTTCTAGCGGTATGGGATCGATGGTGGAAGGAATAGCGGTCCTCGAAGTGGTACTGAGAGGAGAAACAGAGGGAGTATCCATCCTGCATGAGCGCCGTCGCGGGCAGCGGAAGCCTTGGTGAGTGATCGAATAAGCAGAGCAATGGTGGTTAAAGGGCGTGGACGAGCAAGTGCACGTGGGAGAGCACCAGGGTGAGGGGGCGGACGCGGGGGCCAAAGAAAAGATCAAGCAATGGAAGGAGCAATGGACGGAGAGTTGCGACTCGTGAAGGTGACGAGCGAGGGAAGCCACGACCGGGCAAGCCTAGTCGCGCCTTCCTTATCGATAAGCTCTAAAACAGACCCCCGGCAATAGCAAACTTTCAACCGAGTCGTCGTTCCTTGTGAAGAAAAACTGACGGCTTGACTTACATATTATTCACACATACCACAACAATGGCGCATTCAAAAGATAAGAAGGACAAGTCGCAGAAGAAAGACAAGGTCGACAAGAAGGAGCAAAAATCTGAAAAGACACAAAAAACCTCTGCTCTTGCAGCCGCTGAAAAATTGGACCCTACCATTTCCAGCCTGTTCGCCAACTCTGTATGTGTCGCAAAGAGACCGCATTGACAGAGTCGCAAACCACTAACTATTTTAGTTTGGTGCTGCTAAACCCATTCACACTGAGTTCCCAACTCAACCTGTCAGAAGCTCAAAGAAGACAGAGTCAGAAGACGAGGAAGAGGGAGCCGACAACGATGAAGAGCTCTCAGAACTTGACGATGACGAGCTAGATGCCGTCGACGCAGACGATGACGACGAAGTCGAGGCCGAAGTGGAAGACGACAGCGATATTGAAGTGCCGGACGTCAAGGAAGCCGAAGCTGCTGCTCAAGCCGCCCTCGAAAGCAACAACCGCAAGAGAAAGAGAAAGGACAAGCAGCCCGAAGTGGAAGATGTATACATGGACAAACTCGATCGTGAAGAGAAGAAGGCTATCGCAAAAGCAAAAGAGGATCGCACCTCTAAGCGCCAAAAGACCGAGAAGGTTACCAAGGACTCTGACGACAGCGCCAGCGAGGAAGAGGATTCTGATGCCGCAGAGGGCGCCGATGCCATGGAAATGTCACCACCCCCATTGCACGAAACTCTGGAGCCCGACAACGACTCAGACTTGGTGAAAGCACAACGTACAGTTTTCTTGGGCAACGTGTCCGCCGAAGCAATCACATCAAAGTCAGCAAAGAAGACATTGATGCGCCATCTCGAGTCGTTCTTTGAAGACATCGCCGACCCTGAGAAGGGACAGCCTGCACACAGTGTAGAGTCGCTCCGTTTCCGTTCAACTGCTTACTCCAGCGCCATCCCCAAGAAGGCCGCTTTTGCAAAGAAAGAGATTATGGTCGAGACAACAAAGTCCACGAACGCATACGCTGTCTACTCATCAAACGCCCTGGCTCGTGAAGCTGCTCGTCGTCTGAACGGAACAGTCGTCCTGGATCGCCATCTTCGTGTCGATGAGGTCGCCCATCCCGCAAAGACCGAGCCTAGACGATGTGTCTTTGTTGGTAACCTTGGTTTCGTTGATGATGAAAGCAACATTGACAAGGCCAACGCTGAAGAGGGCAAGGGTACACGCAAGGGCAACAAGACTCCCAGTGATGTCGAGGAAGGTCTTTGGCGTACATTCTCTACCTGCGGTAAGGTCGAGAGTGTCCGCGTGCCCCGTGATCCCCAGACCAGAGTAGGAAAGGGATTCGCATACGTTCAATTCACTGTAAGCGGATTTCACGAGATAACATTTCTGATGCAAATCACTGACAACACAACAGGAAGAAAACGCTGTTGAGGCTGCTCTTCTCCTGAATGAGAAGAAGTTCCCTCCCATGCTCCCTCGCAAGCTCCGTGTCACCCGCGCAAAGACGATCAAGCGTAACGTCAAGCCCGGCAGCAACGCCGTCAAGGCACCCGGTGCCACCAACAAAGGCATCTACAACCCCAAGGCTGATCCTGTGATGCAATCCAACATGGGTCGTGCAGGAAAACTGCTCGGCCGTGCTGCAGCCGCCCAAGTTCAAAAGGGCAAGCCGATAGGAGGAGCGCCTCAGGGATTCAAAACACCTGAGAGCTTCATCTTTGAGGGTCACAGAGCTAAGGCTGGATCTGGCAAGAGTGGACTTAAGCTTGGTGGATCGGGAAAGAAGAAGGGCAAGCCGAGAACCAGGAGCAGTAACAGAGCTGCTGCTTGGAAGGCTGGTGGTGGCAAGAAGAAGGATTAGAGTGTTTTGCAAATTTGTTTTCACTCCTGGAAATATTATACCCTTTCAAACTGTTCATCGATATCCCTCTCACTCCTCTAGATGAATGACAACAGTGTTTTTTCCCTTACGCTTGTGACACTCGGTAGAATAGATGATGAAGCTGATAATGTTCATGATTATTACTTTGATTAAATCTCGACCACCTGCGGCATGTTCTTCAGCTGGCCAGTATTGATATACATGACACTAGCATTAACCATCCTCGTAGCCCTTCCCTCACCACCCCAAACCCGGTCCCAAACAACATTCGACACACCATGCCAAACGACCTTTACCACATCCATCCACAGCCACAAATCCACCATACCCCTGACCAGCCCATCCGGTCTGCTACACCCATCCTCAAAAGCCTTCTGTGCATCATCCCAATACACTACTTCCTTGCCTCGTCCACCATGCACATGCCCAAACACATTCAACCGTGGCTTAACCCGCCGAACTTCAGCCAGCAAATGCTCACACCCCAGACCATACAGATCCATATGGTGTTTTGGCGGTGTATGCGTTACCAGCACATCAACACCCTTCGGCACAGTCTCAAACCAAGCATCCTGACCTCTAGGATACTGAAACGCAAACTCCTCACCTCCACAAGCGGGATCTGGGGCGCACCATAAATCTCCAACTTCCGGTTTCGATGGTTTGGGAATGTGAGAGTTGTGCTTGAATGCTGGAGATAGTGTAAGTTTCCCCAATTCAGATTTGCGTTGGCGATGTCTTCTGCTGGTAAGGTTTTGCGTGATCGAGGGTCGAGGTAAGTGTCATGATTCCCTGCTATCACGACTTTATGGGTGTGAGGAAGAGAGTTTAGCCAGTCTAGTTGTGCTTGAAGTTCTTTGGGTGTGCCGGCTTGAGTGAGGTCGCCAGCGTGAATCAAGAGATCGCCATCAGGAACCACAGCGGGGATCTGGCAATGTGTATCCGAGAGACAGACGACCTTTATGGGCAGCAAATTCTGTGGTAGTGAGGGCGATGAGCGGAAGAGAGAGATTAAGCGGTGCAGAGTCCTGAGCAGGAACTTTGGTGGGGAGAGCAGGAAGAGGTAGAGCAGAGATGGCGGCTCGAATGGCGAGGGAGGCGCAAATGGAGACAGCATGTTTGGCATCTGCTATCGAGTCATGCCAAAAAGAAGTGTTTGTGTATCCGAAGCAGACTTGATGTTTGTTGGTTAGATGGGTGAAGTCGTTGTCGATGGTGGGACAGGATGCATGTGAAGGTGTCGGTAGTGAAGCCTCAATCTTTAAGTTGGCCGAGATGAACTGTGTCAGTCTATGGCGAGAATCACATATGACAGATTAACTGAACTGGATGGACATCTGAAATTACCTGTTCAGCAAAGGCATGTCAGCTCAATACAATAAGCCTATACCAAAGATGTGTTATGACCTTGGGTGGGGGTCTGACTGGCCAAGGGCTTGAATAGTGGACAATGCTGCATGTGAAACGCTGTCGAGATGACGTAGGGACCACGCAGCTCGCGACCAAGTTTCCAGCCCTGAGCTCTCAAGTCATTATACCAGCCTTGTCCAGCTTATCATTGTCCTCGATCTAACACCTGAGAAGTCATTCCACTACATTGGTGACAAGATGGCAAGCTCACCGACGTCGATGAATCCTATTTTCAAGGACAATGAAAAGGGCGTCAAGACAAACATGGAGGTGGACTATGTCATTGTCTTCCGCTTCACGACTACCAGTACGTCTTGAACCTACTATTACATACATTGACGTGACTGACCGTCTTGGGTAGCCAAAGCTGAAGCAGGAAAGAAGTTTGCTCTCCTTGTAGAAAGACTTGCAAAGATCGGATTGGCTACTGAAGTCCGCAATGGAGACAATCACTCGCTCTTGATCTTCGTCAAGGTCGCCAGCGAAGACCACGTCAATGCAGAAGTTTACCGCTCTAGAGTCAAGGACTGGATCCACGGCGTCAGATCGGCAGCACCACAAAAGGAGACTCGCCAAGCTCTCGAAGAGGAGCCCCTTCACGAAGCCGAGCGCTATCGCATTATTTATCGCATGATCACAAACTCCGAAGAAGAGGGCGGTGCTGGCATCACCCCCAAAGATGGGGAGTGGAAGAATGTAGAGTCCATCTTTGCCCTGCATGACCATGCCTACAACAAAGAGTGGATCAAGAGATGGACCAAGAAATACCTCCTGGAGCCCGAAGACCTCGATGAGATCAGAAACAGACTGGGAGAGAAGATTGCCTTCTACTTCGCTTTCACCCAATCTTACTTCACCTTCCTCGTCTTCCCTGCTGCCTTCGGAGCCACCGCCTGGCTTCTCCTGGGCAAGTTCTCACCTATCTACGCTATCGTCAGCACCTTGTGGTGCATCATCTTTGTCGAGTACTGGAAGCACCAGGAGGTCGATCTCGGTGTAAGATGGGGTGTCCGTGGTGTATCCAACATTCAGACCAAGCGTAGACACTTTGAGCACGAGCAGGAGGGCACAGATCCCGTCACTGGTGAGAAGATGCAGATCTTCCCCGTCACCAAGCGTCTGCAACGCCAGCTTCTTCAAATTCCTTTCGCCATTGCTGCAGCCACTGTTCTTGGAAGCTTGATCGCTACTTGTTTCGGCATTGAAATCTTCCTCTCTGAGGTTTACAGCGGACCTCTCAAGTCTTTGCTCGTAAGTCTTTGTTTATGATAGCTCACGTGCTCTGCTAACTACTCCAGGTCTTCCTTCCTACCATCATCCTGACCACCGTTATGCCCGTCTTGAACGGCATTCTCACCACTTTTGCTGAACGTTTGACCAAGTATGAGAACTACGAGACTGACGATGCCTACGACTATGCCATGACTCAGAAGATCTTCGTCCTGAACTTCATCACCTCATACCTGCCTGTCTTCTTGACTGCTTTCGTCTACGTTCCATTCGGCAGCGTCGTGGTACCTTTCCTCGATGTCTTCAGCTTGACTGCTAGACCGTTCGCCGAGAACGAGAAGCAGCTGCAGACACCTACTCCCGGCTCATTCGTCATCAACCCTGACCGCCTACGCAAGCAGATCATCTACTTCACCGTCACTGCTCAGATCGTCAACCTCGGTATGGAGGTTATCGTACCTTACCTCAAACGTCAAGGCTTCACCAAGTACAAGGAGATGCAAAGTGAGCGTGCCGCAAAGAATGGCCGCCCTACTACCACTCCTGCCGAGAGCGACAACCCCGATGAGGCTGCCTTCCTGGCCCGCGTTCGTCGTGAAGCCGAACTTGATGTCTACAATGTCACCTCTGACCTTCGCGAGATGGTTGTCCAATTTGGCTACCTGGCACTCTTCAGCACCGTCTGGCCTTTGACCGCTGTCTCTTTCCTCGCCAACAACTGGCTCGAGCTCCGTGCCGACGCCGTGAAGATCTGTATCGAGATGCAACGTCCAACCCCTGAACGCGCCGACACCATTGGTCCCTGGTTGGATTCTCTGTCCTTCCTGTCTTGGCTCGGCAGCATCACCACCGCCGCTCTTGTCTACCTGTTCAGCAATGATGGCCTAGGTCCCGACGGCACACCCAAGGACATCCGCGGCTGGGCTCTCCTCCTCACCATCTTCTTTGCCGAACACAGCTACCTCCTCATTCGCTGGGCCGTCCACGTCGGTATCTCCAAGATCGACTCTCCAGGCCGTCAAAAGGAACGTCGTGACCGATACATGGTTCGCCAACGCTACTTTTCCGAATCCCTGGCCCAGAACTTGCCTCCCGTCGGCAAGTTTGGCGAAAAGATTACTAGAGAGAGTCTTGAGGAGGAGGCTAGACAGAGCAGTCTTAAGAGCTCGAGGATTGAGGATCGTTTCTGGGCTAGACAGAGGAATTGGCATGAGACTGCACAGGTCGGTGCGGGATTGATTGACAGAGCTGCGCCGCCGCCCGAGGTTAAGAAGATGCAGTAGTTGTGTCTTATCCTTTGCTGTCGAGAAGTGTTGAAGTGTGGATGAGGAGAGTTGACTGTGGATGAAACAGAGAAGAAGGTTACGAGTCTTGATGTCCTTTATTTGTATCCACATTACGTAGCCTATACGAATAAGCATGATCCTATGATTGATGTACCCCGTGTGGCCAGTTCACTCAAGCATGACAAGGACTTAGCAACAGGATCGGTCGTTCTATCAGGACAGCCACTGTCGATTATTTTTTTGACAATAGTGTAATACTTGTACGCAAGTGATAAGAAAATCATTAAGATATCCAAGAGAGAAGATAAAAACACTACTCCCACCACCTCTCATCCAACCCCTCCAAAAAGTCCAACTTGACACCAAAAAAGCTCTTCCACACATCAACCTCTAACCTCCACGGCCTCGTCGTAAGCGCAAAATACGCAATCGTCGAGTAATTCCTACACATGCCTAGATTCTTGCCCACCACAAGAAGTTTATCACCCTTGAGGAATATCTTTCCCTCGACCACTTTTTCGTACTCGGCTAGGCGCAGATGCAGCGCGTGGTGGACACTCCATTCGGCAAAGGGCATGTCCTTGGGCACGAACTTCCACTCCCAGGTGCGTCCGATGTCGTCGGCGAAGGAGGTGCCGTCGCGGTTGTCGTAGCCGAGCATCAAAGGCCAGAAGTGGGGTGCTGACCAGATGCGGAGGAAGGAAAAGTAAGCATCTGGGTTTTTGGCTGCGTAGTCGCGTGCAGACTCCAAAAGAGGTTTTATCTTTTGTGGGTCTTGCATTGGTTGGCGTGGTTTCATCTCTTGGGCGTCTTCGCGGAAGTCGAAGTAGAGGTCTGGGTGTTTTGGGCGCGTGGGTTCGGAGAGCACGACCGCGCAGCCTGAGTATTCAGGTTTGTAGCGTGGGGCGAGCAAACCGTGGCGATAGAGATGCGCGATCGTGGGTCTGGTGATGTATTTCCAGTCTTGAGGGTACTTGTCGGAAGCCCAGAGGAAGGCTCCTTCGTCCGATTTCATTACTTCGTGGCGGACTTGGTCCCATTCTTCCCATTGATCAGCACTTCGATTGCGGTTGGAATGTGAAGAGCGAACATCAGGGATCATCTTTGCGCGGGCTTCTTGGTCAAAGAGTGTAGAGTTGCTCCAATCACGACCTTCTTCAGAGGCAAAGAAGGGATTGTTGCTTTCGAAGAAGCATGTTATCATGGCATTGGCGAATGTCATATCGCGCTTGACTCTGCGGTGCACATCTGGCCCGACTTCAAGAAGCATCATGAGCATGAATTGACGCTCGAGCATACCTGGTGCCCAAGGGCCTTTAGTCCCCTTGGCGAAGAAATCGACATATGCTTTCATGATCTTCTGCGTCTCGGCATATTTCTCTTGAGCACCAGGTTCGAGGTCGGCCTTATGCCAGGCTTCTTTGAAACTGCTAGCTCTGGTTCTGTCGATGAAGAGCTCCCATTGTTCTTTCATGTCTTCCATTTCTCCTGCCGATGTCAGGGCGTTAGGAGGCAATCTCGGTGCACGATACCCAACAGCCTTGTTTTCGCGAAGATTCGAGAGTGAAGGATCTTCCCAAAGCTCCAAAGCCATGACCATATCTTGCCATCTAGGCTCCTTCTCGTTATGGTCATCAACCCAGCGGCCTCGAATAGTGACGCCAGCTGCTTCCGAGAGTTCTTCGATGACACCTTCAGCATATTCTTCGTCAGATTCCCAATCGCTGCCATCGTCCTCTCCTTCGGAGACTTCTTGATATTCAGTATCGCTAAGCTCTTCATCGGTATCGAGGTCGTTGATCCAGCGATTGAGGTCTAGACCGTGGTGTTCAAAGTTGTGCATCTTGCCGGTTTGACTTGCAAGCACACCTTCATCACCGCCATTGGACTCGGTATCAGCATCTGCCAACATCAGTTCGTGGCCTGAATTTGCCGGTGTAAGGTCTGCAGCCTTTTTCGCGACTGCAATGATCTTGCTAGCAGTTTCAGGAATCTCCTCGTTGGTCCATAGACTGCGATCCCATGGGAAGAGAACTTGGTCTTCCAACATGTCTTCTTGTTTGTACAGTAAGTGAGGGGGTGCCTCTTCTCTATGACTTCCATCGATGTCTCGTGAGAAGTATCTCATCCTGGTACTATCGCTGTGAATCCAGTCCCAGATGCTCTTTCCCTTACCAACCTCGTCTGGACGAAGGTCTCTTGCACGGGAAAGATGCTCGTCACGGGTCAGTGTACGCAAGACATGTTCGGCAGGCTTGTAAAAGTCTTTTGGATCTATTGCAGCATCAGCATATGAATCAGTACGCGAAATTGAAAAGAACTTACCTCTAAATCGCAGAGCTCTGATAAGCAGTTCTTGGATAGAGTTGTACAGAGAAGAGTAGTGTTCACCACTCTCAATGTCCCAGACCACAATATCGTAGTAGTCCTTGAAGCCAAGATGCCATTTGCGGGAGCGGTCAATTGTGTCCCAGAACTCATCATCGATCTCCTTGACGGTCTTCCATTCAGCTCGACTTGCTCGTCCAACTCCGGACTTGGTTCTGATGAGCCATTTGTGTTCTTCGGGTGGCTCGACAATGACATTACCAGTTCGACCATCGCGAACCATGATTGCCATCTTATAAGACTCCATGACGGCGTACTGAATCCAACGTCTGGTGACTGGATCGTTACGCTTCATGTGAGCACATACAAAGTTTCGAGTCTCGACAGCATGATGCGTGCGACGCTGTCCATGGGCACGAGATCCTGTTTGATGGTGCGATGTCATATGATGCGCTTGATCCATCTGGTAGTAAGGAATAAAGCCGACTTGAAGCAGTTGCTCGTGCGTGATACTCCTGATCCATGATGCCCACTGAGCGGCAGGGAAGTAATGATTGCAGGTAAGAATGTTAAGCTCAAAGAATTCATCCCAACTTCGAGCCAAGCTCACTGCCTGGAACAAGGAACAGTCTTTGGCGATGACCGAAAACTGCAGCCATCCACCTCTAGACATAGCCTTTTCGCTAGCTGTAAAATATTAGAAGCACTCTTGATGTGTGATATTCCAAACACTTACGATAATTGTAGATGAATCTGCCACAAACCTTGACACGAATCTTCTTGATACGATATTGTTGCTGATCATCCACATCACCAAAGTCAACAAAGGTTGTAGAATCCATGCCGTCAGGCATAGTTCTCTCCCGCTTCTCCTTGAGCTCTCTCTCACGCTTGGTCTTCACATTTTTGACGGGGTACATCGGTCTTGACGTGAACTTTGTGCGCCCAGCAGGTGCCTCGGCGCTTGTAGCAGGCGTGGTATCCTCGTCTTCTGGCTCTTCGTCTTCACGACCAAGATCAGCACACGCGTCACGTAGTTGTTGCAACCCAGGCTGTTCCATCTTCAGACATAGATCTCTCAAGTCTGCGTTAGTCACCGATGGATCAGCTAAGAATTCCTCAACGTTCTCAGCTCGCAAGGCTGCTGGCAGCAGGCTGGCATAACCAAGCAACAATCGACAAAACAACAACTGCTTGATATCAGGGATTTGCTGCATCAGAGTGTCGACCTCATCATCAGCAAGAGGGAAGGTCTTGTCCGTAAGGAATTGCGTGTTCGCAGGATCTTCAGGATCAAAGGTCTGGAGCACACCGTTCATAGTCTGGCCTTCACGCAGGCGGGTACGAACTTCTTCCGGTGTTTCGATGTGAACTTCACCAGGCTTACTAAACTCCAAAGCCTTTCTGATGGCCAAAGGCAGAGCCGATCTTTCTTCCTGAGCCTTGGCCTTTTGGCGTGCTTTCTTTTTGGCACTTTTAGACTTGTTCGTCTCCACAAGTGCCTGAGGAGTAGTCGAGTCCTTAGCGGGAGACTGCATACCAGCAGCCTCAGGGGTTTCGTTCTCTTTCTTGGGGGTTGGAGCAGCTGCGGCAGCAGGCTTCGGGGTTGTTGGCTCATCTGTTGACGCGGTGATGGGCTCTGCAAGCCACAAGAATCGTCGAATGAGGTCGATATAGCTGCCACGTTCATCTTCGACAACGTCTTCGATGGGGTCCCATTCTTCGCCGCCTTCTCCTTCGGCAGTGAGTTCGGCCTCGAACTTGTTACGTTCCTCCCAGACCTTCTCGAGGTATTCTGCCTGCCTCTTTTCGTTCTCTTTCTGTCTCAACTTTTCCATACGAGCAGACACATCCTTCCAGTGACGTCTGAACAAGGCGGCTTCTTGCTTAATCTTCTTCTTCTCGGCATCACGCTCCTTCTCCTCATCGTCCTCAAGATTACGAACCCAGCCGAACCACTGTTGCTGTTTGTATAGAACTTCGGCAGTTCTTCTTTCGAGTCTCTCAAGAGCACGACCAGTATTGTGCTTCTCGCTAATAAGATGATCCAGGTAGTGTTGGTGACCATAGTCGAGCTCAAGAGCGTAGAAGCGAGAGTGGTGGAGTCTACGAGCACGGATACAGCGATCGAGTAAGCCATGCTGCTTAAAGAGATAGGCATGCAAAGTCTTGAGGGATTCTTCGTCATCTATGTCGTCGAAGGTAATCTTATGGAGCGGAGAGTCGGCAAGGTAGGAAGGAGGATCTCTCTGCAAGGCATCTAACTGAGCACCTCTGCGCTTGTAACCCTTGTACAAACCTACTCGTGTCAACACACGTCTTGAGCTCTACGGAAGACTGCTCATGCTTACTGTAGACCTGTCTCGCGTGGAAGGAGCAGAACAGACCATTGACGTTGGTAGCTTCTTCGCTGCATCGCCGTTCGTCTGACACGTACAGCGCCTGACACTGAGGCGCCATAGCGACAGAAGCCCCGCTCAGCGACAGCGATGACGCGACTCTAGGCGGCGCTTATGTGCGACACTATATAATGTCTACCAAGTGGGATGTCGAAGACGATGGACGGCGGCTAGACACGAAGGTAACGCGCCTCCGCTTTTTCACATGAGAAGCGCCCGCATGAGCTTGCTCTTGCTGACCATCTCTTAATTTGAGAAGGTTCGATTGTCTCGTCAACCAGTGAATCCCGATCGGACCGCTTGTTCATTTGATCGCGAGCTGAGATCCTCCGACCCCGACATCCGCTTGTCTTACAATCTTAAGTAGTGTTGACCATGAATGCATAGGTAATTGAGCTGCCTAAAGCCACTCTCCGGAGTTAAGGTTCGCAGTTTTCTTTGCTCCGGAGCTGAACGGATCACATTCCTACACCATAGCCTTTATTGGTGATTGTTTAGTATATATCGGGCAGGTCACCTGCTGCTTGGTGTGATGCTCTCCACACAGCGGTTGCGCAATCCCTCAATTGCTGTCAAGATTGTCAAGCACCAGCAGAGCTTGTTTCATAGCAGCGCCAGAATGTCTTCGTCAACAACTTCGTCGGCTTTGTACGCAACAGTCTCATCGTCTTCACGAGCCACTGGTGCTGTGCCCAAAGACACTGCCAAACTGCGCCATCACAACAAAAACGGAAAGGGCTTTATCAATCCCTGGGAGTCATACGTTGATCGCACAGCCCCACAGATCCTCTCCGCATTGATTTGGTATGCAGTCTATCTTGTCGTTTAAAGGCACCTCACTGATCACTATCATCCAGGCGAAAACTCAAAGGCAAATCTAAGACTCCCGACACGACACCACCCACCGTCACTGTACAGAAACCAGAGTTCCTGCCCACACGCGAGACCAAAACATTACGAGCGACATGGCTGGGGCACGCCTGTTACTACGTCGAGTTCCCTAGTGGCCTTAGAGTCCTCTTCGATCCCGTTTTCGAGCCGCGATGCAGTCCCTTCAGCTTCATGGGTCCGAAACGATACACGCCATGTCCCGTTGATGTCGCCGACATTCCCATCATTGATGCAGTCGTCATCTCCCACAGTCACTACGACCATTTATCTTACCCTACCGTCATGAAGATCAAAGAGAAGCATCCCAATGTTCATTTCTGGGCCCCATTGGGAAACAAAGAGTGGTTCACTAAATGTGGCATTGATAACATGACCGAGCTGGATTGGTGGGAGTCGCGAGACTTTACTCTGTCAGCAAAGAAGCAAGATGCAGAAGCCACACACACCGAGACTGGCTCTACCGTGAACGCAGGAGGTGCTGAAGACATCAAAGCTGTCATTGGCTGCTTGCCCTGCCAGCACACAAGTGCTCGTACACCCTTCGACAAATCACACACACTATGGGGCTCGTGGAGTGTCGAGAGCGGCGGCAAGAAGATCTGGTTTGGAGGAGATACTGGCTATCGCTCAGTCCCTGACCTCCCCGAAGAAGAGAACGACTATGACGAGAAGTACACTTACCCGACATGTCCTGCATTCAAGGAGATTGGAGAGCTTAGAGGTCCTTTCGACCTGGGCTTGATCCCCATTGGGGCATACGATCCTCGCTTCATCATGTCTCCCATGCACGCCAATCCTTTTGACAGCGTCAACATCTTCATTGATACCCAATGCAAAAAAGCGCTCGGCATTCACTGGGGTAAGAGCTGATGCTGAAATGCTGTGGGAAAGCTTACTGACATATCACAGGCACATGGGTACTTACTGAAGAGGACGTTCTCGAGCCTCCGAGACTCCTCAAGCAGGCTATGGCATGGAAAGACTTGCCTGAGACTGGCGTCTTTGATACTTGCGATATTGGCGAGAGCCGCGAGTATTGATACACACTATCGTCTGCATCTCATGATGAAACCCCTTGTCTTCGTCTGTTGTATACATACATATTGGATTATAGACTGACCGCTGGGTTCGTTAGACCCTCTCACAATTCTGACCAGGCTCCTAGTGAAAACAGTTCAACATCTGCATGCCAAAAGTCAAGTTCAAACTTGTCGAAGGTATCGAAGACTCCAAGTCTCACCTTGTCGTCGGTCGTGTTCATCTTGATAGGTTGAGCACTGATCACCTGGAAAGCTTATTGGCCACGAAACTCCCTCATGCGACCTCTCTCCCACAACCATCTACTCTTTTCCAGTTACCTTTATATACGACCTTTTCCCTGTCCCCTCCACCAAGCCAAGAAAGCCGTGGTGGTGCAGGGGTAGCACACCTGATCCAGTAACCTAAGCTCCTAATTCGCCCACCTAAATCCCTAATACTCTCTCTCACGGATCGGGAGGTCGCAGGTTCGATTCCTGCCTACGGTGCTTGTTTTGTTCTCTTTGCATATTCAGATTGCGTGATGTAGGTGAACACAGGATTCTTTCTTTTTGTCGCATGGCCGTTATATTCTTTTTTTTTTTTTGTTTCATCGTCTTCTATCTGCTTCTCACGCTCTTGATTCTTTCTCGCGCCTCTTCGTTCTCAACTAGCTTTGTGTCTTGAAAGATCTTCACGCACATCATTCACAACAGAAGGACGACCAAGGCAACGCACGAAACTTCGAAAGAATATATTTCTCTTTGCAGTATCTTCTTCTGGACCGTCGTTCAACCTTCTCGACAAGATCAACGAAAAATGACATAGGAGAAGTTATTCGAACGAAAAGACTATATCAAGGCTGTATACCTCGAATTACACATTAAAAAAAGAAATAACCCCATTCCACCACGACCACCACCGCCACCACAATTTAATTCTTACGGAGAAAAAGTAAAGGATGCTTACAGACCAGCGAAAAACATACCCAAAGCACCAATCCCCATAACCATAGACCCAAGACCGAAAGTCTGAGCAGCATCGCCGGTGCTAGGTGTTACTGTGGGTGCTGAAGGAGCAGTGTAATCGCCAGTTGTGGCGGTATAGTTGATCATTGCACTGCCGGTGCCCATTGAAGGTGCAGTGGTCACAGGGCTAGCTGCATCAGTAGTAATACCAGCAGTTGCCGCAAGCGAAGAGACAGAAGAAGCAGCTGCGGCGGCAGAAGTTGCAGCCTCAGAGGCTGAGGAGGCGGCAGCAGCTGCTGGTGCGGCGGCTTGAGGACAGATCTGGGATGTCACTGCCAGAGCCTCTGTTTTTTGTGTCAGTTTCTGGATTCTTTGTCTTCAGGGGCGTGGGTGAGGGGCTTACTGGCTAGATCGGCTGCACTGCACTGTGCCTTGACAGCTGCCTCAAGGTTGGTCATGAGCGTCTGGTTGCTGCAGATACAAGTCGTGTCTGTGACCTGACAGCCCGAGGCAGAGATTCCAGAGACCAGAGGACCAGTTGCGCAAGAAGGGATTTCGGCGATGATGTCGGCGCTAATCTGGGCATGTGCTACAGCCACAAGGCCAGCAAAGAACAAAGTTGATGAACGCATGATTGTGCTATCTCGCCTTCGATTTTGTGAAAAGGGAGTGTCTTTGATTGAACTGATGAGCAGGAAAGGAGTGATATTAAGAAAGCTAAGTTGCACCTTGCTCTTGCCTTCCCTTTTCTATGTCTTTCTTTTTGCCTTGCTTCTATTGTTGCCTTCGTCGCAACCCAGGTTTTTGGTACGAACCTGCATACCTTGAACACTTTGTTTGTTTTCGTCCATTGCTAATCCTAGCTCTCTTTCTCGAAATGTCCTTTTGGCTCCATGTTATTGCTGAAACACAAGGAATGTAAACCCTTCTCACAACCTACGTAACCATTTCAAAGTTGCTACTGCAACCGGGTAAACACAAAGGAATGCAAATCGACAGCCACCATAGTCTGGCGCAACCACAATCCCCACAACTTACAAACGTCAGTGGTGATGGTTATGGCCCCACGTCCTTTGTCTTTGGCCGTTTTCGTTCAAAGAAACGGTGTCTCGGCAACGAAACAAACTCGGTCCGCAAACATGGTCGACCATCTCTTTTATGGCAGAATGGTTAATAGTATCAAAGGTCGTATTATAATGCCTTGGTGTTATTGGATCTAGATGGTTCGCGATGACGCTGTTGGTGATAAAGGTGCTTGTTGGATGATGGAAAGGCAGCATACATAACACAAGGAAGATACAGTTCGAGAATTTTGAAGCATCACCTTGATTGTCTTTTACTACTTTCTTCTCTAAAATTGCGCCATCCTACCAGGCAAAGAATATATAACAATGGTTTCATTTCACTACACACGCAAAGACAAGGAGTCCCATCTTCCACATTCTCACGCCTTTGGCTTGATAAAACATACACGTCGACACTCGCACCCAACAGCATCGCGACAATCTTCACACACCTCGTTGCACACTCAACCCGAAACTGCAGACCTAGACACCTACACCTCAAACATGCGCACCTGGACTCTAAACCTCTTCCACACCGCCTTCCCTACAGTCCCCCACCGCCTCTCCAGACACCAATACTCCTATACAACATTCTCGCATACACCTACGATTGTATCGCCTCTATATCCTAAAGATTCTTTATTGTACAGCAGCATCACACCGCGAAGTGTTGAGGCTGATCAAGAAGAGCTGTTGGGAGATATAGACACTACACCCTGTAATACGCCCAAGACCAGGGGACTGAGAAGGAGGAGTACGGTTGTTGCGGCAAAGGGAGGGAGAGTGAAAGAGGAGATCGCTGATGAGGGAGAGGGGCAGGCGAGGTTAAGGCCTGTGGAGTTGACGAGGAGTTTGAGTTGTGCTGGTTGATATACTTTGCCCTGACCAGGCCCTGCAAAGTTGCATTTATGTTGGAGTTATTTTGTGGTTTAATGGCGTTTTTGTCAGGATGATCTTTTGAGCGACTCAAGGAAGTTAAGTCGTTGTACATGTTTGAGACGTACCTTGAAAGTTCATTACATTCTACGTAAGACAGCAGAGTCGCGCATCCTTGGTGGTAGCAAAACGATATCAATTCATCATGACAATGCTTGTTTAATGCGTGTCCGGCCTTTGTGCTTTTTGGGAAGAGCTAGTTCCAACCCATCGCGTCGCCCGAGTAAAAGAAAAATATCGACAAGGCCTCATCATTATCCACGCTCATCTCTTATCTTTGGCATTCCTCTAAGCACTGCCGTTGGTCGCGGGTTGTGCAGGAGCAGTCAGGATGCTGAATTGACCACCACCTGCTGCAAAGTTGAGCATCTTGCCACGGGTTGCGGTATTGTCGATCTTGGTAGCAACCATGACATCCTCATCGGTACCCTGACCGGTTTGGTAGTTTGAAGAGAAGCCCCACGAGTAGGCATGGCCCTCCTCGGTGATAGCGAAAGATTGGTCTGATGCGGCAGTGGCGAAAACGACCTTGCCTTGGATGCCCTTGACAACAGTGGGGTTCTTAAGGATACGAGGGTTGCCACGCTCGTCCTTGATCAGATCGTCTGCGGGCAGGTCTGCAGTAGGGATACCACATTGGCCACCGTCAAGACGACCCCAGACCAGACACTCACCAGCGCCGGTCACGGCAATACTGTGGTGACCACCGCCCTTGATACAGCTGACTTGCCTGCCAGAAAGAGTCTCGACGATCTCGGGCTTGAGGATAACGGCATCATCCTCACCAGCGTTTTCGGGCACACCGGTCTCACCGAAGTTGTTGAGACCCCACGCCCATACGCGATCCTTGTTGTCGATGGCAAAGCTGTGATAATCACCACACTGAATGTATTTGATAGCCTTCTTGGGAAGACCGAACTCTCTGGGCACAAGACCTTGTGTCTTTGTGCGCTCAACAACGCGGCGACCGAGCTGGTTTTGTTGACCTGAGCCCCAGGCAAAAACGGCACCAGCTGCATCTAGTGCGAGGACGTGGTTGGCACCACAGCTGATGTGCTTGATCTTCTTGAGGCCGGGAATGAGCATAGGAGTGCGCTGGACGAGAACGTCTGCGGTGAAGCCGAAGATACCCTCGTTGCTTCTGAAGGTGCCCCAGCCCCAGACCTGGCCGTCGTCGGTAAGAGCGAAGGATGTCGAGTCACCAGCAGCGACTTGGACAAAGACAGTATCCTCGGGGAAGACGTCAGATGAGATGGCGGTGGGTGTGCTCTCCTTGGGGTTCATGCCCGAGTCACCGTCTTCGTTGTCAGAGTCGGAATCTTCCTCGTCCTCGACGTCACGGAGACCACCCTCCCAGGTTGTATCTCTTCCAAGAGCACCCTGGTCATTGACACCCCAGGTGAGGATCTTGTTGTCGTGAGTCAATGCCATGGCGTGCATACCTCCAGCGACGATTTGTACAACGCCGACGGTATCAGCAGCCAAGTTGGCATTCAGACGCGGGCGCTTGACATCGATGGCCTTCTTGGACGTACCAAGACCCAATTCACCAGATGAACCTTCTCCGCAAACAAAGACATCCAGGCGCTGAGTGGGAGCCTCGTTGATGACGGGTCCCTTAGGTGCGACCTTTGCCTTTTTCGCGACGGCCGGCTCAGGAGTAGCAGTGGCCTTGCGCTTTCTGGACGCCACGGTTGCTTTTGGTGCAGCGGGAGCTTCTTCAGACTTCTTGGGGCGGCCGGGCTTCCTCTTGGGGGCTTCTGCCATTGTTTTAGCCTGTCGTTCGATCGAGACTTGTCGTACGTGGTGCAACGCACCCTCTTCTGACTTTGCAGCCTTTGTGTCGGCTGCCTTCGGTCTGCCGCGTCCTCTGGTTGTCGTTGTGGCGGGTTTGTCGTCGGCCTCAGTCTCGTTCTTAGCAGTGACCTTTGCCTTTGTGTTGGCAGCTGCGCGTGCTGAAGTCTTCTTGGTAGGCGCGTCGGCTTCGACGTCCTTGGTCTTCTTGATGTATTTCACACCAGCCACTAGATATGGTCAGCAAAACGCGTCTTTTGTATGGATGCGCGGAGGAATGGATTTGGTGGATATGAGGAATGATTGCTGCGTTTCTTGGGACAGGGACTCACTTTTTCCACAATTTTAGATGTATGTCTTGTTCTGAAGTAGTTTGCGACCGTGGTTGAAGGATTGGTCGGATGATAAGATTGGTAGAATGGTTGTATTGGAAATCGAGGGAAAAACTTGGGTGGTGAAGCGCGTCGGCCAAAGTCGTCAGTTCTTGAAGTCGAGAGCATGCAGGCCAAGCTTGCTTCGGCCGCCAACTCCCGACTGTCTTTCGCAGCTTCCTATTTTTGCTACTTCCTCGTATCACTTTCGTTCTTTCTTTTCATGACAATCACAAGAGGCTCTGTTCACTAATATTCGAATGATATACGGTACTATTTGACTTGTCGAGTCACAGCTGCTCTTATTGAATTCGCCGCCATTTCACTACTCGAACACATTCAAAAATTATGCAGCTGCAAGCTCGTGTATTATTGCGTCAATCAAAACGTCACTGCAGCACGATCGTGCACTTTTGCGTTCACAAAGAAAAGCGTCGGATCGCTCACATCCGCCTATCAGTCTGCATGGCCATCCTTCGCCTTCAAACATCGCCTGACGTTTGATCGATTCAGCTTCATCTGGTGATACTGACACTGCGGTGCCCGCTATGCGATCCATGTTCGTCAATGTGAGCAAACATTGCTTTCCCCGCATTGTCGTCGGTCCCTCGGTTGCCGATCCTTCTATATCAACTACAGGTAGGTCTTGTTCAGTAGGTATCTAAACATCTTCCTCTATTCCTACACAAACCTGAATCGCCCGATATGTCTGTGAAGTCTATACCTGCCTTTGACGAATTGCCTGTTGACAAGAAAGGACCATTCCTGAATGCTTGGGGATTGTGAGCATTATCATCTTGCTGCTTCTGAATTGACTATGCTAAGCAATGCAGATATGGAAATGATGATGAGCTGGGCTTCCTAAATCGTTTAAGTGATGATTTGGTGAAAGAAGCCGCCAAAGAGATTCAGTCCGGTACAAGGTGATTTTACCTCTGCGTTGCGAACAGTCTTATCGATCACCACATTTCGCTCACCAGAACACCACATCGTGAGACATCCTTCGCATATTCCTGACTGTAGACAGGATCTCTCTGAATTGGCCACTGGATGCTCAGGGTGACATCCCCTTCTTCGGCCGTCAGGTTTTTCATAAACACGTTTATCAGAAGCCGCCTCGCGTCGTGAACGACGATGTTTGGACTTTCAACACACAGAGTAGTAGTCAATGTATGGTACCTCGTCCTTATGGCATCATTTCAGATACTTATGCATGCAGGGGACGGCCTTCGGCACTTTGCGTATCAAAAAGAAGCAAAGTTTTACAATGGCGTAACACTTGATGACATTCACAGTGAGAATTCAACCACCAATGGTATTGGAGCTTGGAGCGAAAAAGGCATTATCGGTCGTGGTGTTCTTCTTGACTACGAAGCTTGGCGAGAAGAACATAATCACCCCCAAAAGGATGCATTTAAACCTGGCGTCATCACCTTGTCCGAGTTGAAAGCAGTTGCCGAGTGGGAAGGCGTAGAGATCAAGTTTGGCGACATCCTTATCATTCGTTCTGGGTACATGGCCCAGCATCAAAAACGTTCTCGGAGCGATCTCGAAGCTCTCAGCAAAATCATGCCGCCCACATTCCTAGGCGTGGAACAGAGTACGGAAATATTGAACTGGATCTGGGACAACTTTTCCGCGGTCGCTGGGGATCAGCCATCCTTCGAATGCTGGCGTATGTGCTCTAGGCTCTTCTTTTGCTATTCCACTTGTCCTTGACTTACATGTCTTGCAGCATCGTCCCAGCCATATATGCTTCACGAAGTACTTCTGGCTGGTTGGGGCTGTCCGATTGGCGAGCTCTTCGACCTCGAAGCTTTGTCTGTTCAGTGCAAGAAAAACGCTCGCTACAGCTTCTTTGTCGCCAGCGAACCTTGTAATGTTTGTATATCACATCTCATTCAGAGTGATAAACCACTAACAGTGCTACACAAAGGTTCCCGGAGGTGTGGCTAGTCCACCGAACATCATTGCGATTCAATAGCCCTGTCAACCACCGTACTCCGGATACAGCTCAGAGCAATCAATAGACTATAAAAAGGCACAATTGTTCGAGGAAGCAGAGGAGTGTCCCCAGAGAGTCGACAACTTATTGCCTCTCAGTGGATACCAGCTTGTTTCCTATTACTATTATGCATTTCTATAGCTATATGCGTTGCATACTCTACAGGGGGAGTCAAGTCTTGAAGGCAAACACACAATATCAAACATTCACATCGAGGACATTCACTCCAAGAGCGCACGTGCCAGCATATTCGACTATATGTAATTGTCCACAATGCTACATTGTGACCAACAACCTCGGCGACGAGGACTTTACCACTCTTGACTCGCCAATCCGAGTTCTCCTCCACCTCTAGCCCCGTCGTCGACATGACATCCGTTCAGTCTTTCTGAGGTTACCCTACGACCCACATTCAAAATCCGGGTCGATGTCGAGACTGCTCTCCTCGACATGCTCGGCCTTGCGTTGCTACTTGATGCAGACACGGACAGACTGCACAATTCATTCTTCCGCGCCTCCAACCATCACTTCACCTCCATCATTATGGAAAGAGTGAGTCTCTACACAAGACCTTTGGATTTGGTCAGACAAATCTCCAGCCCACCACCATACCAAAATTAGTGTGCTCCTTGTTTTTATGTGAGATCTCCTAGATCATCGTTCTTGATATGATGAACTGTTGAAAGTCGGTATGCTTTTTGAAACGAGCACGCGATTCAGAAACAAATATATCTCAGATTTACCCTGTTGCTGCTCAAGCATGAACTATGGGTGCCTCATCATTGACTCCTCCCTCGGTAATTGTACTCCTGCAATCATGCCTATAAAAATGCACAAAAACCTTCCGAGATTAGAGAAAAGTCCACAGAGAGATATGATTTGTTATATCTTCCATGGACGTTCTCAAGAATCTGAAAACTATTGTGCATTTTTACAGCACATTCATCGCTTAGGTATCAGTCAGGAATGGTACATCTTTTGCAGATGATATGAATATTATGACCAGGGTTTTACCCTCAACATTCATCATGGAAGTCTTGATGACGTAGCCCACAGAGTCTCGGATAGACAATCTTCTTTCTTGTCATTGCCCTCGTGCCCAGTATTCACAAACAGCAAACACACCAAACCATGGAACAAATTGCAACACGGCATGCCATCCGTCTCGCACAATCCCGGCCCGCGTCCCTCTCTCGTACACTCTACAAACCTACCTCCCAACATATCCGACACCGCAGCAATGACTCCAAAGACGACGACCAAGTGTTTCCACTAACCGGCTACTACGCCGACATCCTCTCCTCGCGCCGCACCCTAAAAGACGAACTGCGCAACACACCCACCAGCAAAACCCAACCGCAAACCCACACAGCACCCTCCCCTCCTCCCGCCGAGTCCCTCCCCAAAACCGACAAAGAGGAAACCCTCCAAAAAGCACGCATAGTATTCGGATCGCGTCTTTCCGGGCCCAGCGAGCGCAAAGACGAGATAGAGGCAAACAGTAAAGAAATCGCAGGCATATCTGTGCCGCCAAAACCTAAAGAACCAGATGGAGACGATTGTTGTATGAGTGGATGTGTAAATTGCGTCTGGGATATCTATCGCGAGGAATTTGAAGAGTGGAGGGCGAAGACTAAGGAAGCGAGGGCGAAGATGGAGGCACAGCGAGCCCAACAACAACAACAACCGCAGAAAGTTGATATTCCTGCTTCGCTGGCAAGTAGTATGGATGATGATGGAGGTGGTAGTGAGGCGCTTTGGACAGAGAGCAGTGACCTAGACGAGGAAGAGTTGGATCCGTTTGCCAATGTACCCGTTGGCATGAGAGAGTTCATGCGTACGGAAAAAATGTTGAAGCAGAAACGTGCGGAGAAGGGTTCGAAAGGTGGATTTATGGATATACGTTCGACTTGATGACCGAGAGGTATCTTGATATATGGAAAGGACACCAAGTCTCTGTAAGAGAAGGTCAGGGATTTGCTCACTATGCGGAACCATCCTCTCCAAGACGAGCTTCACAATATCCTCAACGCTCTGGCCATGAAACTATGCATGCCTAAATCTCGATCAAAGGCCAGCAGTCGCTGTCAAGTTCGCACTCTCAAGGAGTTAGTGCTCGGGAGAGGGAAAATCCCGCAAGATATAGATTTAGATTCCCTCTGGCCTCAGTCTTGCGACAATACAGTGGACGGGTCTTGGAGCTTGAGAGACAGAATAGTCTTCTACATGGGAAGCACCTACAGAAAGAGCTGGTGGGATGACAGCTCACAGCAGTGGTATCTCTAAATCTCAAAAGTACTACGAGGTTTGACAGCACCACAAGTCAAAGAATCTAGTGCGAGGAAGGGAGCAGTCTTGACAAAGCAACAGAAGAACATCGTATCCGGAGAGCCTTGGAGCATAAATGGAGAGTCTTGATACAACAACTGTCTGGTCAGACGTCTCATAAACAGATCTTACATAATACAACACGAGCAGACTTTCCAGTCGTCGCCAAACTTACGCACAACATCCATCCCGACTTCTCTGGACCATTTCTCCTCTCGTACTACAGTGCAAGGCACCGATATATGCCACATAGTACGGAAAGTACAGGGCAAGCCATGCACATCAGTAACTTCTCCCCTCGGAACAAAATGCCATCCGATATTACTCAAGATGCACACAACTTCTTGAAGTAATTCTCTGTTAATCCCTGAGAAAGCTCTGATTCGGCGTTCCATCCCAGATTGGAGTTTCGCGATGGCAGTGTTGTTGATTTCTCTCATCTCGACGTATTCGTTGGGTAATGTTGTGAAGCCGTCTCTCCAATGTGGGTGTGGTTCCAAACGTACATCGACGCTTTTCTGATGGTTGGAGGACATGGTGATTGTGATCTGGACTCTAAAGTAGTGATTCCAAGACGCACTGCAGGTCACCGAGTCGAGGACTTGTAGCAATGCATCTCCCTTCCAGGCAGGCATATTCCTAGGCCAGAGGAAACAGGGCCGTCTCAAGTTGAAGAGAAGCTCGTCAGGCGTGAGGCCACCAGGAATCACAAAATCAGTCGGGTTTTCGTCCGAGTCCTGGACGACTGCTGCTTTCCAGCCTGTGTAGTATCTTTGCGCTTCGACAAAGATCCTCAGTTCGCCTGAAAGGCGTAGGCGATGGCGGACAGTAAGAACCACCTCATCTCGAATCTTGCGCGAAGTCATGAGAAGTGAGAGCATTGCTGAGGCTCTGGATCTGGTGCAGGCTCCGCAGTCGCAAAAGTAATTTAGAGACAGGTTGCCAGAAGAGTCGCGTGAAGAGTCCACAGAACAATACTGAGGTCCGTCATCACAGCAGCCTGTTTCGAAGATCTGAGAACTTCCTTGTACAAGAGAATATAATGTTTTGAATGGATCGTTATCGCCCAGTATAGACTCATAGATCATGCCCCGGAGTATATAACGCAGACCAACTCATCATAGACGACGTTGTGGGTGGTTCTATACAGTATTGTACAACACTAGATTTCGAATACTCTTCGAGAAGGATCGTAATGTGTGACCGAGCTAGCACAACGTATCCGCTTCTTTCTCTTGCAACTCCTTCTCCTCATGGGCAGAAGTGCTAGGTACGGACGTGTGCCATACAGTCCCCGTTTTTGATGTATTCTCAAAGATAGCTGCTCTTTTTCTCTTTCTCGGAAAAGAATGCCAGCTTACGGTGCTCAGGTCGCCGACAATGTCTAGGACCAGCTCGTGACACAGACACTTGGAAGCTCTGACTCTGCGCATGGATTTGGCTTTCAATTTTGCGATGGCAAGTCATTGTTTCAACAAATTCGTCGGCCGCGCGCTTGTAGAATTCCTCTCCTTCGTCAGGGTGTGGATGTAAGCATACGTCGACGCTTATCTGATCACCGAGAACTGTACACATCTTCAAACACGTGCAGGACTCACCTCAGAATACGCTCGTAGGTAAACTTTGAGTTGAACTCGAGGTGCTTTTGGTGCAGGCTTCTTATTCATGCAAGAGGAAGTCGTCCATGAGACCTCTGCTCAATGCATCCAGAGCTTCCATCCAGACTGAGTTTGAAGCAGATATTAGACCATCTCATCACAGGCGACGCTCAAGACTTGAAACCGGTCTTGTGTCTCTCTGGCGAGCATCAACCAACACCAGATGATCAGCTATGAAGTTGTGTGGTTTTCGTCTGATGATAGCGACGTGGACCAAATATACGCATCCACAGCCAAGAAGAGTTGTTGAAGGTCTTCTTGGCTTCTTGGATTCTTGGAAAGGAATGTTCTGTGCTTCCGGCGGTGAAATGAACAGAGCTTACCGCGAGAAGAACAGCCCTGACGGCTAGACGGCGGTGAATGAACAAGATTTCAACCTGGCTGTTGGGCTTGACGTCGATCGGAAAGCGGGCCGACAGTTGTCGATATAGAGCGAGCTTAGATAAGAGCGGACTAACGTATGACAAAGCGTAGACGTTTTGTGACGAGTACCCGTGCAAAGTTGGATGGTGAATTGGAAAAGGAGGCACAATTGCAGGAGTGCTGTAGAGAGCTGCAGGGCTGCGGACCCTCGGAAGGACATGCATGTTATGTGGGGAAGAGCGAGCGTCATTTCACAGATTGTCTTCAGCTGCTCGGAAGAGCTGGGAAAGGACATTCAACGACTTTCGAATGATTTACAGGAAAGACAGCAGTAGGCAAGCAAGGATATTCACAGACAGAGGGTCGGTGTGTGGTACAGTGACATGTTCTGATGGGAGGCCGAGTTTCAAGAGTCGAGCTTTGACATTATCCAAGGACCGAAGAGGCCGTTGGCTTTGTTGTTGGAGACGGCAAATCAGGGATGGCGTGTGTCGTGGACCTTGATGCATGGTCATGGTAAATAGCGACAGGATGGCCGCCTTTTCCTATCTGCAGTTTAAAACGAAGTGCACGCCCAGCTGAAGTGTTGGTGTCGCGTGAGGAGAGCATCCAAGTCACTAACAAGGAGTCATCTGGCACGCACCTAGTCACCCAGCTTCTCCCATACAATTAGCGTTGTTGGGCTCGTAATCAACAGTCCGGCATAATCAAGATTGCTTTTGATGCGCAACTGAACATTCGTCAGCAGCAGCGCTCCACGCGCCATAGTGAAGAATATACGACAGAAATCATGGCACCCAAGGACGAGCAGCATTCGTCACAGGAGTCCAACTGGGGAGAGACATCCCAAAGCTCCCTCACCGCCCTGCAGACATCAACACACAGCCTACGAGATAGCTCCGCCGCCGCTTCTCACCGCCCTCCGTCGCGCGCTGAATCTGCTGTTGCGCCTGACGATACTCGCGCTCAGACGTACAACCAAAACACAAAACCCGATGCATCCAAGAAGAGACTCCAGCCCCTGAACTATGGTAAGGCTCCACCATCTGCCTGCCTGCCCATCATGCCTAGTACCCTGACACGCGCAGGTTCCATGGCTTCGCATACAAGGCCACCTCTCCCCTCGCCTCAACCGTCAACTCGCAGCACCCCCAAGAAACCTTCGCTTGGAAAGCGTACCTCATCAGCCGGCCCCAAGCGTGGTCAAGAGTTCTCGGTCGATGACGATGTGAATGAAGTCGAACAAGACAAGGCCTCGACATCGTCCAGCCATGTTCTGAATCCCAAAGCTTCTACACTCCGTCGCCGACCAACAGCCCAGCCACCACTTCTTGCAAGAGTCGAATCAGACGAACGAGAGGACGACCAACTATCAAGGCCTCAGACAAGAGAAGCACACAGACAGGCTGACTCTGACGACACAGAGACCACACTACATCCCGAGGAAGAGGAGGAAGGCTACATTTCTGCAAAAGACCAGGACGACGAGAACGATGATAACGATGTCGACGACGATGATGCCGACCTAAGTGACGCCGAGAGCTTCACATTGAAGGACAGGCAAGAGGCCATCAACGAGACACATCCTTTCGGTATCCGTATCTGGAAGCCTGCTTTATACAAGAAGAGTCGCTCTGTTCAGGCCACGGCCGAAGGTGACATTCACCAGGCTCCTGGTCACCACGTCAGCTTGGGATTGCTATTTTTCAACCTTCTCTGGACCCTCATATGCGGCTGGTGGCTTGCCTTGCTCTGCGCTGCTGGAGCTCTTATCTGCTTTGCCCTGCGTTTCACGCCAGGCTGCCAGGAGTACGGTTATGTGTTATGGCAATTCGCTGGCTACATCTTCTATCCTTTTGGAAAGTATGTTTTGCTTGAGCATGATGAAGCTTATATGCACGAGGATTCAGGCGAAGGTCGCAGCATTTCTGAGTACGAGCGGTGGCAGACTGGTGACCTTGAGGAGGGTAGATTGTTCTTTGGTCCAACAGACATCAACCGATCCCTGATTGGTCGAAGAAGAGACAGCGTCGAGACCACTCCTGATGAGACTGACAGCTTACTTGGTCGCCCGGGTAGACGCTCCAGTGGAGACAAGCAAGATACAAAGTCGAGACTGTTCGGCCGTGGAAAGTGGACTGTTGGAAGAATCATCTTTTTTGCCGTTTTCTGGGGCTTCATCACTCCGTCGCTTTGGCTTATCTCTGCTCTCTGTTGGTTCCTCGTCTTCACGATTCCCATGGGTAAGGTCACGCTCCTCCTGCACCATCACTTGAGAAGACACCCACTGGCTCTATCTTTCCACTCCGACACTCATGACGCCAGCCGTGGACCTAACCAAGCTCCTTCAAGCGTCCTCCTCTGTACTTACCGTGCTGTTGGTAGCAGATACTGGAAGTATACCATTGACGGCACTAACATCTTCCTCATCAACTTGTTGAGCATGGTTGCCTTTGCCATCTTCGACTTCTACGTTCTGAGGGAGTATCTGGAGCTCGACATGTTCATCGCCTCATCTGGTTTCATCTTCATCCTCGGTCTGTTCTCTATCATCCCTTTGGCATACTTCATCGGTCAGGCTGTTGCTTCCATTTCTGCACAATCGTCCATGGGTGTAGGCGCTACCATCAACGCCTTCTTCTCCACCGTCGTCGAAGTGTTCCTGTACTGCGTTGCTCTTAACCAAGGTAAGGCTCAGCTGGTTGAAGGCAGTGTCATTGGTAGTATCTTTGCCGGTATCCTCTTCCTTCCGGGCATCTCGATGTGCTTTGGTGCCATCAAACGCAAGACTCAACGATTCAACGTCAGATCTGCAGGTGTTACATCGACAATGTTGCTCTTTGCAGTCATTGGCTCCTTTGGTCCAACCCTGTTTTATCAGAACTATGGTAGCCACGAACTTGTCTGCCACCAGTGCGTCAGAGGAGATGACGCCAAGGGAGACAGAGATTGTAGACGCTGCTACTTTAATCAGGTCCCTGCCATCAACGATCGTTTCTTCCTCGAAGCTGTGCGCCCCTACATCTGGTTCTGCGCTTTCTTCCTGTTCTTGTCATACATCATTGGTCTCCTCTTCACTCTGCGTACCCATGCAGCAGTCATCTGGAACAACGAACTTGACGAGAAGAAGCTGGAAAAGATGGAGCACCAAGCATTGCACATTGAGGCTCGTCATGGCAGTATCCCTGAGACCATTGTTGCCAACCCTCATGCACACATGAGCCGTAACAGCACTATGGGCACAATCGGCACTCTGCCTCGTGGAAACATTCAAGAATCGCAACTGTACAAGCGCATTCTCGGTCAATCGCTGAAACAGGCCGGCTTTGGCAGTACTGCCCCTAGTGAGCAGCACTCTCCTGACAAGTCTACAGCTCCTTTTGGTGGCCCGACACACCTTGTACCTCCCAAGTCCAGCGAAGAAGACGGCGATAGGATCCAACAGCATAAGCTACGAATCCCTGGTCTCTCTGCGGAAGACAACACTGCTTTGGTACGTCAAGTTGCAGAGATGGCAGCAACTGCAGCGACCGTGGCTGCCCGTGATGCGACTCGCGCTCCTCGCAAGGCATCACAGATGGCAAGCACCAGCGCTGGCAGTGTAAAGCACCACGGCTCCATCTCGTCATCGGCCGGTCATTCAGCCTCAGCAACTAAGAGTGGTGCCATGCCCGAGGATGCTGGGGAAGTTCATGGAGAGGTCCACGAGGCTCCAGCTCATGAATCGGGTGGTCACGATGCACCTAACTGGAGCCGCACAAAGAGTGCGGTGATCCTGTTGACTGCCACTGTCGCATATGCCGTCATTGCCGAAATTCTGGTAGACACAGTTGACAGTGTTCTCGAACACATTGACATTGACGAAAAGTTCCTCGGTATCACTCTTTTCGCGCTCGTGCCAAACACGACCGAATTCCTGAACGCCATCTCCTTCGCCATGAACGGAAACATTGCATTGTCGATGGAGATTGGTTCAGCTTACGCACTCCAAGTAATGCTTCTGCAGGTCCCTGCTTTGGTCTTCTACTCTGGTATATGGGCACAATGGATGGAACCAGCCCATGTTGCTGATCACACCTTCAACTTGATCTTCCCTCAATGGGATATGGTGACCATTATCCTCGGCGTCTTCCTAATGGGCTGGGTTGTTGGCGAAGGCAAGAGCAACTACTTCAAGGGTTCTATTCTGATCCTCGCCTACCTGACCATCATCATTGGCTTCTGGTTCTCGAGCTGGAGCAGCGACGAGGTATGTTCTTTCTTCCCCGTTCATTTCTTTCTGCATCGTACTAACCATCATGTGTGAACAGGGAGGCATTAATCGCTTCATGGGCATCGACCGCTTCGATACACTCGCCTTGCCAACCAACGTACAGACTTTCAACACGATTGGAAAGTCTACACGAGGGCAGGCCTTCGGTTGAAAAGAGACCCTCTAACTCTACTTGACTGTATTAATGTGTGAAAGACAAATTTGAGCATGAGATCGGCGTTTACTGGTTTGGTACTTTTTGGACACCGATTGGTGTGGAATGCTTGCAAGGACTTTGCCTATACTCAAAGAGGATATAATTAATATATAACGCTATGAAGATTTGCCTTTGTGTATGTTTGATAAGAAGCCCCGTACTCGAATTAGAGCTGTGATGACCAGCAAAGGGATGAGGTCAAGTACTTGTTTTTGAGATTCTCAAACAGCCCTTGATCTGTTTTCTGACGGCATCGACACGACACCACATTTTGACATGAGTAAGATTTAGTCCTGGAGTGACAGCCCCATACCATCGACGAAAGATGGTAATGCTACCCTGTGCAGGATCCCATGGTGCGCCCCCAACCCTTCCCCATCCAACCATTGAAAGTTCTTGAAGAAAAGTGTTCGTTCAACTCCCAGCCCCTCTTTAGAATTTCTTATCCTGTGGTAGGTGTGACAGCAGACTTTGCTTGCTTCTCGCATCAAACACAGAACCAGATTTATGCTGCAGAAGTCGGAGTCTGCCGGCCTGGCTTCGAATTTAGATTTTAGCTTTTGGATGACGGGATTTTTTTTAGGTGTCCGTCATCGATGAGTGGATGTTCTACGCTTTCGAAATCTTCATGAGGATCCCAGATAGTACCTAGGCTCCACGGCCACAATATAAACACTCTTTCTTTCTGCGGGAAGTGATGCCGAGTGCAAGGTCTGCATAGGGTCCAACAACGATATGCCCAGTTAAAAAGCGCTGAAGTAGGCACACAGGCAGTTCAAGTAGTGTCAATTCTAGCGGAGTATGATACCAATTGGCCGGGCGAAGTTTTGTAGGTAGCGCCTTCAGTAGAGCCTATCGTGATACCAGTTTTGTCGAATTACTTTAATCCTCATCGATGGACACTTTCGTGTTCAGGATGATGAGTTGTCAAGTCCTTCTCGGGAACATACAGATATAGACTGTAGCGTGTCTCATTGTTGTGTGCTCGCTGAACGCAAAATGGAAGGTATGGTCGAGATGACCTGTCGTCCGCTTGCCGAGGAAGACTCGCAAGTCGTGTCATAATAATGGCCATGACCGTCTGCATAATTGCAATTTGATGGTCCGAAAGAGACATGACCGTGATAGAAGGGTCCATGACGGTGTTCAACAATGCAAGGCACCGACGTGTAAGTCCAGACGACAGCAAAACACCCCTCAAAAGTCCAGAGTCCTAGCAAGAAGCAGAGGAGGCAAGCCTCCTCCAAAGATCAACACCCTGCTTCCTAGAGCTCAAATTGAGGCTCGCTCATCCCTCAGGCCTTGAGATTAAGATCATTGCTCTACGAGTCAAGGCGCATCGAAGTATAGACAGCCCCATCCGTCCATCCATCCATCCCTAGGTCTTTCAGCACCGGACATCTGTCCGCACTGACCCGTAAAGCGTATTGAAAGAGAGATCCACAGACTAGCAAGCCGCTTAAACAGCACAAACAAGAGTCATGAACCTAAACCAACTAAACCAATCTGGACCTTGTGGTAGTTGTGCAGTGGGCTCTCCGCGGGTGGCTGCTCTTAAGGCTCAAGCAGCAACGTTGGAAAACCAGCCACGAAAGAGACACCTTTGCACTTTTTGCCGACAAGACCCTCTTGCTTTCGCGTAGAAAAAAGCATGGCGACGGCAAAATGATTTAGCTGCCCAAACGGCGAAGAAAAAGAGGTTTGACCATTCCATTTCCAGAACTGTTTGCTTTGTTAATTGACCCGTCGGTTGACCGTCGAGTATTCTACTGCCGGAAGATGCTCTCCCCAGAGTGAGTTGCTGATCAAATAAAGTAAAAAGAGATAAGTTGTTCGATAAATGAAGCTGGGCTTCGGGCCGCTCCAGAGTCGAGGGGGGGTTGAGTGAAGTTGCGTATTGGAAGCTTTTGATATACGAATTGCGAACAAGCTAAACGCAGCTAAAAAGAGTGAGCCGCAGAGGCGAAAGATCAAATGACATGTCGATAACAGAGTCAGAAAAAGTCTGGAGGTCAAGTTAACTTTGTATGAAGCACGGGGGGAAATGTCGATCATGTTTTGAGCGCAAAGGCTGGACGCTCAGCAGAAACAAGAATAGTGTTTGCTGCTCTCACCCCCAAAACAGACAAGAAAGAAAGCACAGTCACCACCTTGAATATCCCAGACTATCGAGTTCTATCCAAAGCTGGATCCAAAGTTTCTTGAAATTTGAGCAACGATCACTTTTCACTAGCCAGAAAAAAGATCTACCCATCCCCAATATTCAACGTCTCTAATCGCTTGCAGGAAGCAAGGTAAGAGATAGATTGTAAAGTTGATAGAAAATAGGCAGAGCGAAACAAACCCAGTCAAGTGTTGGACCCAATGCAAGGGACCAGCTTTTGGGAGTCAACTGAAGCCGGGGGATGGAATGCAATGGCGTTTGAAGCTAAAAAAGGCAATTCACGACTCATGGGTCAAAGCAAGTGCTGTTTCAAAAGACGGATCTAAAATCACAAGTTACAACAACAGCCGGAAGGAGAAAGTATCACTGATTTGCAGGTGGAGAACCAGCGGATTGAGAATTGTTGGCTCGAGTCTCACGAGTCACAAGAAAAGCATGGCAAAGGAGGAGAAATGGCAAAGGCACAGACGCGGGAGTGGTGGTTGAGGTTCCACGACAGGATATAATAGTCAGACTGCCATCGCATTGCTCTTGCTCTTTGATTGATTCAGACCTTCGCAACTTCAAGCTTACACTCCTTTTACAACCACAGACCCAACTTTGATACACTCTCTATAATTCTCTTCTTCTAAACTCATCAACCAACTACACACAACACACCGCCATCATGCAGCTTCGTGTCTACACTTCTCTTGCCCTCTTCGCCGCCACTGCCATGGCTGCCTCGGCCTCTAGCTCTGCTGCTGCCGCCACCTCTACTTCCACCGATCTTACTGCTGGTGTTCCCACATGCGGTGTATGTTCCAACTCTTCCCTCGATGAGACACGGGCCAACAAACTGACAACTTTGCTGAACAGCTCCCCTGCATTTCATCCGCTGTTCAATCATCGGGCTGCTCTGCCAGCGACCCCGTCTGCCTCTGCACAACCGGCTCCAAGGCCTTCCTCGCCGCCGGAACCCAATGCCTTCTCCAGAACTCCGACTGCTCTGCCCAAGACCTCCAGAGCATTCAGAGCCTTGCCAAGTCGCGTTGCGCTACTCTTCTCGCCAGCACTGGTGGTTCTGCCGACGTCTCGGCTTCTGCTGCCATGGCTTCATCCACTGTTTCTGGCTCTGCTTCCAAGGCTAGTGCTTCGGCTGCAGCAACTGGTGGTGCTGTCCAGGTTGGTGCCAGCATCATGGCCATTGGCGCCGGTGCTCTTGCCTTCATCCTGTAAGCGGATGCTTAAAAGGACACAAAATGTGGTGGTAGTTGTGAAGTGGGAAAAACAGAACACGCAGATGTTCTGAGGAGAAGTTGTGTGTTGCATGAGATGGCCTCTTTTAACGATACCCCAAGTGGTTTTTGTAGCATCATTTTTATATCTTTCTAAAGCGGTGGGACTTTTTTGCATTCTTCGGGGGAATTATTACAGTACTTCTTTGTTTCTTTTATCTGACGACAGAAGTCCACTTTGTGACCCATGCTGTGAATTCGTCGTCTTTGTCGTTCCAGTCTGTCTTTAGGAGGTCGGCTGCTGAACATGCATTGTCAATACATGTGTTGAGGATTGTATCGACTTGATCAGCATCGAGTTCGTAGAAGGCGTTTGCGAGATCATCAACAGATTCGGGTAGTTCCTTGAGCAGGTGCATGAGTTTGTCCAGAGTCAGAATGTTAACCTTCTTCGAAGCGACGTCTGGTGTAAAAGTCTTGAGTCTGCGTTTGGTGATGGCAGCATAGAGGAATTGTATCTTTTTGAGTTTGTCGGCAGCAGTTTGCAGACGTTCTTTCAGGTCCAGACGGTCTTTTGGTAGTTTGTTGGCAGCAGAGAACATGTCGTCGAATTCGTCTTGATCGTCTCTTTCGTGTTGATCTTCGCTTGTGGAGTCTGCATCGTCCTCGTCGTCATCGTCCTCTTCATCATCGTCGTCTCCATCACCTTCTTCCCACTCTTTGAGTTCTTCGATAGCGTCGTTGATGGTATCCCGTAATTCCTGAGCCTTGAGAACAGCCAAACCAGCAATCCCAGTCTTTTCCAGCAGGATCAGAGCATCACAGGCTTCCCACAGCACACCAGTAGAAGCAAGAGTGCTCTTTGAATGGTTGGACTCGTTCTCCTCTCTTGCAACATCGAGGACTTCCTCGAGGAAAGAGACCATCTCGCGCATGACTGTACGGACTTTGGCAACGACTTGGTGGTGTAGGAAGACACCCCAGATATCAGGACGACAGAGTTCGACGGCGGACATCATGGCGGGAAGACAGGTTTGAGTGGCATCACGAAGGACAGAATTGACAGCGGTAGGAGTGAAGGGCTTGTTGATCAGGAGCAGAGCGAGCTTTGTCGTGTGAGCCTTGAGCAAGGTGGCACTGTCGCGAAGCACATGCAGTGGGTTTGGAGGGTTGGGTGGGAGTTGAGTTGACGAGTCGATAGAAGCGTTTGGAGCGAGAGTGGCGAGGTACTGAGCGACCAGAGCACGCTGCGTCTGAGCAAGATCTATGAGTGTTTGCGAGGCAGCCATGGCGGGAGTGTGTGTTGAGGTGTGAGGAATGCGACAAAGGTTTAACAATTTCTCGATAAAAGTCGCCAAGAATGATCAAGTTGATGTCAAAAGCTTCGGGAGTGTTTGCGGTCACCGCTCGCCGCGGTCTCGTCACGGATACATAGCACAAACATGCATGAAGACTCTCTCTAAATGTCGCAAACCCTCGTCGTCGACGTCGGCGCCTGGTCTCTCAAAGCTGGATACGCTTCCTCCGACACGTGCCATGTCGCTCCCAACTGCATTGCCAAATCTCGCGACAACAAGACGTATGTCGGCTCGCAACTGTCGCAATGCACCGACTACGGTGACATGACCTTTCGTCGCCCTGTTCAGAAGGGTTACATAGTCAACTGGCCTGCCGAAGTCGCCGTCCTGGATAACGAGCTGCAACAACTTCAGTGCGATACTTCGGATACGAACTTGATCATCACCGAGCAACCAAATGCGCCCTTACAGCTCACCCAGAATCTGGACCAGATGGTCTTTGAGCACTTCGACTTTGCTGCTGTGTATCGAACCATTGGCTCTTCATTGAATGCCTACACCGACACCCGATCCCTGTTCGGCGACCCTCCTCTTGCAGATCCATCAACCATCCAGCCAGCAGACGCTCTCCTCGTAGTCGACAGCGGCCACAGCCACACAACAGTCACTCCCCTACTAGCCGGTCGTCCCATCCACCCAGCCGTGCGCCGTCTCGACGTCGGAGGAAAACACCTCAACAACTACCTCGCCGAACTAATCTCATTACGCCATTTCTCGCTCATGGACGAACCCCACATCGTCTCTCAAATAAAAGAAGACGCCTGCTACCTATCCCAAGACTTTTGCGCCGAGCTCGAAGCCGCAAGAAAGAAGGACCCTAGTATTGTAGTCAATTACGTGCTTCCCGACTACGAACGCTATCATCGCGGGTTTGTTCGTCCTCACGATGCATCCCACAAAGCAAAACTCGAACGCTTGGGAGTACGACAACCAGACGACCCCCTAGGTGCTCGCGAAGAAGTCTTCCCGCTAGCAAACGAACGTTTCGTGGTCCCAGAAATGTTGTTTACGCCTTCAGATATCGCAATGCCACAATCTGGGATTGCAGAAACTATACTCCAGAGTCTACAATGCTTGCCAGAATTGCTATGGCAGCCTATGCTCGCAAACATCCTGCTCGTGGGTGGAAACACACTAATCCCTGGGTTTGTGGAAAGAGTGGAGAAAGGGGTGATGATGTTGGCTCCTGAAGATATGTTGGTTCGTGTACGGAGAGCTGAAGAGTATGTTTTGTTACCCTGTCACAATTCTCTGCATTGCAGTACTGACATGATATCAACAGTCCGATTACATCAACCTGGCAAGGAGGCTGTCGTATGGCAAACGACCAAGACCTCCTCAAGAACGTCTTGATCACCAGACAAGAGTACCAAGAACACGGTCCCAATTGGGTGACTAGACAGTTCGCAACCAAAAGACCGACAAATGCAAAGGAATAAATGACTTATCATGATAAGCCTAAGGAGTCTGTCTCAAAGGAATATGAAATCAGAAAAGAAATGATCTATATGACTTGTTATTCTTGCGTTTCCTAAAAGTTCCCACCGGTGTTCTTTTTTTCTCCCTGACAAGAGATTGAGACTATTCATGTTTGACTATTGTGGAAAGCGTGACTTTTCTGCCATGGACAATACTTCAGGACTTGAGATTGTCTCAATAGCTTTCTCACACACAAAATTGACAAAGAAAATTGCAAAGTAGCCACACCAGATTGTACGCAGATGCATACCTTTCCACAGTCATTCACGTTAGTCAAAACAGAACAGGAATCACAACAGCACATTGACAGTAATGGCACAAAAAGCAATGTAGGAATAGCCACGGAATTTGTCAGTTTTGAAAGAGCCTGTCTCCCTTGATTTCGAACTGCACAGAGAAAAGAAAGGATAGATAATCATGACCAACGCCTGAACCCTCGTCCTCCCATAAAAATTGAATAAGCACCACCAAGCGCCTTCGCCAATGCCAATGGAAACAAAATAAATGCTGGAGAGTGAACAGAATATCCCAGGAAGAAACAATGGACAAAGCAACAAGAAGAAATGAGTGTACAACCGCCCTGGGGATAAGAATACATGATAGACATGCTGTTCCCACAGAAATCTCCTCAGAGCAACGAAGAGCATACGAAAAGAGTGACCTGTGAAAGGTATGTGACGAAAGAAAGAAAGAAAGAAAAAGGCCTCATTAGGCACGACCAAACCAAGGAGACCTCTGTCCTTGTCTGCGGCCAGAGATAAACATTCCCAGCCACTGACGCTCAGTGGTACGGTCCGGAGAATCATAACGCCTCTAGCGTCCAAAGTGGGCAAACAGCTCTCCCATGTCCGAGTCGCCAAACGAAGTGTCAATTCTAGTGAGCTCCGGCAGCGTCGGTGGGGGCGAGAAGGTTTCTCTTGTGGGAGGAGCGTATGGAGTTCGGTGTTGAGATGACGATCGACTGACTCTGCTCTGCGAACTGAATGTTCTGTGAGAAGCAGGTCTTTGTACTTGCGAGGGCTGAGAGTATTGCGAGGATTCTGTTTGGGTCTTGGACATGGGTGACAATGGAGGTAGGACAGGAGGTTGCTGTGTGGTTTGTGTGGTTTGCATAGTGTAGACGCTGGCCGATCTTTCGCTTGGAGAGTCGCTCTTGATGGTTTGTGTGTGCTCGGTGGTGGGATGGACGATCTCGGGCTCGTCTAGCATCATGGCATCAGGGCCTTGGGGTGTGTCGTAATCATCTGCGATGGCAGAGTCGTTGTTGTTGGAGTTGAAAGTGAAAAGACCACTCTTTCTGCGGAACCACGAGTTGCTCTTCTTCTTTCTAAGAGGAGGCTGAAGATGGTCTTGGCCGGGCTTAACGATGACAAAGTCCTCTTCTGCAGCACGCTTGACGCCTCTAGAACTGGTTGTGCTGTCAGAGGCCGGACGGTCGGATGAGGCGGTTTGTGGAGGGTTTTGTGAAGAAGGGGTAGAGACGAGAGATGTGCGTGAGTTGCTAAAGCTGCTCTTCAGGTTGGACAAGGAGAAGAGCTTTTGCATGCTGATGGATCGACGACGGCCATTGTTGGTGGGGCCCTTGGGGACAGGCAATTGGGAGCCGAAACTGTCGTGGCGGTGGTTGTCGTGGTGGGACATGGCGTCGATGTTGGCGAGGTCGAGCTTGGACGACGTGTCTTGGTTGTTCAGCTGGTATGCCAATGGTAGATGATGCAATTGAGAGGAACTGCCGGCAAAAGAATTCGTGTCTTGTCGGTGCAAGGAGTCAATCGAGGGTGAGGCAGACTTTGACAAGTCGGGCGTGGAGAAATTGCTCGGATGCTTCCTCGGGAACGAGTTGAAGTTGCTAGGCGACCCAAACGGCAGCGACGATGTACTTGTAGATACGTTCCTGCTGTGCTTAGCAGATTCGTTGCTAACCGGCTCGCTGCTGCTGCTAGACCCTCCAAACGACTCGACCGGTGTTGGTGGATGCGAAGACAGTGGGCTTGGTCTGGACGGCAACTGCTGACCTCGCCCTGAAGTCGCAATAATGCCCAATGATGGCACTCTTTGCCTGTGCTGAGAAAGCTGCGACATGGTCAAACCCCTTGACTCTTTCGATAGCTCCGACCTCTTGAAAAGGTCGCCGTGCGCTATCTGTCTTGTCCGACTCGCTACTGTGCTGATGAGAGCGTGGGGTCCTCACCATATATTAATCCTTGCCGACGGATTAACAAAAGTGGCCCCTTTCGTATTTTTGGCTTCGCCGAGATCCTTCTATGCCTGCACGCCTGAACTATCCTCCACGTTTCACTCCTGGCTTAGGGAGCACATGGACTGACAAACTGACAAGAACAACGATAACAACAACGACCATACAACAAGCTATGCAAGACTAATGTCATCCGGCGCAAAGACCATCATGGCCCTAGTCTCGCCCATCACCCCTGCGTGCCCTGCTTTCCCTGATTTACCGTTTCACCTCATGCATACAACCAACAAGTACTTGTACCTTCTCCACATGTCTGTGCACCGTTTCAGGCCCGTGTGAAACTGCCATTTATCCGCCTAACTACAAACACCGACAACTTTATCGGAATCATGGATCAGAATGATTGCATATGTTTGAGAGCCAAACTACAAAAGCTGAAAAGAATACCCTCTGCTCCACGCCTTGCTATATACAAGCCTTTGTCTTCTCTTTACCAACCACAACCACATGACTCCGCCTATCCCTCAGCCTTATTTTGTAGTCACCGCCCATTTGCGTTTTCTGAAAACTTAACGATTGAAGAAACTCTGCAATAGCATTTGCTTTTGACCTCCTGAGCCGTATGCATATCCATCCACCAATGCCGTGTATGAAAACCATGTTGCACAGCTAGTTGGTTGATGTCCCTGACGTGTGCAAGACATTGACATCGCCTGCGTGCTTTGTCTCGTTTCGCTGCGTTTGTGACATCGTCTCATCATTCACTTGCACAGCATCGCCATGTCTCGTCGACTCCCTCTCGTCTTCGTTCAACGGCGAAAGCCCAGAGGATCCATCGGATCCGTTGACTCTGGAATTTGATGCAATCGATGCCACCGAAACTTTGCGTTCCTCTTCTGGCTTTTGCTCAAAGAATTCGACATGATCTGCATCTCGGTCCTTATCGTCGTTGCGGATCATCTCGCTCAAACTTTTGAAATTGAACATGGGTTCCGTATTCACATCATTGCCAGGTGTGCCGGATTGTGTGTCAGGTGTGCCAGTGCCGTCGTCTAGCACTGTTGCACTGGTGTTGGGTGAGATCTGATGATTCAGCATTCGTTGCTGATAGCTTCCGGGTGCAGAGTCTAGCATAGAGGATGCTGCTGATGAAGCGTTCGAGATATGGCGAAGGTGAGAGCGATTCTGGAGTGCTTCTGGGAATGAGATGGGCTGCGTTGCTTGTGGTAGGTTAGCTCTTGACTCCTCGAGATGTCTCTGAGAATCGGCCGTCTGCTCAGCAACCTCTGTGTTTAAAGTAGACGTAGGTTCGCTGAGCGGGTTGAATCCATAAGATGTGGTAGCAGGTGCTTTGCCCTTCCCGATAACTGAAGGCGGGGCTGGTGGAGGCGATGAAGCTGTTGATACAGCAGTTTGTGGTCGCGGAATATTACTCGTTGAGCGAGTCATATCAGACCAGGTGGCTGTGCTGCCATTCATACTGGCATTGTAGAGACTTCCGCTCTTCTTGGCGGCCTTTTCAGCTTTCTTGGCCTCCTTTGCAGCTTCCTTTTCTCGTTTCTTTGCTTCCTTCCTCACTTCCTTCTCCTCTTTCCTCTTACGATCCTCTTCTGAAGCCAGGGATAGTCGTATAGCCTCCATCATCATCAAGTCTTCCAGGTCGTGGGCACGACTCCTTCTACCTGAAGGTCGAGGCTCTGTGCTTGACCCTTGACCTTCTATGTGTGCGATCAACTCAGACAAACTGCCGACCTGACCATTGTCAGCTCTTGGAGTACCTGAGCCACTTGCACTGGCAGAGGTGTCTGCCAGGAGCGTACGGCGACGGCGGCCGAGACCACCAAATGAGCGCGAGTCTGATGGCTGTTGATTGCCGAGCATATACGCAGCGTTATGCAGAGCAGTAGCAGCAGCAGATCGTCGCAGGGCATGTGCTCTAGCATCAGCGAGCTTCTTTGCCCAGTCTGGTCGTACTCGGTCGGTCGTAATAACAGTAGGGGCCGATGCTGACAGAGAGGTTGTACGTCTTCTGCCAGGAGGTGCGGCTAGCGAGAGGGATGATGCATCTGGAGATGGGGCGCTGGTCGGAGCTGGGCTGCTCACTGGGCCTGAATACACAAGGCCTCTACGGAAGGTTGGAGGTTGGTAGCTGACACCAAATTCAGGCGTTACACAGAAAGGACATGCGGCGGGTTCCGAGACAAGTAATCCTTCTTCATCAGTAGTAGGGTTTCCGTCATCATCGTGATGCTCCGGAGGGTGGGGATCAGGACGCTTGATCTGTACGAAGCATTCGGAGCAGATGGGCTGATCGCAACAGCGTGTCTTGTTGAGATATGGAGGGTAGTACATGAAACAGATGGGGCATTCTGAAGCATCTTTGTACAGGACAGCCTCGAGGGGAGAACCATTGACTCGTGGTTCTCGTGGCAAACGGATCTCTTGAGGAGCGATTGAAGTAGATGAAGCATTGTTGTTCTTGTTCGAGGTACCGAGAGATGCGAGTGTTTTTGCACGATCGCGGAAGAGACCTCGAGATGCCGAGGCTGAGGGCAGAGACGAGCCACCTGGACGAGGGAAAGTGGCGCTTGAAGGAGGCGACATGTGCTCGGATTGATATGATTGGGAGCGGGACGCGATAGGAATAGTGAGCGAGTCGACATCGCTGCCAGTGGTTGTTTCGAGGTCAGGAAGGGGAGGGTCATCGGGAGCAGGGAGGGCTAGTCCTCGTGCTACAGCTACGAGCTGGTTCTCGGTCCACGACTCGGAATGGTCATTGAGACCTTTCCAGAACGGCGCCAAACGACGTTCGATCTGAGTTATGTCAGTGAGGCAGAAGCAAGTTGCATAGGTGTTGGACGGCATACCATGAGTTGGCGCACGACCGTCTTGTTGAAGTCCTCAGGACCAACATATGTACCCAACGTGACAAGATAGCCACCGTCGACACCCTCCTCCTTCATACTCCGTTCACGCTCGTTCTCTCGAGCCACACGTTCCTTCTCACGCTTGCGTGCTTCTCTTTCTTGCTTGGTCTCGCGACGGGGCTCCTCGGTGCGTTGTTGGTCTCCTCTACTGCTGGAACCCAGATGAAGGAAGGACAGATTCTGTCTGCTGCCGCGGCCGCTACGTACATTGTACATGGAATTCTCGTTGGAGCCAGTGTTAGAGCTTCCATCGTTGGCAGTTCCAGAGCGTGACCGTGAGGATGTCGTTCGTGACTCCCTGGTGGAGCTGTTTGTATTCCCCATGGCGATCGAAGGTCTCTCAGGCTCGTTGCGGGGAAGCACTTGAGAGACGGCGCATTCCACGCTCAAGATCCGACTATGTCTTGGCCAGTCTACTCATGCGACGAACAAAGGATGGGCGGCTGAGATGAGGAAGAGGTGAGCACGTGGGGTGGGAAATAGATGGAGATGGAAGCGTTCCAATAGCTGAATAGGCGAAATAGGAATCGAGGTAGATAGTGTTGGAGTAACGGCGCCGACACGTCCGCCCTCGGCCTGTGCTAGTAAATAGCCGTTCGCGAAGCCGCCGACCAAGTAGAATAATGCCGTGAGAGAAGGACCACAGATTCAGGCTGTAAATATCAAGCACAAGGACAGTGACCTGAGAAACTTATTTTCACCACTTCAAGCTTTCTTCCTGGAACCTGATGTCGCCGGCTTGTCTCTGATCATTACGCCGATGACGACGCCCGCTTTGCACTGTATTCCGGAAGCCAATCAACAAAGACTTGACCGAGGAACTTAGCTGCTCACTTCGCCCCCAAATTCTCGCCCAAATCGCTCAACTCAACCAGATCGCTGTTGGCGCTTTCGCTTTTCAACCTTCACTTGTCTTATACTCAACTCTCACGTAATTGCAATGCCTGTATGTAGAGGTACACCCAAGGTACCTTTGAACCTTTGGATTGGTTATTCTCAATAATTCTGCTTTGGCCAATCTTTATCCGACACCTGCCTTCTTATCACAGCTTTGGGCTGAGGATAATCAATTCTCATACCATGAACTTGTCCGGAAGTATCTCGGAGGCCTTACGTCTGAACTAGACATACTCATCTCCCTTCATCCATCCAAGTTGCCTGCGCCTTAGTCAGCATCTGCTCGTTCTCGACCCAAATCCATGTCTTTACTCACTTCCACATATGCAGCTTATCCCAATCCTTAGTAAAGCTCTTGACTTTGCCATTCTCGACCTCAAAGATGGCTGCGGCCGACCACTTGGCTTTATTTCCTGTCTTTTCGATCCCATTGTGAGGCCCTCCGCAATGGCTTCCCTCGGCCGTGTATCTCAAAAGCACATGTCCATCCTTGGCAAACACCTGATCGTAGCAAACAATATGCAAGTCTGAGACACTGGCCATGACATGTGAATGACTCTCTGCATAATCTTGGGGTGATTTGACCCCGGGGAATGTGGTGGGAGCCCAAAACCAGGCATCATCTGCGCAGAGATGTTCAACAGACTTGCGACCTTTGTTTTCGGAAGGCGAGTAGGCGATTCGCATGTATTCTTTGACGATCGAGATGTTCTTCTCTTCCTCTGAAGACTGCTTTGTTGTCATGCGAGCAGGTGGCATTTTGTGTTCAGATCCGCTGGAAGACATCTTGGCTATGATATTCAAGGTTGAGTTGCGTATTAGGCGAAGTTCGAGCTGTCAATCCCAAGGAAAGAGCACCTCCAGGTTCAAGAGAGTATATGATGCTGTTTTGCATGGTGATGCAGCTCATGACATCAAGGTGTCGTTCTCCGCACCGAGCCGGGTACTGCATGATCTGCAATGTTGATACCATATTTACGTGTGTTGAACCTCGGATGAATGAGAGGAGGATAATGGTAGTATTTTCATGGACGCATCCATGTTATATGCAATGAAATCCGAAAACAAAAACAGAGAGGGATATCAAAAAGACTCATGAGCCAACCCATCCGTAAAACACCATGAAATGAAGAAAGCCGTCAACTCTTCTATGAAATCATCTGATTGCGATGCTGATCTCCTCGGGAAGTTCTTGCTCGGGTTGAGGACTCTGAGCAGGAGTCATCCATGGGGCGTCCTCAGCCTGGGGTGGTGATAGGGTTTTGGTTGCTCTCTTGTTAACATAGTCTTTGCCGGGGCTGTCCCAAGCGAAATCCAGGTACTCTGCCAGATGCTCCTGAATTCCATCGGCCATAATCTGGACAGCATGCTTGCGGTTCAAACTCCATTCGTGATCTCTCTTCCAACGACCAGCGAGCTTGACGGTCTCTTCACCACCCTCAAGACCATCAAGAATACTACGCCAGACTGACATTGTCTTCTCAAGCTCGCCGGCATTACTGACACCCATGACGCTGACACCGAGCTTCTGGCCTCCAACCTGCTCGTTTGACTCGCGCGTCCATGGAACACCAGATGCAGGATCACCTCGAGACCCAACGCTGGCACCTTGAGTCAACCATGATTCAAGTGCGAAACGAATAGCAATGACCTCAAGGCGCTCTCCGTGGCGGTCACAGAAGTCGCTTGCACGACGAATGGCTGCTCTCACGCCAGGACCAGCAGGATGCCAGTCGCCTTGACCAGCCACAGGAGGGCCTGCACGACGCAATAGACCCATACCGAGTGGTGATGCGTTTGGAACAACATCAACGCCAGCGGCACGCAGACGTGCAATGCCATTTGTTGCGAGTGTGGTGTTTTGCAGTGTGAAATTTGCGTATGACATGACAGCATCGAGAGGCTCGCCAGTCTCGCGCAGAACACGCTCAGCGAGCGAGCAAAGCAGAGGGACTGGGTAGCCGGAAATACCAACGTAGCGTAATGTGCCTTCCTCGTCGCGAATGCGGCGCAACTCTTTTATAGCTCCCATGACTTCATCCTCGCTGACGAACTCAACATCGTGGCAGTAAACGATATCGAGGTAATCGGTACGCAGTCTTTGCAAACTGCGAGCGACACTTTGGCGAACCCACTCGGGGGAGTAATCGAACTCATCTCCAGCGATGCGGCCGCACTTGGTGATGTAGAAAAGATCGGAACGCGGCACGTGTGCGCGTACGAATTCTGTGTCGAGAGCGGCACCCAGTAACTCCTCACTGGGTCCGTAGTATGGACTGGTATCGAATGCTCTGATACCAAATTCAAGTGCCTCTTGGACCAAGCCGACTGTGTCTAGCTTGTTCACGTCATTGTATTGTGAGTTGAAGACGGCGCAACCAAAGACGAGGGGTGGAAGAATTGAAGACAGTTGCTGGGCAGGCTTGCCCTTGACCATTGCTGAGGCCATATGGTGATGTTTGTTTTAGCGTTTGTACGAGAAAGCGAGGCAGGTGGCTGCAATGAACACGGAGTCTCAGTCCGGTGATTTGAACAGTGGTTGCTACGAAGCGCAAAGAATTGGAGTACACAGAGGACAAGGAGTGTGTCGTGAACGGAAACTTGGGAGGGAGAGGAGGAAGCTCAGCGATAAACTAATGGAAAACAGTTGAGTAGAAAAGTGTCCTAGCTCCCAGATCCATGATATCTACACTGGAATTTTGGGCGCTCGGAGCCGGAGGAATTGATGAGCAAACTCACGATCTCCAAGTGCTCGTGCACTAGACACGAAGGCGCGATCGCGCCGCGAGATAACCTTGATCCAATCATTCAGCCATGTTTGTGCTCGATTCGTTCTAGGCTGAGTCTGGGCTCTGTCACGTCAGATCTTGATCTCTACACAACCTGCCCTCCTTGCGCTGCGGAACCGGAAACGGCTACGCGAACCGTCCTCGAAGCGATCGGCAAAGGGGACCGACCTCCTGCAGGGCGGAATGCTTCTGATCAAGTGAGATAAGATAAGATCCGACCTAACCACCGACTTGACCGAACAGCGGCGGATTGTATGTCTTTCAGCTACTTTTATGTTAGTGAAACCACAAGGATCACTGGCTATTCGGTAGCTAGTGGAGATGACCTGTATTGTCGACGCCGAGAAAAGGGCATAGTGATAAAGGAAGGTAGAAGGTAGTGACGGGAAGTACTCCTGCCTGGCCGGAGCGGGAAAAGCCGTGGCTGCCTGCAGGGCTGATTCCAACAACATCCGTCGACATCAGAGGCGACAGCGACCTCTATCCTTCCTCCCTCCTGTGCGCAACATCATTTGCGTATCACCACATCACGAACTCACCTTCTAAGCGACTTGCGCATTACATAGCGGTCGATCTTCAACATGGCTGAACAAAGCATGTATCACGAGATGTACCGCAATGCGTCGTAGGTATCCCAGCTCATCACCATCCAACATTGTGCTGAGAAGGATGTGTACAGCATCGGCGGCACACTTGCAGATACCCTGGACGATCTTATTAGTAGTCGCCGCATCGAGCCTCAGCTTGCCATCAAGATCATGACGAACTTCGACAAGGCCATCGCGCAGGTGCTCGGTGAAAAGGTTAAGGCCAGAATGAGCTTCAAGGTAGGAGATTATAGTACAACAAGTCCATCCCTACGCACACCTGTTTCCGTCATGTTGTTCTCATCTGCAACCCGTAATTTGATCGGCTCAACATATCTTTCAGCCTCATGCCACCCATTCATCTGGGCTTGTTCATCATCATTTCTCCAGACTGATCAGTTTTGCAGGGACACCTTGACACATACCGTTTCTGTGATGACGTTTGGACCTTCATACTTAAGGACGTCAAGGTCAAGCTGGACAACTCACAGCAGATTGAGGTCGAGAAGGTCAGAATCGTCAGCTTGCTCAACGCCAACTCTGCCCACAACAGCGGAAAGAAGTAGGAACTCAACGTCTGGCGCTGAAGAGTACTTAAGTAGCTTCCATTCACGGAGGCACGATTAATTTGATTTGGGTCATGGCGTAAAGGCGCATCTTTGGTTGGGAAGGCATCATAACGAATACCCGGCATGGAGAGTGCACCGAGAGAAGCACGGAGCAGAGAAGAGATCAACAAGCGATCAGCGCGCAAAGCATTCTATCATCTTTAACCCTTTCAATCTTTCCTTTGATCTTTCTCGCATATGAGTGTCCGGAGAGTGTAGAGATATGCAGATGCGAAAGTGTTCCCTCACCGCCTTGTGTTTGCTTGGCGGGTCAGGGTTGAAATGCGGAGAGCGGCAAAAAAGTCTCCGCCATACAGTTCGGCTGTAAGAAGTATTCGCGAATTTTGTCGCTTTTGCGCCTCACCAACTTTCTCGCCATTCACTCCAAACACTTCGATCTATTGTCGTACATCCAGGGCTACACTTTGTAACGTACACGCATACTCGAATACGTTTTCCGCTTTTTTTTTTGCACCACCACCACCATGCCTGCACCCACCGCTCTTCAGAGAGCTGCCCCCGAGGAAATTGCTCAGAACTTGCACGAGACTCCCGTCGTTGCCAACAATGAGGACGACGAAATGCTTATCAGCACCACCGACGCACCTGCCGTTCAGGATGCCGCGCAACCCACAGAAGACACAGCCATGACCGTCGACTCACAACCGCTCTTCGCTGCCGAGAAGGCAAGCAATGCCCACGTTCGCTCCGAATCCCGCAAAGTCGCTGTACCTCCTCACCGTTGGACTCCCTTGAAGAACGCTTGGCCCAAGGTCTACCCTCCTCTAGTCGAACACCTCAAATTGCAGTGCAGAGTCAACACTAAGAACAAGAACGTCGAGCTCCGTACAAGCAGATTCACCGAGGACACTGGAGCTTTGCAAAAGGGTGCAGACTTTATTCACGCTTTCTGCTTGGGTTTCGACTTGGACGACGCCATTGCATTGCTGCGTTTGGATGATTTGTACATTGAGACTTTTGAGATCAAGGATGTCAAGACACTTCAGGGAGAACATCTCGGCAGAGCTATTGGCAGTAAGTGACATTCGACACATATGTTTGCCAGACTCGTGCTGATTTTGTCTAGGAATTGCTGGAAAGGACGGAAAGACTAAGCACGCTATCGAGAACGCAAGCAAAACTCGTGTCGTGCTCGCAGACTCGAAAATTCACATTCTGGGTGGTATGTTGTATCGGAAGACGTCGCTGTTGCAAGTTACTAACAACTCGTTCAGGCTTCAAGAACATTCACATGGCTCGTACTGCCATTGTTTCGCTCATTTTGGGTAGCCCGCCAGCCAAGGTTTACGGCAACCTCAGAACTGTCGCCTCGAGAATGAAGGAGCGCTTCTAAGCACAGCACCATATCGAGATTCATAAAAGAGAAGGAATACGAGCATGCAGTCAGCGGAGCAACAATGCTGTGGGAATGATGATCCTTTTCCCAACCAGCAGTTAGGGCGAGCAATGGCGTTGGTGGATTGGTGTACCTCTTTCGACAAAAATGGGTAAAAGGCATATGGGATGGCGTTTTCTATACTGAATCAGGAGCTTTGCTAATTCACATGCATGCGAAGAATCAACACGATATTTCAAACACTGTCCACACACTACAGTCATCTCTGGATCATTCTGCTCGTACGCAACGAGGGCATGAGAAACTGCACAGTGAATTATGCGAGCAGGAATTGATACCTTGGTGATTGACCCTTGGCAAGCCTCGAGGTATATAGGGAAGCAGAAGTGAGTGGTATACAAGGGGGCAGCAGGAGATTCTCAGAACTCACACTTCGCCATATTGTGACTGATTGCGAACCGATACGGAAACGAGTTATAGGTGACAGCCACAGCTGAAGCCGGTTCTTCAAGCAGCAAGTGAACTCAAGCCTCCTGAGGCTGGCGGCGTGTGCTTGCTGGCGTTACTCGAAGTGCCTCTCTGACTTCTTCCTTTCGATCTCACTATCACGCTGCCCGCCTTCTGTATATATCACCTTTCGCAGCTCACCAGTCATCACAATACAGCCACACACTTATCACAAAGCGTGAGCAGCACAGCTCTTTGCCCCTCTTCCGCTGTAAAATCTCCCCACGAAGAGCCCTCGGGATCGTTCCATTGCGGTGGTTGCTGTCTCATCCGTCACATTGTCAAAGCAGTCTGACGACTTCGCTTTCACTTCTTCCACTCAACCAGTTCGATTATCTGGACATTCACTCGACTTCCTTGGTCCGAACAACCTCGACCTTACCTTTCTCACCCATCTCACACATCATCAGGCGCTTTTCACCATGACTTCCACCACCGACATTGGCCTCACCAATGCCGTTCGCATCAATTGTACCATCAGTCAGGAGATCCACGGCAGACCCATCTTCGAAAGTGTCACTCTCTCCGACGAAGATGTACAGAAGTTGATGAGGCCTGCAAAGCTCCGCGACCAGTCATCTCCGATCGCACGTCGCATCGGCATTCCTCTCCGTGCATACATTGAGCACCAACACGAAAGACCATCTTATGTCCGTGTGGACTGGTCGTATTCGGTCTTTCTCCACATGGGCTGCGAGCTCAACACAGAGCAGGACTCCGAAAACTGGGGATGGGCACCGGATTATTGGAAGATGACTGCTGGCGATGCCTATGTCGTAAGAGAAGACGGGAAGCCTTTATGTCCTAGATTCCTCGAGATCCTCTGCGCTTGATGCTATCAAGAGCTGCAGCTCAAATTCCAGATTGCCATGGAGGAGCGCTACACCGTCCCTGTCGACAAGAGAAAGGATGTTCTTGCTCTGATCACCAAGAAGAACTTCGACGCTTACAGAGAGAAGTTCGAAAAGGAAGGCAAGACCGCAGATTACGACTTCGACTCCACCGAGAAGATGTACGAGGAGTTGCTCCGTACTGGCAAGCTCCAGACTTGAATCTATCGACAAAGGGACAAGAGATCACAACATGTCAAGAGCAGCAAATTTTATCAGATGATCATAACTCCGCGTTGACCGACAACTCCGTGTGGTGAGAAGTTTGTCACATAGCACTGTCTTTGGGAGCTGACCACGACATAGTGCTCAATTTATCCAAAAAGACGGACAGACGGGGATTCAAAGACCAACCTCACGACAAGCCTCGAGTCAAACACAGCGGCTTGTATATGGGATTGAATTTGAGGATTGTCCGCCATGTGACAACCTCGATACTGGACCAATGCGGGGTAGATCGAAGTACCTTAGTCGGGGATGGAGGGGTACCTCTACCTATGCATGGATGCTCGGAGCTCTGAACCTCTTCTTCTGTATCACAACTCCACAATCCAAGCTCCTCATCTCTAACTCCTTCATCTACATGACCGTGAACACAATGGCGAAATCAATGACTCAATACTGTCGAAAAGACTCGGGAATTGAACTAGACGATAGATACGAGAAGACCTCCTTCCTCACCCTCCCAGCCGAGATTCGTACTCAAATCTGGAACCTCGTCTTCGATCCAGTCCAAAGCTACACCGACGCCTTCCAATGTCCAAGATGCAATGACAATGCACCTTCAGCTCTTCAAGAAGACTACTGGGCATCTACATACCTTCAACCTCTACTCACCTGCCGTCAATTCTACCAAGACGCCCATCTCCTCGCTTTCTCTCGCACAACCTTCGTGATTCGTAATCCATATACCGTACTCGATATTGCAGGCCGTATGACCTCTACGCTCCGCCCTGCCCAAATATCCTCCCTTCGCAGTATAGCAATCATCTCCGAAGCACGCCATTTCCGCCAGATGCACCATTGGAAGACTCATGCGTTTGGGATACCTGCTCTCCAACTTGAAGATATGACAATCATTTTGCATAGATCGTCGTACTGGCATTACCTCTTCGATTTCAATGTCATGATGACACAAATGTTGAGGGACTTTGACGGTGTCAACAAGATATGCTTTGTACGGAATCATGCAAGAGTAAAGCCACATTTCCATACTTGGTTCAATAGGTTTGTGGGAGCGATGATGAGGTTAGACAGGGTGGAGAGATTCGGAAGGAAAGAGTCGAAGGCTGAGAAGACGTGGTGGAATTGGGTTTATGATGATGAGAAACAGACTGCGACGCTGGTTAAGGTTCCGAGTAAGGATGCTGAGATGGATGTTGAGGAGTACGATGAGTTCATGGCGCCGATGATGGAGTGGTTGAAGAAGAGTATGGAGGTTGAGGAGTATGATCCGGATCCGATGTCGAGGCTTGGGTTTGTTTGATACTTATATGCAAACGTTAATCTGTATCATTGAAGCCTGATTTCGTTCCGTCGCTGGTCAGAACCGCTTCAGAGAACGGTCTCACCACGAAAACAACTTCCTCCTTCAGAATCATTGTGGATTCTTATAGCCACAGTATGACAGTCTTCGACATACAGGCTCGTGTCGTTCCATCCCGAAGCTGCTCTCGTCTTGCCCGTCCCTTTTGTCTAGTGGCGTGATGGAATCTGAAATCGTCCAAGACAGTTACATGTTGGTTCCAAATCAAAGACTATCGCTAGCTCTCCCTTGTGGAGTGAGGGACGACAAACAGAACTTTTCGATGCACGGTTTTTTTCAGGCCAGAGTTGTGTTCCAAAAAGAGCTAAGAGACCAACAGCTCTTGTGAACAATGATGAATCTCTCTCTAAATGGTTGCGATTCATCATAGCGAAATTTTCCCGAACTGCGCCATAGATCAAATATACAAGATATCAGTGTGAGGTTCATGATATGACCACGGACATCTTCCTGTGAAGGCAAATAGATCACGAGAGGTTTCGAGATGACCAACACATTAAACATATGCTTCTGTCGTGTTCAGGTCGAGCAAAGCAAAGCTCAAAGGTGTAAAACAGGTATGAAGGCGGATCGATCGCCCAAGAGATCTTGCACACGAGTACATATGCCTTGCTCACCATTCTGAGTCCGACCAAGAACGAGGAAGAATATCAGCACCTTGGTTGTATCTGGAAGTGGGATCGTTGCTCTTCCAGAATGATGCCGGGAAGTCCTGTTAAACCACTATGATACACTAGCCGTTTTTCAGCCTCAACATGCCTAGTACAATCATGGGACTGCTTCCAGCTACAAATTGCATGGCGTTCAGTGTCCTTGGTGGTGGGAATGCAAGCAAAAGTCATTAGGTGGGTGACTTTGGGGTGATACAAGGTACAACCCAGAATATGCTCCCCAAGATATACTCCTTATTTTGTTTCTGTACCAACACTTGCTCTGGACTGCTTACAAGGCATAAGTAGGCATGCATAGGAGTGTGTGTAGCGTCCCTGGTGTCTTGCGGCCCGTGGATAGGCCAAAAAGAAGCAAAAAATGGCTATTTCGAGCCTATGGACGCTCGACGACATAACCGACTTGATCAGGGCGGGGTTTGAACCCGCGACCATTTCGGAACAGTAAGGAATGTAAACGAAATGTGATAACCACTACACCACCCGACCACGCCGTTGCAGAGGGTTATCGGTATATAAAGTGGGGAGCGGCAGGGGTGAAGCCTGGGCGAAAATTAGGGCGAAAATGCCTCAAATCGGATCTTTAGAAGCTCAGCCGTCGCCAGCACGACATCAGGACGTCTCTGAAGTAATTGGGAACATCAGAGATGCCTGAGCAGGGTAGTTGAACAAGAGGGCATGAGGATCTATGGAGGAAGAGTGGACTTCGTTGGAGGAAGAGTGAAAAGGAAATTCTCAAGGACAAACTCAAAATCGGGGTCCTTGAAGCATAAAATGAAATAAAAGAAATTTCTGCTAGAGTTCCAGAAGCGTTGTCTGCAACAAAATATGAAAAACAGCAGTACATACAGTAACGGGGGATTTCGCTGAAAATGACATGCAAACTGGATCTTACCGAGACTTGAACTTGCATTCTGCACTCACAACACTTACTAGAGGTTGCGCAAATGCCTTCTACTTTCTGTTATGCTGAGGAGAACTTTAGTTGGTTGTTGGTGGTGGAAAAGCTTTGCGACAGGATGAGAGGACGTTGAGAGCGTAAGCCTTGGCACAACACGCCTAAACAACCATCTCGACTATGCCATTCTCGACAACGAACAATCATTTCGAGTGCTTGACCTTGATGAGATAATGAATTGCACCGATACAAGCCAACCCATCCAAGTCGACTCGAGACAAGGGAGTGACTCTAGATCCGAAGCCGAGGTCAATATCGAGAAGCAATGTGCTGTTCCTCTTCCTGGTGGCGCTCAATGTGCTCGCGGTTTGAATTGCAAACGCCATGGATTTAGCGCAAAGCGTGCTGTGCCTGGTAGAAGTGCGCCTTTCGACCAGTTGCTAGCCATATACCAGCGTGACATCTAGGCGAGGTTAGCAGGTACGTCGATTGTCTGTGAAGCAGCGATACATTACCATAAATCCGAAACATGCTTGCGTAAATGAGTCTTCGGTACACTCAGAGCCAGGCAGCATGATGAGTATAGCTGATAAATGCCTGCTAGACAAGCGATGCGTCTGTATACCGATCTAAACACTATGGCAGCGGATGCGCCTTCCAAAGGTTGCACACGGATGATGGTGTGAAAAGCACAGGGTGCCTCAAGCAACAAGCGAATAACAGCTCTTGCATGTTGTGCAACTCGTCCAGGCCCAAATTCTTTTGTGCAGCTTATGCATGAGCGACAAACCAGAGCGCTAAGCTCGTTAGAAGTCGCTGGCAATCTTTGTAAGTTGCGAGGTGGTGATAATGCTAGCTGAGACGTCAAGAATCATCATCATCGCACGAGCGGGCGAAGTCATTTGATTCTGGATCGATAAGAGAGAACGTTCCACCACAAGGTACAGTCACATCGTGCCAGACTTTGATGCTTGATTCATGCGGAAACCCGACTCCCCTATGCCTGTTTACTCTGTTGAAGCCAAATCTGAGACTTGCTCATTGAACCCTGGTGCTTGAATCACGCTATTATTACATGTCTGCAGCACTATTATCTGGCTCGAGCACTGCTCGTTGTCTAGCATCCAAGAATACCGAGGTGCGCGGAGTCTCTAACATGTCCACATATCTCGGTAGAGATGCCCAGTCACGAGCTGATTAGGCTTGATAAGGAGAATCTCAAGGAAGTTTAGGGTCGGTGATCTCGGACTCCACTAACAATGCCAGCAACGGACGGCCACCATCAGTTCTACCGTTCTCAGCTCGTCCTTGAGCACACTAGTGATCTCAAGACCTTGAGTACTGCTACAGATCAGACGGTCAATACTCAACTTACACGCAGTGAACGCTCTGAAGATTCCGACAGCGTGATTTCCTCGAAGAAAGCTCACGATTGATTGCCTATGAGTACAGCAGTGCAACAGAGGCTACCACAACTGCTGTTTGAACGTCGTCCATCAACCAAATGCGTATGCCCACTCAACAGTGTTGCAAATCGATCTTTGCTTGAAAGTCACCCATTTTTGAAGCATAAAAATCTGCCTTACTCAAATGTCAAGCAAAAAAGGTTTCTCGAATTCAAAAGCATGGCGAAATGTTTCGGTTGCCCTTCAGCTGCCAATTAACCTTAAAATACTAAAAGTGCCATGACGATACATCTCGACTACGCAGCTATCTGTAGATTGCGACGTCGAGATCTTTGGGATCGTTATATCGATTCTGTGCCGTGTCGCATTTGACATACCGGAAGGGCAAGATTGGCGAACAGAGCGATCCCCGTAATCTAGACATACCCTTCCAAGTGCCGTGTCGTAAGGCAAGACACTTTCGTCGTCAATATTCACTGGAAGGTAGAGAACCGTTGTGTTGCCTCACACAAACCACGCGATGGGGAAACTTCGGTTCAAGTCTTGGTCAAACATGTACCGCGACGCCTTCTGCATCACCCCTAAGTCCCAGCTCAACGGTTTTCCGGTGCCGATGCTTTCATGCAATTTTCGCTCGCTACTCACATTGATACTGATATTCTACAAGTTCCTAGACCAGGTTCATCGCGAATGTGCGATGGCGCTTCGCGAAGCCCTGATTCGATATCGAATCTCTTTGTTTCAATAGATATATGGCAATGGTAGGTCTTAGAATGACATCCGGCCAGACTCACTCGTTGTCGGGTGTTCTATCGATTCAAACCGTTTCTCAAACGTCGAGATTATGGAGGGTTGTATGGAGGCGTCCAGGGCAAGCAGGCAGTTAAAATAGAAGATCCACATCTTCTCCATTCTCTTTGCTCAGTGTTCACTACCAAGCTTTTCGCACACTCGTTCAAGCCTTTCGTTCAAGATGCGCAACATCTCGTCCATCTCTGCTCTTGCCCTGTTGCTGGTTTCAGCAGTGGCAGGTAGCGTATCGCCTGCTGACACCACCGAAATTCAGCGTGTTGTCGAGTGCAACCCGGAATCTGGATTTTGCAATGTTGAACTTGTGGACAGAGCCGTGACGAGCACAAAGCACTCGAGTTCGAGCTCTTCTCACAAGACAACTTCGACTAAGAAATCATCCTCGACTAAAAAGTCATCTTCGACCAAAAAGTCTTCCTCGACCAAAAAATCGTCCTCCACTACTGCGAAGACAACCTTGAAGACCGAGGTCAAGGTCGTGACCACGAAGGCAGCGTCAACATCCACCTCGTCCAAGAAGTCTACTTCATCATCGAGCTCCAAGAAGACTTCCTCGTCATCCACCAAGCTCAACACTGTCGCCAAGGCTGTGACCTCTTCTTCAAAGACCTCGAGCACTAGCACCAAGCCTGCTTCTAGCAGCTCCAAGGTCTCAACTAGCAGCAAGGCTACCTCGAGCAGTTCGAAGGTTACTTCGTCTTCGAGCTCAAAGGTAAGAACTCCTAATCAGTACTTTGCGTTATCATATGTTAACACGATTGTGCAGAAGCCTACTTCAACTTCAAGCTCGTCTAGCAGCAAGAAGACCAGCAGCAGCAGTACCTCATCAAAGGCTTCTTCCACATCTGTGAAGCCATCCTCAACCACCTCGTCAGTAACCCTTTTGTCTTCCAGCACATTTAGCATATCCATCCCTGCAGCAGCATCTTCTTCTTCTTCTTCTTCGCAAGTTGCACTGCCTCTGTCTATCAACCTGTCGTCGTCGTCATCGTCATCATCGAGCTCTGTGTTGAGCTCACCCTCCGCGCCATCTGCCGCTGCTACATCTGCTTCGTCGAGCAACAGCTCCTCAGTGATTAGCACCAGCAGCAGCACCAGCAGCAGCAGCAGCCTGGCCTCCTCGTCCCTGAGCTCGTCTAGTGCTAGTTTGGCTGCTGCTACGTCGGGATCATCGAGCGCTACCTCTGCATCTCTGTCGTCGACCTCCTCTGTCCTGTCATCCTCATCTTCTGCCCTTTCATCATCATCATCTTCTGCATCCTCTTCATCTTCCTCATCCACCACACTTTCATCGTCTTCACAATCCTCTTCTCTGCCCACAAGCTCTGCCCAAATCACGTCATCTTCTGCTGCCGCATCATCCACATCAACCTCCTCAGACAGCACACTCACACCCTCCGACAGCAAAACCTCCTCCTCCACCAAACCTACCACAAGCTCCACTAGCTCTAGTAGCTCGACTTCGGTCAAGCCTACTACCACTTCATCCTCATCAACCACTTCCAAATCGTCTTCGTCTTCGGCAGCCATGAGCACTAGCTCCAGCAGCAAGACAAGCTCGTCGTCTTCCTCTTCTTCATCCATTTCTTCATCCTCCTCTTCTTCATCGACCTCTTCGTCGTCAGCAGCGGCATCCTCCACAGTTGCCGCTTGCAAGAAGCGCAGAAGAAAGGTCAGAAGAGCTGCCGTCGCTGTCCCCGTTGAGACACAGGCTCCTGTTATGAAGCTCGCTGATCTGCCGCCTGGCGCTGTTGCAGACATGCTTTACTAGATTGAGCAAGCTCGTTGATCGAGCTTTGTTGAACTGTTAACATTCTTTTCGAGTTATCTTTGTGTGGTGCAGTTTTTGGATATTCTTTCTTAATCACAAAAATATAGTTGTCTAAGAGTAATAGAATTTTTCCTTTTGCGATCTAAACGACGGCGATTGTGCATCGTGTAATCATAAGCCCATCACACCTTCCATCAAGATTGTGTTTTCAAGTTGAGTTGCGCTTTCCTCCAAACTTGTGTTTTTCGAGCTGAGTTGCGCCTTCCAAGTTTGTGCTGCAAAGTTGTCGCTTCAGATGAAGAAAGCACGCGGAAGTCGCGACTCCCAACTTTGAACTCTCGCAACTTCATCTTCGACTTTCTCGCGACTTTCATTCCTCATCTTTACATCCATCACCATCAAAACCCCACCATCATCCAAACAACTGCGAAGCCATCAGCGATCGTGCAGCCACGCGACACACCGCTTTGCTCTACCTTCCTTACGGGGATCGAGAGACCTAAAAGACCTTCGCGTTAGCATCCCTCTGTTTGACGCCTTCGTGCTGATTACAAGTCTGCTTCTGTGTCGTGAGTCATGGGGTGCACAGTGGAGAAGCGGGTCGTCCGGCCTGATAGTGTGAACGACCGTTTGAGATGATGATGGGTGTCGATGGTGGTGGATGTGAGATAGAGGAAAGGTGAGTGTTGATCAGAGCCACGGCGATGACCATGGAAAGAAAGCTGATGGTGTGTTCAGAACCATAGTTCGTCAGTTTCACGCCGGCCTCTTCCACTCGTTGTATGACACTTTTCCCACCGCCTGGTTCTTCACTGCTCCCTTCTCCTGCCCCATCATTGCTGCATTCTCAACATCGGGACCGCCATACGCCAGCTTGGATCTTTTCGACGACCAACCATTACACAAACATAAACTGGGAATCTTGATTACGCATCGTGCTCAGACATCTAACATACATGGTCGTTTGCGTTTGACCGAGTATTTACTCAATAGCATCACTCTCAGGAGGACCCTTGTAAACCTTCCTGGCATAAACCACATAGAAGACTCCAGCCAGACCCAAGAAACCAACAAGGACAACGCTGGCATAGTTCATGGACACCACAGTGACCGGTAATGCACCAGGCATGGAGAACAAGACCAACTCAAACCCAATCCAGACTACGGCAAGAATGTTAGTTGCATAGCCGATTGCGTTGCCAAGATTCCACTTTGCGGTGTTGACTTCTCTGCGCGAAGCCAATACGGAGAGAATAATCGGAATTGCGTACGAGACTGCCAGACCAATGACACCCACAGAAACGAAAGCCGTAAACGCAGAAGAAGAGCCAAGATTGATCAATCCCAGCAACAGCTGAATCAGCGTAACGAGTAAGAGGGCGTTGACTGGGACTCCCAACTTGTCGTTTACTTTGGCGAATGTTCCAGCAAAAGGCAATGCGTGGTCACGAGCTGCAGCCCATGTGCACCTGCTCGCTGCAACGGTGATGCTGATGCTGCAAAACAGCGTGATCAGTAGGACCAAGAATGTCAGCCCCAAACCACCGCCTGGCGATCCCATGATCTTGTGGAAAATGAAAGGCAAAGCCTGACCAGCAGGGGCAGTGATTATGTCCGCAAGGTTTGGAAGGAGGACGCAGATGGGTACGACGAAGAACAGACCTGCGATTCCACCTACAGGGACACAAAGAGCCAATGCTCTGGGGACCTTGACGGAGGGGTTATCGCACTCCTCGGCCATTGAGGCGATCATGCCGAGAGCAGAGAAACAGTATGCTGCTGGCAATAACCCGATGAAGAAAGTGAAGCCACCATAACCCGAGAACGATTTGTCATAATGCGAGAGAGCGTAAGAAGCAGAATGACGTCCTGCATCTGCCTTGACGGACAACGCGATCAGAATAATGAGGATGCTGATTGCGGTGAAAGCAGCACATATCGTGTCCACCATGGGCAAGAACTTGTTGCCGAGCGCACAGATGAAGACCGTTGCGATGACCAATGCGTAGAAGATCAAAAGAAGTTCCCAGTCCTTCATTACGTAGTCTGGATGGTACATTCCGACCGCTCCTGCAATAAGCGATGCGAATCCAAAGTTCACGGATAGTGTTATAGTCCAGTTGCCGATTAACCATGTCCAGGCGTTAACGAAAGAGAGCGCGGTGCGAGCCTTGGGAGAAGAGAGTTGAAAAGTCCAGTAGTAGGGGCCGGCAGAGGTTGGGTAGCGGGAGGCTAGTTCAGCAAGAGATAGTGCGATGCATCTGCAGTCGACCATGTTAGTAGATGCTTAGATTCAAGACAGAGGCAGAAGACGAAGATGGCATACTCGTCTAGGATGCACACGACTATCCAGCCGACAAAGATGGACAATTGACCACCGCCATAGATAGCACTCATGAGCGGACTACCTTCTCCATAGGCTGCGAAACCGTGTTAGCGATCTCGGCAAAAACACACGTCTGTAGCCACTTACGGATAGCAGCAATGGCCAGAGATTGAAACAACAGGGTGAGCATCGATCTATTCTTTGTCATTTCAGGCGTGTAGCCAAGCCGACTTAGATCTTGTATCTCGCCCACGCCATTGTCTGAGTGCGTACGTGGTTTCGAGAGGCACTTCTCATCTGCCACACTAGGCAAAGAAGCCTTGATGGAATCTTCAGACATTGCCTTTAGGAGTGGTCAGATTGAACGGATACTAGATGTCGAAAGGAGGAAGCAAGTGACAAGAACAGCGAGACAAGTGTACAAGATACACAGAGAGGATGATGGCACAATAAGCAGGATAAGACAAAACGAACTCGAGAAGAACGCAACTGCTGACTGACCTTTGTATATAGACCTCTGTACCCCGCCTGTATCCAGAGCCTTGTCAAGGTTAACCAACCATTCGAGTGCTGAAAGCCTATAACGCCCACTGCATGGTCACATGTTGGGCTTATCATTGAACGAAATCGACAAGTCAGCCATGGTCGTTTGGGCAAGGGTTTGGTCAAGATAACAGCCGAAAAGGGATAGTCAATCGACCACTTGCTCCGATAATCCCCCGACCAGGCGACTAAACTTTAAATGGTCTATCTTCCCCCCTCCTCTGTACAAAGTTCAGCTTTTGGGTATAAGATAGAGGCTTATCTTTTCGAGTCGTCGCAGTTAGCGATAAGAAAGAGTCGTAATCTTTATGGTATTGTGGAGGGAGAGCATATGGCGGGGTAGAAGGAATACAAGTATGCATGTGCCATGTCCCCATATTTGACCACATCGGGCTGTGGAATAGATAGGCTGACGATCAAGGACATATGGTTGCCTACTTTTGACAGAAACTCTAGTGGTCTCTTTTGAACTCTGCGACTTACCTACACATGCGACAAAGCCATTGATGCGTAAACGTAGGATGAAGAGCGCGGCCGTTCTGGAGCCCGAAGCCTATTGAGGCCACGTATTGCGACCAATTCTGGTTGCAACGACGACGCGACTGTAGATGGTATGTCACTCTTCTTGAGTATCGTTGTACAAGGTCGAATATACTGCTGCAAGTGGAAACGCGTGGTGTAGTATTTGAAGGTCCAGATCTAGGCTTTGAGCCCAGCCCATGCTTCGAGTCTTCGGATCTAAACGCGACCGTACTCAATCCAACGTGCCAGGGATATGTCGGGAACGAAAGCCGAGTCCCTGCGACTCAAGCTAGATAGCCGCGCAACGTCCATTTGATGACAGTGGGTAATTGTAGTGACAGGGTCCGTGCCAGATGGACCAGATGCTCGCTTGTCCAGTCAGTATCGCGACTCGCTGGTGTATGCTGAGGGTCATTTACATGTGTATAGAAGCAAGCTCCTCAACGGGCGCTCTGGCCGAGTGGTCTAAGGCGTTAGACTTGAATTCTAATTCAGTAATCTAATCTCTTCGGAGGCATGTGTTCGAACCACATGGGCGTCGATATTTCCTTTTGCTTTTACTGCGTGAGCATGGTTAACTCCTCCTTGAGAGCGAGCGACGAGCGATATGGAGAACTACCAGCGAGCATCTTGTTTTGCGGTAGTGAGTAGTGCGCCGATGATATCAGATCCTTGATGTGAAGCATGCATTTCCAATACCTCCTTTCTCTCAACTTCCACTCGCTCATGCCCACTTCAAACCTTCCCATCCTCAATAAGTCCCATTCTTACCGCCATCTTCCTCTCCTGCTCAAACTACTCCGCCGCCAATTCACTAGCCTCAAACCTTCCATTCCTGACAATTGAATCATCTTTACTCTTGTGTTCATTCACAATGACCATATTGTCCTTGTGTTCGTCGGCACCCGGGAAGGCGTGGTCACTGGACCAAGCATATGGCTTTCAATGACTGCGTGTCGAACTGCTTAATATGTGTATGCCAGTCCTAACAACCTTTGTCGACAACAAGTAGCTGCAGCCTAGTCCTCTCAACCGTTCTCTTCCTAGCACTTTTCTCTCTTCTCTCAAGTTATACAAACGTGAACCTCATGGGTATCATTAAACACATGTTTTCCTTTTCTTCTCTCCTCTAACGTCCCTGATCATCAGCACCCAACTCAGCGCCATCTTCAAGAATAGCATTGAGGTATTGCTGCTTCTCGATGTAGTTGTCCACAGCTCTTTTGACACCTTCGTATGCCTCATCCAGCAACTCTCTTGCAATTCTCACTCGAGTGTCTTTGTCTAGCAAGCGTAGGGCGTCCGAAATGCGCGGGTCTGTGGAGGAGTTGAATGAACTGAGCAACCCTGAGACATCTTGGCCATTGGGAGGCTGCAAAGCGGACTGATTGGGAGTCTGGTGAGGCTGGAGCGCGGGAGATGTGGTGGAAGGGTGGTTCAAGGCAGAAGCAAAAGCGCGATCGATCTGAGCGCGGTTGAAGTTGGCAGCACCGCGTTGCGGTACGGATGAAGGCGTCGACGCGTGAGAAATGGAGTTTGGGTTGGCGCGAAGTGCAGACGAAGGAGTAGGTCTTTCCGAGCGAGGGGTGTCATTCATGCCGTTCAGTCTCGGCGCGCCGACATTGCCATTACCGAAGAGTACAGCAGCAGCTTGAGCTCCGAGATTGCCATTCACGGCTCCCATGCCTACAGCGCTTTGTGCTGCATGACCTTGTTGCAGTCTTCTGCAGCCGGTTTGATCCAGCACGGCTTCCAGGACAACGGCAGGCATCTGCTCGAGCTCGCGACACAGGTAGCCGCCGGCATTTTCGGCTTCAACGAGTTGGACGACGTGTTCGTTGAAGGCGACGCATTGCTTGAGATGTGAAGTCTTGCGCGAAGTGCTGTTGTAGGCGACTTTCTTTTCTATGCACCACTTGCACTGCACGGCGCGTGATTTTCCATCCGAGTCGCAGTCTTGAAATTGGCGTGATGCCCAGGCTTGTTGCGGTGGCATGGCGAGGGAAAGAGACCAAGGTGACTTTTGTGGTAAGCGACCTTGATGGTGGTTGCGAATGTGTTTGGGTAGTTGTCAACTGCGAGCGCGAAGACTTGGAAGAGACGTTTTGACGGCCAAAGGCTCGTTGAGAAGAGTTGGGCACTGAAGCAGGTCCGTGCCCATCCTCCAAGGTCACGCGTTTGGATTTCTCCATACAATGTCAAGCAATCCATCTATGATCAATCGTCATTTCATATCTTGACCTCCCATTCTAGAGAGAAGTCGAACCGCTGCCTGTCTGTCCTATGCAAATGTACATGTTGTGTATCTTGTCACAATCCTCCTTCTGCTTATATACTCTTAGTACGCAAGCAAGCAATGGCAACAAAAGAAAACAAAAAGGAAATAAAGCTTGTTGCTGATTCTCATGCCTCTTTTCTCATACCTGACCAAAGGTCCTTTTCCTCGTTTCTCTTCAGCAGAAACATATGTGTCTTGTGTGCGTGTGCGGCGTGCTTGTGCTTGCCTTCTCTTTCGGATCTTCTGTCTCTTTCGGTGCCCCTCTTTATACTGCCACTGCACCCTTGTTGGACTTGGTGCTGGATGTGGCATCGAGCGGTGCGGCGTGGAGTGCAGGCTTCGCCTTCTTGCCCAATGTGCCATTTCTCTTTTTCTCAATCTGTCCGCGCACCCATTCACCAACCTCACGGTCGACCCATTTCTCAGAGTCGCCAAACTGTTGAGCTTTGGATGCTGCGTTGACATCACTCTCCGATGCACCAAGACCTTCTCCTTGTGCTGCGTCGGCTTCGGCTGCTTCCTCGGCTTCGGCTGCCTCTTCATCTTCTTCCGAAATAACATCCGGCTTCATCAATGGGGCAAGCCATGCGTGTTGAAGGAGCATGGCGTATGTGGGTCGAAGCTTGGGGATCTTGTTTAGACAGCCTGCAACAAAGTTGCGTGCTGCGTCGCTGAACTCGCCGGTAGGAAGATCTGGCGGCTCTCCGTCTACAATGGCCTAATATAAAAGTTAGTACTTGAAGTCAGCAAACAAAACAATCCAACTTACACTCAATTGACTGAAAATGTTGTCGTATGTCTCGGGCGGGTAAGGGTATCTGCCCATGGCGCACTCAATGATGGTCAAACCCAAACTCCAGATATCACTCTGAACACTGTAGGTACCGCCGCCAGGATTGGCGCCAGCTTGAGCGACTCCACCAGAGCTGATACGTTCAGGAGCCATGTATGACTGACATCCAATATTTGTCTTTGCAATCGAAGCAACGAGGTTTCCACTGACACCGAAGTCGCAAATCTTGATGGCACCAGCCGTATTGACCAAAATGTTGGTTGGTTTGACGTCGCGATGAATGATGTTATGTTCATCTTTGAGAGACTTGAGACCACGCGTTGTCGCAAGAGTGACCTTGCGGAGGACGTTTTCAGGTACACCGTCGCCATACAACTTGTCCATGGAACCACCGTCCATGAACTCCATACAGATGTAGACGGCTCCTTCTTGGAAGAAGGCACCATAAAAGTCGACGATAAAGGGAGAAGCGCAACGGTGCAAGACATCGAGTTCCATGATGATGGTAGCGAACTTTGAGTCTTCGAGTTCGAGACGCATCTCCTTCATGGCCATGACTATGCCTGTTGTGTTTCCGCGAGGAGCGGCCGTCTCGTCTCTTGTTTCGCCGGGTGCGGCCTTGTTACCAGCCAAACCTTGACCGACCTTGCGCATTTGCGGTCTTGAATGACGGACCTTGTAGACTGTACCGTAGTTTCCTTTGCCCAGCTCATCAAGAGTGTCGACTTCGTCCAGCGAAATCTGGAATGATTGACCTGATGAGAACTGGACTCCTCTGCTGTTAAGGACGGCTTTGCCCGCGAATTTCAGACTACCAGTCTCTTTGTCAATGTATTCAGCGTATCGATCCATTTGGGATTCTTGCTTGGGAGGAGCCGAGTCGCCATTGGCACCACCGCCCATACTGGACAAGGTCATCTTAGGTTTTTGTCTGCCACCGGCGGCTGGAGGAGCTCCAGGAAGACCTCCAGGCATTTTGAGACCACGCTTTTCAGCGAGTGAGGGGCCTCTGCCAGCGCCAACGTTGGGGGATGAAGCAAAGCTGGAAGGATTCGGGCGGCTGCCGGGCACGCCAGGTGGCATACGGAAGTTAGCAGGAAGACCACCAGGCATCTGCATCTGGGGACCGGTGGGTGATGGACCGCCAGCGCCAGGAGTTGTAGCGCCAGGAGTACTTGGGGGGTTGCGACCTGCAGCAGGAGCACCTTGTCTGTTCAGGTGGAAGGCCTTCATTCTGGCAAGAATATCAGGGTCGACAGCGCCTCCACGACCGAGGGTGCTGACGGTGGGAGCAGGTCGTCTCGCAGCATTGACATTACCCAGAGGGGTGGACGACTGTGTCATGTTGTTGGCTGAGGTAGGTGGAGGTGAAGAAACGGAGTGAGGCGTCATGTGTGGACGGGTCGAGTCTGGGGACTCTGTCGGAGAGGTTATGGATGAGGGCGACTGCAGCGGACTGCTCGAGTCTTCTGAAGGAGTTGACGAGTCCATTGCTGGAGGAGAATGTGCAGCAATGAAGTTGTGGGCCAGGCTGTGTCTGACGTGTGGGTGTGGCAGACGGGGCGGAGATGGACGAGAGACGAGTTCAGACTCAGTTTCGTCAGACGTGGATGGTCATCAGTTGAGACACGAGGCTTCGAGGGTGAAGGTGAAGGTGAAGGTGAATGTGAGAGTGGAAGCCAAGACAGAAAGTCAAAGGCAGAGCTATGATGTATGTTTGAAGAGAGCGAAAAGGAAGTCCAAGGCCGCCGCCGCACGCTGCTGTTGCTGCTGTCGTCTTGGTCCGGCCGGGTCCTTGTCGAAAGCTTTGGATCCGCTTGTGGCGCGTGCGACCAAGCCACCACCAACCATCATGATCCATCACCTTCCTTCAGCAACTGCCGTCCAACTTTTTTCTCGCTTCTACTGGAATCTGCCTACTTTCTGCTATACAACTCGCCTGTTTCTTTGTTGCTACTCTACATATCCCATGAATCAAGATTTGGTCTACCTGCTCATCTCGCTAGACAAAGTGGTGGTCGGCCGACAAGTCCGCCCTGCAAACACGTTCCCTGCTGCAGACGCATACCTGATTACGTCAGTCTTGGAAAAGATGGCAGTCGCAAAACAGTAGTGACATCGCTTCAAATCCACTCAGGTCGCACCTGCAGTGCCACGAATGTTCCAATACGCGACACGGTTGGTGCAAATTGTGAATGATGCCTGTCAGTGCCCTGTCACCGACTTTCGACTTTTCCATCCATCCATTCCCGAGTCCTGGATATGACGAACAGTGAACTATCGCTCCAATCATCATCGCTCCGCACTTTTGCTGAATTGCTTCGGTCGCTTTCGACTTCCGCTCTTCACCACTCTCGCCCTGTCAAGCCACATGCGGCTCCTCCAGCAAATCGTCCCCCATAATTCTTGGCCTTGGCAACGTTGTTTCCGTGCTCAATTGCTCAACTTGACATGGAGATCGAGCGATTTGCTTACAACACACTGATCCAGACTGTCTTTCCCTCCAGGGCAATCACAGTCAAAAGAGTCATGAGTCTCCTATTTCTTTTGCTCCAAGACATGGATTTCTTTGCTCTTCCGTGTCTAGGATCAAAACTTTGTCTTTGCCGTGAACCCGGTCATCGGTCTGCCTGAGGTTCGTTCTTGACGCCGGTGCCGAATTCTACGGAATACGAATACGATATCACCGGAAATTTTCCCATCTACCATGCCGGGTTCCATGATCCGGCATGTCCGCTGCTGTCCCGCGGCCTCTCAGGGCTTATACTGTCGCCTATTAGCACCCTAGTAGGCAGAGCGTCATGCTTTGATAATCAATTAGTGTTAAGGATGTTACCCTGATCTGTCACTGACTCAATAGAAATTATGTTTATACAATAACTACACAGACCCTTACCGAGTCATAACTCAAAAATCACAGTACAAAGGAAAAAGTCCGAACAGAGAAGAAACCAACAAAACGAACCCCTTCTCACATATAAGGCACCGAAGACCCATACACCGTCTGCAGAGTCGTAGGCTCATCTCTCTTAGTGACAGTCAACAGGTACAAACTACACCCACTGGCACCAAGCACATTCAGGCCGCCAAGACTGGCCAGCGCACCGTTGTTACAACTAGTCATAGTTGTAACAGAAACAACACTTGATGGTGTTGTTGCTGCCGAGGTAATGGTTGCCTTTGACGTCGAGGATGATACTATTGACGAGCTTGAAGTTGCCGAAACAGCAGATGACAGCTTCGACGTGCTTGGGGTGCTCGAGATTGTGGACGAAGCTACTGAAGTGCTGATCATACTTGACGAGGCTGTTGTCGAGCCGGGAATTGAAGAGGCTTGACTTGACGAAGACGCAGACTGAGAGGATGCTCTAGTCGAGGAACTGACGCTTGCTGCCACAGAACTACTTTGCTGTACGATCGACGTGATAGTGGTCACGCTGACCACTACAACACTGGAGCTTGTTGAAGATGTGGAAGAGACTGGCACGCTTGACGAGCTACTCGCCACTGCCAAAGGGTTAGATAGCGCGAGAACCGATGATGCAACACTTTGTGACGAAGGTGCAACACTGGACGAAGAGGTTGAAACACTCTGGCTTGACAAACTGCTCGCTTGGCTTGAAGCAGTCTGACTCGACACGGCATTCGAGATAGTTGAAGAACTCACGGACACGGCAAGATTGCTCGTACCAACAGTGACGGGTGAGATCGAAGTTCCTGGTGTGAATGACGATGACGACGCAGACGAAGAATGTGATGTGCTACTTGCCACACTTCCGATGCTTGAGCTGGTAGTGCTGGAAGTTGGGACAACTGACGATGCGATGACCGACAATCCGGCGCTCGCTGACACAGCACTCGATGATACAACACTCGACGACACAGAACTCGACGCAGAAGAAACGATAGTCAAGGGTGTCACACTCGTGAGTGTCACACTCGAGACAGTGCTCGAAAAGCTGGAGCTGGATAGACTGCTCAAAGGCGTAGAAGAGACTGTAAGTGATCCTGCACTTGAGCTAGTCGAAGTACCTTGTGACGCGGGCAGAATATTTGTAGCAACACCGATTGCCACTGTGCTAACAGTCGTTGTCAAAACAACGATGGGCTGAGGACTGGAGGTGCTGCTAGCCACGACCACGATACTTGAAGATGAAGCTTGGCTGGATAGACTGGTGCCTGCGGAAGTAAGAGATGTTGTAGAAGATCCGATGCTTGAGCTAATCGGCGTTGTCTGAGCTATCGTAGTACTCGATGAACTGCTGCTCATTTGAACAAGAGATGTTGTAGTGGATCCGATACTTGAGCTAGTCAAGGTGGTTTGAGCTGTAGAACCAGCACTCGTAAGTGGGTTGGCGTTAAAGACGTTGGTCGCAGTAGTGGGTATGGCCACTACCACCGAGCTCGCACTAATGCTTGTTGAAGACAGACTGATTGAGAGTGTGCTCAATGCCAAGGACGAAATGACCTGACTTGATGAACTGCTTGATTGGATCGAAGTCGACGTAAGGCTGCTGAGAGATGTCGAGGCCATCTGAGATGAGACAAGCACATTCGTGACACTGTTGACAGACAGATTACTAGTGATGGGCACAGAAATAGCGGCTGAAGAGCTCGAAGCGCTACTGACTATGCTTGCAGCACTCGTAGATGAGGAAACTTGGCTCGAAAGACCGATGCCGATTTGGACTGATGGTGTTACAACGGATACAATACTTGAGCTCATCGAGATGCTCTGTATCGTCAGGCTAGCACTCGTGGCAGGATTGATGACCACCACGCTGCTAGTAATGGACGATATGGACAGTATTGAGGAGCTTCCACCACTACTGAGCGCAATCAGAGTGCTCGATGGTGTACTGATTGATATCGACGAAGCGGTCTGAATTGACAGGCTGGTTGACTGCGCCAGAGCTGTTGACCCGCTCACCGAATTAGAGGTAGCGGAAGACACCTGAGGCGCAGAAAGTACATTTGTAGCACCAAGAATCACAACTGAACTTGAAAGCAACGGCGAGGTAGTGGCAATGGATGAACTTGGGGCGTTAATCACCTCGACTGCCGTGCTTGATATCGAGATAGCCAAGCCAGAAGTCAAGGCTGCCTGGCTGGAGGATGCACTTTGCGATTGAGCTGAGGAAATCGCGAAAGATGCAATGCTCGAACTCGTTGACAAAGTCTGGGATGTGGTGGGGATACTGTTACCAACACCAGTCAGTTGAGTGCTCGCGAGAGGTGAAGATATGCTGATAATCGAAGAGCTGAGAATTGATCCTGATGTGCTCAATGACACGACCGTCATAGCAGAGGATGAAACACTCTGGCTCAACGAACTCTGCAACTGAATAGAAGATCCTGAGATCGTTGCAGAAGCAGAAAGGCTTGACACAGTCGTAGGCGTTGACAAGACCACTGTAGTCCCAATTCCCGAGCTACCAACAACTGAGCCAACAGCAGTAGTGACAGGGTTTGCAGCACTAGCAGAGATTTGGGTCGAGACGAGTGAACCTGCTCCAACATCGACTAGATTGCCACCGCCAGCTGTTTGGATAACACCCACACTGGTACTACCGACACCAACATTGACCAAATATCCAGTTGTGGTGGATGAGCTTGCGGCTGATATAGTAGAGCTTGAGCTTGAGCTTAATATCATGGTGCTGGAGCTTGAGGCCGATGGTATGCTACTGGAGCTAGCCGATGATGACGCTCCGTTCGCTTGGCTAGACACTATTTGAGAAGTGCTGACCGAAGAGGTGGTGGGAACAGCAATGGACAAGGCCAGACTGAGAGAGCTGACAGAACTAAGAGAGCTTGAAGAACTCTGGAGGACCAGTGATTGGGTTGTTCCTGTTGAGACTGTTGCACTGCTGGACACAGAAGCACCGATACTGGTTGATGCACTACCAGAGCTCGTGCTGAGACCAAAACTACTGACGGAAGTTTCAACGACTTGACTAGTGGGCAGGAGAGCAGACAAAGAGGTACTGATAGATGGCGCTGAGGTCGAAGCCGCCAAGTGGGCATTCGATTCGCTCAAAGACGGCACATTCGGATTGCTGCTGCTCACGCTCGACGCAACCAAGGTGCTGATTGTTGAGGAGCTGCTGCTCGATGAGAGATATACAACAGCGGTAGGTAGATCCGATATAACGCTGGACAGAATACTCGTCGACAGCAAGTTGCTCGAGATACTCGATAGTGACAATATGCTTGGCGATGGCAAGTCGCTCGACGACGAAGAGATGCTGGATAAGGGCAAGTTGATTGAACTCGACGCCGGCAAAATGCTCGACGATAGCACGATGCTCGAGGATGGCAAGACGATGGACGATAGCGAAATGCTTGACGATAATAGAGTGCTCGAACTGCTCGGTAACTGCAATACGCTCGAAGATTCTAGAATGCTTGAAGTTCGCAAACTGTCCAATGCCGGCAAATTCGAGGACGTTGAAATGCTCGGTGATGGCAGGCTACTTGACGGTGACAGG